GGATGCATCTATTACTAATAATCATACATACGCTCGATTTTCGCTCGTTTCCTCTTCTTCTCTTAATAACTTGCAAAGCAAAACCGCAGTACTATTCCCATCATCATCATTACATGATTCCTCTTGTCGTCTATTTAATCATCGTTTTTCTACCAGTCAAATGAAATCGCTTGCGTTAACTTTATGTTAGCAATGACATAGCAACTGATAGTCTCGACGCGATCAGATAGAAAAGAGAGAGAAAAACGTTGTCCATTGTCACTTGAAGACGTCATCAAGTCCTCCTATTGTCAACGTACTTCGCATACGGCAATTACACGTGTATCCGTTGAATGATTTACTTTATTTCAATCTATGTTATAGATTATCCTTTGTGGTGACAGTTCGTCATCAAATATCGAGAGAAAAATCATACCGTGACAGAACAATTTTTCTCCTGTCAGTTCAGGTTAGCTTTTTATTTTTATTTTTACGTGACACAATATTTAAATCATCATGGTGTTTTTTTTTTGCCTTATCATTTTCATTTCTTTTTTACGTTCGAAACCCTTTGCATTACTTTTCTATGTTTTTTTTTCTGCTTGTGCCTGTTCGACCGTATCGACTCTCCTTGATGAGAAAAATAACTACAGATATAAAACCACAATACGGCAAAAAATTTCGATGCAAATTGTATAATATTTTTCTCCTTGCCCCGCTCTCCGTCAGATATGATTAAATTCGCATCCGTATCTCTTACTTTCTGCTTTTCGTTTCAGCTGTAGTATTGATTAATCATCATGCGTCTCAATTGGATTCTTGTCACCGTCTTACTTGTCCTGCTATCGATAGTTCTCACCAGTAGAACAGTCGATGCAAGCAAGAAATCGAAACAAGAAAACAAAGAAGAATCACGCGTTTCCGACAACGATGATGACGACAATGATGATAAAAAAGGTAAAAGTTCGACACGAATTAACTTTGCTTTGTCTTCTATCTAACTTATTAACATTGCTCTACTAACGAAACAAGGAAAGATCGTAGGAAAGCAAAGTTTCTTCTCTGTGAACGATGAGTTTTCTATGTGAATGTGTGTGATAATTTCTCCCCGTGAATTTCAGTGGTGTTTATTCCACGTGAAAGAGCTTCGATTTTTCTCTCTTACAACGAATGTCTACGACGAATGAATTGTGGTTTATCACGTAAAGAAGAATGCAGTGAAGAATGTGCAGATGGTAAGCATGAGTGGCAAATGACGGTCATTACAACGATAATTTTCGTCTAATAGGAAATACTGAAGAAGAAATGGAAGAATATACCGAAATGTTTGAACATATCGATGAATATCGATCAGATGTAAAGAAATCACCTGGGAAAAAGGCGACTAAGAAAGGTGATGAATCAGAAGACGATGGTAGCGAAAGCGAATCAACAACAACGAATGATGAAAGTGATGCAAGTAGTGAAGAAGAAGATGTGCCCGATGAGAAAAATAAGAAAGCAAAATCAATGAAAAAAAATTAAAAATTTTTTTCAACAAGATATAAATATCCTGTGTGAGAATGATATCCCCTTTTTGTTTCTTCTTCACCTCATATGCTTTGTCGACACAACAACAAAAAACCTTCTTGTTTTTCTTTTATGCAAAAAAAGATTTAGATTAGGATGATTTCGTACATTTTGTATATGTCTGTCTTTGTTATTCTGGAATATTGTATTCGTCTTCTACTTGTTATATGTTTCTTTGAATTCAACTTGATACTAGCTTTATACGATCTTTCTCGTTCTTTAATCATATTACGCATGCTACTAATCGGGCCATTATTTGCCAACTATACACGACGATCCATGTTCAATTTACAAATTTTTAGCAAAACTAATCGGACGTGAACGTGCTTCAGGTTTTCTATCGTATAACGAATGTATGAGGAGGATGAACTGTGCCAAATCACGACGAGAGGAATGCAGCGAAGAGTGTGCAACAGGTACGAATGCTAATATTCAAAGGCTAAAGTAACCATTATGTTCATATAAAGGTAATACCGAAAATGAAATGGAAGAATATTCTGAAATATTCGAAAATCTTGAAAATTATAAAGAAGATTCGAAAAAGAATAGACCAAGAAAGCAAGATGATGACGATGACGACAGCGACGATGATACCAATACTAATGAAGAAGAAGAAGCTGATGAGGAAGAAAAGGATGAAGAAGAAGGTACCAACAATGAGGAAGACAATGATGAAGAAGAAAAGGATGAAGAAGAAGGTACCAACAACGAAGAAGACAATGGTGAGGAGGAAAATGAAGAAGAAGAGAAGGATGAAGAAGAAGGTACCAACAATGAGGAAGACAATGATGAAGAAGAAAAGGATGAGGAAGAAGCTGATGAAGAAGAAAAGGATGAGGAAGAAGCCGATGAAGAAGAAAACGATGAGGAAGAAAAGGATGAAGAGGAAGGTACCAACAACGAGGAAGACAATGGTGAGGAGGAAAATGAAGAAGAAGAAAAGGATGAAGAAGAAGGTACCAACAATGAGGAAGACAATGATGAAGAAGAAAAGGATGAGGAAGAAGCTGATGAAGAAGAAAACGATGAGGAAGAAAAGGATGAAGAGGAAGGTACCAACAACGAGGAAGATAATGATGAGGAAGAAAACGAAGAAGAAGAAGCTGATGAAGAAGAAGGTACCAGCAACGAGGAAGACAATGATGAAGAAGAAAATGAGGAAGAAGAAGCTGATGAAGAGGAAAACGATGAGGAAGAAAACGATGAAGAAGAAGGTACCAACAACGAGGAAGACAATGATGAGGAGGAAAATGAAGAAGAAGAAGCTGATGAGGAAGAAGAAGATGAGGAAGAAGGTACCAACAACGAGGAAGACAATGATGAAGAAGAAAACGAAGAAGAAGAAGCTGATGAAGAGGAAAACAAAGAAGAGAAAGATGATGATGATGATGACGATAACAACGAAAATAACAAAGAAGAAGACAACGAAGAAGAGGAAAATGATGAGGAAGAAAAGAAAGAAGAAGAAGATGATGATGATGACAATGATGATGATGATGACAATAACGAAAACAGCAAAGAGGAAGAAAACGAAGAAGAAGAAAATGATGAAGAAGAAAAGAATGAAGAGGAAGAAGATGACGACGATGATGACAGTAACGAAAATAAGAGCAAAGAAGAAAACCAAGAGGAAGAAAATGATGAAGAAGAGAAAAACGAAGAAGAGGAAAACGATGATGATAATGAATCCAAGAATAAAAAGTCAAAACGTCGTAATTAAATAATCATTTTGTCAATCGGGTAACTCTGTCTAATACTGTTGTATTTTTATATCCATTCACATCATTACTAATTAACTAATTGCACACTCTTTCGGTGTTATATGCACAATTTCTATTTTAATGTTATGGTACTACTAATAAAGAGAGAAAAGACCAAAATTTTTGTTTCTCTCTTTCACTTTTCTTTCGTATTTAGTTAGTTATTTGCTTTTTATTTTGTTTATTTTGTGTTTTTTTGTATTGATTATGTGTTTTTTTGTATTGATTATGTGTTTTTCTTTCGGAACGATAAAGACTTTTCCAGACGTAGAGAGCATTTTATTCACTTAAACTTTATACAAAAAAAGCATATAATCAATTTCGATCGTCCTCGTCAAACTGTTCTGCACCAGGAACTTCTAGGCAGAAAAAAACAAAATATTAACAAATGTGAGTCTCTTTACTCTTGTGTTACCATCATTGACTTGTTCAGTTTCAACGCTCTCCACATGTTTAGCATCTATCAGACAAATAGCTAAAAAATCTTCAACGAAAAAGAAACACGATTCCTACCAGGTACTACATGCATCGGTTGTGCTTCGTCCGGTTCTAAGAGAGAAAGAAAACGAAAGTTTACAAAGCAATTCAAAATCAAATGCATAAGTTTGAGCTTCTATTCACAAACCTTCTGTAATGCTTAATCCTTCGTCTTTAAATTTATGAACTAATTCTTCACAAATTACAAATCTCAAAAACTTCTTTCCTTTTGACAAAATTATAACTCTACCTTCAATTCGATTGGTATCAACAGGTTCATCATTTACATCGGCATAAGGCACGTCTTGTTGAATTGCCGTAACGTTCTTTGCTATCCATCTGTACTGAATTTGAGTTGGTGCTCCCGAATCTTCTTCATCGTTCTAAAACATCTTCATAATCATAACTATCCTTCCATTTTCTGAACATGTATCTTACGATTGTCGTGATGTAGTACTCTCCGTTTTGTTGATAACCATTTTTGAAAACAAATCTACCTTTTCCTTTTGGCTAAAACGAAAGTAGTACGTGTATATTTTGAATTCACTTCCCCAGCACAGAAATTGAAAGCCAACGGGCCATGTTATTCTTTTACAGATGACTCATACGCTCTTTTTTACTCGACATAGATAATAAACAAGAAAATTTATGGTAAATAACTTTGTAATTAAAAATGCGTCTGGTTTTTTTTTCTCTCAAGGAGAAATAGTATTTGTAGGAGAAAATATACATTAGATTATTTAAGTTAAGTTAAGATTGATCGAATATCATCCGACAGGATGTTGATATCAAATGATCGTAGAAAAAACATAATTGAAGACGAAATTATTTATTCAGTTAAGTTAGCATTGATTTATTTATATTGGCGAAGACTTCAAGGGTCGTTTTCAAGGAATATACATACATATATATATATAACAAAAAAAACATGCACCAAAAAGTCAAATGCTCTGACGTTTGATTGACGTAAATTCGTTAACAAACGAATGGAAAGTAATTAGGATCAATTATCATAGAGACAAACTGATTAGGACAAGGCAATATCTGATTCGTAACCTTGAAATGCAAAGTGCTGAGTTAAACTATCACTCGCGGTGTTGAGCGAAGTCTTCCGACTTGACTTACGTAATTTTCATGAAATTTTCCTATATATCTGTATTGAGCAAATTGCATTTCGCCAGGTCCTTGTCGTTTGCCTTCTATCCATGTGCCAATATACTGTGCTTCTGGAACAAAGAACATCTTGCATCTTTACCTTGAGATGAACATGTTCAAAACATACTTGTTGTCGCATATGTATACGTTCCCTTTCCATATCGTTGGTTATTCTTCCATTCACCTTCATAAGTGTCATTATTCGGATATGTATAAGTTCCATGACCTTCACGGATGTTTTCATTCCACTCGCCGTCATATTTCGAACCATCGGGGTAGTGAAACGTGCCTCGTCCGTGACGTTTGTGTTTTTGATATTCACCTGATTCGAAAGGGCAAACAGTTTCAAGAAATGACCAAGGAACTTCAATCTCACCTACATAACGAGCACCATTGGAAAATCGATATGTTCCAGTTCCATGTCTTTTGCCGTTTTCATACTGTCCTTCATAGGTGTCTCCATTCGGTAATATTGCTTTACCGAAACCATGCCGTTCGTCATTCTCGTTTCGATCACCTTCATAGGTCTTTGAATAATGAAGAGAACGAAAAACTTTCAAATAACAATAATATTCAAATACGTACACCTAGATTATCGGATTGTTCTTCTTCACCTAATTCATCTTCTTCGTCAGACATGATTATCTAATTAACTGAACGCACAGGCAAATATTTCCCCGCCATCATTATCACTACGTATCCTAGTAACTGTCGTTGTTACTAAGACATTCAAATGAATGGAGGTAAAGACATAGAAGACAACGCAGGAATGGACGAATCAATCGAGAAAAACATTGTTATTGTTAAATGTCAACGATACATTGATTTGTTTACCTAAGAAAATGAAGTATTTTCATCGCTTTAAGCACTGTAATTCTTCATTTGAAGTACTTCCGTTTAAATTCTTCGGCATGATATTCAAAGCTCATAAGTTACAAACTACACACTTGAGATTTGTCAAAAGGAAGTCGTGTGAATGTGCATTGTTCATGTCAAGTACGTTCTTGTCGTTTTAGATCTAATTATGGAGGAGTATTTTCGTACGGCTTTGAGCAAAGAACTTGCCATGTAAGATTGTGACAAATATTTTGATTCATCGAAGACTTTTCTTGTGTACAGTGCACCGCCGGAACGTGATCATGAACATCTATCGTCGACATCTCGTCTGTTGGAAAAACAACGTGAAGTTAATGAAACAGAAGCGTTATTAGTAAACCAAAAAGAGGTTTGTGCTATTGGAAAGAATTTCTTTGTCTGGAACGATTTGTTTGTAGGAATTCAAACTGAAAATGCAAAGTTTGAAACTTCGTCGTGAAAAACTGAATGAGAAGGAGCACGAACTTCGCGAAAGTTTGGTTAATTTTGAGAAATATATCAATGTGAGTATACTTTGCTGAGAGAGAAAAGGTGATGTGAACGAATGTGTTTCTTCTAGGAACTCGATTCGAAACGAATGCGAGCATTAAAGCGCGCTCAAGATGAACGTGATCTTGCAGCATTGAAACAAAAAGAGGTTGAAAAATTACACGAAGATGTTGCTGAATTGACACGCAAACGTGAAGAATTAGCAGCACGAAATGCGCAATATGCTAAACATAGCACTTATCTGGAAAAAGTAAACCATTTCTATCGAGTTTTGTTAAAATTCTATTTGTTGGGATTGGTAGACGGTGGAAATCGCAGATGAATTTCAAGAAATTCAAGAACTTGTCGATCGGTACACAACGTTGGACATGAATAAAAATGTGCGGAAGAAATTTGGATTTGTTATTGTGATCATTTGATTGAAAAAACGTTTTTAGTCATTACTAGAAATCCAGAATCAACGAGAAGAACAACTTGAAGCAGTGCGTAAGAAGCGCGAAGAATTCCTTCGAGTAATTTATGCAGATTTGAATTGAATGATTCGAAAACTGTGCATCGCTTTCGTTCTAGGAAAAGAATAATCAGAATTTAACACTAAATAACCGTATTGGTGATTTGCAGCACGAACTTGAACGAGCTGAAATAGCTTCACGACGCGCAGAAAACAAATGGAGCTCGATTCAGACTACCGCAGCGGAAAGAACTTTACAAATCGGTAATATCATCCTGTAAGTTGTCTTTTAGTAGAAAAATCTTCTCCATTCCATCGATCTCCATAGTGCCGTACGTAATTTACATCAAATGGTCGCCCGTCAACAAAAACCTGATAAAGAAGAACGAATTGTTGGAGCTGAAAATCCCATCAAACGCGTCCGACAACAATTGGATAAAGTAAGAACTTCCCTCCGTTGAGTTTCATTCGATTTCTCTTCGGCAAATTATAGGTTTCCGCATTTATTCACGATTTCACTGAGATCATCAATGAAATGAATCTTTCCAGTCCCACTCAACCGAAATCTAATTAAATTACTAATCGTCGATCTTATTTCATAACCTAAACTTGAACTTCGTTCATATTCTAAGCAAATATTCAATGTGTTAACAATATTTCTTTTGTAAATGCTTTCACGCATATGATTTTTTTTTAAATGATGCAATATAATCTCTTTGAGTAGACGATGAAGACGTGTGTGTGCGTGTGAAGAGAACGAATGAGCAGAACAATTACATAAATAGGAAAAAAAATAATCTTCAATAAACGCCATTAGATACATACTCATTGTTTCGACATTAGTGCGATTATGTAAGTGATATCATACAAACAAAACAATATTTTCATCACTTATTTAACTCGTCTTCTGGAGATAAAACTGTTGTCCTTTGTGCTGAACAGTACAGGTGATTATTATCTGGTAATTCTTCGAACGAGAGGAGCTTTTAATAAGTGATTGATATCAACAACTATCTTTTTGACACCCTCCCGTTTCTTTTGCGCATCGCACGATTGGTATTGAACAGCCGATAAAGGATCATGCATCCATTTGTGCACACGTCAATCATCATCAATATCATTAGGAGGACATTTTTTTTAGAATTAAATTCATTTACATGATTGTTTTTGGAAACTGTCTGCGGTCTCGTGGATCACCGTATGTTCTCTGAATTACCTAATTAGATGAGTTTAGGTCAATTGTATACATTACTCCACACCTACTCGAATTAGACAGGTCAACTTTATCTCGAGAGAAGAAAAAAGTAATTATAGAGTAATCATGGCAGATGAAAGTGTCGAGTAGGTAGGACAAGAAAGCATTTTGACGGCCTATTGAACAAAGGTGTCAGTGTATATGAATTAGATCACTGCATGCATGATGAAATTGATTCAAACATCGCATGTAGACGTTGATGAACGCGTATCTTGCGTAGAGAATATTATATATACATATATCTGTCTACAATTTATTTTGATAGCTTATTCAGCGATTCTCTTGTCTTCTTTTTCTTCGCGTATCGAAAAAGAAAATTGCTTGTGATCACTTATGAGAAAAGATAATTAGTCGCTTGTAAGAAATAATCATATCTGTTGTTTGATGTTGATGAAAACAAAAAAATACAACTGCTTGTTGTATTCGATAAGGTAAGTTTAGATTTGATTGAGAAGGAAATGAATAACAAGTTGAGTGTTTTTCGTCCTTTAATTGATTATCAGGACACGTACTGTTCGTTAAGTTTGTTTGTATTTGTACAATAGAACATCAAGTCAACTGATTCGAACCTGTCTGCATGACCTTTCTCGGATTAATACTGTCTCATATGTCATCTATTATCATACAGAGTAAGGAGAGAAACTCAAGTACATAAATCTAACAGTGCTAATCACAACGAACAACATCGATCCACCCCCTACTTATTTGAGTTCTTCAAATCGATTAGAATCAATAGAAATAATCAGAAAATCGATGGCATTTTATAGACATCACCTTTTCATCAAGGTCCTTCGAGTAGTGTGTTGTCGTTGTCTGTATATTTGCGAGACAAAGATTCCACTTGTATGTATGTTGTGATACTTTCATACGATTCTACGCGTGTTTTATTCATTATATAAGCGTTTCATGCATTATGTGTGCACCACTGGTGTTACACGATGAAGGCCATTCACTATAACCTTCTTTTATGCTAAATATGTATATATATGTATTTTATATACGTATATCCGGAACTGACGAGACATCTAAGTAAAGTAATTGTTCACGCTTTAAATATCTCGACCTTGAATGTCGACGATTTCTTTTCTCTGCTTATCAAATCAATGTCAGATGAATTTGTTATTGTTAGGAATCATCATAACACTTGGTACGCTTGTTCTTTTTCGTTTTTTATGTATCAATGAACAACAATTCGATCGTATTTTTAAGCACGAGTCAGTGTGCCAGTTCGTTTTTCTCTGCAGCTAGCTAGTGCATTGCCAGTTGTATCTTCTGTTGAGTAGTCGAACATAAAACAGGAAATGCGCAATGCATCGAGTAAGACGTCGGTATAAGTTTTGTCAGGTTAGATCAGTATTATATAATTAAGAAAAAAAAAGCCGAGAAGAGAGAAACGAGTATGCCTTTCTCTTCTGCTCTTTTCTCTTTCTCTTTCTCTTTCTTTTTTTTTGCTTGTCCATAGGTCGACAATCGAGTGTAAGAAGATTGTACCTCTTCTTGATATATGACAGTAAGCAAATACAGATCGATTGATATTCATGGCAAAAAAAGTCTTTACGTATACAAATGAGAATTTCTTCTTCAGATAAAAGATCATGTTTAGTTCCCCAAGACTAATTCGTACGTCGATGGACAAGATGACGGCGACAAAGCGGATTCTCGACGAGAAGTGTCATACCATCGAACAATTACAAACGATTATTGATCAATTGAAGTTTCAGCATGAGAAAAAGGAACACGAACTGATCAAACATATTGGAATACTTTATAACGATTTACATCAGAGTAAAAAGAAAATGGCTCATTTGATAATCAAATACCAGCAACAGAAAAAGGTAGATTGGATTTGTCTAGAAGATAATCGAATCAAACACCTTTCGGCAAGCAGACCAAGTGAAATGATTCCCTATTCTCTTTTTCTGAGCTTCTTAACTATCGAACGTGATTACGTCGTCTTAAGAACTTCTTACGGCATCGATTACGTTTTAATAGACATCATTTATTTTGATAAACTTTATAGTTGACTTCGTTTTTTTTCTTCTTCATAGTTGATTGAAAGTATCCAACCTTTAAAAGAAATTGGCACACAAACCGATGAAATGACCCCAACAGTCATCTGTCCTAATTGTTCTTCCCAACACTCGAAAACGAAACTGATCCGCAAGACATCCGATAAAGTAAGTTGACGATTTTTATCGAGTAATTATCACGTCTTTATCATCATTGATTTCTAGCATCCAAAATATTACACACTTCAATTAAACGATAATCTTGAATACATCTCGGCGACACCACAACCAACACCATCGGATCATTCATTATCGTCGCCTTCTCTTTCGACAACCGATCAATCATCGATAAAACATAATGAGAGTAGTTCAAGTGCATACAACACAGCTGACAGTTTACCAAGTAGTGCATACTCGGACGAAATCGAGTCTCTCGAACGTGTGCTTAGTGCGGCATCGACCATGTACACAACTCATGATAATCTCGAGCATACGATTAAATTACAAGAAGAACTATTTCGACAGCGTCTTCGTCTGCGCGGTGTAGAACTCAATGAAAATGAAGAAGTGACAAGTGAACATTTCTATGATAATATTGATGGCGAAACAAGTGATATTGAGAAAGAGCCTTCGATTGAACAGACACGCGCAGTATTGCCGTGGTATCAGAAGAAACAACAGCGAACGGTAACGTTCAATTTAAACCATGAAGATCATCAACAGAAGATCAAAACTATTCCAAATAAAGTGAAATTTAGTGATCAATGTTATCCGATTAGTAAACGTAAAGCAATTAGATCGTCTTCGAAAACGAATCTCGCCAAGTTATCGAACACAAAAAAGACTCTCGGTCAACATTCGATTTTAAACAATAAGAAATTATTGCTGTCAAACATGTTAACTGTCACCATCACTTAACAAAGTGCATTTCATCGTTCTTCTTTTTCATTTTGTAAAGACAGTTAGGAAGGTTTGGAGTTCAATCGAGTTTCGGACATGTAAATCAGGCTTTTTTTTTCTTCATTTTGACAGGAAAAGAAAAACTATTTAAATATTCTAGTTTAACTCAAAATGTATTTCGTTCAAGCATTCAATGCGCTTTGTTTTTAACTGTCAATCAGTCAAGTTTTGAACGTACACAGAGCGATACAGGACAATACATACACACAGCGTGAATAACTGATGACCATACTGGATGAAAGTGACACGATCAGCGGTGTAACAATGATATCTATACATCGTTGTCAATGAACATACGAAATAAAATTCGATTTTCACTAGGAAAAGGAGATAGACCGTTCGAGAGTGAGATTTTGATCTTCATTAGTGGATATTTATTCACAAGTGGACGTTGTTCACTTCCACTTATACTTGCAATGGGAGAGATTTTTTTAAAAGAATTGATGTTATCGTTGTTCTTTTCTTTTCTTTTCTTTTTCTTCGAGATCAAATGCAATATTGCACAACATGATAAAAGTGTGATATTGCACAATTCACTAAATATCCTGATAAGAAAAGGAAGTTCTGTTTTAGTTAAGTGTACCCTTTTCAATTAGTATTCTTCAATGAAGATAAGTTCGATACAAACATGGCTACATGAAATCTAATATTCTTTTGGTATTTTATTATGACAACAAGCTACACACCTATCGAAATAAACATTGTAATATGAAAATTCGTTTGTTGACAAAAGATTTATTTTCATGAGAAAAGTATCAAATAGAATGGTAATCTCTTGTAGTTAATAAATAACTTCAGAATTATTGATAAGTTGGCATTTGAGACGACAAAATCAAATTTACTCTTGCGACCCCACCTGATCTACTTATAAAAACCGTCGGCGTTTGGTCGCGATTCGAAGTAAAGACCCACGCAAATAATTGATTCCTTGGTATTGAAATTTTCGCTCTCGAAAAATAAATCCGTCAGACGTCAGCATTTATTTTATGCACTTCCATACAGGGTGCTTTCTGTCTCATATCAGATCAGTCTAATGTGCATGATGGTAACCACTCTATGTACGATTTTGGTTGTATTGGTTTTAGTGGATCAATCGACCGGTGAATATACATTTCGATATTCTATTTCAATGTTAGACGTCTGATCACGCATGTTTCATAGGACAGAATTGTCAACAAGAAGGATGTTCACTGGGTCTATGTTGTTCGAAATGGGGATTGTAAGAAGCGTTGTTTAATAGTTTAAAGTCTCTTTTCATTTCATTGAATTATAGCTGTGGCAATTCAGAATTGCACTGCGCTCCTCATACGAATAGCAGTCAAGGAAATGGGTGTCAACCACCATGTGCTTCTGGTCTCTGTTGTTCGAAATGGGGATTGTAAGAAGCGTTGCTTAATATTCTAAAATCTGTTTTTCATTCCATTGGGTTACAGTTGTGGTGATTCAGAATTGCACTGCGCTCCTCATACGGATAGCAGTCAAGGAAATAGATGTCAACCATCGTGTGCTCCTGGCCTTTGTTGTTCGAAATGGGGATTGTTAGTAAATGATTATCGACAAACGTGAATCAAGTTTATATCCGTTGATTTTACTTTGCATTGTAGTTGTGGTGATACACCACTCCATTGTGCTACTCATACCAATCATACACAAGGTGGCTCATGTAATCCACCATGTGCGCCAGGTTTTTGTTGCTCCAGATGGGGATAGTATATACATTGATTTTTATAAAGTTATTTTTCACTTTATATAATTGTAATTTTCAGTTGTGGTGATACACCACTCCATTGTGAGGGCAGTCCATCTCCGGATATTGGCCGATGTCCATGTGCACCAGGTCTCTGTTGTTCAAAATGGGGCTAGTAAGTCATGTTGAAACGTTATAGATATAGTATCATTTTTTCGATTGAAAGCTGTGGCAGTACACCGGAATATTGCGATGGGAAACCAATAGTTGATATTGATGATACATCAATAACTCGTGAACGATTCGATTGTATATTCGACCAGATAGATCCTGCTACTCGTGAGAAACGGTGGCAAGGTAATTCATTTGTTTCAACATCAATTATGGATTCAATTGATTCTTTTACTATAGGTCTACAAGAAGCACTGAACATGGTTCCATTCAGAGCGGAGAATCGCGACGAAGTTATCATGTTTCTTGCGCATGTCTCTCACGAGACTGACGGCTTAAAAACAAACGAAGAATATTGTGGACAATCTGGCGCGTGTGCTGATGATTATCAAGAGTCATGGTGTCCACCGATACAACCCGAACCTGGTAAAAAGTATTACGGTCGTGGATGGTTTCAACTATCATGGCCGTGCAATTATCATGCGATCGGTGAAACGCTCGGCGTTGATCTTTTGAAAAATCCGGAAAAGCTTTCTGAATCTGATACATTAGCAGCTGCCGCCGCTCTTGCTTTTTGGAATGCAAACGATATGGGTCGACCAGCACGTGAAGGTAATTTCGGAGCCACAACACAAATAATCAACGCAATCGAATGTGGTTCAACACCACAGCAAAGTAACCGAATTAAACGTTATCAGAAAGTTCGGAAATGTTTTGGCCTTCCTGAAGCAACTAACAAATTGCGCTGTTAACAAAATTCAAGCTAACCGAAGATTTTCGAATCGTGTTTCATCTCTCTGTATTTTCTTCTTGAATTTCCTGCGTTTAACGAAGGTTTCAGCCATTGATAATAAACTTCAAAGAAGTTTTACATACGGCTCTCCACTCTGAGCGGTGGCATTACAAAAGGATCGCAAATAGGAGAGAAGTATGTTGATGTTTTCACCAAACTGCTCGTAAGTCGAAGAAATATGAAAAAAAAGCATCCGTAGGAGAATTCGAGTACGATCCCTTTACTTCAAATCACATGATTTTCAAAAGAAAGAAGTCAAATTGCAGACTATTGCATCGCTTCATCGTTAATAGCTCTTTGAAATCATTCCAGCAAAAAGAAAAATGTGCACATGCATAAAAACAAACACTGTTTGCATGCTTGAAAGCTTCAAAATCAGCATAAACAAATTCGATTTTGTTATTTTCGAAGTGAGAATAGAAAGAGTGCAAACTCAACATATGGCACTGGCTGTTTAGTAAATATGCCAACGACTATCAATAGAAGCAACAGTAGTATCAGCAATCATCGATCAATCGTCGAGAATCGGAGTGAAAACAAGGAAGGAACCACCATTCTTTGGTTTGATTCCGATCTTTCGTCTCGTAAAGACGCAGAGCATGTCAAAGAACAATTACGACTGATTAATGATTTCGTTTTGTGTTATGCTGATCTCGAACAATGCATCACTTTCATTCAGAGTGCGAGTAAAGAGAAGATATTCCTTATTAGTTCAGGCAAGCAAGCGTCTCAACTGGTCCCACGTGCTGCTCATCTGCATCAAATTGATTCCATCTTCATATTTTGCTTGAGAGTAGATCGATATCAACATCTTACACGAGAATATTCGAAGATCGTTGGGATATACGCTCATCTCGATTCATTGTGCCAATCTATTCAGCAGCAAATCGATCTTCTCGATGAACAACTACAAATATTCAGTTTTTTTGATCAAAGTCAGCAGCTAAGCAAAGATTTATCCAAACGAGCAGCAGAATTTCTCTGGTTCCAAATGCTTAACCAGGTTGTTCTTCGGTTTCCACGAAATCATCAAACAAAAAGACAGATGATCGAAACGTGCCGGCAGTACTATCGCGGAAATATAAAACAACTGAAGACGATCGATGAATTCGAGCGTGATTATCAACCTGAAGATGCGATTCGTTGGTATTCGAAACAATCGTTTGTGAGCAAACTGGTGAAGCAAGCCTTGCGAAGTAAAGATATCGATCAATTGTATCGATTTCGATTCTTCATTAATGATTTGTCCAAAAGTCTCGCTCGTGAGCACGAGCAGTTGTTGTTGTTCAGTGAAGAACGAACGCTGACGATGTATCGTGGAGCGAAGCTAGAGTGTGACGAATTTGATAAACTGAAAGCAAATCAAGGTAGACTGATTTCGACAAACGGATATCTATTAACCAGTCGATCTCGTATTTTGGCATTTTCATTGGCTAAAAAAGCAACGAAACGAACGGATATTGTCGGTGTTGTTTTTGAAGTGAAGTATAGCATAGGACATGTTGGCAAACGGGTGGCATTAGGTGACATTGTCAAATTCAGTGAACATCCTCAAAAGCAAGAAATGCTATTTGATGTCAATACTTCATTTGTCTTGGAATCGATTGTTACAGAAGATGAGATTTATGTTATTCGTATGAATGCATCTGCTGAAGGACAGAAGATCGCAAGAGATTACATCGAACTGATGTCAAACGAAGCGCCAGAAATGAGTACTGAAATAATCTTTGGGCGACTTCTATGCCATATGGGTGAATATGATATTTCACAAAGGTATTTTGAAAGACTATCGAAGGAATCAAATGAGAACGATCTGGCTTGGATCGAATTTCACATAGGTCGAGCACACGATCTAAAAGGCGAATGGTCACAAGCTCAAGAATACTACAAGCGTACCTATGAGCAAATGATGAGTGTAAAACCAGCGCGGGTTCGAGATGCCGCTTACGTACTTAGCAATCTAGGTGGAATAGTTCACGACCAAGAGAACTACGATGAAGCCGTTCAATATTATCAACAAGCATTGCAATTGTATAAGAAATATTGCTCATCAGAATATAAGAACATTGTCCAAACACTCAATATTATCGCGATGATATTTCGAAAGCAAGGAAAGTATGACGATGCTCTTGAACATTTGCATGAAGCATTGAAAATCGAACAAATATGTTACACATCTAGTCATATTGACATGGCCACAACTTTGAACAGTATTGGCGATGTCCTGAAACGACAAAAGAAATTTGATGAAGCGCTCGAGTATTTCAAACGAGCATTGAAAATGCAAGAGAAGTTCTATCCATCGGGCCATACTGATATTGCTCAAACTCTCAACAATATCGGTTGTAGTCAAGGAAATAAACGCAAGTTTGACGAAGCTCTCACCTATCATCAACGAGCTCTAGAAATGCGTGAAAAGTGTTGCCCCGCTGATTATGTCGAAATTGCCGACAGCTTAAACAATGTCGCCTGGATTCTAGATGAACAAGGAGAATATGATGAAGCTATTGATTACTATAAACGGGCGCTGAAAATGCAGGAAACTCATAATTCTACTGGTCATATCCATATCGCTCAAATTCTCAATAATATTGGCACAATTCGTCGTCATCAAAAGAAATACAAAACAGCGCTTCATTATCATCAGCGCGCGTTAGAATTACGAGAAAAGTACAATCCATCCGGATATATCGACATTGCACGCAGTTTAAACAACATTGCTTTCACGCTTGATAGCCAGCGTAAGTACGGCGAAGCTCGCGATTATTATCAACGAGCTTTGATCATGCAAGAAAAAGACTGTCCATCAGGCCATGTTGATATGGCATGGACATGGAATCGAATGGGCGGTACATTTCGTCGGCAGAAAAAGTACACTGAAGCTCTGGATTGTTATCAGCACGCGTTAACTATTCAAGAGAGATTCTATTCAGCAGGACATATTGATATCGCTTGGACATTGTCGAACATCGGTAGTATACATCGAAAGCAAGGCCACTTCGAAGGAGCGCTCGAATACCATCAAAAAGCATTAGAGATAGAAGAGAAACACTATTCACCTAGTCATGTAAATATTGCTCGAAGTTTGAATAATATCGGCCGGATTCTTGATCGGCAAGGCAAACATCACGAGGCTCTTCTTCACCATCAACGTGCGCTGACTATACACGAAAAATGTCATCCATCTGGTCATATCGACACTGCTTGGACTTTGAACAGCATCGGTGATATCTTAAGAAAAGAAGAGAAGTATATTGAATCACTTGAATGTCATCGAAAAGCATTGGCCATACAAGAAAAACATACCTCAACGAAGTATATTGATACCGTTCGAAGTTTGAATGGTATTGGTTGTGCTCTTGGCAATCAAGACAAATTCGACGAGGCCCTTGGCTACCATCAACAAGCATTAGAAATGCAGGAGAAATTCTACCCAACCGGTCATATTGATATGGCTCACACATTGAATAATATCGCTTGGATTTATGATAATCAAGAGAAATACGATGAATCATTCGAATACTATCGACGTGCATTAAAAATTCGCGAAAAATTCCATCCGTCTAGTCATATTGACATTGCTCGCAGTCTGGATAGCATAGCTTTTATTCTTGGCAATCAAGGAAAGCACAGCAAAGCTTCAGACTACTTTCAACGCGCTTTGAAAATCTATGAGAAACTTCATCCTGATGGTCATGTCAATGTTGCTGATAGTCTTAGTAATATCGCTCTTTGTTTTGAAAAAGAAAATCGATTTACAATGGCACTTGACTATTATCAACAAGCACTGTCTATGTATGAAAAATTTCTACCAGTGAACCATTCAAAACGATTGACCATCGAACGCAGCGTTCAGCGAGTAACAGAAAAAACACAACATACAACATAATGTGCTAGTTGTATCCTTCGGTAAATTTGATATGTATGCATTGCGGACTTCTTTTTGAATAAAACGCGGAGTTATTGCCTTTTTATTAGTAAACCGCACTATGATTTACGGTCTACAAAACAATATAAAAATAGTACATTTGTGGATGAAAACATTTAAGCTAATGGGTATATGTGATTGTGATTTAGTGCTCGATCTCAGCATCGATTGAGGTAGAGAGTAGATAGAATATGTGTGAGTTGTTATTGCAACCGTTTCGAGACGCGGGTGTAGATGTCAAGCAATCCCTAAATAGAGAACAATTTACAATTTGAATTTTTAAAATTGTAAATATGGATTATTCACCACTGGCTGAGCGTAAGAGGTCATGCTCGATATATCTTGGAGAAAATCGAATTTTGAGGGTGTTACAGAATCATGAATATGAAAAAGCTTTCGTTTCCATTGAGTATGAATTTACATATCTCGCACATTTATTTTTATTTCAGTTGCTTTATGTACAATAAATAATTACTGATTATTTCGCTCTTTCACCGATCCATATGGATACTTTTGCTATGATTCGACTTATGCTTTCGATATGAAAAAAATAATTATATTTGTCTTCTTGTTCTTTGAATACGGCCGAACTTGAATCCGGATAGGTTTGTGCTGGGAAACAAATTTCAGCTGTTGATAGTTTTTTTAATCGATCCAATAAAATAAAAACACTGTTGACTTCTCTCACGTGACACACCAACTGTTCAATATTTGCAAATATCTCACAGAATCTCGCCATGTCTTCATAGTCCTCAAATGACGAATGGTCATATTTGATCATATCAACTTTTCGAATCCTTTGATAAAAATATTGACATAACTTGGTGTTTTCCGCGACGGATGAGAAATACTCGGGATTCATCGTAATCCATATCAAATTTGGTGCGTGCGGAAATACACTTAACAGCAAATGACAGGTTGAACTTCGTTCATAATTCGAAACATTCACATGTGTTAAACTGTTTAGATTGATGATAGTTTTCAAATCTTCGATTCGCACCGGTATAAGCACGTCCCATCCATCGATAAGTACTTCTAATGTTTCAATCGTGGGAAAATAATAATCACAACGTTTGTGGATCAGTTCATGGCTTAATGTGAGGTTTGTAACACGATCGAAAACATGGTCAAAGTTTCTTCCGGGAAACCGCTGACTTTGTAAATCTAATTTCAATATGGTTGAGGGATAAGGTACTGTATATACAAGTGCAAAGTGTTTGTCTCGGGAATATTCCGTATGCCATTGATGCTCCTTCCACCAAAACTCGCTTTGGAAACGTTCAAGATGAGGTATCTGGTGATGATCGCAGGTAAATTGAAATTTGAAGATTTTTAAATGTTTTAACGATGTTTGAATTAGATCTTCCCATCGACGAGCGTTGATCATGCTATTTCCTCTCGATTTGATCGATAAACTTCGTAAATTTGGAATTTGTTTAGCAAATAATTCGAACTGTTCAAAGTCGTATTTGAATAAATCAATAGTCAAATGTTTTAGATGAATACCTTGCGATTTCTGCGCAGGAATTTCTCTTTCCAATGGATAGTTATACGGTGAAACGAACTGAACATGAAACGATTCCAATCGCGGAAAATAATCGAATAAATGGTTGATTAAATCGTCTACCAAGCAAGCTAAGATGGTCAATTTTCTAATATTGAAAGTGTCCGGCAAGCGCTTTCGAACGGAATGTAACGAAAGAATTGACAATCGTTGTAGTCGATCCATTGGAAGATGTTCCATCAACTCATAATCGTTATCTATATGACGAATCTGTAAAGATAATAGAGATGGTAAACTGGATGTAATTCGTGAGATTTGTCGTCGTTGAACATCGACTAAGCTTAAGAATTGTAGATGAGAGAAGTCTTTTAGAGTGAAATAGGTGAGAAAATGTTGAATTTGTCCCGATGAATGCCTATTTGAAAGATGTAATGAATAAATTTGTTGTTGAATTTCAGGGTTTGATGATAGATGTGTGCAGAATTGGTCGAATAGTTGCTTGGATGTGTTTTGTAAGTTGAGCTGTAATGGAACATGACGAATGAGTTTGGAAAATCGTAGATTTAATCGATCGAATGAGGAAAATAGCTCGAATATATTGAAATATTCAAAACAAAAAATGAGAATTTCATTTGGTAAAAATTCAAATTTCATTGTCATGATTCAACAAAAGAATAAGAAACAAACAGTCTTAAATATGATTCATCGAGGAGTGATGTGCGATTCGTTCGTTCGTATCGTCATCAGTTCGTCCAGTCCAAATGTATAGGTCAGTTGAAAACATTTCCATCGGACCATCCGTAATAACTTCAATGTGCGTTATGCGATACATCACATTGAATTTTATCGCTTCGTCTTTAAACCAATTGAGACTTTCCAACGGAATGACGACGATTTTCAGACTGAATAAATATTTCAATCGATTCAATAGAAGAGAAAGTTGATCTGAATGATTGATTGTGCATGTTAATCGTTGAAGATTTGGGAAAATTCTGCAGAATCGTTCGACATCGTGGCAAATTCGAAAGGAATGATGCGTGATTTTCGAAATATTCAGTCGTCGAATCATTCTTCGAAAGTAATAACAGAGACTTTCATCGTCGAAGAACGTCCATAAAACGTAGAGATCGATTGTTAACGATGATAAATGCGGAGCTTTCGTGAATATTTCAAGTAAAACCGTCGGTTCAACAGATGAATAGAATGATATGTCTAAATGAGTTAAATGATACAAACTCACAGTCGTTTGCAGAGATTTCATATGTGTGAAGTCTAAAATGTGCTGATCTGAATTCACGATCAATGATTCTAACGTCAACGAGCGAATATTCGAGAAAAAGTATGAACAATTGTTCACTGTTGCTTCGCAAGACAATGTCAAATCGGTGACATTATCGAACTCATTGAAATCATTCGAGGAGTATTTCACTGTTGATCGGGTTAATCGATAAGTATTTGAGATATAAGGTATGGTATAAATAACTGCTGCGTTTGTGTCCAAGACATATTCGATGTTCCATTGATGATTTTTGTACCAGATATGGTTTTGGAATTGTTGAAATTTCTCGATGACGTGTTTACGAACTTCACCTTTACAGTAAAGACCAAATATGAACTGAAAGTGTTGTAAACAAGGCAGCAAAGATTGAATTACACGTTGCCAACGTTGGGCATCGATCATACAGAGATTATCCAACGCCGAAATAGCTAATCGTTGAAGATTTGGCATTAGTTTTGCAAAGACTTCGAATTCATCAAACAGACATTCGTAATTATCAATACTCAGGTGTTTTAAACAAACAGCGGGATAAACAATTGAATGATTCTTCGTTTCGAGAAGTGTCGGAGCTCTGTAGATACTTTCAACGTGCAAATATCTCAATAGTGGAATGTATTCAAACAATTGATAATCGAGAGTACAACCGGAAAGTGTTAAATGTGTGATGGTCGACTTCGTCTTGATCGATTTGATGGATGGGACTGCTAATCGGCGTAGATTAGTCAATGGAAGATTCGAAATGATTTCGTTTGGTTCATTTACGAGTTCGATCATTCGGAACGTTTGAAGAGAAGAAATTGATGGAAGAAAAGGCTGGATTTTGTCAATATTTTGCTGTTCAACTTGAACGATTGTTAATGAGCGAAGATGAGGAAATTCGTTGAGGGCAAATCGAGAGAAGAATAAATCAATTTGACCACATGTGATCTTATTCGATAATGTTAATGAATGTATGTGATGTTTAATTGATGGATTCGATTGAATTATCGTGCAAAATCGATCGAAGATATTCTTTTGCACATGTTGAAAGTTCAAACAAATCGGAATAGTTCGTATCAAGTGATAAAATCGAATATTCAACCAATCGAAAGCAAGAAAGATTTCAAAACCATTGAGATATTCGAAAACTTCGACGAAAATCTCATTTGGCAACGATTCAAAGCTTGTCATCGTCGATATGATATTCATCATAACACCCGCACGTCACAAGCTTCGATTTCGATTATCGAATCAAACGTTGATCATCGCCAATGTATTATTGGCTTTTACTGTAAACAATAATCACCTGTACGATATTTTTCGCTCTGTTTATGAGGTTAAGAAACAAACGTAATTTATAATTGCGTTGTTAGAAACATGATAACCATGTTCAGAGGAATATATATGTTTAAAGCAAACGATCGAATAGATAAGATACGTCTGTCGAGGGTTAAAGAATGATTTCATCGGTACACGTTCGAGAAGGAATAGAAATGAAAATGTATAAACAGTTAAAACGAATTATATCGACACTCAGTTACTTCGTTTTCTCGTACGAATAGACGTATATTCAAGTGCAAAGAAATCCATGGCGATTTTATTTCAAGCAGCATGTTTTGCGGTTTTAGTAGGAATGATATCTTGTTGGGTATTTCCAACCGTAGTAGAACGACATGGTCCTATTACTTATGTCCATACATCTATTGAAGAAAGTTCTGGACCGTTCACAATCTTCGACGAAATGAATAAGATTATGTCACGTATGCATGAACGTTTCGAACATATGTTCAACTGGCCATCCGTACCATTCGATTTCTATGATAATGGTGATTATGATACAAGTGTCAATGAAGATCAGTCGCAAGTAATTGAAGATTTGATTAAAAACGAACCATTGGTGCCCGTGGCTATCGACGATTTAACCGAGATTCGCAAGAAATTAGATATGGTACAACCAGTATGTACTACAGTGACAAATACTCCAACAACAATCTCACCACGTAAAAGCCGACGAAAGAAACTTCGTGCAACACAAACAACAACATGTGTTAGAGAATTGATTCATAACGGAGAAAAACATATTTCAGAGGAAATCAATACAACTGATGATAAAGGTGTTGTTATTCAACATGTGAAGAATTACAGTATGATGACATTGAACAAAGATTAAAGCAAAACTGTAATCGATCGATGGAATTAGAAAAGATTTCTAGTTTTGTTTGGTTTTATTCATTAGACGGAAGTTTTATGCGATTTTAATAAAAATAAAAACAAGCATTTGTTTGAATATGGATTCTTGTTAACATAAAACTACGCAGTTACATATAGACGACCTGCATGGTATGATTTAGATAGATGTTAGTTCTATTGACACATCGCCGAAAAAACATTCTTGCATGATCTCTCTTTTCTATTTACGATTCTTTCGGTTTTTATTATATATCGACAAGGGAGTAGCGTTGTGGACGCAACGTCACTGGGAAAAAAAAACAAGAGGAACACTGAGTTTTTACTTTGCGTTGAAAATACGTTCGACGAAGAAACTAAGAAAATTATTTTAGATAAATTATTTTTCGAAACATGAAATATACTACAATATTGGTTTTCCTTTTACTTCTCATGAGCTCCTGTACAAAAGCTGGTCCGGTGGCTTACGGCATGTGTCAGGCTGGGTGTGCATCTGTTGTTGTAGCTTGCTATTCAGCGGCTGGTGCAGTATTTGGTACGGTGACTGGTGGAGTTGGTGCACCACCAGCTTTAATAGCTTGTAACCTTGCATTTGGCAAATGCTCAGCAGTTTGCGCTGCTATAGCTCTGACACCAACACCATAAATGTATTTCAATGTTTCTCCTTATGCTAATTATGCAGAAATAATCTTTTGAAAAAAGATGCTTCCATGGAACTCAAATATTCTTATTCAAACTCCCGAAAAACTTGTAAAAGAACATTTCACTACTTTTGCCCTTTAGTTTTCATAGAAATTGTAATTATTTATCCTTGTATTGTAGATTGCTGACAATATAAACAAACCTGACTTTTGACTTCGTGAGAATATTGTTTATTTTTGAAAAAAATAGATGTAATACCGTTCGGATTGACATATATCCAAATAAACTGATTGAGACACTATAATTTCCTAGTCAATCTCATTTTAATCTTTAGAAAACTATATAGTCCCAACTTCATTGATTAATAAAATAATGCACATTTGTAAGCATGATTCGCCATAGGAGAAAAACGCACGAAAAAATAAAACAGTTGATCACTGCAAGACTATTTTTATCGTCCTGACGCCGAACTACTACGTTTTAACCTTTTTATGTACTTCAAACTACACGAAAGAACTCATTTTGTTTCAGTTGTCAGCGACAAGCTTCTTTCAAAAGTCTTCCTATCTCGATATTTTAACAATTTCAGATAATATTTCTCCTTCTCGCTTTTGTCCAAAATAGTAGACAACGGCTAAGTAAATTGTAAATCAATAAAAAGCGGTGAAATAACATTGCTTTTCAGCCACATTCACTAAATCTGTCAAAGTACAGCGAGAACATCTGAAAACAAAGGCCACAGTTTTTGTTCTATTTCTACCAAAATGGAAGTTGAGTTATTTAAAAGAATGTTTTTAAAAAGACTTATTTTTACCGTTCAAGCTGATTGTGCCCCCCGCTGTTGTTGCTTTTTATACAGTAATCGTAGGAATTGGCACAGCACGAACTATTTTAGCTTGCGATGCAGCATTCAGTCAATGTTCAGCTACTTTACTCCTGGTGCCAACGTCATAAAATATGGTTGAAAAACTAACGTACATTCACTTCAAGATTTTTATTTTCTTATCATAAAAGAATTAAATTATCTAACAATAATAATATATTACTGTACAAAATTGAAAGCAGGCAGTTTGTTTTCATGGATTTAGTGGATGGTCACTACTATCGATTGGAGAATGTTTAGAAATTTTCCAGTAATAATTGAACGCAGTTTATTAGTTTTTCAACAGTGAACATATCACATGTGTTAAAGAAAAAGAGACGAAATAAAAGGCAAATATAATCCAAGCATCGCATACAAGTGTATAAATCAAAACGATCTTCTTCATCAGTTCAGGTTTAAAACCTGACATCATTGTTGTTGTGATCAATACATTTGTTCGATGTTTCATATCCATCATATAATAACGAGACGTCAAGATGCATGTACAAGCTGTAAAGTAAACCAAAAAGAAAAAGTTCGATTGAGATGATATATAGAACGAATACAGAAGATTGACGAGAATTCCCAAGACTAACACGAGAAGATGTTGTTTATCAACGAGAATGGTATCTTTCGTAATCTCAGGCGTAGATTTGGTTTGCGACGATGATGCGAATGTATTCATCATATTTGTTGCCGATGCAATTGTTGAAAATATTGATGACGATGAAGATGATTGTTCTTTGCTGGCCGTCGTTTGTAGAGGAGGCGTAGATCTTAAGCTTTCGTCAGTTCGTTTTAGAAGTTCAGCTGGTGCTTCTTCCGAAACAGGCGCCATTGGTGGTATTTGTACAGCATCTTCGTTTAGAGTCACATCTCGAAGTTTAGCGAGACGTGCTTGGGAATTTGCAAGAATTCGCTGACGACGTTCTTCCGCAGTCGACATCTGAAATAGAAATCAAGAAACTTGCGTAAGAAAATCGTCATTTCTCATTCATGTACGTATGTACAACGGCGAACGATTAGATTGGTCCGTTCATTTTTTCAATGAGAACTTCTCGATAGATGTCTCTGTATAAAATATAGCTGGCATAATTAAAATACTAGAAAATAATTTTGAGAAAATCTAATGATAAGTTTGAGTTTTTTGCTTCGATCAGTTTCATTTTTATATATTCCTTTCTTCTCTTTCCACCAATGAATATGAAGCAATTGATATTTGTTTATTCATTATTCTAGTCGTCCACTCTTTAGGTGGTCAGTCATTCTCAGTTCTCTTCCTTTGTTATTCTCATCGATCAATATTTTATCTAACAACCAACATTTCTTCTATTCAGATCTAAGAAAATGACCACCACACCAGGAACAATTGGTCCTCATAGCCGTAAAAAGGTCTCTTATTACTATGATTTCGATGTTGGTAATTACTATTACGGGTAAGGAAGTTCTTTCTCACAAAATTAATTTTATCTTCTTTTCTACAAACAGACAAGGCCATCCGATGAAACCACATCGTATACGTATGACACATAACTTAATTCTCAACTATGGACTTTACCGTAAGATGGAAGTTTATGTAAGTTGATAGTTCATTTTGGACTTTCCCCAGCGATTCTATTTCGTGGCTATTTAGCGTCCACACAAAGCCATATCGGACGAAATGACTCGCTTTCATAGCGATGAATATGTGAAATTCATTCAAAATATTCGACCGGACAATATTCTTGATTTCAACAAGCAAATGCAACGTTTCAACGTGGGAGAAGATTGTCCTGTCTTCGAAGGTCTCTATGAATTTTGTCAAATATCAGCTGGTGGATCGTTAGCTGGCGCGGTAAAACTCAATCGCAAGTTAACCGATATTGCCATCAATTGGGCAGGTGGTCTTCATCATGCCAAGAAGTCCGAAGCGTCCGGATTTTGTTACATCAATGATATTGTTTTATCTATTCTTGAACTACTCAAGTAGGTTCCATGAAGAAACAAAAACTAACTAATCGAAAATCTGTTCCTGTAGATACCATCAACGTGTGCTCTATATCGATATCGATATTCATCATGGTGATGGAGTGGAAGAAGCCTTTTATACTACCGACCGAGTCATGACGGTTTCATTCCATAAATTTGGAGAATATTTTCCAGGCACCGGGGATCTACGAGTAAGCCGTTGAACCGATCATTTCAGGATCACTCATCTCATACACACACTCTCTCTCAGGATATTGGAGCGGGCCGTGGTAAATATTATGCCGTTAACTTTCCATTACGTGATGGTATTGACGATGATTCGTACGAAACAATATTTAAACCAGTTATCACGAAAGTCATGGAATCGTACCAACCCAATGCTGTTGTACTTCAATGTGGCGCTGATTCACTTACAGGTGATCGTCTTGGTTGTTTTAATTTAACACTGAAAGGTAATTGCCGGAAACAAAGTCAGTCTTTATCCCACCATGATTCTCTTTTCATAGGCCATGGTAAATGTGTCGAATTTATGAAAGGTTACAATTTACCATTGTTACTCGTTGGTGGGGGCGGTTATACAATTCGTAATGTTGCCCGTGCTTGGACGTATGAAACAGCTATTGCACTTAATCAAGAAATTCCCAATGGTAGGTTTCAATTAGTCTCTACCAAACAGCTGAATGTTTGCTTTTAGAATTGCCTTATAATGATTATTTTGAATATTATGGTCCTGATTTTAAACTACACATAAGTCCATCGAATATGCCAAATCAAAATAGTTCGGATTATTTAGATAAAATCAAGTAGAGTGCTAATGAGATTGATGAAATATCTAATCTGACATTCTTTTCGTAGAGTTAAACTTTTCGACAATCTTCGAATGTTGCCACATGTGCCAGGCGTTCAAATGCAACGTAAGTGTCTCGAACAATTGGAGTTTCATGTCCTATTTCGGAATTAACTATAGCTATTCCGGATGATGCAATGGATGTTGATCGAGTTGTCGATGAAGATAAGGACAATGATCCCGATAAAGTACGATACGTTTTGAATATTCAGCTAATCATTGACAGCGTCGCTCTATTCTAGCGCATCTCACAATTACAAAGCGATCGTCGTGTTGCTGATGAGCGTGAATTATCAGACTCTGAAGACGAAGATGGTGACAATCGTCGTGATCAAGCAGATTACAAACAAAATTCTAACAAACGTAAAGCCAGTTCAGATGCCGTTAATGGTACAACTGTTACACAAGTAACCAAAGTCACCGAATCAACTGTTGTCGTGCCATCCACAGGCGATGAGACAACAACTGAAAACGGCTCGTCCAATGAAGTTACTCCATCAGGATCGGAAACGATTATAAGAACAACAACTGAAGAAACAATCAAGACGGTGACGGTTGTAGGTGAAGGCGAACCGTCAGGAACAACAGCGGATGAATCTGCACCAGCAGATGGCATGGATACATCAGAGTAAGTTTCGATGTCAATGCTAACGAACGCTAATCGGTTTTGTTTTGGTTTCTAGAGCGTCCTAATCTGTCCGTGTATGAATGTCACAGCTACATTAAATTCGTGTATCTGTGTAAATTTCGCTTTTCTCGTTGTCTTCTTTTGTCGTTTGTTGAAATATGTTATACTACTTGTAAAGAAACTAAAAAACAACCAAAGAGTCTCTTATTCTTTTTTCTCTCTGTGTGTAGCTGTTCTCCACTGTGGTGTAAATGAAGTTTAACTTTGTCTTCTTTCTTTTCTTCTCTTTGTATTTGCCAAAACATTAAAAAAAAAACAATGTGTGTCGATGTAAGAAGAAAGAAGATATATATTTAAATATTGGAACAAAACGAAGATGTCCTAATTGGCAGTTATAAGGAAGGGAATAGCAATATGCCTAAATAACCGAGATGGAAGAAAACCTTCAGTTCTAAGATTCATAATAGTGAATATCTATTAGATTAAGTATCGTCGTCTACTTTTTTAACGACCGAAAAGGCTATTATCTCTCCGATGTCTCGTACAGAGAATTTATTCTACAAAAACAAAGTATCCAGCAGTTAGGAGCATGATTGACAACAGTAGTTCGTATTGAGAAAAGTCAACGGATGAGCGATTCTGGTTAGCACGGACAAATGAGATATCCGTTCTACGCTGATGTATTAATGTTGAGAGAACATTCCTGTATTCAACACGATCTCTATCGAGCGACAGTACCGAATCTATTGATTTTATGTATATATTGATTGTACTTGCTTATCGCACAAATCTCTGTTGAATCGACGAAATAGGAAACACATCTTCTAATCATGATATATCAGAGTTATGGAACTGAGTATGCCAAACACCCTGTTGAAGTTCGTGATAGATGAGGATTTATTCTATGGAGTTTGTTCATATCTACTCAGAGATACCAACCGTATCATACATCAAAACAAGTTCACCTAATTGATTGAGAATAACACGTGATTGTCAACTTCATGCATATACACTCATTGATCTTGATGATAAAAAAGAGCAAACGAAGAAAAAGTGTACGTTACGGTCGATTAAATCATTAGTTTCATTTCGTACATGCTCGAGACAATATCAAATCCAAATATTTCTATCATGTTAATGCTAACTCTCTTACTATTCGCTATTACAGTTGCTGGACAATCTGAATCAGATACCTCAACTGTTGATTATACCAATTATCAAACGTCATCGACCGATAATTGTACCGGAAGCACATCGATATGCACTGGAGAGTTACCGTTCAACATCACTAATCCACCAGATGTTTGGCTCGATGCCACAGTTGATGTTCCACTGATTGAGTTACGTGTTGATAATATTCAGGCACGTTTAAATCTTGATGCACGTGTAGCGTCATTGGTGAATCTTACAGCAGGTGTTTCTGTGGGTATTTCTTCTGTGCAAATCAAAATTGCAGGTAAATGCATTGCAAACAACTGAAATTCATTGTTTTCTAACTGCGATTTTGTTAGGTGTGCACGCTCAAGTTCAATTAGCTGTAAAATTTGATAAAATCGTTGATATTGTCAATCGAACACTTGAATCAATCGATCTCAATCCTCTTCTTGCACGAACGATCAAAGGTGTTCAAAATACAGTAGACAATCTTCTTTGAGAGCAAAACGTTCTAATGTATTTCGTCTTTTTTTGTTTAACAAGAAATAAATAATCTTCTGTCTCACATTCATATCCATTCATGACGACTTAAATAAATATCTACACTCATTTGCTTCTATTGTTCTATTATTCAAGGTAAAACTACCATTCACAACAAAATATCGTATATATAGGTAGAAGACAATTACTCTCAATCATATTTAAAATATTTACGGATCTGATCATGTCTTCTAAGACGTATCTTTTTTGCACTGTATTGTACTTTATATACACTTCGAGCCTCGTCTTAGCTCAAACAAACAATTCAAGCTGTCCAACAAATCGAAATTCGACATGTACTGCTTTACCATTCAATACAAGCAATCCACCTGATGTTTGGCTTCATGTTCCAGACTTGAGCGTTCAAGAGATCTCCATTGTTGTAGAAGATATCAAAGCACATGTGAGTCTTTCAGCTAATGTTGCTGGTTTGGTTTCATTAAATGCGGGTGTGGATGTATCGATTGATAAAGTGAATTTGACGATTACTGGTAAGGAAATAGATCCCAAACAAAGCAGGAATTGAGATGGGAAACCGTTGTTTGATTAGGTGTTCGCGCCCAAGTTCAACTGGCAGTTTATCTTGATAATGTAGCAACTATTATCACGCGCACAATGGCTTCACTCGATCTGAATCCACTACTTACGTCCGTTATAGATGGTGTTTTTCAAACAGTCAATAATTTCCTAGGTCGTTTAACACAAAACGGTCAACTCATTAATCAAATTATTGATAGTGGTAAGTAAACATCTTCAAAATTCATTTTTGAATGTATACACCGAGTATTTTTATCTCGATCCAGCTGGCAAAATCGTCAATCAAGTTTTGGGTACTGCTGGTGAAGTTCTTTCCTCAGTAGTCGTTGGTGATTACCAACAGAACATGACATTCACCGGTGTTACACAAACTTTAGACAACGGCAATGTAATCAAACAATACAGTTATCCTCCACCAGCTGGTTCATCACAAACCGATAAGATTCTTGTCAATGTACTTACAGATGCATCAGGAAAAGTTCTTAGTGCTACTGTTGTCAATCCTCCAACAATACCGACAACAACTAGTTCGACATTGACCAGCACAAATGCTGCTGCTTCAACAATGACTAGTACGAGGACTGTTTCAACCATGACAACAGCGACTATTACGACAACCAGTTCTACAAGTCCGGCGGTTGGCAACTAGAAAATACTTGGCTTGGATTTTAGTATAAAAAAACATGATGTTCTTTTGTCTTGAAACACTTTCGATCTTTTCAACTTTTGACAATAAAACTTCGATGAAATGGATTATGGCAAAGTATATGAACCTTTTTCTGCCATGTAAATACACAGTTTAGAAACTAATTAGTTGTATTTTGTGTTGACTTGAAGCAATTATGTGCATTTGAGCAAAGTAAATGAAAACATTTCAAGAGAAAGATATCTAGTAGATCAAAAATCACATATTTTCAATCTTGATCCTCGGATTATTCGGTGGACATGAAACAAACTTCCTCGATGTTGTTAAATAACATTATTTACATTCTTCAAGCACCTATAGAGTGTGTATTCTTCACTGTGATAAAGTATTCATCATTTCATATTTTTTTCTTTATTCACTTCTCAACTAAAACCTTTTCTTCATGTAAACCAATGTTGGCGGCAGTGATTACTCTTTTTCCTTCTTTTCTGCACCGATGAAGTGAATTGATTTCTTACAGCGGTAAAGAGTTGTATAAGAAAAAAAAATTGCCAATGCTTTTGACAGAGTATTTTATCTTTCAACGTGGGTAAAAGAATGATGAATTGTGAGTATAGTCGCCGAATTTTTTTTTCGTAACTATTGACTTCCCAACAATAGCGATCTGGACTGTGACAATCAATAATGCAGTAGCAAAGAAAAATCGCTGGTGAAAAGAAGATTTTATTTTCTCATAATTTATTTATAGTTTATACTATCAATTCACGAGCTCTGTAGGAATTATTTTAGCGCGTTTGTCGTGTGTGTGTGTGTGTAGCAGAGTGAGATTCTTTGCGCGATATTAATTACGATAGTTCGAATGAGATGTCAAACTACTCGCGGAATGAACAGAGGTGTAAATTTTGTTTCATATACAGTAGAAGCGCAACATGTGATTTTTTCTGGAGCACTGTGAGTCTTCTCTCCTCTCGTTGACATTACGAACGGAAAAACGGATACATGAAGTGGAAGAGATTGCTGGGCACTTTAGCTAGCATCTTGAATGAGCATGCAGAAAAGAAAATCTTGAAAATTTCTCTCCTTTTCGTTGATGTATGATATTGTCACATTTAAAGCAATTCCATTGGTCGATCTAGATAATTTACATGTTTTAGGTGATGCATAAACTTATTTCCTGTCGTCGCGTATGCATTTGTGCTGCATTCTGTCTTGTATACATTATTCTGATTGCATATGTGAACTTCCGACCGTTCTCGATCGATTTCTTCGAAGAAGATATTACGAGTTTTATCCACTCTGAGTCTATCGCTGATCGTTTAGGCACGACACATTCACATCAAGGATCGATAAACGCAATCATCTGGACTTATGATGGAACAGGTCTGATGAAATATATCCAATGGATTTTAACGAGAAAACTAGGCAATATTAGAATAACACAATTCGATGATCATTTTTGTATTAGGAAACAAGACGTCTTTACTTTCAATTCAACAAATCAATCGTTGATTCAGATTTACATCCTGTCGCTTACCACTGATCTGACGAATCAATCGAGATGTAAAAGGACCGTTGATCGGATAATCAGAGATAATACAACTCACATTTATTTCAAAAGAAAATCGGTAGCAGCTACTGTCGTCTTTCACGAATTAGATAGTCGTAAACCGAGTTCTACTCTGAATATTTCACTTATTGAAACGAAAATACGCAAAACAGTAGATATCAACGAATACTTTTCAAAGCATTTCATCAATAAAACCTCCATTCGATGGAAAATCATCGATTCAGAAGAATTAATTCATGCAGATTTAGTCCAATGTGAAGCATCTTTACTAAACTTCGTATCGTTGTTCAAATTTAACATTGCAGATTCATTACTAGCAAACATAATCGAATATGATTCGCATCGATTTATCGAAGATGCTGTCTGGTGGGACCGATCTGATGTAGCTGAACGTGTTTTAAACATGTCGATTCCACCTCGTCCATCAAATTTGACTTACGCCGATGATTTTTACTATTTGCACGGTAGTCGTTCGTTTATAGAATATTTAATCGATAATCGACAATGTTTTATGCGTGGTACATTCGCTCAATTGCAATCTGAGACACTTCCAAACCGGACGTCAACTGACAACATTAACCGGTGTTCTCTAAATGAATTCGATTGTGCATTTAGTGATATCTATTCTTTTGAAGATCGTGAAAAGTTGTATGTGCAAGCGAATTACGAACCGATCAAGTGCGCTTTTACGATACCGTCGATCTTTGACATCGTTCGAAAACGTTATGCCAGAAATCACACATGTGAAACGATAGTTTTCACTTCGATTATCAAATGTTACGATCCTCTACCGAGAGTAGAGGGTAAAAGTCCGTCGTCTTTCTGTTATGTTGCGATCGTTGATACACAAACGTATAACGCATTGAAACACTATACCTCGTACTATACAACCGCTCATTGGGATTTGATTGATGTCGGTAAAAAGGCGGCATTGTTTGCGTCTCCCGCCAAAACCGTCGAAACATTGAAAACTCTTGGTCAACGGATGTTTCCATTAGCAAAATGGATCGTTTGGATGGATGGCAAAGCACATTTAATAAACATCGCTGATATCTTACGTAAAAGTGGGGTATCGATCTTGTCTGCTCGTCATAGTGAACGTGATCGAACGTCTGCCATTGAAGTTAGATATACAATCGAACGTATTCGCGATCGAGAAGGTTCGGTTTCACTTCGTTTCAATCAAACAGTATCGGATATAAAACGTCAAGAAGCCGAATATCAACGTGATGGATTCTATTCACGTTCGGATGCAATGAATCTTCGAATGTATGATATTGCAATGTTTATGCATCGAAACAATCATCCGTGTAATTTTCGTTATCTATGCGGTTGGCATAATGAAATCAATTACTTTGCATATCGCGGACAACTGTCTGTTTATTATGCAGCTGTTCGAATGAATATCACAGATCATTTCGGAATCATACCGCGAAGCCATTACCATACATACGCCCATATTGGAATTTGTCGAGCAGTATGAGGAGAATCATGATATATATTTATATTTGTTCAGTTAATGAAAAATGAACACATGAAATTGTAAAGTATAAAAAATAAATATACATTGAATTTGACGGAAAAAAGATATCATTCATTCAATCGAGAAAATCGTGTTGATCGGCGACGACCGTGTACCGAGGAAGAGGCATGCCTGAGAAAGCGTTTCGTTTCGCTCGATCGACTTCGGATGGCGGCATAAAGACGCACGGAATGGACGGAATGGGTGCAAAACTATGTTCTCTATTGAAAATTATATTTATAATTGTGAGAAACTATGCAATTGGACTTACGTTGTATATGATCGACTAGACATCATACTTTCTAGATCGCGCGATTTGTCGTCGTATTTGTTAATCAATGTTTGTGGCCGTGGATATCGCTTCTCTATCTCGTATAGACCAACTGTTCGTGGACGTTCATGAGGATTCTTCAATGAAGAAGTCACTTTCGAGTTGGAAATAGTTGCATTACTCCTCGGAGGTGGTAAAGTTAATGGATCTACGTAATATAAGGGTGTTCATATGAACTACTAATAGAATCCTGCTGTTTTACCTGTATTACCAAATAATTCCTCTTCAACAACACTCTTTTTGTTCACTGTTCGATATTTTGATCTTGGTCTAGAGAAAAAATCTTGTTTATGTATTCTTAAGCTTCTTTCTTCTTACTTCCGTGAAAAGTCCGATGCTAATCGAACATTATCAATCGTCGTGAAGAGACCATAGTTCATTGGCGCTCGAAAATAAACTCGGCCTTTCAAAGTACCATCATTATCTCCATGCGGAGTAGTCAAATCAACACCAATCCATAACCCGCGTCGATTAACAACTGGTCCTTTGTAAAGAACTTTTCCAAGCAAGAGTTGATTGTTGTGTAAAACCTCCACACGTTGACCAATCGTGATACTTTCGTATGTCAACATGTTTCGCTAGTCTATCTAGAATAAAATCAAGATTGTCGATACTCTTGGCTAAGAATGTAAGAAAAAAGTTTCATGTCGTTGTTTTTCGACCGAGTAGAGCAAATACGGGAAATTCGATTTTTAATAATTCTGTTTCACCTCCACTTTTCATGGCTTTGGCTAATCTAAACATGAATTTTGTGATAGATTTCGAACATTTTCTTCTCTTACTCTTCACGAAAGTCGATGAGAACATCTCGATCAGGATATTTTCGCATATAGTTCACATATCCTGACCACGATGAAACATAGGCGACAAATCGATCAAGATTCCATTCATATTCGATTTTTACACTTTCATCTCTTGAAGAAAACATTCAAGCAGTGACACTGCTTTCAAATTTGTGATGTCTTACCGAATCTTTTCTTCAAATGGGAGGATGATATCGGCATACCGATTATCGATCTGAGCACGATCTGGTGGAAAATATGGGATCATTTTTTGATAGAACTATTTGAGAAAATGGTGTGTTAACCTTTTGATAATCTTCGCGCAAAACTATTACTCGCTGAATAACGTCATTAAGATGTAAATATTGCTTATTTGCAACTTCTGGTAATGCATAACCATACACAGCTAGAACACCCATAGGTTTTAACGTTCGATGTACTTCTGAATAGAATTGTTTCAAATCGAACCAATGTGCTGCCTGCACATCAAATTCTAGAAAGTATCATTTGGAAGAAGTCGAACGTACTTGTGCTGCAGTGATTAAACAAAGGGATTGCTTTTCATGTGGAATCGCATTATTTGAACTGACTCTATGACAAGCAGAAAAAGAAGTCATTTATCATTCTTGTATTATTTTCTTACTTGTATTCAATATTCAATATTTTATTCTTTGCACGTGCTTCTCTGATTTGATTTTCACTGACATCGTATCCTAACAAAAGTATGTCATTATCACCGACTTGTTTTCAATAAAAGAACAGAATTACCATAGACTTTTTTAAAGTATGGTGATAGAAGTTCAGTACTTTGTCCACTGCCGCAACCAACATCAGCTGCATAATCAAAGGTACCTTTGTACTAATTCCATAGAGAACAGAAATGAGAAGATGATCGCGATAAATCGTACTTTTATGGAGAGAAAATCAACGATTTTTTTCATCAATACTGGCGGATATGAAGGTCGAGTTGCAGCATAACGAGCGGCATGTTGAGCACCTTCGAAAAAACGTTTTGACATTACGATGAAGTGTATCTAAAAGTACATATCGACAGTGACACATCCTAGTTTTATCGTTTCTATTTCAAAAACAAGATCGATCATGCAACGTACAGCTCTATTGGTAACATATTTGACTGACTCAAAACGGGATGTTTGTGGTAGGTAGGCAGTAAGTGAAAAATGGTTGTCACTGAAAACATGAAAAGATGTCACTAGTGTGCTTCGTTGAATTCTATACTATTATAGTGAACGAGTATATAGATTGCTTGATTTATGTATTGTTAATAACAAAAATGAAACAGAAAGTGACGAAAAATGTATAGAGAGGAAAGTCATCGTATTTAGAAGGTTTCGGTCGTTTCGCTAGACGCTTTTTTGGTCACATTTTTCCCGTCGGGATCTTCTTCAGTCTTGACCTCTTCTTTAGTTACTGTTTTTCCATCGGAGTCTTGTTTGGTTTCAGTATCTTTTTTTTGAAATTTCAGTGCGGCGGAATCGTCTTTCTTATCGGCTTGATCATCTTCCTTATGTTCTGATGAATCTATATGAACAAGGAACATTGAAGAAAATCAAATTTGATTATATCGTTATGAAACAAACTTGGACTAGGTCGTGGCTTTGTATCAATAATAACAGGAACCTTTTGAACAGCTTCATCGACTCGATCCAAAAGATCATCGACACTTTGAATATTCTCAATATTCACGTGGATTTGGTCGCCTTCAGGCGAAGACGCGTCATTCGATTGTGGAGACTTATCCGTTGTTTTTACAGTAGTTTCTGATGATGTTGGTGTGCTAGTTGTCTCGACTTTGGTTGATGATGAAGGTGTTTCTTCTTTCTTCGTTGTTGAGGACGACGTTGGTGTTTCTTCTTTTTTTTCCGTGGTCTTCGTTGCTGAGTTTGGAGTTTCTTCCTTCTTCTCGGTAGTCTTCGTTGCTGATGATGGAGTTTCTTCCTTCTTCTCGGTAGTCTTCGTTGCTGATGATGGGGTTTCTTCCTTCTTTTCAGTTGTTTTGGAAGTGGATGTCGGTGTTTCTTCAGTCTTTTCAACTTTTGTTGATGATGGAGTTTCTTCTTTCTTTACTGTAGTTGTTGCATTTTTATCTTTCGAATCACCAACTGATTGGGTACTATTCTTCTTGATTGAAACAGTATTGGATTGACCAGGTGCATCTTCGAGAACAACCTTTCGATGACCTGGTTGATTATTAACTAGACTAAGAAGATCTTCCATATTGCGAACTTCATTGAATTTAACTCGAATTGGTTCATCCTCTGCAGGTTTCTTTTCAGCTCCAGCATCAGCAGGAGCAGCAGCAGTGGGTTTTTCTCCTTGAGTCTTTTTCGTGCCATCATCAACAATTATCTGTGCGCTTTCAATAGCTTGGTCTATTCGTTCGAGTAAGTCATCGACGGTTTGTATACCTACAATGCCACGAAACAGTACAAGAATATTATTGCAAAATCAGTAGAAATTGTATGAATGACGAACCGTCAAAAGAAATGTGAACTTTATCATTTGAGTTGCTTCCAGCGGGAGATTTGTTTGCTACATCAGGACTAGCCGAAGGTGCTGGTTTCTGTTCACTACTGGGTTCACCAGAAAATTTACTAGCACCAGCATTACCAGGTGCATCTAAACCGAAGATTCTGCAAAAGCTGTTATCGTGACAAATAATCGTACCTGAGGATGCAGCTGGAGTGTCGCCCTTCTTCTCGCCAGGAGGTTTTGAATCGCCACCGGATGGTGGTTCCGTTGCTTTACTAGCTGGTTCTAAGAGCAAAATTTGTTTATTTTATGTAAATTCATTGATATGAAAACGTACTTGAAGGCGTAGGTGCACTAGAAGCTGCATCAGTATCACCACCACCACCAGATGGTAATCCTGGTGACTTACTTGGAGGTGGTTCTAAAAAACTTAACTCATAGATCATGTAAAATGATTAGTTCACCTTACTCGATGAAGGGGCAGCATCACCAGCTGCTTTGTCACCTGGTGGCTCTAAAAACAAATGACATACTTATTTGTATTCTGTTTCAGTATGATAATCTTACTGTCTGAAGAAGGTAAACCCGTAGAACTTTTCTTGTCATCTGAATGAGCAAAATCTACCTCCTCTACATAGAAAATATTAGTGGATCTGACTTACCTGAAGAACCCGGTGGTGCAGTTGGATCTTTGTCTTTTTCGTCGTCGGAACTATCTTTATCCGATGATTTGGGTATTTTCGATGATGCTTTTAATTTGGTATCTGATTTCTTATGATCTTTATCTTTTTTCGAATCATCACTATGTGTTAGATGGTGTGCTTTATCCTTGACTTCATCAGTCAGTCCGTGTACTTTGTCTCGAATCGAATGTGCAGCTTTGACAAGAATATTTTCATCTTTTTTCTCTTCGTGCTTGGTTGTCTTTGTTGTTGTTGTCGTCGTCGATTTCTTTTTGTCCGATGGAGGTGAATCTTTCTTCTTATCCATAGTTGTATTTTATCCGTTTGTTCGTTACCTTTCGAATAGTCTGTTCGAAATGAGTCTAAAGATTGATCGATAGGGGCGTCCTTTTATATCGCGAAAATAAACATGATCAAAATATTGCTTACGTGATCGGATATGCTTCATCGATCACATCTACGGTTTAATCGTATTGATCAATCTTTACTCAGAAATACTTCAAGGTTAGACGAGTTTATAGAGAAAATGGACGATGACTAAACGTCACATGTGCGAAGATATCGATGAACGTTGAAAAATATATTGCGGCTAAGGATTTGGAGCTATTTCAGTTTTTTTTTAATTTAAACTTGATATCATTTTTGCATAATGGCTAGTTTACAGTGGCGGATATTAAGACCCTTCAGCACTTGATGTTTAAGATTTGTGCTGCTTTTTTTGAAATACGAGCCAAATCCTCAAACGCAACAGTTGTTCTTCAATTCAACTTATTTCAATTGAAAAGATGATGAGATGTTGTAATAACAAAGCCGAGAGAAAACTTGGAATAAACAAAAGCTGAGTAAACACACGTGGTTTGTTTCAACATTGACTAGCAAAACCCATTGTTACATAGAGTAAAGATAATTTTTGACATGATTTAATTTCATTCGAATATTTGCTGACCTGTGCACTTTATCGATATTGAAAGCAATGTACTATTCATAGTTGAACTCTCTATCAACAACTGGATACAATCAGTCATTGTCATTATGACACATGTTAGATATTTTATACACTACTCATTAGATGATTTTATCATCGACGTAAAAACTACACATTTTTCTCGTGCAAGGCACAGACATCCGACTCCGTTCATGCGTAGTTGTACATATTATTAAAAAAGGCGACAAAAAGTATTAGTGGTCATGTCGGAGTGAGAACGTACACACACAGTCGCGGATGAGGATATGGCTTTTCAGCAATCATGATCAAATTGATCGTTAAAATGAGCGTGCGTACGACTCTCACTTTCGGACCACTAGGAAAGAAAAAGAACCGAAGATATATTTAAGGTGAAATTGACGGTATTGTGCAATATGTTGCCATAATTTGTTTCAACATAAACACATCGAATCTCGATAACAGTTTCTCGAGAGTACGTTTCATTTTTCTATCATGTTGATTGGAATTTCGAATGGTCGATGCGAAACTTTTTTTTGCTAAAAAGCTGATAATACGTGAGTATTACCACCTTTTTGGTGGATATGGCTTTTCAGCATATCATTTTTATTTAGTTGAATTCTTGCTTTTTTGTGAAGTGTTGATTTTGTTTTAGCGTCAAAACAAACACTCACTTTTTCCCAGTGTCATACATATATGTATTGAAATTGAAATGTGGTGTTGCAATGACGCGGAATGTTTTGTCAACTCTGAGTCATAAACAAAGAATCTATTACACACACGTGCCTCTACTGTAAAGAGAACTGAAAACGTATATTTCTAATCAAATGGGTTGTACTCAGTACATATTAATTACATATTTCTCATTAAAATCACCTTTGGAATGATAATAAAAAGCATGATGGTAGTTTACGTCACTTGTTTTTACCATTCTATCTCGAATTTATCATGCAAACGATCAATCTGATTTGCTAATGTGATTATAAAATCAATATATTTAATTATAGATATTCTCTGTGACTTTTTCAACTTGAAGTTCATTTTATGTATCGACTCGATCCTGTCGGTTGTTCTCGACAAATTTCAAAACAATAAAATTCTTTCCCGAGCAAAAAAAAAAGAGAAAAGATTCCTTAAATAAGATTCGAACACCTTCATGTTGGACTCGATGTAAAAGTTAAAGACATCATCTGTTCTGGTTTATTCGTTTGTTTGAAATATAAAAAAATACAGATTTGGTTGGAGCATAAATTAAAAAAAAAGAGACTAGTGCAATACACACAATACATATCTACTGAAGGACTTTGTGAAATGTCGACAAGAAAAATATATTGGTCTGGATTCACCACAAATGAGCTTCGCGCACTTCGGATATGATTTGATTGGCTTTGTGTAATGCCTAAATGTGAACAAAAAAAAAACGCAAGAGTGAAGGCAAGGGAAAGTTTTTGACAGTACTTCAAGCATTTCTTGTGCATCTTTCCGTCGTTGTGCGATGTGACTAGATTCATTAAGTAAATCTTCGTGCTCGTTTGTTGACGTCTTGTACAACAGTGCGACGAGTTCGCTTTGAAGTTGATCTTTTATGAAATTAACAAGGAAGTGCATGATAGCTTTGGGTACACTGTCTTGGATGTTTTTGCGAACGATGAAAAAATACGAACGAATAAGTCGTTCTAAATCAGTATAGAAGAATACTTGAGTTCGATGTTTCAAAGATTTAGAGAGAAATGACTTACCAATTACGTCGCAGTCACGTTGTTCACGTTGTGAAAGTTTTCGAGTGTTGATAGTTGTCTAAAAGGTACGCTCGATTCGTTCTGAAGGTAGATCTCATATATATTTGACTTACTCCATCGCCGAGTGGTGCCATGATGGGAGAACTGTTTACAACATGTGATGAATGTGTTGGTGATTGTATGCCGTTGGCCACTGGTCCATTGCGTTGAGTTAGTACTTGATTCGATGGATTTGATCTACCTAACGTCGTTTCATCAGTCATCTGTAGAGAAGAAAACATTATGACACTCGTTTGCCTTTTTATTCGCTTATACGAACTCGATTATCTTGTTTTGATGCAGTCAGCGTCGTATCTTCTCCAGTTAACGCTTTGTGTATAATTCCAGCTTCGTGAAAATCAGGATGCTTTGTATTAATATATGCTAATTCAATCCCAACAAGATTCTCTACCATGCGATTTGTTTCAGGTAGTCGACGACGCAGTAATTGGGCGACAACATCAACGATCTTTTCATGTAAACGTGGAAAACGAATGAATTCCTGCTAGAAATGAGCAGTGAATGCGATTTTAAATATGAGAACTGATTAGGAAATCGTTACCTGAGCACCACAATGTTGAATGATTCTTTGTAATTCCTCGTGAACCAATTCAACGCAACGTAAACTCGGATCTTCGAGACGTTTTATTTGACGTTTGACTAACAATTCGAAAGATATTTCAGGAACGAAAAGAGCTGGTCTTGAACCCTAAGTAAACAAAATAAATGCCAATTTTTTCTTAGAGAAATATTCTTGAATTGTACATTTGCATTGCGTATAGCCGTTAAAATATCAAATTTCGTTAAATTATCCATTGGATTAATCGATTCGAGAGCACGTGCAAATGTTTCATGAAAAATATAGCAAATTCTTGCTCCGCCACACCTGAACAGTAGACATGCTTACATTAGGCTCAGAAATAATTCACTAATACGAACAATTCTGATACTTCGATGTTTTTCGCAGTACCTTCGATAGTTGCACAATAATTCGAAGCAAATTTTGTGATGATTTGCAACAAAAGTCGCCCCTGAGAGAAATGTTGGTTTCATTTTTTGCTTCATTTATAGGAAAAAAAAATGAGTCCTCTACTTTGTCTTCAATGGGTTCACCGAATGAATTGACTAATGTCTGAAAATGCGAGACCATTTGATTCATTCGAGCTTTCAATGATGGCAAACAATCACGAATATGATGCATGAGTAACTGTCAATGTAAAGAACATGTCTTGCATTTCATCTTCTCAGTCCAAAACTATACTCGATTCAATGTTTTGGCGAGAAATGGTGTACCATTACGATTAGCGATTGATGGATAAGTCTTTTGAAGAAACGCAGATTCATATCGAAGTGCTTCTTCAATTGGCTAGATGAATAGATCAATGAATCAATCGATAATTTATGAAATATCAAGCAAACTTTTTTCTGAAGAATATCTTCCTGGCTACGATTGATTACACCGATAATACCTAGCTTAACAGGAATAATTCGTCCGCATAGTACGTCGTAAGCATCAGTTCCGCGATCCATTAGATCAAGTTTTGTCAACACAGCTAATGTTCGCCGTCCTAAAAGTATCCAATGATACGAGAATTGGATTGTTTTTCTTTCTTAAGCATACCCTCGGGATCCACTTCTTTAGCGAATTTTACTGCCTCGGACGTGGAAAAATCGATATTGGCAGGTGTAATAGCCAGAATAATTGCATTAGGATTTGAAATATAGTGTAGAATAAGGTCTCGAACTTGTTGTTCAATATCAGCTGGTTGGTCTTCCACCGGTATCTAAAAATATTCGTTTGTATTAAAATTGTTTATGGTCGATGGATACCTTTGTGATTCCAGGTAAATCAATGAGTGTCAATGTGACGACTTTCGGTGAGTATATTTTTAAGGTGATTGGTTCTTTGGAAATATTCTAGTGAAACGAAATGAACTGTTGCTGGGTTGTGAGGTGAAGAGTAGGTCAAACTTTTTTCCCGCCAAGTCGCTCAGTTTCAGCTTCGATTTCCTGACGAATTTCGTTGAAATCCGTGTAGATTTTGTCTTTTTGATGTGCAAATAAAGCAAATTCATTCTGATTTGGTACCGGAACTAAATAGAAGAAAGATTTGATGCTTTGAAAAAAAAAGCCATCAAAATCTCGTTCTAACTTCCTAAATGTTGACATCGAATTTCTTTATCTTCAGCAGGCGTATAGACAAGCTGAAGTGTTAATGGTCGACGTGTTACAATACCAATTCCACGCGGTAGAAAATCTCGTCCAACGATATTTTCGATTACTGAACTTTTACCAGCACTCTACAAAGTCCAAAAGATGATGAAATGCTCGGAAGAATATAACACGATGTAACAGACTTGTGAACCAACGACGACAATCTGTGGCAATTGAATAGTTTCCGATCCGACTGTATTGAATACATCTTGAAGTTTATTCAGAATTGGAATAAGAGCATCCATCGATGTTAAACTAGCAAAATAAAATGAAATGAAATGATAATAATAGTAATGAATGAACAAACTACAAATATGTCTCGATTAGAGAATGCTTTTCACCAATCAGATTGCTTCTCTCGTATTTCTAATGGTTATCCCTTAGCAACGAGAAAGAAAGATGAAATCCACATGATTACTTATTGATTCATTCTTTTCTCAAAAAAAGAAGAAAAGATGAACATGCTCAAATCTATTTCATATCTCTTCCTATTAATTCTTCCATCACATATCATTTTCTCTCAATCGAGCACCTATACAGCTTATCAAAGTAGTTTTGCATATGTGACGACATGCGGATCAACTCAATATTATGACATTGCTCTGTTACAATGTTCATCCTGTCCATCGAACGCTACGCAAAAATCAACCGGTAATCATATCTGTCAATGCTAATGATGATTTTAATTGTTTATTTAGATCGAACACAATGCGATTGCATATCGAACTCATATTACTATGTTATTAATCAAGGTGGTGGTTCATTAATATGTTCAGCTTGTCCAACAGGATTGGTACGATCGACTGACGGTTTCGGATGTACTGCGGACAATAGTACTTGCGATACGACGTTAACAACAAGAGTTCCTAGTAAGAAATCTGCTCTGTTTGAACTGCAATCGATAATATGATGTGCTTTAGCCGAGTCGGCGCTTGACGGAACGGCAAACACGGGCAGCTCAACATCAGTTTCAAGTCAAGCACGTCTTGCCCAAGAGACATGCGTAACCTGTGTGGCTGGTACATGGTCTGATCCAGATAATCAACGGTGAGTTCGCCATTCTCATGCATATAAACAGTATGTCTATTTTGTAATTTTTAGATGTACTCCATGTGCCAAAGTTACTCCGCAAACGGGTGTACCATCGGGAACGATCAGTTGTTGTAGTACTAGTGCGATTCAAGTAACTCTCATTTACCAATCTGGATTTTCTGTATACATTTTACTTTGTAATCATTTAGGATGGAATGTGTTTAACATATCTCAGTGGCATTCTTGGTACGACTATCTCACCTACATATCTCAACACATTTGACGTATGTTATTCTTGAATTTTTAATACAAATCATTTCCAAAGAGATCTTTCAGAGTCCAACACTCTCGCTATTTTTCCAACAACATCTCAGTGCAGCAGTATATCTGTGTCGCGTAAGTCGAACTTTCTTTTTGATCACAACGAATATTTTCTTCATTTGCAGATGAATTTAAATTCGACCACGACTCAAACAAACAATCGCACTCTTCTATCGAATGTAACTGCATGCCAAATCTTAGCCAACATAGCCGCCATGCAATTCTACTATCCTGTCACTAACTATGCCTACTACCTCTATCAACAATATATCTGGGGACTGACATCAATTTGGAACGCATCGTTCGCAAGGTAAACGAAGAAAATAAACAAAGACGAAGACTTCTTCTGCCTTTTTTTGTGTATGTAGACCATCGATTCCATTTCTACAATATCCATCAACATACTATCAAGAAGTGAATAGCGCGTCGTACAATTGGATTCCAGTGACATTCGGTCAAAATAATATATTACAAATCAAGCTGGCAAAATACTCTCCTACGGGACAATACCTGGGTCTTTTCGACGCATATGATGCATATTTACTTTTATGCGGTGGAAGTTATACAGATGGAAAACCGTCATTCACATTTGGCACTCATTATAAGAAAATAGTAAGTGAGAAAATTATCGAAATTAGACAGATCATATCATAGAGAAAGTTATTTCAGCGTAGATAAAAGAAAGGTTTGTTCTTTAGTTTTTTCGCTTCGCCCGCTGATTGAGTTCTCGCTTCCAGCTACTGATTTTCTCAATGGGATAGAATGATTACACCTAGAATCATTTTTTCAAAAGCTATTTCCTACTCAAATAATGCATAGTTATTTTCAAATGATCCTTCTAGTGTACTATCCGTGCTGATACATTATGGTCTTCAACTCTGTACGACACGGCATTCTTTGATCCATGTAAATTCTTTGAATCTCCCTATTCTCCAAGAAGATATTTATGACTTTTGATTGATAGATATCGTGTTCACTCAATCGGGCACCTCTCGTCTGTTACCGACGCCAGTTGTGATCAGAAACTATCAAAGTGACAGTAGTACAGCACCGAATATGAATGGTATTTTGAAACTTAACAGTGCTAAAACTTTGATAAATGTTATTGTTGCAGATGATGAATCAACTTGGGTTTATCATCGACGATTCTTTCTCATTGATCGTATCTCTGGCATAACTCAAAATAAAGGTTTGTTGCCTACAAAATCTTCTACTTCTTACTTACATCGAAGTTTATTTCTAGAATTGAGAAACATTCATTATGCGAAATCAATCAGACTTCTCAATACATTGACTAGTGATACAAATTATATCCAACCGCCAGTGATAGTCGTTGAATATGGAGAATTGTCCATATCCGATCTAGGGAAAAATGCCGTTGTTCAGGCAAGAGTGTTCAGATTTACATTTTCGAATGATGTGTTAATCTTTATATATTATTAGATTACATTCGAAACTGAATACCGAATGAATCTCGACGCACATATTCGTAGTATTTGGATCGCTATTGGTGTTCTATGCGGATTAAGTTTAATACTGGCAGTAATCGAAACAATGATTTGGTATTCGCGAGCGGGAAAACAAGTTATCGATTTAGGAGTATGATGAGCTTCATAGAAATATGTTCTCCTATCTGTATTCCTTTCTAGACAATCGGAAAATTCTTTCTCTATGTCATCAATGCTGTTGGTACGATTTTCTTCATCGTTATGGCGGGTGTATCACTTTGGTGGTTGATATTTTACAAAGTAAAGAACTTTTATTCGAATGGGCGAGAATAAATGATCAACTGTTCATAGAGACAAGATGCATTGTATTTGGTTATTCCAACATCGATTCAACAAGCTTCATTCACTGTACTCGTTGTTGTTGCATTTGTATTGAAATCATTGGATATTCTCCAATTGATCATTCGACAAGCCAGTGTTGATATTTTCTTTATCGATTGGGAGAAGCCTAAGTCAGGTAAAACGAAAGTAACATGTTGCAATGTATAGAAAATGTGTTGGTATAGGAAATTTGAATACCGTTTCGGCATGGCGATCGTACTTTGTCGCTAATGAATTCAGTGAAATTCAGACATTCCGTCGAATTAATGTGACACTCCAACTCATCTTTGTTCTACTTTTGTTAAAAGTATAAACCAACTCCTTTTGTTGCTTTAAAGATACAATTCTATCGTTCTATTTCTAGGTAATTAACTTAGAAAATGTAGCCACTATTCAACCCGAAGTTAATCTTTTCCCATCATCTTCTGATTACCAACCAGATTATAATGGCATTCTACGTGTAGGAATCGCTTTCTCCATGTGGTTAGCTGTTGGTAAGTGATATTCGCTTTGCAAGCATTACATCGAATGATTTTTCCCATTTAGCGTTGATTCAATATCTGGTTTATATTCTCTTCTATCAGCGGCGAGTTGAGGATAAAATAATAAACTTTATTGATCTATGTTCGGTATCGAATATCAGTGTTTTCATTCTTATGGATAATCTCTATGGATATTACATTCATGGACGTTCTCCGCATGGTTTGGCAGATGTGAATATGAAAGATATGATGTTGAATTTAAATCGAGAAGATAATCAAATGATCGGCAAACGTGGTTTGCAACCGAATTCCGATGAGCAGATATTTATTGTTCGAGTTGATCGAGCATTTCGATTGCAATACGAGACCCTACTTCAAAGTTATCAAGTAAGAAACATTTTCCATCAGGAATGTCTTACCACTGTCCTTACGATTTAGAATCGAATCTTGTCACGTTTGACAAAAAAAGGCGAAGAACACGAATCCGAAATTCTCTTGGCATCTTACCGAAATTTAAATGAATTTCTTTGTGCCTTTATGAGCCAGTCCTTACCAATATATAGTTACACTGTTCGACACCGATATTTCCTAGAGAAAATTCTGAATATCGAATTCGGATTACGCACAACACCCGATGCGAATGGATATACTGAAAGTACATTCTTTATCGGTAAGTGATATAATTCATCGAAAGATTTTAGTCTTGTTGATTTTGTCTTCAAAAGATGTGGATCGAAATTTCACGAAAATATTATTCTGTGGCTATGAAAACTCTTTGTTCATATGGAATACAGCAACATTTCTTTTCATTGATTACTTCGCATCGAATTACGTTCTAGCAGCGATCATTACATATTTATTGAACCTAGTAAGAGGAACTGAATAGTAACGGCGAGAAAATATCAACTGTTTTCGTTTTGTTTAGATTGCCGAAAAATTACGTGTATCATTAGGTCAAAGAAATCTATCGAAGAAAACATTAATTCCAAAGAATTTTCTCATTTGAATGTTTTCCTAACGACATTGTGACATTTCTTTTTTATTGAATAAAACGATATTTCTCCTTATTGATGATTTAAAAACTTCACTAATAGCATTCAAATGAATCACATTGACTTGTTCTTTTATTAAACATTTCAACATGCTATTTCCCAGCAACAAAAAATCTATAGGTGGTAGCTGTAAGACGATCCATTTGTCAATTTGATTAATAGTGACTCATGTATCCAAAAGCAAACATTTCTTCCATTTGCATACACGATCAATCGTTCAACGATAAAATATTTATTAAGCGTTCCTCTCGCTTAGTTCTCATTTACTCGACAACATCCATCAAATGATTAAATGACTGACATGTTTAAAAATTGACTACATTGTCAAAGTCATTAGGCATTTTCGTAGTCAGGAGTTACTATCATTACTATCATAAAGTTGATTGCACAGGAAAGGAAAAGAAGAGAATGTCTGTCCGTAAGAGCTCTTATCGATCATGTGTATTTAGTACTTCTCTTGTCAGGTATGCATATAGGTTTCTCTTTCTTTCTTTTCTTTTGCACGTTCCTTCAATTTCTAATCAACTTGTCCTTTTCTTTTAGAATTTCATGGATATTAGTGCTCAAAAAACGAACACCTATATTGCTCTAGGAATCCTCGCAGGTTTGGGTGTTCTAATCGCGTTAGTGCAAACTTGGAAATGGTTTCTAAGATCAGGAAGAGAAATTACTGACATATCTGTAAGAAAACGCCTTACAAAGTTGCAATAATCAACTTTTCTTCTTGTAGACTATCAGCAAATTTGTTTTCTACATTTTTGGTTCCGTTGGTTCTGCAATATTACTCGTGACTGCTGGTGTTTCGATATATTTGTTGTTTTATAAAGTAAAACTTTCCTGTCGAATTACTTCTAAACAAAGAGATTATTTTCAGAGCGAATATGAGAAAAACTTTTCCGGAGAAGACTTTGTTTCGTTCGAAAGTTTACTTAAGATCTTTCTCGTTGTCTCATTTATATTTAAAACATTGGATATTATTCATCTGATCTTTCGACAAGCACGCATCGATATATTTTTCATGGACTGGGAAAAATCCAAAACAGGTCTATTGGCGCAAAGATGAAACGTTCAACTGATTACTCGATTGATTTAGGAATTTCGAATAATGTCGCAGTTTGGCGAACGTATTTTGTTGCGAACGAATTCAATGAAATTCAAACATCTCGTCGGATAAATGTGACATTTCAAATGTTCTTCGTGTTATTCTTTCTCAAAGTAAAATCTTTCATGTAAAAAAACTTAATTCTACTAGAAAAGTTGTCCTTTAGGTAATTCAACTAGAAAATATTTCCTGTGCTCAAAGTGGCTATATCCTATTCCAATCGGCTGCTAATTGTACGGAATATAATCAGAGTTTTCGTACTGGAATAGGCTTCGTCACATTATTAGGCACCGGTATGTTTCCATCTTGTACATTCATCTATAACGGTTCTTCTAGCGATTGTGCAATATCTTGCGTATGTGTTATTTTATCAACGGCTCATTGCTGATCGAATCGTGAACTTCATTGATTTGTGTTCAGTTTCGAATATTAGCGTGTTTATTCTCGATGAAAATCAACATGGTTACTACATTCATGGACGGTCACCGCATGGAGCGACCAATGTGAATATCAAAGAGATATTGATGAATTTATATCGGGAAGAAAATCAAATGATTGGAACACGTGGTTTGCAAGCGAATTCGAATGAACAAGTGTTTATCATGAAAATGAATCGAAACTTTCGAAAACAATACGATATGTTGTTTCGTAATTACAATGTAAGTATCCGCTTACTTTTAGAACTGGTTCCTTATCGAATTCGCTTTTAGAATTATGTCGGTCCTCGAAAAAGTCGTGAAGATACGGAACGTTACACAGACATGTTACTTCAATCGTATCAAAATCTCAACGGTTTCCTTTGCGCATTCATTGATCATTCAATAGCTTCGCATAAGTATTTCGTTCGCAATCGATACTTTGTCGAAAGAATTTTCGATTATGAATTTCAAACACAAGCTCATATCCAATCTGACAATACCGTGGACAATTTCCTATATATCGGTAAGCATGAAACATATTTCTCAGCTCTTCGTGATTTCTTTCCACAAAGACAATGAAAGATCATTTACAAAGATCTTCTTCTACGGCGAAGAACGATCACTCTTCCTCTGGAATGCAGCTACATTTCTTCTCGTTGATGCAATCGCACAAAATTATGTCTTAGCTGCTGCTATCACCTACACTCTAAACGCAGTAAGAATCTCACTTGGAGACATATTAAATTTCTTTCTATTGAACACGTAGATATTCGTGTCAATACGTGATTCATTTGGCCGAAGGAATTTATCACGGAAAACCTTGATTCCAAGAAATTTTTTGATATAACATTGATTGTCACGGTATTCGAAATCGTGCAAATAAAATATCATCTATTATTTAGGTAATAACATCTTCTTTTTGTCCGAGAAACTTCACAGTTAAGAACGAATTAATTACATGAATGAGTCTTTTCAAATGTTGACATTGTACAGCGATGTGAATTCGATTTTCGTCGTCATCGAAAATCGAATGTCGGTTAAATTGAAAATAGATTTCATCTCGACCATTATCGGAACTGGCATGAAGTTGTTCGAATGAATATGTCCATAGTAAACTATTCGTTTGATTATTATACATTTCGAATCCTTTGTTGACATCAATGATCAATCGGCAGATTTGCCCATGGAAGTGACAACCAAATGTTCGATTTTGTGTCGAGTAAACTGATATATAAAGCGATCGTTGATAATTTAAGATAAAATCATCGTATTCGATTTTACGTTCAAAATTTAAATATCGACATTCGATTTTCGTGTCATTAAGTAATGTCAATGTGAAACAATAGCGACGATCGTCGAGACAATCTTTAATTGACACAGTTTCAATAAAAACTTCAATGAGTGGATAGACTCGCGTACAGCAAATGAAATCATATGTGCGTAAAGGTGGAGATTGGTTCTCGTCAAAGATATGTAGGTCACTGCCTTTGAACACGAGAAATATCGCTTTCCATTGTGGAAGAAGATTTTCATGTGGGTTAATATCTCGTTCATGAATCCAGGTTGTATAGAAGATCTGTTCGTTGGATAATAGTGTTTGGTTCATTTCAGATAGAATACGTGTGGTTAGATTACGTATAACCATATTGATACGAGAAATCCACATGTTCTGTTGAAGAAAGGTATTCGCAATAAGAATCCCAGTTTGAGACCCATTGAGAGCATGTACTTGAAACGAATTAGTGCGTAATTTGTCTGTACCATTTAAATATTGAGTTACGTATGCATAGAGAAGAGAATATTCTTGAGTTTTCGCATAGCCGAACTCATAATTACCAATCTTCTACAAATATAGAACTTGTATGAGACGAGTAAATGTAGTTTGAACCTTACTTTTGATTTTGATTGATCAGGTAATAATAAGGACCATCGCTGTCGGTTCGTGTCATCTCGATATTCCAGTGGATATTCTGCTGACAGGCGTTTCTGTTCTTGAGTATCTCGAATTAAATATCGTCTTGGTAATGTTAAACTACTATGTAGGACAGATGGACGAGATTTTTCTGTCGTTAAATGTAAATATGTAGCCATTTCTTTCATATATTTCACTGTTAAAGTCACTTGTCCACCAGGTGTATCATGCAATTGATTGATAACTTGATCGTGAGTTGAATTAGTGATATCTTCATCATTGATACTCAGAATTGCATCGCCAATATTTAGTAGATCCGCACTACCATCAAGAACACGCGAAATGAGAATTGGAAAACCTAAGAAAATAGAAAAGCATTGCTACACGAACAATTTGCGTAAGAAATATTCTTTCGATTTACCAGTATCCGATCCACCTTTGATCCAAAACCCAAGTGAACGTGTAACTGGATGTCGCGAAATTGTCACTGTTCGTATTGTCGTTGTTTGAACATCTTGCTTATTCAATGGTAACTTCGGAATCGTCGCTACAGGTTGAATAATCAATGATTCTGACGTTAATTGAAGTAGAACAGAATGTGGTTTAGAATATCCATCGCTCAATGTAATTTGTTCTTCGAAGAGTATTTCGACCGGATAAGTATGCTGCTGATCATCCATTAATATTTTCGTCTGTGGCGATAGAGCATATCTAATTATTCGACGTGGTAACATGCGGTGTGTTTTGCCTGCATGTATGTATCTTCGATGAAGAAGATAATGATGTTTGACTAAACAAAAAACGATATATCATCAATATTGGAGATTGTTCATATCATCGTATCTAAAAAATTGAAGTATGACGTTGATAGAAGCTATCATCAAGTTCACACGTCCTTCGACTTCATCATTAGTAAGAACGTAGTCGTTGTTTCCTTTTTCTAGTCTATCATTCATTGCAAGTCGAACGTAATACAATGGAAAAGGGAATTTCGTCGGAAAGGGAAAGAAAGTACAACAGAATGTCGATAAAATCATTGCTGTAAGGTTTTTCAATGAACGTCTCCGAATAGAGAAGAATAACCAATCTAATTGACGATACTTATCAGTCTCGTGCATTGCTGATCAGCGATTGCATTCAAGCACTTGGAACAAATGCCTTCAGACATCATTGTTCTGTGGACTGAGAAGCTTGTCTTTTCTAGCCAACAAGCATAAAACGACAATCTTGTTGCTCGCTCGTCTTTTTCTTTCCTTATTACTATTCAAGTCAATGGTGAAAATGAAATTACTTATTAGATATATAGATCTATGCTTGCATGATCTTCAATATATGTGATCACGAGAAGGAAATTTTGACATCCGGTGGAACAAAGAAGACGGATGGTGTTTGTTGAAAGGGCAAAGTCATTAAAATAGATTTTACAATCAAGGTTGATGCAGAAAAAGACATTTAGTTTTTCTATTTGTATAACTTAACACAAAAAAAAAACACATGAAAAAAAAGTGAAACGCAAGCAGAGAATATATACAAATATTTTCACAGGTGATCGAAAGCAGAGTGAAGGACCGGTTCAAAATTGAATAATCTTCTTCAATTCTTGCTCAGCGTTATCAAAAGTATTCTCTTTTTCGCCATGAATCTCATCAACGACCGATATCGATCGTCGATAAGTCTTATTCAAATGACGATCGATAAATTCACGTTTTATCAATCGAACGAGCTGATAGAATGTCGGCCGTTGCTTCTCATCCCATTTCCAACAAAGAAGCATTATTTGATACATAGACAATGGACAGCCTACTGGTCGACTAAGACGAGATCCATGCTTTAACGAATAATATACTTCACTACCGCTCATATCTCCTGAAAATAAATGTAAGATTGACAAATTAGAATAAATATTCAATGATTCTAACCATATGGATTCGCAGCGTAGGAAAACATTTCCCACATAGTCACACCAAATGACCAAACGTCCGATTTCGAGGTAAATCGTCCTACGCTTATCGCTTCTGGTGAGTACCATTTCACTGGAATTTTACTATCCGATTTCTGTACATAGATATCCGTATCAATACATCTCGATAGGCCGAAATCACTAGAATTGATCGTATAAGTTTATTTTTCATCTCGATGTCGACGATTACCTTATTTTAGCTTGATCAATTGATTGTAGAAGAATATTTCTAGCGGCTAGATCGCGATGTACAATTCCTTTGTGTTCCATATATTTCATCCCATCTGCGATCTGCGAGGCCCATAACTTTAGTCGATATTCACTAACGCGTAACTTATGCTTCCAGAGATAATCCGCCATTGATCCAAGAAGTAACAGTTCTAGAATCATCATCATGGCATTATTGTTTGAATCGACGATGCCATACAGTTTACAGATACAATGATGATCTAGTCGAGACATATGTTCCGCTTCACGGAGAAAGTCTTGTTTAGCCGAATAGGTATAATCTTTGAGAACTTTGATCGCAACCGGTAGAGCCAGTGAATTTTCTTGATAGAGACCTTCGTAAACTTCACCGAATTCTCCTTCGCCTAATTTAGCAACCTGTTGAATTTGATCAGGTAAGATATGTTTCAATTTAGATGAGTTTTGTTTTTCGAATTTCCCGACCGATGTGGCTAATCGTTTGATTTTTGCTTCTTTAGAAAGATCTGATATGTATGCTAGAGGTTGATCACCTACAGTCTTTCGGCGATCACGGAGAGAGTTCTCCTTAGGGACAAGCAATATCGCCGGTTTGCTTGGACTGTTACTTGCAAGTGATGCATTCGATGATGATGTTGATAGAGGACTTTCTTGAGTCGATGAAACACACGAACGAGAAGACGAGGAATTGAGAGAGGTTATCGAACTACTTAGAGAATTGACACATTTCGATCGAGGGATTATTTTAGTTGCCTCCACACTTGTTTGACGACTAACAGTTGGTTTTATTGGTATTGACGTTCCTAGAAGGAGTCGATACGTAAAGAAAAAAGAATGGTATTTAGAAGATCGATATACCTGGTGCTTTATAATTGGTTTGAGATTTTGTGAATGATTGTACACGGCTCGGAACAATCTCTTTGGCTTGATTTACTGAGCAAGTTAGTACCGTCGGTAACCCATCAGGTATTCGACAGTAATGATCAATTAGATGTTCCAGTGATTCAAAATACGGTCCATCATCAATATAGAAACTCTTTTCATTCTGACAAATGATTTCAAAATTGTAAAATTCTTTTTCATAGTAAAGTGTCAAAGCATAATTCTTCAAGTTTTGTGAACTGTAACGAACGACGAACAAACCATTGGAAGAGTCCGTGTTAACTGACTCAATTAATTTTTTGGCGGCAAAACGTTCAAAATACAATTGATCGTGGAACCAATCCGATCGAGATGATTTGGCTGGTGGAGTGTTGTATTGACGTAAGAGGGCAATCGAGCCAGTGCATTGACCTTCTTCAGCTATTTGCAAAGGAGTTTTACCTTGATCGGTCCGCGGACGTAATGGTGCACCACAATCGAGTAAAACTTGAATACAATCAACTGAATCGTGAAATGCGGCTTCATGTAATGGTACCCAAGAGTTTTTATAATTACGTTCTTCATAATCTGCTAGACCTTCTTTGATTAAGAGCAATAATGTTGACGAACGATTACCTGCTGCTGCCTAAAGAAGATTTTGTTTTGTTTTCAATTGAAAGTTTGAAGATCTATTTACTCGATGTAAAGCGGTCGCACCATTTGCATCGCGAACAAGAACACTGCATTGAGCATTGATTAACAATCGAACGATATCATCATAGCCGAGATAGCTCGCTTCGTGAAGTGCGGTTGAACCGTAAGAATCTTTCCCATTAACATCAGGTTGATGATTGACATATTCCGACGAAAGAATTCTTCTTACGACATCCAGATTACCTTCTTTACAGGCTCGATGAAGAACATTCGTTGTGCCCATACAACGGACAGCAAGCGGAGGTGGTTGACCTTGAATGAATTCATTGGCAAGTGTACAAACAAGTCCATCAGCACGTTGTTGATAATAATATACTAAATTATCTAGTCCAGCAATTTGTGGTCCAGAATCTAGTGAAGAACAGAAAAGCGAAGAAGGATATAATACTTGAAAATGATGTCATGCAATACCGATTGAAAAAAAGACGTCATAAATCAGTTGTATTTTGTAATGATAACATCGGTTAGTAGAAATCAATGATAAACTGAAATCTTTTGACGAAGTTGTACAATTTCGTATTAGAAATAAGCCATCGGAATTCGATTTCGAATAGTTTGTTTTTAGTAATTGTTCAGCTTTCTCTCGATCGATATTTGGATGGTAATAGGATATGAAATGTGATTGAGTTACTAATTGCTCGTGATCCCGTGTAAGTAACTGAGTAAGGGAATGAGTTCTTAAAAGACTGGACAGGGACTGACGCATCGAATCATACGATAACGAGTTCATTATTCAGGTTATTCGAGGCATTGACAAAGAATGGTTATTTTCTAAAAGAGAAAGAGTATGTCTGGTCACGATTGTTCTTCTCTCGATCCGAACGATAAAAAACACAATCGGTCGTATGTCCTGACGCGAGACAGACACTTGTGTATAGATATGACTTAATTGATTGAACTATCGACAGTGACTAAACATAAGACGCAAGGAAAAAAAACAAAGATTTAATCAAACGTTCTTACAAAACAGTTCTTTTTTTCTCTCTTCACATTTTCTCTTTTACTGTCAATTTATGAGTTCGAATTACGCATACTTTCGTTCTCCTTTCTTTTTATGATGTTTTATCTTCAAGACTTTTACAATCCTTTTCTTTAACTAATAATAACGATAAGACATCGAGATTGTTCAAAACGCGAGAAAATACTCGTTCCTTCCACTCACTTATCTCAGCACATTGCCGTCAACGTATCAACAAAGTAACCAAAATGAGTTGATTTTGTCCAACTATATCTCTTTTTTTCTTAGAGAATAGGTACTCAAGTTACTTTAACAAGCGTATATATCAAAGCGGTAAACATATCCACACCATCTTGCTCATGTTATTCAAAGCCACGAGAGAAGGACAATGAATGTTGTCATTTGTTTTATCGTCTAACTTTCGAGCAGTAGTAGATAATGCAAGAGAATCTTTATCGTCGTCGTCGTCGTTGTAATAAAATAATCAATTGTAACGAAACAACAGAAAGAGGGAGGAGATTCTTTTACTTTTCTTCAGGTTTTATACCTTCTATCTAACATGTTTGTGCTTGTCTATATTGTCAATATACATAGCTCTTTTAAATCTGATATGAAACGAATATGCAGAGAAGTAAACGGACAACTTGTCACAATTGTCGTATACTTACATGGAAGAAAAATAAACTGAATTTGATCAGAAGAGTTTCATTTCTTTTCAAGATCAGATCGAATATTTTTTTTTGTTAACGATGACAACAATAATAAGAGAAAACTTACATATGAATATGAACACAACTTCATGTTACATATTTGACTACTAGCGATTATATCATCGACTGGCGAACACTTGTTGACGGATTCTCCGTTGACATTGAATACTCTAAACGAGAGACAAGCGAACCCTTGACTTCATCTCAAAGATTAATCCGTCAATCAGAAGTTTTTGTAAAAAGCCTGTCAGACGTTTGGACAAACGAGTAATCTAAATGATTTGTATACATTCAATATGATTTCACATGTATGTGCTCGTTATTTTTGTTACTTTATTGTTGTGTATAGAATATTAAGAAGAGACCATTAACGAAAGATGTCCATGGAAGCATATAAAAAAGAAAATCTTGATTTTGTTTTTTACGTACAAGGTGACGGTGCTTTTGTTGCATATCAAAATACGATTAAGATAAGAACAGAGATAATATCGAGGAAAATATGAAGTCTATACTTGAATAAATTTCACATGAAATTACGAAATTCATTTGAAAGATGTTTTCTTCAAGAACTTGGATATCAAAAGAATATTTTGAACAAAGAGGAATCCGTACATGTTTGATTCCAGTACAACAATATTTGTTCTAGTTTGATGATCGCAATGTTCTCATGCTGGAGTAGTCGAGACTCTTATGTAAAACTGTTCGATCGGTAACTTCTGTGTATTCAATGTTACTCGTACAACAAAAGAATTCATAATTCACAATGAAATGCTCATTTTTTATCTGTGTTTTTCTTCTTCGTTTGACATGTTCACTTTCATGATGTGTACATTGAAAACAAGAGAGATGAATGAACAAATTTTTCTTTTCTTTTTTCTTCTGTTCTCTTCGTTTGCTCGCCGATGGACGGCGCGTTCTTATTGTGTTCTTTAGATCAATACAAAAACACACTCTATTAGATAGACAGTGAAGGTCAATGCGCACGCGTACACACATACAAATGAGAAAGAATGTATGTTGGTCAGTTTTGATCGATGCCCGCGCTTACATTCTCCTCATTTTCATACGAAGGCCATCGATGAATTTAGTCGCTATTTTTTCGTCGTCAAAGGAGATGAACAGTTTCACGATCGGTTCTAGTCTTTAATTTCTAATCTCATTATATAGAAAAGAAAGATTCAACATAATTAAAAGATTAACGTTTATGTAATTGATCGCAACTTATAATTATTCATTTACGTTTTTAGTTCTGGAATTGTATGATTACGGTTGGAAAAGTATAATTACTAATGCCGACGAATATCATCCTAGTAAGTCTTTTCCCTTTGTCTCTCATTTTTCTCTCTCTCTCGCGCTCCCTCTCTCTCTCTCTGAAGAAGAAGAAGAAGAAAGATCGTGAGAGAGAAAATGATGCTGCCATTGAAATAGGTTGCTTTTTTTTGGAACAAGCCTTTTGAATTCTTCTTGGTTATAATCAAAGATTCCAATTTTTAGCCGAGTGCAAACGACTTGACACTTGATCTTTCCATCAAATCATCATCGAAAGGAGCGATGACAACAACGGAAAAGTCTTCGTCGATATTGACAACTTCAGATCTTATCGACAGCGGTGGTGGTAATAACTCAAATGACACGGATGAAGTGAAGATTTTCGAATGTGAAAAACATGAAGATGTGGAAACGAACGATGACGACAATAGTGACCGACTTTCACCCGTCATCAAAGAAGACGACGTAAGAAATTCCACTTCTAAAATGTCTTTATTATTCACACTATACTCTAGTCGTCACCTCACCAGTCTTCATCAATAAATCTGACTGGTACGCACAATACTCTTTTGATAATGCATTGTCATCAGTTCATCTCTTTCGATTTCAGATCGGCTGAACAGTGAACAGCAACTTCATAGCTTTTTCCCGTATTTTATCTCGCCTTACTATCACGGCAATAATCCCATGCAGAATTTTGTAAGTTATCGCTTGCCTATTTCTCATTAACATTTACGTCGTTGTGAGATAAGACAAAGATTCGAAGGTAATTTGTTATTGTTCGAAGACAATCTGATAAAAATCTCTTCCTCGTATCAAAGGTTATTTATTGACAAAGTAATCAGGTGAATGTTTTTAATAGATCCGTTTTGAGTATTTAAAGCGAAGCATAAAAGCTCATCACGCACGAATGAATAAACATGCATATCATCTGCATTCGAATTCTCTAGGAGAAGATGCCTTCGTTGGAATCATTATCGAAATTCATGTCACCTCCACCACCGGCACATATGGCGACTTCGAATCTGAATGTTGAACAATCTATAGGTAAGCGAGTTGATTTATTATTCTCTCTGATTGTTAAATGTGAAGATGAAGTTACTCGCGTATTCAAACTTTTCACGTAGAAAGAGTCTAATCATTTATTCTGAGTTGTTCATGACATTATGCTTTAAAACAAACGATTCATCTTCACATCGAACTTAACTCTCGTTCGTCCGTCGGGAAATAGGAAATACATTTAGTACTTCATTAAATCAGTCTTTCTTTCTTTTGATATCTACTTCAGTGAGAGAAAGAAGACGATCGATCGATTTGATGAATAGGTGGGTTTCAAGATGCGAACAAGCGGAATTAGTCATGCAATGCTAATCGACATATATGTCGTTAGTTGACGGTTAACAAAGTGGAAAATGATCTTGTTAACGAGATCCAAGACAATGAGTGAGAACAAAAAAGAATGGAATATGAGAGCGAGAGAATATGTCCGATAATCGAGATAGGTTTAATAAACAAAATTCGCTGTTTGCTTGATGAGAATTCATGCGTATTGTATTTTAAAAAAACCTTTTTGTTCGTCTTTGATCTTAGTTGAGAAATATTCATTGGTAAATTATTAAGAGAAGCTTTTTTTTTAATGATCTATTAATAGAATGGAATATTCATTCGTGGATGAATACAAATCTCGATTTATCGAGGCGAAGAGTTGAAATCTATTTGAGGTCATGAAATACTTGAGGATTTCTAAACACTTCATTGGCAAAAACGAGAATTTAGATGTCAAAACTACTTTCAAAGTCCGAATCAAATGTGCTGAACCATTCGATCTTCAATGTTTCGTTTCATCTAGGCATGCCTAACCCGATGTATGCATTGTCATCATCTACATCTTTTCAATCACCATATTCGCAAACTTGGTAAGTGACTCGGAAACCATTCATCGATCTCCTTTCTGATCGTTTGCATTTCAGGCGTTCACCAGTGTTTCCCTTTGCTCTTCCACCTGGCTATCCTCTCTCTCAAAACTCGTCATCTCCTTCGATGTCGTCTTCTCACAAGCGTCCGACCCATATGCGCCGTTTTATCGACAATAACTCGCAGCAGTCCTCTCAACATAAACAATCGATGCATCAAGATTCTCATAAGTCGAAAAAGAGTCATATTAAAAAGCCTCTCAATGCATTTATGTTATTTATGAAAGAACAACGTGCTCATGTTGTACAAGAGTGTACATTGCGAGAAAGTGCGGCAATTAACCAGATTCTTGGTCGAAAGGTAAATTCGACATTGGCTATCGAATGTACGACGATGTTTGTTCATTTAGTGGCATGAACTGGATCGAAATGTTCAACAGAAATATTACGACATGGCACGAGATGAACGCATGAAACATATGCAGTTGTATCCCGGGTGGTCAGCTCGAGATAACTACGGTGTACGGAAGAAACGTGGAAATAAAGGGAAGAAACAAGAAAAAGCCGCAAGCGGTGAAAATGCCGGTAAGCCATCTCCAATGTTTCTTTTCGTAAATTTTCTTTTCGCTTCTACAAAGAATGTCTCAATCAAAAAAAATGTCGAGCTCGCTTTGGTCTTGACCAGCAAGCCAATTGGTGTAAGCACTGCAAACGAAAGAAGAAATGTTTACGTTACACTGAAAATGAATCAACTTCATCCATGGGTGTTACTTCATGGAGTGACGAAGACGATACGGATAACAACGACGATTCCGATGATTGTGATGTTATACCAATGAACGAACAGAAGAATTCAGGCATTCATCCAACTATCTCAATGGATTCGGATGAAGAGAACAAATCACGTCTATTAAAATATCAACAAACATCAAATGAGAATGATTCGATAATGAATCGATCGGATCTCATGACAACACGAAAAGAATTATCATATCCAGCATCGTTTTTCCAACCCACTTATCCTTATCCATACTTCGATTCATTTTTGCCACCACCTCCGACCACGTCATCATTGATGACTAATCTAAACGAATTCAAACAAGAAACATAAGATAGACATACGTTGATCTTTCTAGTCAGTACAAGGAGGAAACCGATCTCTCTCTATAAGACACATAATTACCTTGTAATCTTTTATTTTTTTTTCTTTTCGGCTGTATTCAGTTGTTGTTCGTTATAGGTATTTCACATGTAATAGAATCTTTAAACGTTTTTATGTGTAAAATGAAAATGAATACAGAATTTGCGAGAAAAAACAAAGTTCGTCAAATATAACATAATTCCACCTATACACGTCGTCGTTAGGTTACGACAAAATCCTATGCTTTCTCTGAGCAAATACGAAATCGACTATCAGTAATGGGTGCTTTTATTCTTATCAATAGTCCATAAATCAATAATATTCGTATGATAGATTAAGTTGGACTTTTAACAGCATTCGGCAGGTTATTGAGGAGAAGTTAACTGGTGATGATCATGAAACTCTGTGTATTATTTGTTGTGTCTTGTCTCGCCTATCAAAGTAAACTTTTCATAGGAATGGATGGGGAGATCATTTTCACTGCTGTTCTAGTCCGTAGTCAAGATGTTGATGTATGTCATGTGTATGGGGATCCTCATCTGATTCCATTCTCTCAAGTTTCACAATTGAATCAGAATGGGTATTGGTGTAAATTGTCGGGTGAACAGCAAATTGTTCGAAATAATTTTGTTGAAATCAAAGTAAATATGCACGAAGGAGTATGGTCAATAGATAAAGTAAGTCTTCGGATGACGATAAAATCGGAAAATTATAGAACTTTTGTGCTTAGTACACAGTGACGTTTTTCGACAATGACAAAGTACTTTGCAAAGTAACGGACCATGAACAAGTTTGTGATAGTCAGGGTATTGATCAAAAAGTGCTGATTTAAATTTTGTACTGATACTTTTTATCTAGCGGTTCGAATCACCCGTCCAAGTTTAACACATATTGAAATGTTCTACTCCATCCCGGAATTGTACATCTCCATTGTACCATATGAGTATCCGGTACATACATATCTTCATGTGACATGCTTTATATATATATATATATATTCATATACTTTAGTACAAATGGTATGATATTAGCATTCTTATGCCGAATGAATTAGTTCGTCAATCTAATGGTCTTTGTGTAGCACCATCAGTGGACAAATGCATTGTTGAGAACGAGATTCTATCAGAAAATAGCATACCTCCAATGTACAAAAAAATGTGTGAAGTATATCAGACTGCTGGTGATGAAGCAAAACTTTCTCTGAATTTACCTGTTGATCACTCTGTGCGCAATCATACTCTGCTCGCATGTATTCACGATATTCACAATACAAACAACGTCGATGTAAGAGATTCTCACGACTATCGTTTGATTTTCTCAATAAGTATTTACTCATAGTTCGGTGCAAGTATGGTCAACACGATGGTAAAGGATGGGATATTCAAGGAATACAGTAACGATAGTATGTATCAATTTCAAGTAGTGGAGAGTACAATAATTATCGATCGAGTTATTCGCACTGCAAGTATTACAGCCAACGCAATATTCTCAACAACAACATCGGTGACAACTACAGATTCAACAAGTCAAGCAACACCCAATGGTTCGTTGCCTGTGAGATTGGTTTCATGGACTTTGAACGTTTGTTTGGTTTTACTTTTAATAAAATAAAGATGACATGCAGGATAGAAACTGTTCGTTTTATTGTCGAGAAGGAAAAAATCAGGTATATGTCAATACTTGAGGGTAATATTTAAAGAAATCGGATCTGTTGCTTGTTTTGGAAATCGATATTTTTGAATTCCGTTTAGAGTCGAACTTATTTGTTGTAATTCTTGACGTAATAAACGAGACTCATACTCTGCTTGTTGTCGAGCCTTGAAAAACAATTTCAAATGAAAGTCTGTTCGTTTTCGTAAGTGTTTCATCGTACTTTAGTTGTATGATTCAAACGCATTGTCACTTGGTCCAACCGGTCGTGAAGATCGACGTGATCATTCTATGGAAAATACAAAAATCATCAAACAAAATGAAAAAATCTTCGCATACAGAAGTTGGACGATTTTTCTCGAGAATATACTTTTGTTTCCATAGATCTTTTTCTAGAGAGAGAGAGAAAACGTGTGTAGGTAAAGTCAAAAGATCTTTTGAACCTTTTCTTCGTTGATGGGCAATCTGCGCTTGTAGTTGCTGCAGTCGACGAATAACTAAATCACGATTTGTTTCCAGTTCAAAACGTTTTGTTCGCAACTTGTCAAGACGATGCGAAAATTTTAGAACTAAAGGCATAGCCTTAACATCTCAATCAGATATATAAAGCACATTGAGTTTACCATTTCGTTCCTCGGCTTCTTTTAAACTGGTTAATTTATTCGCTTCTTCTTCCAAACGGTCGATTCCAAGCACTACGTCTTCTCTAGAAAAGAAGGGATAAATGTTCTAAAAAAACTTGATAAATTGACTTACTCGTGCGGTTGACTTCGTCGTTGACGGTAATTTCGAAAAGCGGTTTGAATTTTAACGGCCGCTTGTTCCCTCTCCTGTTGATTTTCGATTTGACGACGCTTCCGAGCTAAGTGTTCCTGTTGTAAATAAAGACGTTCTTGTTCTTCGCGCACTTTCGCTAGCCGTCTATCAGAAAAGAACATATATTTTGTCATTAACAAGAAAGTTCTACAACCGTGGCGAGACCTTTGATGAAACTATCGAATGAGTTGTACTAGAAAGACAACAGAGATAGTTTGAATATGATTCGCAGGACATTTACGGATTTAATGTTGAGTTTTGCCAAGGTAATCGATCAGGCAGTAGGGATTTATCGTCAGCATGTTGCCATGAGTAATCGTTCGCAGACGACCGATTGATTGGTGATCCTCGTAAAAAATTAGCATTTGCATCACGTTTATGATTATCTTCGAGTAAATAGATCTGAAGATGAATTGATCCAGAGGAGCTCTTATTCTTCTGTAACCGACTTACTTCTGGTGCAAACGCCTAAAGACGAGAAATGTAGATGTGAATGAAATTTAAAGTTGACAAACCATTGGCGGCCGATAATTTTTCACCTTGAGTTCTTTCTCTTGTTGTTGTTTCACTTTAGTTAAACACCGACCCACGCTTCTCAGGTAGAGAAAATTCTCCGGAAAATTCGGTGTATCACTGCTGATATTAAATATGTACCGACGTAGATCAGCAATTGTTAGATTGTCCGGCACACTTGACACATCGATGTATACAGCTATTAATACGGTACTGAAACGACTTACCGAACAAAGCCAACAGACACCGCATTTGTCATTGCATCATTTTCTGCTAGGTTCTGATTATTTTTCCACACTTCTTTCGGAATTATATAAATATGAAGATCAACATGCTAAACAAAAGATGAGCTAAGCTTTCATAATTCATTCGTTTACTTTCATGGAATCCGGTCGATCGATATGAATGACATTGGAGCGTGTAATTAGCCTTCCAGTTTCTCCTTGCATTCTTCAAATGAAGTTAAATACGTTTCTTATTGTCTACCTCAAACCATCGATTTACGTGCTATTTTCCTTAACAAAATATTTATTGAAAACTATCTGTTCATGACAATGTTAATAACATGGCTTTGTCAAGCAAATAAAATCTATGTTACAAAACGAGTTCTGTTCATCGCTTTCATATATGATACCCGGAAGTAAACACGGATAGTTTTACACATGAGATTTTTTGATAAAAGTTAATTGCTTTTATTTATTAATTTCAACTGACGTCCAAGACTTTAGTACAAAGAAGAAGTACATACAAGGAATAGAAACGCGTACAATATTGATCAGAGAGATGATGTTTTCGGTAGTTCGGGTAAAACTTGATTTTGTATCAGATTGCCTCGCCTCCAGCGACTGACATGTATGATACAAACAACATGCTTGAATTGTTGACGGAACCGTTTCGATACGCAAACATATATGTAAAAAGGACTCTAGAAAAATCGAATACAAATAGTCATTCAAGGTCGAAAGTTACTCACTGCAAAGTAGCAATTGTGCAAACCTACAGATAAAACTTTCAGACATTTAGCCAGGTCATCGTTTGGTAAGTAAAACAATGTAATACTGGCGACTACGTATGGTGACAAGACGAAGAAGTTATAAATCAGTTGAATCAACACCATATGTGTTAATTGTTTATCTAATTCTCGTCGAACTAATGGAACTGTTCGATAAGCTAGATTTTGTATATTGTAATACGCTAATATACCAAATACGGTCATTATAGTCAATGGCAGTATACCCATTAGAACAAGTGCATAACCAAAACTGGAATATGCTTGAACAATTCCATTCGTTATTATGCACACCGGTTGATTCGGATAAAGTGGTGAGGTAACTATATTGTAATAGATTACAAATGGAATTGCATGAATAGACCAAAATATAATAGTTGCTGCGATGGCATAGCGAGCTAGTTTTATATTACACCATCGATGCCAACGAGGATTGAAAGAGGTGCTTAGAAATTGATCGATTATTGCGAAGCATACACATGTAAATGATGTTAATAACCATAATTGTATATGGGCAACTCGGGATTTGCAAAGAAATGCTGTAATCACTGTCCAATCATATCCGAATCCGAAGATTATGATATGTCCGGACAACGATGCGAGTAAATGGATTAGATTGGCAAATGACATAAAACTTAAATAGAATGCACAAGAATTCTCTCGAAACGTTCGGAGACTTAAAAAGACGATGAGATTCAGAATTCCACCGAGAACACCGACTACAAGAACAGTAGAACCGAAATAAGTAGTAATTTGACGAGATAGATTTGTGTAAAATGAAATCGACGGCGATGACATGTCTTCGTTAGCTTAATCCAAGGTACGATATTTGATAAAATGAAAAGAAAACTGAACGGCTTTTTACTTTTTTATATTAATTTTCTCAAATGAAACTCTCTGGAAGGCGAGAACCAGAATAAAGCGGAAAATAAAATAAAATGCCGGTATACATATTAATAAAATTCGACGATCTTTGCCTTGTATTTAAGTATCTTCTTATTTCTTTAGAATATTTAAAGGAAAGTATGTGTATAACTTATTCAGCAAAGGAAGACCATTTACAGTTACAATGAAGATTTTTTAGTCTTATTCTTATCGAGAAATAAACTCTTTGCAAAATAAGTTGTATTAGAGCTGATATCATCGTCTTTTACAAAAAAAACCGTATTCTATTACGCAATCCACGATAATCCTTCTATGTAGATGAAATAAGGATAAAATGTTCAAAATTCTCAACCTACGAACATCTGCAGGCACTTGATGAAAACGATGAAAGTCCTGTTCGCATGCTGAACAAAAGATTTGAGGATATGATTATCCAGGAAATGCGTAGCTTAATAAATATTTTTTATATAAGAAGGTAGAACAAAGACAGTTTGATCTTAGAATATATTGCTCTCGGTTTTCGATACAGCTGGCTATAGAACTTATGTAAAGCTACTGCAATGATAAATCGATGTCATTTTGTTGGAAAATGTGTTTATTCGATTGAAGTCAAATCACAGGTTTGTCTCGAGTGAAATACATTAGAAAAAAGGGTATGAAATGAAATGCCACTTTTATGTATTATTGGATCGGTCCCATTTTAAATTAAGTTGAAAGATTTTATCGATGACATTATCGAGCTTTCTCTCTTTCAAAACTGAATCAACAAATTGTTTCGCCGCTCGAATATCATTCTCATGTTCGCGTGTCTGAGTATGAAAAACTAATTCATCGATTCCAGTCCAATAAGCTGCAAGCATTTGAGTCAAGACCATCATTTGTCGATTATTGCCATATGCACCGCAGCCCCACCATCCCGTATGAATAATTGTTCGAAACTTTCTACTTGCAGTTCGGCTAGATATTTGTTTATTGGAAATGTTCAATGCGTGAGTTTTATGCGCTAGAAGTTCTGCTGCTTTAAAACCAACGTAGCATGTGACAAGAATATAATCTATTTGATCACGAGTGTACACACCTTGACCAGAACTGGGTGCTTCGATAGCGATCAGATTTACCTTTTGAGGTTTATCAAGATAGTGACATGCTTGGACAAGCTGCCTTTCAGAAGCTTTGGCAAAAGCATTGCCATAGACTTTCTTGGTGTCAATTTCAATCACTCGTTCGGTGTTACTGATCAGAACTAAAGAAATGAAAGCATCATAGGAATAGCTGAATAGAGAAATACTAAGATGACTTACTCGGTGTTGGTACAGTTTTATGTGTAGTTTTATCTGAGCCAACAGTTGATGATCCAACTGTATTGATTGTTTGAACAAAATATTCTCTTAGTGCTGCTAATTCTACGCATTCTAATACTTGTAATTCATCTTGAGCTAATAATGGGCCACTGTAATAAGCAAATAGATCATGATTGGCAAAATTTAAATACCATTCAACAGTACGGTCATCACCACATGTTCCATATTGAAATACATCTGGTGTAAAAGTAATTTTTGTTGAAGTTGTGGTTATATTATCTGGTAGAACTTCAGGAATAAATGGTCTCCATCGTGTTACTAATATAGACCGATCAGAGGATGGAGAATATCTTCGTTGTTCGTTGATATATTTGAAAATGAATTGTTTGTTTTTATCTCGAAAGTTGGGAGGATACTTTTCATATAACTCTTTCGAATTCATTTCTTCGGCTGTAAGTAAACATTGTTTGAATTCGTTGTCTTGGCTCGAAACAAATATATGGTCACGTAGTTCGTCAACTGTACGTACGGGAATCTTCGAAGCACCGGGTGCTGGTGTACACCAAATATCATCGGTAAAGCGTGAGTGCGCCATGTCTTAATGTGGAAAAACTTGAAATTGATGAATGAGATGCAATGTTGTCGGTTGAAGGTAGAAAAAGAATAGAAAAGGAGAACAAATTATCAGTCGTCAACGTAACTTGAAAAAAAATGCGTTACTTTTTAACTATTAGAAGCAATGCACACGAATAACCTATCGTGTTCTGTACCTTTCTTTTTTCTTCTTTTTCTTATCGACACAATAAAGAATGATTCATAAGATTAGGCGAGCAAGTAATGCAAGAGTAGACTTTGAATGTTTGCGCACACACCGAAGTCGAATTTTCGCGGAAATATGTGATTATTCATTCTAATAGTGAATACCTAGGTGGCTCAACTGTTGGGTTGCTCCTTTATGCTATTATGATCGCGGGAGAATCGAATCTCTACAAGATTGAAGTATATTCCCAAAATATCATTTTGAAGAAAATAATCCTTAAAGCAAAAACAATGGAGAGATGTTATACTACTTTCTTAGGGTACCATTTAAGTGCTTACCAGAATTCCACAGGACAACTAAAACGTCATATCGTACTGTTTCATTTTCTGTTTTCATCTTCAATCTAAATTAATTATTTTAATATTTAAGTGTACTGAACTAAGAATACCCTAAAAATATTTTTTATCGTAAAAATGTGCCAGTCTAAATCATGAGTCTTGTGCCCGTTCGTCTTGGGGTTCAGTGCTCTCACTGAGTATTTAGTAGATTTTAGTCCAAGTAAAATTGATTTGAAAAGTATCGATTGTATTCAGAATTGACTTTGCTGATTCTAAGTCATGGTAATTATGATTTCGATATCCAACAGTCTCGGGCTTTGCTCCAGACTATCAAGATTCCATTCAAACCAGATCGAACCTCAGCTGAGTCTGGTCTCCAATTAGAGAATCGATTTCAAATATCCGTAGGAACTAGTTTGAATACTACTCAGCAAGTAATTAATCTGAGAAAGTATATCTATTGCTGAGCTGTGATTCATTAACCAATATTTAACTTGTATATATCACGAGATGTGATAAGATGGAATTTAATCCATATCTACAGCAATTCTTATTTTTTGCAAATTTCAATAAACATTGTTCTATACATCAACTTTGACAACTCTGTTCGACACTTGGCTCTAACGCAATGACAAATCTCATAAAACATTCTCGAAATCGAATAAATTGTGATTGCCAACTTGGGAATCGCAAGTATCCACGCCTTTATAGGACACTTAACATAAGGTTCATAATATACAGCGTTTCCAAAGGTAATCCTACCCTTTTATTCACCTCTATTCAACTTTTTACAGCTAGGTCGAAAGCTCTCAACCATCTACACGACCAATTCCTTCGTCAGCAATACTTTAATTGGATGTCACGGTAGAATATCACCATTCTATCTTGTAACTAGTCACAAAAGGAAATTAAAAATATTGCTTTTCTTAATCGAATATATCACAAGTTTATTTATTGGAAAGATACTTATCCCTCCAAAAGGTGTGTGGCAGAACCGTACAAAAAAAAGTTTAAGCATTTCCATACACACACTTCCCCAAAACCTGCACTTTCATCAGTTTCTTCCTGCACCTAGCTTCCTTTGCATTTACACCAATAGGACCATTCACTCGCTACGTACTCCCTCGAAAGGCCGTCTACAGTCACAACACTACCGACAAGCTCACCATCCATGAACGCTTTTCTGATTAGCATGGTCAAATAAAATTCTCACTCCGCATATTCATCAACACATTCTACAACCAATTAACAGCTGCACATCTCTCGAATGATGCTCTCCCATACTCGTGCGACAACTGCGTTTCTCTATTCACATCAATCTGTTCACCTTTGGTCATTATCAACCTAAAAAATTGAACAAGTCCCTCCCAAACCTTCCATTCAAAATTTATCTCAGTTCCACTGCCACGTAACCGATTCTAATCAAACCAACCCCACCACATCACCAACGGATTTTCTTCAGCATACTTCTGTTCGGAGCTTGTATTTGGTTGGATAGAAGGGGAACTCGGTCAAGCACATCATCCACCACCACATCACAAATGGATCTCTCTTACCAAACGTCTGTTCCGATCTTGTATTTGGTTGGATAGAAGGGGAACTCGGTCAAGCACATCATTCACCACCACGTCACAAATGGATCTCTCCTAAAAAACGTCTGTTCCGATCTTGTATTTGGTTGGATAGAAGGGGAACTTGGTCAAGCACATCATCCACCACCATGTTACGAATGGATCTTTTCAAGCAAACGTCTGTTCGGATCTTGTATTTGGTTGGATGGAAGGGGAACTCGGTCAAGCACATCATCCACCACCACATCACAAATGGATCTTTCTCATCATACTTCTGTTCGGATCTTGTATTTGGTTGGATAGAAGGGGAACTCGGTCAAGCACATCATCCAACACCACATTACAAACGAATCTCTCCTAGCACACATCTGTTCAGCTCTTGTATTTGGTTGGATAGAAGGGGAACTCGGTCAAGTACATCATCCAACACCACATCGCAAATGTATCTTCTCAAAGAAACGTCTGTTCGGAGCTTGTATTTGGTTGGATAGAAGGGGAACTTGGTGAAGCACATCATCCACCACCAGATCACAAATGGATCTTCTCAACGAAAGGTCTGTTCGGATCTTGTATTTGATTGAAGAGAAGGGGAACTCGGTCGAGCACATCATCCTCGACCACATCAGAAGTGGATCTTTTGTACAAAGCTGCTGTTGAGATGTGGTGTGTTCGCGAATGGAAAGGAGAAAGCTTGTTAGAATTGCTGGAATAAGTGGAATAGTAGGAACAATTATTAAGCAGCTGACTATTCCTAAATTGGTTGGATATGGGTAGGTATTTAGTAAGTAAGAGGAACAGTAACGCACGCATTTGTATTGGAAGTGTAATATCAACAATGGGTTCAGATACACATGTGATCTAAAATCACAACTTGTTCATTGCATTGGAAATGTGGTTTTTAAGATTTTGTGGCCGTTTAATATTGCATTTTCCAGAAATATGTTTTTTTATTTGATGACACTGCCTTTAGTGAATTGCTTCAAGTGGTTTTTGAGAAATTACGTGAAAAGTGAACACAGATGACATGACGAGCAAGGATGACCGCCGCATGGGAGCGTCTGCATCTGGGAAGAGGTATCTAAGTGGAAAAACATGTACATTGCATTTGTATTAAATGTTGGGAATATGGACTAGGTGTGAATCGGAAAAGGTGGTGTAAGTACGTTTGATAATAGGTTTGTTTTTTCTAAGATTGCTTTAACATGGAAAAGTGGTTCTACAGTTTTGATTTCAAGCCTCAGGGATATATTTGGGGGAACAACAGGGATAGTTGGTCGAAAGATGTCCAATTTTGAGTGAATTAGAGTCTCATGTTGGCACGCTAATACAACAGATTAGCTATAATTAATATAGAAGATCATCGATTACTATTCAATTATTGAAAATATTTCTCTCCAATACTTTTGAGTTGATGACTGAATCAAATTCGTTTGCAATGAATCTTTTAACATGAGTCCCTCTATCTATTCATTTTGAGTGATACTTATTATCGATAATCTCAGTGGCATATATAAATTATCTTCACAGCAGAAGTTAATCAATTATTTACTTTCTTGTTGCGATTGGCCTGTTGGTTGTTTTTTCGTCTGAACTCTGATTTGTTCGACAAATATCATTTGATTCCATTGAATTTGAGCACTATTCGTCACATTGAGTGTGATTGTGCTTGGTTTAGTCAGTTGTGCGACCGTATTATTCAATCGGTTGACATCTTCTTTCAATTTGACTAAATCTTGCTCCAGAACATCCTTTGTATCTGTGAGTTGTTTGAGTTCCTGTGTTAGTTCCTCAAGTTTTGTCGTAATATTGCGAAGCTCCGAATTCATAACTTCCAAAACTTGTTTTCGTGCCTGATCAGCGACTTGTTTCACTTTTTCAATGGTAGTTTGTTGCCATTCGTCAATTTGCGACAGAAACGTGTTGTTTTGTGCTTTGTTCATATTGGTCTTGTTAATTTTCTCCTGAAGAAGATTTCGCTCGATGACTAATCCATCTAATTCATTGATCAACTTTCCACGATGATCTTTGAAGTCATTATCACAAAAATATGCTTGACATCCAGGGCAGATGGACGTACCCGCGTTTTTTGTGCACACCGAACATTTATTTCTAGTAGCCATAACTCTAAAACTAAAATAATAATCATAACTCATATTAGCAGTTGATACCGAAACAAAAAAAAATGATGTGTAGATGTTGCAATCCATCAGATGCACACTTCTTACTATGAATAATGTAATATCTGTCGCTCGAATGCTAGTTACTTTTTCAAGTAGTTCGTTTTTTCACTTCTTATCGAAACAGACCGTGTGTTGAAGATGTATATATATATACATTTTCTTATCAAGCAAAGAAGATGAATAATAAATGGTCTTATCTTTATTTTTTCTGTTCATGACAACAGATAACGATTCTAAAGAATCGACATTCACATTTGTATGTAAAAACATCGCACATACAAACTCACGTTAACAATACGAAAATAAATATTTTCTTTTTCTGCACGCTCTCGAAGCTACAACAATTAAACTTCATCTGTCTCTTACACTGACACATAAATTTTCTTCAATGACGCTTCACAGTCAGAGAAAAGAGCCTGTCGATAATAATGATTTCACTATTGAAGATTACCGAGAAGAACCAATCTTTCTATTACTCGAGGAAATCAAATTTGTTTATCTATTGCCTTTAACTAAGAAATAGACAATTTTCAATACTGGAAGGCATCCTTCATGTCAAGCATATCGAATGATGTTGCATAAAGAAGAAAGAAGCAAAAAAAAAGCAAATGAGGATGTAATCATAGTCTTTGTCGTCAGATGACAAGAGAGCTGAAATACAAAGGAAAAACATGTCATTTAATTCGATCTGTTCATTTGTATGTATGCAAGTGCATCTACGACATTCATTTGGGTAAGCCCGATCGACATTGATTAAACTAATTTCTCTTTTTTTTTTGTCTTTGATGAACGTTCTCAAAAATTTCTCCTTTCTTCAGTTGATGCTATTGATAGAGAGAAGAGCAGAAGGTTTCTTTCTAACAAAGTAATTAAACTCCATGTCTCGTAAGTATGAACATCGATTTGCACATGGTGATTATTTGATTAATTGAACTTGTTTAATGATACGAAAGAATCGACGAACGGTTATTTATCATAATGCATGTTCTCGTTTTTCTCTTCTTATATATTTTGTAAACGAGCAAGCACCAGTGACGAAGAAAACGTCATCCGATTTATTTCCGTTTCTTATCGGAAAGCATAGACGCGTAAGAGACATCGAAAAAGAAAACGACGCACTACTGGCATTTACCTCAAACGAAGGAGAATTCATTTCATCTGAATCAGAACATTTTGCCTCGTTTAGTGATGAGTTTTAAAACCGACAGTCATTCGATGATCATGGCCAAACCGTCGAACACAACGGGAGATATTCACGATCCATTTCAAGTTCAAAAGAAAAATATTCGTACGGCCGCACTCATTGTTTGCACATTTACATATTTAATCATCGGAGCATGCATTTTTGATGCATTAGAAGATGCTCCATCAACTGATCGGTAAGAAAGAAAAAAGTCAACTTCGAGAAATAGAAACCATCATTATTTTCTTTCTAGAAAACATCTTTTCGAACGGAAATTCGCTCAATTTAAACTCGATCATAATATGACGAATGCAACCTTTCGTCAATTATCGGATTTAATCATGAATAAAACAACCCTCCGTCACAAATGGCAATTCTATGATAGCTTCTATTTTTCCACCGTTGTCCTAGCTTTGATTGGTTACGGTCATCGGACATTGATCACAACACGTGCCAAGATTTTTTGTATTCTATATGCCATGTTAGGAATACCAATATGGTTAATTACATTTCAATCTGCCGGTGAACGATTGAACTCATTGTTGAGTCATTTACTTTCGAAAGTTAAACGATCGTTTCATATGAAGAAAACTAAGACGACGGATGGAGAATTATTGATTATGGAATCGTTTTTGTCGATGGTTATATTACTAATTGGTGCATGTGTGTTTTCCAAATATGAAAAATGGTCTTTTTTCGATTCATTTTATTACGGATTTATTACGTTGACAACCATTGGTTTCGGCGATTATGTTGTTTTAGTAATCGATTAAAAAATCCTTCTTTTTCTTTTTTGTGATATATTTCTCGTTTTTTCTTAGCAAAAAACCGACGAAGATCGAACGTTCATTCGACATGCGAAATATTTTATTTTTTGTACAGCATTCATCTTTCTTGGTTTAACCGTCGTTGCTTCACTAATGAACCTATTAGTCATACGAATCGTTGCATTCTACTCGCAAGAACGTTTACTTGAGAAACTTCGCGAAGAAGAAGCTGCTAGTCAAGCTGTACTTCTCAAAGGTGATGTTATTTGCTCAACGAACGCAAACAAGCCTCGATCAAAAACACCCTCGTTGACATCTGCGAGTCGACCAACGCATCCGCAAACAGTACCATTATTAATTCATTCAAGTCAAACATCGGTGTGTTCTTGTACGTGTATGGAAACGTTCAGCGAATGGAAAAAAGCACGTGCGAAGTGGAAGAAGCAAACTCTGAATGAGCGAAGTAGAACAACGAAGAAATCTGATTCGACCGATTCGATTAAAATGTTCTATGCCATGCGAAGAAGTTCAGTGTGATAAATCTTTCTTTGACTTTCCGATGCTAATGTCTTGTATTCAGTTCTGTTCTATTTGATAAATCAAACTTCTTGCAGTGTTGTCTGGAATTGAAGTCTGCTTCTTCCAATCGTTCGGATTAACCATACTTCTATGTAAGCAATGCATAACTCATAGGACGAATGTATGGCTTTAAGAGTATCAATACTTCTGTTTCCTACAAGGATAACAACGAGCACATCCTAAGGATAACAATAACATTGAATTATTCTCGAGTGTCGTCTCATTTCTAGAGGTCATTTACAAATTACAACGCTAAATTGTTCGTAAGTTCATCGATAAATCAATTTCAATTTTCTAATTATATTTTACTTCGCCAACAGCTAGAGATATATGTAATCACACTGTGTTCTGTAGATGATCATTTAATACGATTGTCTTCATTCACAGTGGATGAAAGTAATCAGTGAGATCTTTTTTTTCTTCTAGAGAAGATTTTTATCTTCACATCTGATTGCTTCGTCGAAGGTTTTTTCGAGAGGAAATGGCCAATGACATTTAATCTTGGATGCCATTCGACATGATCCATAGGGAACAACTTACTAGAGAGATAAGGCTTCTTGAAAGAATCAACTGTGAATATTAAAAATGAGCGTCTAGAGAACACATTTCTTTATTTATCACTTAGGATAAATGAATAGGAAAAAAATTAGTTTTCAAATGACGATTAGATGTAATAAGGTGTTTGAGTATATTCATCGTACAGCATCGCATTTTGACAAACACAAATGGCAAGAAAAACGCCTATTAACTAGAAAAGAAATCGAAATTGAGTGAACTGTATGTAAAATAGTGTCTTACCGAAAGACCACATAGGCCTATTTCCAGCAGAATAAAAAATTTGCCCCAGAAAAACGTTGTTTGAGTGAGAGACGAATAGCATCCCGGTGTTCCTGTTAGTCCCACTTGATGAACCGTACAGGATGTTGTCGAGACTATCGAACAACATGATAATGGGACATGAGAGTCACTGTAATCATACGCCGAATCAATACCGCAGCAATGATACTAGAAAGAGATGTCCTTGTTCAAAATTCTGATTGACTCTTTTGCGTATTCATATGAGGATGAATGCTCAAGGTTCAAAGAGAAAGAGAAAGAGACAAATGGTTACATCATGAAGATCATCAAATGATTTATCTCATATCTAACCACAAAGAATAGCAAGAAAGAAAAACCTGTTTGAAATCGAACTATGCCAACAACTGTTTCGCATCAATCATTTTCTACCTTGCTTTGAATATAATCAATTGCTTTTTCATATTGACTCGGGTACATGTGATTGTATTTTTTCATCTGTGATACAAGACGTTGTTTCACAAGTAATTGACCTTGATCATAATACATGGCTATGTATACAAATAAAGCTAATTCAAGTAGAAGTACGCATGTTATCAAAACAATATACTAGAAACAGACGAAAACGAGTGAGTACGAGTAGATCATGGAAACAAGGTGTTACTGACAAGTATAAGGCACGTCCGTGATTCTCGTTTCGCTCCGCAATATCCAAAAAGTCCAATGAGGAAAATGATGATGCCGAACAGTAAGATTAAACAAACGGCGATTTCAATCGATGATAATGGTAGAGTAGTAAAGTTAAACAATTGAATTATATGTTGAACTTCAGGAAGTAGCAGAGAATAGATGCCAAGAAGTATCAAAGCTAAACCACTTAACTGAAAAACAGAGATAACAGTGACATTTCACTGTTCATGTCGAACATACCCAGAAGAAAAGATTCAAGACGAGAAGAAGATATTTAGCACAAGGATAACAATTTGCTACACCCATTGATTAATTTTTTCCCTCTATGCCATCAGTGCTTAATGAGCGATAATATCTTTGTTTGAAATTGAATGGCACTATCGACTAGTCGTTGTGGTTATTGATCGAATGAATGGTTTTTTTTTGAGCGAACGATGTAAGAAAGAAAAGTAATTTGAGTAGAAGCGTTGATAAAGAAAAGAGCGAGAGGGAGAGAGAGAGAAAGAGACGCACAGAAGAAGAGAAAAATGCATCAACGATACTAGTTCCTATCACTGCTGAACAACAGAGTAGAATAATATTCTCCGTTCTACTCGCTGAGATAATAGATGATATGTATATACAATAACATAATACCATATTGTTGTTTTTCTCTCTCTCTCTGCATGAAAAAATTCCTTTTCATCAAATTAAAATATTCAAATCACCGTCTCCGATTACAAAACCATAATGAAATCAAACACACCGACAGAATACCTACGATCAAATATCGTTCATCGACTCGATTGAATTTGTGCATTGAAATTCCGTCGTCTCGTTGAGTAACATCCATGATTGATTGATATCTTAATCTTCTAAGCGACAAGACAAAGAAGAATAACAAATTGTGTCATTCAAAATCGTAAATTGATTTTGATCGAACTCCTTTTTTTTCCGATCAGCCAATGCTATGGTCTGTCTGAATGATGATTACCTTTATGATTGATGTATCAGTGTGAAATAGTGGTTGCTTTTATGTTGTCGAAATTAATATTCATAAAGATTGTCAAGGCGAACTTGATTCGAGGTCTATGTTTTTGACATCCATACGAGAGGAGAATGTGTGACGACGACGACGACGGCGGTTTTAGTGGAGTTTGATGACTGATAATTGAATAAGAAAAACAACGAGATAAACTCATCGATTCAATTAGACGGAACAATCGTTCTATGGAAATCGCTTCCTTCTCAACCAGGCAGTCTCACAGACGTCAACGGATGTCGATGAGTTAATATAAAATGTGAAGTATCACATATTTTCTATGTCGAAATTTCCTTCATCGGAAACGAAACAAAATATATTCTTGACGTTAGCGATTAATCAATTATATTGACATTATTAGAAGAGACTTACTCCGTTGGAGAATACTTCATTTCATGTTAGAAAATCTCCATGAAGGAAGCATTTCTTGTTTTGTCGAGACGTATGAATAGTCGCAGTAACAACTTGTTTCTTTTTTAATTCTAGCAATCATGCTGTCAATGTTGAACTGCAGTCTACTTGCTGTCTTCGTACTCTTTGTTCTTGTCATCGAAGCAAAACCTGTTCACGAATCATCGAGTGCTTCGAATGACAAACAAGCAATCAAACCGAATCAACAACTGTATGAAATCTACAAGTTTATGCGTGCGGATCCACGCTTAGCCGATTTCTCAAATAAAGAACTGATTGTGTTCATTCATCAGAATCTTCTCGATGGTATCTTCGATATCGAATCAATGAAAGCCAAATACGCGCATCGGCAACAAGTGGATTGAACTCTCTAAAGACCTAATTTCTATGTCACATTAGATTTCCAATGAAATAAAGATTTGAAGATTTAGAAATGGAATATCTTACTGGTGATGAGAATAGATGGAAATGAGAACGGTTCTGTGTGGATAGGACGAACATCTGGAGATTGTATGTTTTCTGGAATTGTTTAATATGAAATCTGGTTTCAAGTTAGATGGATTTCAGTTGAGTTTTAATTGAAATATGCCCGTATGATAATAAAAAACATGAGCAATTGTGTTTTGAGATGGTGTATCGGAGATGGGAATTAGGGAAACATATGTGAATCGAAGCTCTTAATTCGATGCAGATAGATTTGAGCGAACTTCGCCATATATAAGGCGCGCGATTTGTCGTTGAATGTTCAGACGATTTATATCTACTAATTATATACTTGTCAGGTAAGTGATACTTTGACTGTGCTATATATTGGTAATCTTATCTTACTGTTACTTTAGATATTGAAATGATGAAACAAAGAAAACTGTCGCTGATTCTCTCTACTTTCTCCTCAGACTTTTTTTTGTTTGTTTTTCCCTTTCTCTAAAAGTACAGAGAGACAGGTAAGTGCCTAAATTAATTGTGATATCAAAAATTTAACTCGTACTATTGAATATCGCCGCTAGAAATCCGATCTACTATACTGTTGCGTTGCGCTCGATATATGTAATTGTTAAGGTCATGCGCGATTTTTTAAAATATCCAGCTCTGCGTACTAAACTCACACTCATCAATATCATCGATTTTGCATGATTTTCGACAGGCAGCCATGAAAACTTTAAATACATTTTGTTTTTATGTAGATACTGGAGATGCGTCTCGTACAGAACAAGTCACCGACGATCTTCCAACGACATTGGTTACGACCACCGATTCTAGTAAGTTTTATTCATTTATATTAAGAGACTCACATTTTCGTTTGTTGACTCTGTAGATATCAACGATACCATTTCACCGACTAATGGTCCTTCTGATGGCACAACTGCCGACACATCAACAACCATAGGTGAGTAGTGAAGTTATCAAGTATAAAGTAGATGACTCATTTCATTGCATTTCCTTTCTGGAGGTGTATACGAGATTGCGAATACATATGTAATTCCTTCAACCATAAGAGACATTTCATGAGGTAGACTAATGTTCGATTTTAGTTCTTTGATTACATTTTCCTCAATAAGTTATTTAAATGCCATGTAATCGGAGGTCGTTATTAAGTGCCCATTTTTATATAACGACTACTTGCTTTCAGCCAATCTATTTTGTCTAAGTTTTGATTGACTTAAACTTGTTATTGCTTTGAAAAAGAGTAATTGCTCTCTTTCTTGAATAACGATCTATCATTGAGAAAGGTGATCATCATGTAATAGTAATTTTTTCGCACCTACCGAAAAGACCTATAATCTACTATATTAATATACTATTTTATGGTGGGTAACTGTGAAATTGTGATTATACTAAAATCAGATGTAGTCCTAGTGATTTCAATTGGTTTTTACTGTCAAAAAGAAGTTTGAAAATGACTCAGGTTGGGTATTACAGTTATTGCATATTTCTCACTTAATGCGCTGACTTATTTATTCGTATAAACACGCTTGATAAATTCATGTTTTAGTGACTACGACAACATCTACTATTTGCATGTTGATTTCAAATCTAGTTGCCATTTACGATGCAACTGCGGGTAGTGATAGTACACCAGCACTATCTGGCTCTGGAATCTACACATATCCTTTAGCAAATGGACCATCAAAAGCGTTTGATAAACTTTTAAATACATCCTACCGCTTTCGTGGCTTTGGTACAAATTTGCAGTCAGGAATAAACTCAGGATTTTATGTCACATATGCATGTGATTCGTTTATCTTTACAGCTGTACGTTTTGCTTCTGCAGATGCAAGCAGAAATCGCGATCCAATCGCCGTTACTATTGAAGGAAGTGATGAAACAACCCAGGAAAAATTAGGAAAAGGTGATAGTTGGCATTTATTATATAGCGGATCCACAGGTCTCTATGCAGTTAATTCTTCTATGACTTATGGTAATTTACAGAAGTTGTTTGTTAATGCTTCATATAAAAGCTACCGTGTGCTTGTTACTGAAAAACGTGGATCAGATTCAAGCGTCGAATACAGTGAAATCAAATTTTTCAAGTAACTGCAAGAAACCGTGCTGTAATTTCTAATCTATGAATTACAATTTTCTGAACACATTCATAATTATATGCTTAATAAACTGAAACAAGCAAGCTGTACAAACTAGTTCTTCTAAAATATTTTGATATAAGAACATCACTATTCACATGCTTATTCACATCAGGCTACTGACAGAATTTTTGTGAGTCTTTGTCGAAGTTACTAGAAATAAAGAATACTATAATTCATTTGTTGCATTTCTATTATTTTCAAAATGTGATCCTCACTTCATAATGAACCAAATTTTGTATCAGTATACCTGGTACTACAAATAGAACAGTCAAAACAATGATAATAACCTATGTCACAGACATTGAACGAACTCTTAAATGATTTGGTTCTCATAATTGAATTGTTAATACATCTTGAATTTGGTGGCTCTTTAACTATCGTGTTTCTCTTTTGTATTTTCTCGTTTAGTGTTACCAACTCGGTAGTATACCGTCCTATGTTGCTAATTGAACATAAGACTATCTCTTTTTGTTGAGTTTTTCTCGAAACTTCAGCATATTAAGCAAACCAGTACATAGAAAACTGTGATGAACAATACGAGTATTTCTAGCTAATAACCTAAATATATAAACGAAGATCAGGCAAGTGTTGCAATAGATGTGCAATATGAAAAAATCTGACGAAATTCATCCAGGTCGAACGAGAAAGAAAGCATGTTTCGAATAACTATAGTCTCAATATTTATTGAAAAAGTTACGGAGAGAATAGTTCACAGCTTTCAGCTGTAACAGCAGTCTTTTGCCAACCGCCACAGATAAGCACTTTGTTGGATTTTGGTAATAATGTCGCCGTATGCTGAAAGCGGCCGATATTTAGTGAAGCACCAGCAAAAAACGTGTTGGTCATAGGATTATATAGATCTGTATTGGGAAGCCCATTAAATCCATCGAGTGTCCCTCCAGTAATTAGTATATTACCATTGTTCAATAAGGTAGCTGTGTGATAGCATCGTTCAGTAGACATAGCATTCTGGGTCAGAGAAAACTTACCAGATGTATGATCATAAATTTCACAAGTATTAAGCGGTGCGTAATTGTAGTCGAATCCACCACAAATCAATACTTTCCCTAAAGAAACAATTGGAGTGGCAGTGTGCAGAAATCGAGCAGTAGTCATATTATTCGGCAACGTGATAAACTCGCCGGAGCTAGCGTTAAACAATTCAGCTAATGAGAAAACAACGGAATTGGAGAGATCTTCACCCCCAGTGATGAGAATAATGTCACTTGACGATCCGTTCGGCGTTATCAACACTGCAGTAACTGTCGTGCGGTTTGTGCGGCTCGTATGATTCATTGAGGAGAAAGTCGATATAGAAGGATCGAAAAGCTCAATTTCACACCGCTCGTCATCGCCACCCAATATTAACCATCTCGATAATGTCGGCAGAAATATCATAGCCTGGTTTGACCAAGTATAAATTGTAGGAATTATTACTGTAACGGATCGTGAGCTGTAGTTAAACAACTCAGCAGAATTGGAAACATTAGGAAGTGACGAATGTTTTCCACCAACAAATATAACATCACCCGATAAAGAAATCTCGGCGGCAGTGAGATACTGCCTTTCAAGCAACATGTAGCCATAGATTCCGAAAGATAAATTGCTTAAAAAGAACTTGTCAATCGCTGATGATAAACTACTACCACCAGCAATTAGAACACTATCGTTTTCGGATGATAATAAAATACTTGTATGAGCAAAACGTTTAACACTCATGTTCCCGGTGACGACCCAGCTGCCAATCGAAGGCGTTGAAGTTGAATATACTACAAGAAATATGTTAATTTTTCGAGTGATTGCTATATCCAGTGTATTCAATATCAAGCAAAACTTTGAACATAATAGTTACCTTCTGTCGTCATATCCGTAGTAGGTGCATCGGTGATGTTACAAGTTTGATTAGCATCTAGGAAAAAGAAAAAAGTGAATAAACTTTTACATATACACTATCAATCAGTAACAAACTTACAATCACATTTATTGTACGATTGACATGTCAAATTAAGATCCTCTCGACACATGCTTTTATTCGGTTCACATTCCATGCACGGTAGTGGTAACTGAGGTAAGCAGAATGAACCATTCCAATAAGTATTCTGCTGGCACTGACAGGTATTGTTAACACATCGAAGGAATCGATTATCTGCACATTGATCACATGATCTACTGTATGCAGTGAAAAAGGTTTCCATCAACCTGACCGATCCAAACATTGATGTTTGTGCAGCTGATACAGTTGAACCTGTCGCAATTGTATCTCCTTGAAACAACTGACATATCTGTGTAGTTGTGTCAAAATTAAATGTCCGGCATTGCGGATGAACACTACATTGATAAGCACATATGACTTTTGTTTGAGCCGAAACATCTGCAAGATGGAGAGCATTCATATGAATGGGCATAAACTGAGTTCCCATGTTGTCCAGAATAAAGTATGATTGAAATGCTAATGCATGTGAGATGCAGCAGTAGAAGCAGATCATGACCAAGTTTCCAAAACGTAGCATTGCTTTCAACTGACCTTTGAATTTGTTCAGAGATGAAATGTGATGAACACATAAGAAAATCTCATCTTTTATAGACTCATTTGAGATCATTTCTCATTGGTGAAAAATAGGTTTTTCCTCTAACTGAAAGAGAGATTTTCTCAAATTGTTCATTGGTTTTCTGAAAATTACCAATGAAAAATGTCTTCTCTCTCTGTTTGAAAAAAGAAATTTCCCAGACATTTATCCAGATTTCGAGCAATCTATCTAAAAAACAGTCTTTATAAACTATGTTTCTGGACGCAAACAAACTAGAAAACATCCATTTTCTGCGTCGCTATCATTTGTTGACCAAATTTCCTCAAAAGTTCTTTCAAATACATCGATTATTTACGAATTCAATGTTGCCATTCTTTTCCTCTTCTAATAACACAAATATTTGATCAAACGCTCCACGTCATGTCATTCACGCGCTATTTTCAAACAAGAGAAGAAAAATAATCAACCATCGCCGTTTTTCTTTCGTTCGATCAAATTCAAAAACATTTATTTCGCATAATGACGACATAATTGGCCGCATGGCACCATTCATAGGTATACATACGAAGAAAGAAAGAAACTATTAAAATATGAAATTTCAGTTACGTTTTTCTTCTCCTCTACCATTTGTTATTTCAGGTGAATAATGACGCGTCAATTGCTTGCCTCACTCGTCGTATTTTGCTTCATAGTCGGCAATACTCTGGCAATTCGATGTTATACTGGTACGGATAGACAATGCATTTTATCTCCGAATACAAACGACTGTGGAGAGAATGAGACGTGTGTATGTGCGAAATATCGTTTTCAATGTGCAGCAAACGATCAAGCTTGCACTCAACATGAACAAACAGTACATATGAAAAAATGGGGCTATGTAATTATAGGTAAAAGTACATGCCAATCGTTACGAACAGCACCGAGTGTTTATGAAGATGTTACATGTTGTTCTAAGAATGGATGCAATCGCCCAGCGACCGGCCGATGTTCATGGTCGCAACAGCGTCGACGAGAGCTTCGTAAACTGACTGATCTGCTTGATTTTTGATGAGAAATAAAAATGAAAGACATTCTGTGTCGTACCGACATGCCTTTCTACCTACACTTTGCGTCAACCGTTCGTCATGGTCGTTAGTATTGAGTCTGAAGAGAGAAAAAGAGGAGCAGTTCTCTTTATCGGGATGATACGTGATTAGATAATACTATTTCGAACATCTTATCTTCAGGTGTGTTACATAAAATTAATTCAGTTTTGTTATTGTCAAAGACAAACATGAGTGTCATTGTTCTACTGTTCTTCAGTGTAGTACTCCAAATAAACGGACAGTACCCTAGTTTTCCTGATTGTCAAGCGGGTGTTTTAGCATCATTTCCGATATGTAATCAGTCGTTAACTTCACGTGAACGAGCAGCTGATCTAATCAATCGAATGACTGTTCTTGAAAAAATATCTCAAATGATTACGACAGCCGAAGGCGTGCCTCGCCTTGGTTTACCAAAATACGAATGGTGGTCGGAAGCTCTTCACGGTCTCGCCTATTCTCCTGGTGTATTCTTCGGTGGCGATCTGCCTGCCGCAAGTTCTTTTCCGATGCCTATCAACCTCGGTGCAACGTTTAATATGCGTCTCGTACATCAAATCGCGAGTATCATTTCAACAGAAGCACGTGCTTTTAACAACGAGGGTCGGGCCGGTCTTACTTTCTTCACACCGAACATCAATATTTTTCGCGATCCACGATGGGGTCGCGGACAAGAAACCCCGGGTGAAGACCCATTTTTAACATCTCAATATGTCTATGCACTTATTCAAGGTTTGCAACGTGGTGATGATGAACGATATTTGAAAATCGCGGCGAATTGTAAACATTTCGAAGCGTATGATTTAGAAAATTGGAATGGAACCGATCGACATCATTTCAATGCTATTGTTTCCGATCAAGATCTCGTTGAAACCTATTTACCACCATTTAAAAGCTGCATTCAAGATGCTCAAGTAGCTAGTATCATGTGCAGTTACAATTCAATCAATGGCATACCTGCTTGTGCTCATCAATTCCTATTGGAAACCATCGCGAGGTAAGGGAAAAGTATTTATCAAGAAAATTCTTCACCTCATCAATTCAAGAGAATCATTCCATTTGAATGGTTTCGTGGTCAGTGATTGCAATGCGATTTCGGATATTCTACATACACATCATTATACATCAACACCTGAACAAACAGTTGCAGTCGCGTTACGAGCTGGTACCGATCTCGAATGCGGTGTTTTCTATCTATTTCATATGAATGATGCATTGCAACGGAAGTTAATCAATGAAACAGATATTACTCAAGCCTTGATGCGTACGTACGACGTACTGATCCGACTCGGTTGGTTTGATCCACCGGAACAACAAGTTTATCGACAATTGAATAAGAATAATGTCGATACGGCAGAAGCAAGACAACTCTCACTCGTCAGTGCACAAGAAAGTATCGTTTTACTGAAAAATATCAATGGTAGTTTACCTCTGGACTTAAATCAATTAACAAATAAAAGAATTGCTCTTATTGGACCAACAGCCGATGCTACAATACAAATGCAAGGTATTTATCATGGCCGTGCACCATTTCTCATTGACCCACTGACAGGATTCAAAAACATCACAGCAGGTATGACGGAAAGAAAAGGAACAAACTCTATAATAGTGCTTTATTGATTTTACTAGGTAAACCTATAGAAGTAGACTATGCACGCGGTTGTGGAATATCAAGTCACAGTGAACGAGACTTCGCTGCAGCTGTTCGTTTAGCTCAATCATCTGATATTGTGATTTTCTTCGGTGGAATCGATCATACAATCGAACGAGAAAGTGTCGATCGACAATCTATCGCATTACCTGATATCCAACTTTCCCTCATACAAGAACTAGAAAAGGTCGCTCGTTCACCTTTACACGTCGTCATTATGTCAGGCAGTAGCCTAGATCTCTCGTATATTCGAGATTCAGTACGTTGTGCTAGTCTTATCTGGATGGGTTACCCTGGTCAATCGGGTGGATTAGCAGTAGCATCAGTTGTCTTTGGACAATATAATCCCGCTGGTCGTTTACCGATAACCTTCTACCCGGCATCGTATGTCAATGAAGTAAGTATGTTTAATATGCAACTGCGCCCATCAGTGAACAGTCCTGGTCGAACGTATAAATTCTATACTGGAAAAGCTATATACGAATTCGGATATGGTCTGTCTTATACAACATTTAATTATACGTGGGATAATAGAACGTTCATTTCCGCTTATTCGATTCAATCTATTACGAAGCAGATCAATCGACAAGAAAAGACGATCATTTCTTCGATCCGGATCAACGTTACAAACACGGGTGTAATGAATGGTGATGACGTGGTGTTAGCTTATGTCACACCACCGAATGTGTCTTCGGAGCAAGTCCCGCCTTTCAAACAATTGTTTGGCTTCGAACGAGTTTATTTGAAAGTAAATGAAACAAAAGAGGTGTGTTTCGCATTTACAGTTGAAACAGCGTTGTTAGTTGCACACAACGCATCGAAATGGTTGCATTCAGGCTCATATCGTATCATGATTGGACAGCAGCACATTGGTGTAATTCAACTCCAAGGTCAGACTATTCGATGGGTCTGATACGGCTTTTCCCTGATGTTTCTTTATAATGATAAATTATATCGCATAAATATAAGTTTCTTAACTCTATCATCTAAGACGATATTATTACATGTTGCAGACGTTAGAATACTTGGTAAAAGAAAAAAAAGTACGGATTTTTGCTAATTAAACTATGCCCGTATCCTAAGAATAATAAATATTGTGATATTTCAATAATTGTGAAAGCTTTTATTGAAGCACGTTTTGAAATAGGACAAACGAGGATAGTTTCATGTGAACTATAGTTGATATGTTTTACGAGGAAATTTCATTCCTTATTCTATTTTGACATTGATCGGACTAACTAAAGAGAGGAAAGTCAGCAGTTTGTTATTCAGTTCCAAAAAAAGAATCGCTTGTGACGATTAGCGGCAGATCCGAATCCTTAACCAACTTGATTCTTTTGTGGCGGTGGTGTTCGTCCGTCGGCTGGTGGAGTTCGTCCGTCGGCTGGTGGTGTTTGACCGTTGGCTGGTGGTGTTCGCCCGTCGGCTGGTGGTGTTCGCCCGTCGGCTGGTGGTGTTTGACCGTTGGCTGGTGGTGTTCGCCCGTCGGCTGGTGGTGTTTGACCGTTGGCTGGTGGTGTTTGACCGTTGGCTGGTGGTGTTCGCCCGTCGGCTGGTGGTGTTTGACCGTTGGCTGGTGGTGTTCGTCCGTCAGCTGGTGGTGTTCGTCCGTCGGCTGGTGGAGTTTGCTGATTTTTTGACAATGGTGCCGAAAGGACGACTGCAGCCAAAATCATCTAAATCGAGATAATAAATCAAAAATATGCTTTGCGAATAAAAGTCTTACTAATGAAAGCACAATAACGGTTTGCATGGTTGTTGGGTTGAAAAGCTTTACTTGTTTTCTGCTTCTTGGTCCGAACAAGGATGCTTAGCTATAAAGAAAACACTACCCTTATATACTGTTGGAAACCATTTAAACAACCTATGACATTCATGACTCGATCGCCCACGTACCGATAATTAAGTGTACTTTTTTTTTGTCTGACCTATTTTCAACAATACATTCGAGGGTTTTATATTTTATTTGAATTGCTTCGCATGCTGTTCGGTTGAAAGGTAGCCTCGAACAACAGATGCTACTTGTATTACATTGAATTTATTCAAACCTCTGAAAAGAGAAGAGAATCATGACAAAAACATACAACCTCAACAAGGATGCTTAGGTCAAATTTTTCATTTTCTTCTCCATTCTGCTGTACATAAATTTCGGTATAAACGTGGGAGTCAAGGTAAACACTTCTATGTCAACCCATCAACTTCACATTATACATCCATTATGTTTCCTCTAAGAACGTATGAAGGTCGGAGGATAAAGAAGTACTATTGGACGAGAAACTAGTACTCTGATTGTTGAATACACTTTTGCTATTCAATAGTTCAAATTTACAATATAAAATCATATCAATGCTACCTTCATGAGCCATATATCCACATGATAATTTCCTTTGAACGACAGAGGTTTTCAATTCATCAGCCACCTACTCATCAGTTGTATGAAACAAAATTTAACGCGTAGGAAACAATCAGCTGGTATTGTTACTCTCTTGTCAAAAAATGATGTCTCTTTCAATCATTTATATATATTCAAATGAGAATAAATCTAACATCATTCATTTGCCACATAATCTTATCTCAGTCTAACATCGTTTACCTTTCCTTGCAAATCATGAATTCGTCGTATCAACGTTTATTCATTGTATCAGTTATGGTTCTCTGTTTAACGTTTACCACGGTAAAGATTTTCGTTTGTGTCTCGATTCTCGCTTTTATGTATGCTATGCGTGTATTTAGGCTCACCCGCCATCTCGTCTACCTGGACATCGTGGTTTTCTTCTATGTCACATATCTCCAGTTGCTTGTAAACGTGATTTATCGAATGAAAACGAAGTCAAAGAAATCCCATCGATGATAACTATTGCAGATTATCTTCAGATATGTATTTCTACGGGGAAATCATTCGACAACTGTCTTCAACATCCATTCAATCACGGATTGATTAAATAACTATCTATCTGAATGTCATTTGTTTTTCATAGTTTAAACAACATCTATGAAAAAGAATAAAAATGAGGCCATTCCCTGAAGATTATCTTTTCACAAACTTTTTAAGAATGTAATGAAGGTTATATTAGCCACTCAAGCTTCTCCTATCTTCTCAAGTCATTATCTTTGCCCGCTGCAAAGATTCATTTATTTTTTAGGAAAAAGAAGTCGAACATCCTAAAACTATTCTGTTTCCTGAAACAATCCCATTATCTAAACCAAGCTTATTAATATCTATTGCTTTTCTCCTTCCTGTTTTCCATCTCTGAAGTTTCCATAGTAATTTCTATTTACTACTCTCAAATGAAACGTCGTTTCTCTCTTTCTTTCTTTCTTCTTCTCTTCCTGCATTGTTCTTTCGTGTTAATCAAAAAAGAAACGCGTACACTCGTGCGATTTCTACATCGATCTTTCTTTCTCTTACTATCAATTACGCGATGAATAATACAACATCGACTATTTGTTTTAATGTTTTGAATTCAAATAATGCTGTTTACACGTCAAGTATGATTTGGCATGTCTGCGGGCTGTTTTTCGTGGCATTCGGCATTCCTGGTCATATATTTTCCATACTCATTTCAACACAAAAATCAAGTACTAAAGATCCTGGATCATTATACTTCACAGCAATTGCAATTTGCGAATTAATTTTCCTTCTTGGTTTGTATATCGTCTACCTTAGATTTTTTTTTGTCCAACAGAATCTTTCGCAATGAATTATACTTAAAATCCATCGGAAGCGGAAATGTAAGCACAACAAGGTTAACATCATTCGACTTCTTTCAATGCAGAAATTAACTGAATAGAAACTAATTATGACCGGATTTCGGATTAGAACCTGAAGTTAGAGAGAAATCTCCATTCAAGCGACACTAAAACTTTCAGATACCAAAAGGCGCAGATTTCTAATTAATAAAAAGAAATAGACATAAGCTGATGTGTGACATTATCTTCTGATGATAATTTGTGTTGATAGGTACGTTTTGGTGGTGGTGCATGGAAATGTCCTTAATCAAGATAGATCCACGCGAAATCTTCTCGTGCGGAATCTTTTACAATCTTTTAATCGGCCCAACTATACTCTCGAATATATACTTGGCGTTAATGTCAATCGACCGAAGTATAATGATACTCTATCCGTCTCGTTATCGTACACTGATTACTCGCCGAAATGTCCTCATGCGTATATACTTAGTATTAGTATTTGTGATTATCGCTATGATTCCGCATCACTTTTACTTTTATTACAACAAAAATATGACGTTATTTATTTGTGATTTTCATCATTTTATCGACCGGTGGAGAATCCATTTGTGGCCGTATATACATGCAATATTATTTGTTCTCCTTCCAGTGATAATAGCCTACATTTCATCAATAATTCTCCTACATAATCGTTGTAAACATCGACGCGTTGCAAAGAATAACCTGAGTGAAAATGCACGACGAATGGAAAGAAATTCCATCTTGATTTTCTTCATAACAATTGCAATATCCCTTTCAATTTTCCCGCTAGTTATTCTAGAGATCTTTACAGTTCGAGATCGGCTTTACAACCTAGAGCTACTTTGTGGCAAACGATGGAATACTTACCTGATTTTACGCTACTGGTTTTTGATCCTTGGCGTGTTTACCTATTCATGTAAATTCTATCTACGTTTAATTATCTCGAAAATATTCCGACAACAGTTTCTTCGACTGATCTCTTGCAGTGCCTATCGTCAGGTCCAAACGAGTGAACGACACTTTATTCCACTCAAACGTAAATGACCGACAGAATTTGAAGTCTTTCAATATGAAAGTAACGAATTTATTTTTCCTCTCAGAACCAAAACAAATTACCAATTAATAAAGAAAACTAGATGTAAAATACGATGGCACACTGGCAGATTTCGTGTGAACTTGATGTTTATTTTCTTCGTTACTGTCGTTGTGATCATCTTCAATAGAATTGATTTGTCGAGATAGAATGTCGTCAGTGTCAGACTGAGGAGTGCTTCGTGAACTGTTTAGTTCATCATCGAGAAATCTTGTACACTTCTTCTTTCGTCGACAATGTTTACACCATTGACTGATTCCTTCTAAACCGTATCTCGCTCGACATTTTTTTGGATCTGAAAAAATCCCAAGTTCGACAATGCCAATCTACTGACGAGTTCTTACCATTTTCATGTGAAATTGAGGGTTTCGCTTTTTGTACATGTTGTTTTTCGACTCGGCCTGTTTGTTTTTTTCTCTTCATACCATAATTATCACGTGCCGACCAATTCGGATACATTTGTAAATGCCGATTTCGTTCTTCTTTCGCCAAAGCTAAGAGTTCATCAGAATTTCGTCATGTAAATGATCGAAGACAATCACTCGAATCTTTACCGTAGTATCGATCTTGTTCAGTTCGCGATAATTCTTTCCACTTCTGACCAAGAAGTTTGTTGATTGCTGACGATTCTTTCAATGTTGAATCTTCGATTAGATGTGCACGTTGTTCTTTCATAAAGATCATAAATGCATTCAACGGTTTCTTTATACGAGGCTTATTTGACGTCGATTTTTCAGTGGAAACGTTCGTATGACTATAAAACGAAATACATCAATGACGAGATCGATTTCTGATCGACTTACGTTTGTCCCAGTTGCGAAGATGAAGTTGGAGCAGCAAAGGGATTGAAAAAACTTGATGTATACGGTTGGCCCATCATTCCAGGAGGAAGGGGTATGCCTGCAGAAGAGAGAAATGCTTTTCGATCAAGAATGCTTCACAAAAAACTTTACATGGAAAGGGTGACATTGGTACCGGTGTTCCAAATAGATGATTTGTCTGTGTGTCGATTGGTGATTTGACCTAAATGAAAAGAAGATACTAAAACGATTGAATTAACAAGTCTTTGTTTACTGTTAATAAATTGGAAGCATTCGTTTGTGCAGCTGCTGCAGCTGCCGACATGAAGTATGGATAAAGAAATGGAAATGGATAAAATCCAGGGAAATTATTATGAGTTGTGGAATTATTCGTTGTTGGACTAGCCTACACGACGAAATTGGATAATGCATTCAATGAGTTCCAATAGAACTTACTGGTTCTTCCACCACGGGTGATAATCGTTCTTCAATATCGTTATCGGGTTCGATTTTGATTGTGCCCGAAGCGGAGAAAACTTTAATTTCATCATTTTCATTCGTAGTATCTGACATGTTCGATGAATAAATATCTGATTATGAAAAACGTTCGTTTTTAATCATAGATAATACTGAATGGAGTTATATTTGCAAATAATCTCTCTTCTTCTTCTTTTTCGTCGTGCGGCAGAATGTTTTGAACTGACCTTCAATCAAATTGAATGAGAAGAGAAAACACGACGAGAATTGTTTCGTCCGTTGAAGGAAAAGAAAACAATGACGTAGCTCACATTTCTTCAAGTTATTGGTCAAGGCTGACGGATGAAAGAGAAGAAAAGAGAAAAATATGAACGCTGAAAACATCTGTCAAAAATAGAATAGCATATGCGATGAAAAAGAAAGAAAATTCAATTGATACGAAATGACGAATAATACAAAATGTTTGTACGGATCTTCTTTCTGATTGACGATAACACAAGGTTTTGTGAGAAAGTCATTCTCATGAATTGACGTCTATAAATGACGAAATTATACACCTGTATTTATGAGTAATTCGTCCGGCAAGGTAGTTATTCTTCCAATAGCGAATTGTCAATAGGTAGTATAATACGATTTGACGCAGAAAATGCGCCTCCGTATACACGGTCCTCCTTAGTGATAGCAGTCATGCGGAACAATCGTTTGCTTTATTATATAAACAACATGTTTTTCATGCAAAACACTTTCATTTGGTGTTTCGGATAAAACATGGACGAAATCAAAGCTCGTGCTAATAAAGTAAAGATGAAAATAGTTGTTTATAGTTATTGAAAATGAGATTCTTTTTGTAGCTTAAAGCAGCGTTTCACAGTAAAAAGGCAGAAGACAAGGTGGAAAAAGCAAGTGATCCGCCAAAACAATCATCAGATCATGTTGATGCTGCTCATGGTGCTGCAAAAGTCGAAACAAAAACTGAGAAAAGTGCAGCCAAAGTCACTCCGAAGCCTGCTCCACGTAGAAATTAAATGTCATTCAGCATAATGGTTATGTTTTTATGAACTGTTGATAGTTCCGTTTTTTTTTGAGTGAATAATAAATAAATGAGAAACATCAAAATACATCATCGTTCGCTTATTTTAACCCCTTTGTTCTTGCACATGAAGGTGGAAAAAGGATGTCGCAATGTCAATGTAAGTATCAAAGTACTTATACGCAACAATCTCGTTCTTATTTCTTCACATTAGATAAATAGTACGTAAACAGAATGAAAAAAAGGACAAAACGAAATTGACTTTTAAAAATTGATGCAATTTCGATTTACGTGACAAATGTTTAAAGTCGGTCAATGTCAATACGAAGATACACAGAGCATGTTTTGACTAGGAACTAAAACGAAATGATTCTAAATCGATGAATAATGTCGATGAAATCGATTAATATTCATGTAGATATAATTATTAGAATAGCTAATGTTTTCTGTTTCAGTCAACTAGCATAATGACTTTATATGAAATAATATGTTTGATAATAAGTAATTAGCTTCTGTTTTACATAAAGCACATTTGAAACTTAACTTGACATATACTGAAGCTCGTCTCAAGCGTGCTTTTTGACCTGTTAAATGATCTGCCAATATTGATCGGATGTCATGGTGTATCGATGATTTTACAATACCAAACTTATGTGGAAATCGTTCGTATAAATCTTCTTAAATAAGTATAACACAAAAGAGTACTGTTCAACCGAAAGAGATACATCTGAACTGTGTCTGGATTATTCATGAAAATGACGGCGTTGTACGAAGATGGAACAAATGCATCGATATATGTATATTCAAGAAAAAAATACTTTCTTTTTTTATACTGAACTGATCAAAATCAACATCTGATAAATATATAAATTGTCTCATTTTCTTAGATGCTAATAGGTACAGAAGAAAAAAAGATAAATCGATTCTAATAAGAATAAATAAATAAAGTGGAAGACATTGTACAAAAGAAGAAAAAGAACAGAGAAAACTTGCAGAATCAATTGATCACTCTCTTCACATCGAATGAGAAAAAGACGACTCTCAATGTAAAGATACACGTGTCTATCACATCATCTGACTAACTTCAAGCTGAAGATTTCTTAACAATTGTCATTGGGAGTTTTCGTATAGGTATACGACTTTTTGTATTGAAATTCGAAGAAATTGGTGAGGAAATAATATCATTAGACACTGATCGAAGTATAGACATTGTTGTTGTTGATGATGATGTGGGTGTTTCCATGTGTGTCGATGGATTTGATGCTTGAGTATTGGTGCTACTTAGTGATGATGTCGATCCGCCTGTGGATGTCGACTGCCGTTGGAGATTTGATGCTGTTGAATCGATGGATGAACGTCGATTAGTAGGAACTGTCGGTTTCGGACGAGCTTTTGCCGTAGGTGGAAGAAGAACTGGAACTAGACGCTGATTACGTGGTTGTATCGTAGAGATCGTCGCTGATTTTGAAATTGGAGCCGTACTTGGCCGAGATTTAGCCGTAGACGTATTTACAGTTGTTGGTTTACTTCGAGGAAGAGGAGGAGGTGCACGAACTGGTGCAGATACCTGACAGATTGATAAATGAACAGATTTGATGTTTAAAATAGTAGCAGATGGTCTTACTTTTGGCGGCCGAGAATCTCTTTTCTTCTCTTCCACTGATTCATTCGTTGGTGTCGAAGGTTTCACGGCTACGACGGATTTCGTTTTCACGATAGGTACAGGCTTAGATGGAACAGATTTGATAATAGGCACTTCAACACTAACTGGTTTTTTCGCAACTGTTGGTGTTGTTGATGGTTCGGGTAGGAAAACGATAGGTACAGCTGAACGTGGTTCGCCACGGAGATTGAGCAGAACGGATTTTTCCGCGTACTCTTTGATCTGAATAATACAATATTGATGAAAAAGTTTCAAACTTAGAGTTAACTTTACTTTATTTAACTTCAATTCATCGAAATCGGTTAGATTTGGAAGAATATGCTTTTCTCCAACGCATTTCCATAACATTCCCAAAGTTTCAAATGCGCTGTCTCGTACAGTCGGATCTGCTTCCGTTGTATTCTAAATCAATACCATTTTCATATCAATCCGAACATGCGACTCTTCATGGAGAAACAAAAATACCTTGATCAATACCGGCAAATACACTTTTAAAATTTTCTTTGGCAATGTTGCTTGAGTCGCCATTGCAAAACACTTTGTTAGAAATTGTTGAGTACATTGTCGAACGATTGGAGTCTTATGCGTTAATAATGCACCGGCTGCTTCCGAGAATTGTTCCAGATTGGTCTAATCATAAATTCGAACAACTTCTCACTGAAATCACTCTCGATACTTACTGCAGGATAGGCAGCTTCACATGCTTCGCGTAATACTTCAATAACATTGTTTTTCTTCTCTCGACATCGATCAAGACAAACGTCAATTACCTAAATGATCATTGACATGACAAAAAAAGATCCGTCCGAACAACGAACACTTACATTTAAAGCATAATTCTTGAATACTTTTCGTAAACCCTTCGCCAATGCTGTCAAACATTTCGCAGCAGTGAGAACTACAGGAATATTGCTATCTTTGGCTATGATCTACAATGGTCAAGAAAGAATTTCCTAGAAATTAATTGTATTCATGTTCAAACTACTTTTCTCAAAATTTTCATCAGTTCAGAATAATCACTGTCAGGTGTTGGCTTGGGATTTTGAGTTAGCAGGGCTAACAAGTCATCCAGTGCTTCTTTTCGTTCTTTCCACTGCTTTGACTCCTAAAAAATAGAAGCAATACAATCGGTTTCGTTGTTCTTTCTTCACCTAACACATACAATTTTTTCATAGAAATCTTTAGGCAATCGTTCAAGAATATTCACTGCTTCCAACATGTCAAATGGATCAAGATCTTCTTGCACTAAAATCCATTGAATCAACGTAAAATTTTCCCAATACGTCGCACTCTTTACTCTCAACATTTGCATCTTCAATAACAACAGATGAAGGTACACAACTGGCATCTTCCATTTTTTGTTTAAGATCTTGTTGTGAACGAAGAAAACGTGTCTGTCGAGGTTTATCAGCACCGTTCAGATCTAATTTATCGAACTCAGTTTGCAATTCTTGCATCTAAATCAAATGCAATCGAAAATGAATAAATCTTCAGTGAAATTTACTTGAATTGGCTTGACATTTTGAATCATCGGGGTTAACGTTTGTTTACCGATCCATTTGTAAACTTCTACTAATAATAACTTTGATTCATCGCGAACAGTTTTGTCTCGATCGTCAAGCAATGGAATGACTTGTTTGAGAAACGGTTTTATCGGAAGAACTTTCGAACCGAATTCACTACAAAACATCTTCAATGCAAATCGCATGATAGATTTCGTTACTTACGCTAATCCTCTTCGAAGAATTTCCAGGCAAGCTTGTACGATCTTCGGTTGTTTATTTTCTAAACCTTTCACGAGCTCTTCTTCGATTTCAACTTGCTTTTCAATTTCAATGTACATCAACAGAATGTCAAATGCTCGTTCTTTCATTTTCGGTCGTCCGTTCAAACATTTCGTAATCAAACCCGCAGAAACTTCATTGACAGTTCTATCCAATGAAAATCATTTTTTGTACGATATCAAAAGATCTTTCCGTTGCACTTACTTGCCAGCGATACTCGCTTCTTCAACGAAAGCAAACACAGCGTCTAGTGCTTTCTCACGCGCATTGTCGTGCGAGTCAATGACGAATTTTTTCATTAGACCAACATATTTATTGAACTCAGGACTTTGATCTGAATTTTGTGTACGAAATAGTTTGACACATTCTTCATAACCAGTCACGCGAGCTTTCCATGCCTTCAAATAAAGAGTTTATCCAAAGTTTTACCTTCTGTTGGTTTACTTTATGTTGAACTTTTTGATCCGACGGTAATTTTTGCCAATCAGTATCCTCACTGTTGCCGTTCGTTGCCATCTAGAAGAATAAAATGACGGTTTGAATTCGGTCCAAGGCTTACAGGAAGAATCGATATTTCTCGCGGGACAAAAGAACACGAAGACGGGTGTTATAGTTGTTCAATTGATGAGACTGAGTCATACGAAGAAGATTATCCAATCTGATCACGGAACAATATATACAAACGAAGAAATATGTGATGATACTTGCGATAAGCTTAATTCGATAATTGCTGCATGGTCTAATTTAATCTTCTGATTATGATTAACACGTGATAGATGTCTCTAGTTGCCAAGGCAAGTATTCGATTTCACGATGATCGTTATCTTATCGTCATTTTCGGCTATGGACACGTTTTGTATTCATCGCGATGCGGATGGAATTTCCGATGAGGAAATCAAACTGTGGCTGAATGGGGTCATCCCGCCGATATATTTATCGGATGGTGAAAAACCGTCGATAAATCCAACGCGACAAGCGTTGGAAGAAACATTGACTTGTTTGGATAAAGCGCAACAGCCAAGTTTAACATTCGCGTCAGGCCTAGCAGCAGCAACTTCAGTTTGTTTGAGCTTTTTGAAAAAGGATGATCATGCAGTTATTGTAGATGATGCCTATTCGGGAATAACAAATCTTTTCAAGTAATGACTCCATTTCCATTCGTTCGTGTTTCATTTTGTTTTCATTCTATTAAGAGCATGTCTGAGCCGTTGGTCAATTCATTCATCGTTTATTAATTTATCGCAAACACCGTCGATTATAACCAAACATCTCCATTCGAATACCCGTCTTGTTTGGCTTGAATCTCCATCAAACCCTTCGATGCGTCTCGTGGACATTCAAACAATAGCATCTTTAGTTCACGCTCATGATTCTTCGATAATTGTTGTCGTTGACAATACATTTGCTTCTCCGTTAAATCAATCACCACTTGCACTTGGTGCTGATATCTGCTTATCATCAATGACGAAATTCATCAATGGTCACACGGATGTCATCGGCGGATGTTTATCAACGAATCGAAAAGATTTATATGATATACTCAAAACGAGTCAATCATTATTACATATGAATCTATCGCCATTTGATTGTTATTTGGTTCGTCGAGGTCTAAATACGCTTCCTATACGCATGCGACAGCATATGAAAAATGCTTTACAAATCGCACAATTTCTCGAGGGTCATCCTGCAGTTGAACGTGTATTCTATCCAGCTTTACCATCGCACCCTCAGCATGATATCTACAAAAAACAAGGTGGAGCGTCGGGCATGTGTAGTTACGTCTTACACGAGGCTGCTGATACGAAAAGATTTCTTCGTGAATTGAAATTATGTACGGTTGCTGTGAGTCTGGGTGGATGCGAGACTCTAATCGAATCGCCTTCGATTATGACACACCGATCAACACTGTATGAAGCAGAAACGAATGAAAAAATGTCCGATCAGTTGATTCGAATGTCTGTCGGTTTAGAAAATGTATACGATATTATCAATGATCTCAATCGAGCATTAAATCTTTCGATGAATTTAGACTCCAAACAAGATGCATATTCCGATAGGGAGTTAATTGATAAAGCAAGGTATGCCATGAATCGATTAGACTCAACAAACGCTGCTGCTCTGCGTACAGCATCCGGTGAAATTTATTCGGGTATTCGTTTTCAATCAACTATAGATGCAGATATAGGTGCATTATCAGCAATGATAAATGATGGCCATCAAGATTTAGCTACGATCGTAGTATTACGTAGAACGGTTAACGGTATCGAAATGATTAGCCCGTCTGGAAACTGTCGAAAATTAATCGGCGATTTGAATTCGAATGCTGAAGTGCTTATGGGAACAATAGAGAAGCCTTATCGAATGGCCATAAATGATCTTCCTTGAACTTTGTTTTTGAATGATTCGAAATTTTCACGTTTAGATAGAATCTAACACCTTAATCAATGAATACTTTAATAAAATAGATCGATATGACTTAATCAATGGTACTTTCGTTGATATGAATGTTTATACGAAGGCAGTCTAAGCAACGTTAATGCAAACAGTTTTCACTTCGGTGAAAACTTCTTCCGAGTACGGATAACCTTCTCGACCAATACCACTATCCTTGACACCACCGAATGGCATTCGAAGATCGCGTATAAGCCAACTATTGATCCAAACTGTTCCACACTACAATCAAAAGAAGATTTCATGTTCACGAGATTCTAATTCGTCTTACTTCCATGCGTGTAGCAAGACGATGTGCTCGTCCAATATTTTCTGTCCATATACAACCACAAAGACCATATTGCACATTGTTTGCACGTTCAATAGCCTAAAAACTTTGTCAATTTTCACTGAAAACGATGTTTCTTCAAAATTATTTACTTCGTCTTCGGTATCAAATGGTACAATGCAAACGACAGGTCCGAAAATTTCTTCCGTCATTAATTTTGATCGGTCATCAACATTCAAAATCACCGTCGGCATAATGTAGTAACCTTTCTTTGTCGATTTTACATTCGGATCCATTTCTCCACCGGAAACGATTTCATGTCCATTTTGTCGAGCTAACTCGAGATATTTCTCGATTTTATCCTTATGCTCTTTACTTACCACAGGTCCCATTTTTGTATTTTCATCAAATGGATCGCCAACTTTCAATTTCCTAATCGATATAAATTAGTCAACGTGGAAAAGTCATGTCCTACACTCAACAGACCTGACTTCGGGTAGAAATTTCTGAAGAAATTCATCGTAGATGCCTCGCTGAACATACAACCGACTCGTGCACAAACAAATTTGTCCAGAATTGAGAAAGCATGATCTAAACAGATGTTTATTTCCTGCAAAAAAAAGCAGTTTATTCTAGTGAAATACCTCAATAAAACTGGAATACACTTGACAAGATCGACATCGTTAAAGATAATTCCGGCGTTCTTTCCTCCCATCTAAAAAATGAGATCTATTTATAACTTGAAATCTTCTTTGCACTTACTTCCAAAGATAATTTCACCGATAAATGCGATGTTGCTTTTTTTATATGATAACCGGTTTGAGTACTTCCAGTGAATGAGATAACGTTCACTTCAGGATGTGTAACTAACGCTTGGCCTGCTCGCGGACCAACACCAAACACGAAATTCACCACCCCGGAAGGAAGTTCTACATGCAAGAAGAAAACCATAAGGTACCTGATGAATGTAGGCGGAGACGCCAGTTAATTCAACTTATTGTCTTTCATGCTTATGAATGCGTAATTGGAAGTCTCTTTCTCTTTCTTTCAATTACAAAACAAATTCATCATAGTGAACTGTCATTCTGCTATGATCACATGGTTGCTATTAGTAGAAGTGTTTCTTCTTCCATTCATCTTGCACTAATACGAAAGAAAAATGTAAGGAGAACTTTTTAATTATAAAATATACATCTCCTCCTCCTTTTTCTTCTTTTTCTTCTATCAATAAACTTCTTTCAATTGCAATGAACAATCTCACGCAGGATTCCAGTGACACACCGAGTCTCTTCAAAAAGTACTTTCTAGGCGAATCGCCGACAAATATTCTTCTTCGTTTAGCGCTCATCATCCTATTCATTCTTCTCATCTGGTGTATTCTAACTATAATTCTCATCTTTTATATACGATATCAACGAAAGAAACATTTGCAATACTTCAATGAATCGCATCATCATCCTATGTATGGAAGTAAATTGAATTTAACTAATACTAATGTGAAACGTCGTTCGCCGCATCATTCATCTGCATCGTTCAAACGAAAATCGTTTTCAGCATCGGTTAGGAAACCTCCGCTGGCAAATGAAAAGAATAAAGTCTCGTTTAATACGAATAATACTCATGCAATTATTACAGCTATGACGAAACCACCGTTAAGTTTCCGTCAGAAATCAATTTTGGTCACAAGACTCGATCCCAATGAACGTCAAGTGGCAACAGAAATCAAAGTACCTGTAGAAAATAAACACAAAACATCGAATCCGCCGGCTAATCACAGTTCGACAGTAAAATCTCGAACAATTATCGAAAAAGTCAATCGCTTTTCTTCGTATTTTCTAGAAGGAAGTAAAGCTACCCGTTCAACCTAAGTTTTTCTTCGATGATCGAACTGATCAAACCTTCTCGAAAAGTCCATTCCAAATATTTGCTATTAAAATCCGTCGCTTTCCAAACACTAATCTACAAACGCTACCATTACGAAATTCGTTTCTATCGAACTCGATAACGCCGAACGAACGTGTCATTCACTCCCATTGCTTGCCAACAGTTATGGTAACGGATACCAACGCATCCTATACAAATATTGTCGAATTCGAAACATTCGAAGACGAACAAGGAACACGAACTGATGTAGAAAAACGTCTTGCACGGCAATTAAGAGCCTTTTATCGAGTCAGACATTCGACATAAGAAGAACAAGAATATACCTGCGTCAATGAAGACTTGAGCAAGCATACCAGCTGTAATAGAAGTGAATTCACTTGGTTTACACACACAAGTACAACCAAAAGCAATGCACGGAGCGATCTTCCATGTTAATAAGTATAATGGTAAATTCCATGGACTGATTAACAGTGCAACTCCGATGGGTGTACGAGTTGTGTAACTAATAACATTCGGTACTGTTCCATGTGGAGTGAAACTAGTAAAATCGAAGAAGTTTTCGTCATTCAGGAAAAGTTTTCTGTTACCTTTCACGACTTTGCATTAGAGCTGTGGCAAAAAATCGGAAATTTTCAATAGCACGTGGAATCTCAGCAGTGCGAGCTAGCCATAATGGTTTGCCCTGATCTAAGGATTCAGCACGTGCGAAATCTTCTAAACGTGCTTGAATTAAGTCAGCTATTCGATTTAAATAATGTGCACGTCTGCCGGCAGTTTCACGACTCCATCTAAACGAGCAAGATTTCGATCTATTTCTCATTCTGACATCGACTACATACGAAGGGAATGCTTGTCGGGCTGCCTGCACAGCTCGATCCGCATCTTCTGCTGAACCATCCGCTATTTGAGCAATAACTTCTTCCGTACTTGGATTCAAACTATCTAAATAACTTTCAGCCGGTACAAATTTTCCATTGATAAAATTATCGATTCGCTGAAGTGACACCATGTTGCTTCAAATAAATCAAACAACGTAAATCAGATTCTGGCGATTTCACCCGTTTTATATTTACGTCATTAAGATATTTTATAGGGTGAATATACCTCTATTTTTCGTTCTGAGTGAAGATGTCGTCATCAACGAATATGATATTCGCATTTATTTCTTTTTCCTTAGACACAACGAAAAAACGGCGAAGCGCTAGGGAAAGAATTCTGGTTTTATTTGAAATAATTAAAGCGAATTTTAAGGATCTAAAAATCCACGTAAAGAGGAGCGCCAACGCCGACTAATGGTGCAAGAACCTTCTGGAAAAGACTGCGTAGGTTTGCTTCGAATTTCATTTGTTGGCTAAGGAGTTGTTGATCCACTTTTTGAGCATTTTTAAAACCATTAAAGTATTCCGTACAATTCGATGAAAGAGTATTGGCATTGGCAGTGTCTTTTAGATAGGCGATCACTGTCGCACGATTCTGAAGAACACGGTCGTAATCATGATCTGCTTCGAGAGTAGCAATCATCTTTTGCGTTTCCGACAGAAATTCTTGTGCTACTGTCTTATTAACACATATTTTTGATGTCCAGGAAGTTTTTCCATCGAACCTTGCATTACGATACTGCATGAATGTTGGATAATTAGCATTATTCTGATAGGCGGATTTGTAACGCGCATCAAAAGCTGTACTAACAGCTACGCACACCTAAACAAACGAAATATTTCTGTGTTCGAATGCTTTGTAAAGAAAGTTTCTGAAACAGCTCACGAGAGTAATGATGATTGAAGTTCTAGTCATGTTCTTCTGCTTGTTGTTCATAGTTTTTCCGCTGTATTTATAAGCCATTTGCTTTGCTTGGTAACACTCTGAGAGGAAAACAATTCTTTCTTCAATGCGACTGAAGTTTCCAGGGAAAAAGCTATTACTTTCATCGTTTTCCACTCATCATACGCATTTTAGTAATTAAATTCATCGAATATAAATTTAAAAAATGGGTTTTAACAATGAACATAATTATACATAAACTTGAAGCTTTTCCGCCGATGAAAAACATAACTTAACATCATGTCTTCCGTGAATTACTTTCTCATCATTGATTTCGATTCACGCAGTTAATTTTCAAAAGAATTCATTCCAAAAAAAAATCCTTCAACTTCGTTTACTGCTCATCAGTTTCCTGTTGGAATTTCATATGCATGAGATAATTGAATGGACACATCACTGTGGGATATCGGATCAATACAGATCTTTGCGGTGCTATTACAGGGAAAAGGGAACAATCTATCCATGATTATGTGTATTGTTCGTTTTCTTCTAACTAATCCAAAAGAAAAACTTCTATGTTCATTTTGAATGCTGGATGAACGACGTGTGAAGAAAGTAAATTTTTTATTTATGAAAGAAAAACGTATTCAGTTGAGCTTTTACTTTAGCTAACGGAACAATTGTCCCACAACAAACAAGTAAATCACCGAAATACGATGTTTGACATTCTATCCTTCGTTTTGTTTCATCTATAGATGTATCGAGAAGATCTGGAATGTTTTTACTGCAATGTCTGTCGACGAGGTATCACGGATGAGTTTTATCTTCGTGCTGGTCCGAAAATCTACCATGAAGCATGTTTACAATGTTCAGTCTGTCAGCAACATCTCGATGAGCAATCTACATGTTTCTTAAAAGGAACGCGTATTGTCTGTCGACAGGATTATTATAGGTACACTTCAGGATAATAAAAAAACTAATGCTTCGATTTTTTTTCTTTTCATTTCGAGATATTTTGTTCATAAATGTCCTAAATGCAATCGTTTAATATCTCCGAATGATTGGATTCGTCGTGCATGTGATTATGTTTATCATTTAACATGTTTCGCTTGTTACACGTGCGAACGACAGCTATCAACAGGTGAAGAATATTCACTAGACAATGGGCATATTCTATGTAAAACGCATGTCATCGATGGAAATGATGACAAAAACGACGGTAAGGTCGAAGAAAATATGTGTGTTCTATTTTAAATGGACTGCATAGATCAAAAACAGAACAGAACGAAGAGAGTCCGAACGGCATTTAGCGAAGAACAATTACAAGTATTACAAGCAAGTTTCGAGATCGATCAAAATCCAGATGGACAAGAATTGGAGCATATTTCACAAATAATAGGTATAGGACTTGTTCGATGAATTGTGCTCTTAGTAGTAGTTTATTCTAGGATTGAGTAAACGGGTTATTCAAGTTTGGTTTCAGAACACTCGAGCTCGACAGAAGAAGGTAAATTTATGAACGATCTTGTGATTGATGTAATTGCATTCTCTAGCAAAGAACCTCATCGCGAACGCGATCGACTAGTGGCAGTAGTAACAGTTCAATTTCAAAACGACAGTGGTGTGAATAAATAACTTTAAGTGTATTTTAAACATTTTTTTTTTCTCATTCAAAGAAACGAAGCGAGATTGACATGCATCAAATCGCTATTCTACGAAGAAAAGATCGACTACAATGAAGTTCGATCATCGATTTTAGCTGTAGTCATCGAGCAAATGACCTTTTGTGTTGTATTCATGTTGTCGGATCGTGTAATGAATCTTTAAACATGGCAAGCTATTAAAGAAAAACGTTGATTTTGTAGCCTTCATCCAATGAGTGATTGCTAGGTAGAAATAAACTGTTTGAAAAGGAATATGTAGGCTCGAACGGGTACTTCTGTGCCATAAAATCAATGAAGTTGCAATTCAACCTGACCTTATTTTCATCGATCTGCGATCAAGGGGAAAAACGAGAAAAAGTGCCACCAGATTTTCTTTTGTGAAGTATAAATATTATAGATTTATTGCTGGTACCATTAGTAAATACGAGGTAATGATTAATCGACTTCAATAGCGACGAAAACAACGTTAATAAACTCCATTCGATTGGGTATACCTCTATGGGTTCGATATGACAAATTTTTCTTTTTATATAGTACGAGACATGTAACAACAACGACAACAGAAAAAGCTTCTCTCTGATTTATAATGTCTCAAAAACATACTTTTGACAGAACACGAAAACGAATCATTTTCTGAAATAAGAAACAACAGAAGTACATATGTTTCTAAACATGGCACAAGTAAGTATGCTGATATCGGTTCTTTTTGCATCCATTGTAAAGACAAATGGACAAGCGAGTAAGCAGTTCTCTATGGGAAATGGGTCGATTGTTGAATATTAAAATTGATTTAGATTGCTCATTGAATAATCCATGCGGCCCACATGGGTATTGTCGTGATAAAACTGGCGCCATTATTTGTGAGTGTAAGTTTTGGTGGGATGGAACATTGTGCGATCATCAGACAAATAGTGGCATACAAGTGATCGTGCTTGGATGTCTACTAGGTGCATTAATGATACTTTTTTATGGATTACAGATTGGAAATATGATTCGAAGGCGAAGAAAACAACCGAAGAAAGCGGAGAAAAAGTATTTCACAAACAACTGATGTTTTGTTTTGCATGTGACATGCTTTCTTTAGAGAAATTCCATACAATACGAAACTAGTTGACCTAGCTATACATAATGCGAAACGATCGGTACGGTTATCCTCATTTATCATTGCTATTTGCATGATGATTGTTGCTGCAGTGGGATTAGTATCGAAATGGACGATCATCCAACCTATACACGACGAGATTGTCAAGAAATATTTAAACAATCAATCGATTTATTTTATACCAAATAATTTCTGTGACGTTACAACTTATCAGAATTTTAATGTTATAACATTTCCTGTTTCATGCTTTGTTATTCTTCTCTTCATTATACGAAGTCAACGGGTATCTTGTTTACGTGATAAACTTCGTGGGTACGGGACACCGCCAGTACCTATAGATTTTCTTTCGCATATCGATCGGAAATTTGCTGCCGTTGTTTTTGCTGTATGTGCTGATGAATTAATATCAATCTTACAAGAAGCGTTCAATGGTGGGGGAGCTAAAGGTAACGGTGTCATCGTCTCCTATCTTCTACGTTTATTACAAGTCATTGTTATGGGCTTTCGTTATTATCCAATGCTTGCAGCAGTCTACATCAATTCGATCTTCACATTAGCTTGCGGTACGATCTACGCTTGGCTAGATTATTCGATGACCATAGTCAATCAAGGAATGTGTCAACCGGATTTCTATCCAACATACGAAGATTCGTTGGATAATTCAACTACTATTTCTGAAAATCTTAACTACTTCGGTACTGGTCCAAGTTTAATTGCAATTCAGCTATGTACGGACATCCCCCGGTATTTATGTTTAGCTTACATCAATGTGAAATTACCAATGTTGTTGATCAAAAGAATTAGCCGACGGTTTAGAAAAAATATCCCATTCGAAGAACGAATGATGAAGAAATTAACTCGCGAGCAAAGAGACTTCTTTCGTATTTCGAATCCGACGTCAGTGGAAATGCTTTATGTACAAAATCTTTTCCGTTCAATAGCTGATCAACGACCACCAAGTCGCTCCTTGTGGGCTCGATTAATACCGAAAAAAATCTACGAATGGAGAGATGATTTTCAATTTTCAGCTCGGGTTTTGTGTGTTTATTCTTCGATCTTCCTTCTCCTGTATTTCGTTGCCATTCAAGCATGCGTACGCGTAATACCTCAATTACAATTCGTCCAAAAATTAATACAAAGCATTCTTGACGCGATATCTATAATAGCTATTGCAAGTCCTTCTGGTGATACAGAAGAAGCGCAAGTTGATACTTCGACTAAAATTGTCGATAGTCTCACATCAAATTTTCCTGTTCCAGAACTGACTCGACCGTATATAGTTGCAGTTTTCATGACATTAATCATTATCACTACTCAGCTGTTGGTTATGCTTGCTAATATTCGTCGAAATCTATTTCAATCATTTCGTGGCGATGACTCCGAGATTCCCCGACGACAACGTTCAAGATATATTTCATACGCAGCTGGAAACATTCATTTCGCTGGATACTTCATCGGTTATTTGATTTGGGGCTTTATACTTGCTGCAGTTTTTTCGGCTTTAATATGTATTGCAGTCGATGCCTTCATTACATTCGGAAGTGTCCGATTAGTTGAAAAGATTCTAAAGATTATTATACCAAGTTTATTATTCATATTGTTCAAGCAATACTTAAACAAACTGCTCGCACAATATGTCTTCTTGCAACATCAAGGCGACGTTCTTGCTTTGAATAATCGACGAATCTTAATGATATTTATTTATTTCAATTTCTTCCTCGATGCATTTCTCGGTTTTATTTCATCGATTATGCGTTTAGTCAAGAGTGTTGTGGGTGGAATTATCTACATGTGTCGACTGGATTATTCTCCATTAGGTCGTAAATTAGAAACCATGGATGGCGGTTTTAGTGCTTATTGTGGTTTCATACACACAGAATGTGCTCATCGACATCCGGTTATGTTGGTGTTTGTTTCACATCTATATACGCAAATCAAATTAAAACAATGGGAAGTGAAGAAAAGGCAGTTCAATGATTTGTCGAAAGATGAAAAATCTCCAACGAAATCAAATCGTTCCTCGAGATATGTTCGTAAATGGAAACTACTGGTCTTTCTTGTGCGAAATCCAACCATTGTCTTTTTTCGTAAAGCTTTTCTCAATCAACTACATATTGATGAAATTCATGCTCTCAATGATGTTGACAGTAATGACAAGAAAAATATGCAACAACGATTATCGATTTATGCACGTCGAATGTCGGCAGCACGTGGAAGTATTGTTTCAGAGACGTCGTTGAATCGTGTTCAAAATTGTCGACTTTAATCATTTGATTTGGTGATATTATAAATAGATACATGCGATTACTTTTTTTCACAATAAACATTGCAAATGTTAATTGAATTTTCTCTTCGCTCTATTGATACGTTTTTTACAATTATATTCTTGTTTTAAATCAAAGAAAAACTCTTGTTGACAGTTATCAATTAAATCACTGTCATGGCAGATTTTGAAAAAGCGGATCAGAGTCTAATGCATGTTCACATCCAAATGGAGTTTTTTATTCTCTCGTTAACGGAATGTTCCGTTCCTCGAAGCCGTGAAAGCAAGAACGAAAGAAAGAAAAGAGAAAAAAGTGTTGTCACATATCACTCTAAGGATCGTTCACTGTAACTAGCAAGTGAAGAAATGGCAACATTGATAGGCGTCTTTCTTATAATTAATTCATAGCATGTCGATGATTGGCGTGTAAGCCAATGTTTCTACTTCGACTTTCCTTCCTTGTTCAATTACAAGCGCATAGACGAATGACTTTTACTCTAATAACAAAAGTCGACTTATATTCTTATCTGACGGTATTTCTAAAAGTTATTAGCACGATTGTAGAATACTGACTAGAAATTAACCTTTTCTTATTATCGTTATTTCCTCGCTTCGTATACGAATGGAAAAACATATTTTTTCAATAGAGAAAGTAGTTCTCTTTTCCTCCTGAGAACTTATTCGCCCAAGAAGGATATAGAGAGAAACGTATTTGTGATTGAAAAAGACCGAGTGGGCGAAGAAGAATAAACACATTTATGAACAGAAAAGAGAAAATCAGTTTCTTGTCAGGAACATGGCTAGACTAGAAGAGAAATTATTCTAGGAACATATAAAGAGGAAGAACAGAGAAGGAAACATTAATTATACGATACATCTACTTTAAAAGAATCTACTTTCTTTTATTACTTTCATTTATTAAGGTTGACGATGAATAATAGATTTTTATTTAACAAACATCTTTTTATTACAACAGCCAAATCGACACGAACAATTTTAAAACGGGTGAATCAGAAGATTCAATGTTGTGAAAAGAATATAAGATGAGATTTGTTGTTTAGATCAAACTTTATGATGTATCGTCTCGCTTATTTTCATTGTCATCGAAAGTTTCCTACTCAAATATTGCTGTACCAAGTAAGAGAAGAAACCGAAGAACATGAAACTTAATATAGTATAATGTAGAATTTCAAATTGATCTGCCTGGAATCGAGAATTACGGTTTTGAAGGTGAATCATCGTTTATGATTTGTAAACATGGAGCAGTAGCGTCAGATTCGGATGAAGCATCAAAAGTCGGAAGGTACTTGTATCAATTATTCGATAGCCATCTATTGCATTGCTTTTCGAAGACGTATTCTAAATCTTGGCGGTTCAGCAGTTGATGCAGCTATAGCTGTACTTCTGTGCGTTGGCATACACAACTGCCATTCGACTGGTATTGGTGGAGGATTTCTTATGAACATCTATGATGTGTAAGTAACCAAAGAGTCTTTTTTCTTTATCTTTTTACATGATGATTCAATTATATGAAGTGCAAAGAAAGAATGCGTAGCTATAGACGCTCGTGAAGCAGCACCGTCGAATGCACATCAACGTATGTTCGTTGATGGAAATCCACCACCATCATCTGTATCAGGTAGAGATCGAAAAGTCTAACGAAATTGAAATGTTATTAGCAGATCTATCTCAGGTGGTTTGTCTATTGGAATTCCTGGTGAAATAGCTGGTTATTGGAGTGCTCACAAACAGTATGGTAAACTACCATGGTCAGCACTATTTCGACCGGCTATCGATATGTGCAATGAAGGCATTACAGTACAGAAGGCACTTGCATTTAGTATTCTCAAAAATAGAGATAAATTATATGAACATAGACCATTCCGGTAAAGCAATGATTCTTTCGTGAAAAAGAACTGATGCTTATTTTCTTTTTTTTTCTACAGAGGAGTGTTTTTTAAAGGTGATTCTGATGAAGTTTATGGCTTGCATGATACCGTATACCGACCACGTCTTGGTGATACTCTCGAAATTATTGCAGAAACAGGACCAAGCGCATTCTATCAAGGTGAATTGTCGGCAAGAATTTGTGAAGAAATTCAAGCAAACGGTGGAATAATTAATGAACACGATCTAGCAACTTATAATGCTCGAGTCAAACCGGCTCTCAAAGTAAAATTAGACCATCATTATACAGCCTATGGCGTTCCACCACCTGCTAGTTCAGCCATCACTCTATTGATTCTTAAAGTAATGGATGGTAAGTCATGAGAGATTCGTGAAAAGAATAGAGCTCTTCTCGAATTCTCTTCGGAATCAATTATTGAACATGAAGAATGAGTTATGGTTCATAAAGAAAAAAAGGAAATTCATAATAGAGACTGTTATTTTGTGAATAAATGTGATAGAGCTCTTGCATGATAAATATATCGCGCCAACAAACAATTGATCCTTTCTCGGTACATTTCAGGTTATGGTTTAACACCACAGTCGTTGGACACTGTTGAGAAACAAGTGAGATTTTATCATATACTCAACGAGGTGTTCAAATTTGCCTATGGAAAACGATCGGCATTGGGTGACGAGTATGATTCAGATACGGAGAAAAATGAAGAAATCGAAAAAGTACACGACTTTATTTTGCTAATCATTTCCTCACTATAGATACTAAAATTTAGCTACTTCATTTAATTTTATCTTCCCAATATGCAGAAGATATACGCCATCGTGTAGACGAAAAAAAAATTCAGCCACTTGATTACTATGAGCCAATGTTTGAACCACAGACCGGTATGCTGATGCATGGGAAGAGAAAAGTTTCTAGCTCTCTTATCTACTTTTAAAGATCATGGTACTAGTCATGTTTCTATCATTGATGCAGACGGTAATGCAGTTGCTGCTACAAGTACGATCAATACTGCGTAAGTTCTAGGCGTTGTAAGTGTAATAAAAAGCAATCATGAACGTATCTGTAGTTTTGGAGCTTTTGTATATGGACATAATACTGGTATGTGATGCATATGTGCAAAAAGAAAATATGTACGTTCGGAGACTATACGGATAGGTATCATCTATAACAATCAAATGGATGATTTTTCCAAGCCTGGTTCACCTAACTTCTACGGATATGCTCCGAGTCCTGCTAACTTTATCAAACCTTGTGAGTGACAACGATATGCACAAATAAAATGAGGCAGAAAAAAAATTTATGGTTTCAGTTAAACGTCCAATGACATCAATGAGTCCGATTCTTGTCACTGACTCTAGAGGCAATGTTATCTTTACTGCTGGTGGCTCTGGTGGTAGTCGAATCATCTCCTCTGTATCACAAGTTGCTATCTATAATCTCTGGCTTGGAAAAAGTATTCGAGATGCTGTCGACATGCCTCGCTTGCATCAACAACTCATTCCAATGGAACTCGAACTCGAAAAGCGCTTTCCTGTGGTATGCGAGGAAAGAAAACATCTCGGCTGTGTGATTGTTTTCTGTTTTTCTATCTAGAATGTCGTTCACGGTTTATTGGGGAAAGGTCATACAATATCTGGCTTTCGTGGCGGATGTGTGGTTCAAGCAATCGAACGCCGTCATGGCAATGAATTATGGGCAGTAAGTGACGCTCGAAAGGGAGGTGCACCTGACGGTCTTGGTTATACAAATTTAACAAAAAGTTTTCGCAACTGGTTTCGTCGAACTTTTAAACGAAGTAAAGAGCAAAGATTGCTCGAACAAGAAATCGAAAAAGGAAGATTATTAACACCCAAATGAAAGGAAAAAAAATCGTTTTAGTATATTTTGTGATCCTATTTCCTTTTTACCCTATTATTTCCTGTCGTAGCGCGTACGTTACAAGCATCAATGTTCCGTCTCTCGCATGGATCAATTTCCTAGTTTTATTTGAGTATTATTTTAAACAATACTGTTACTTTTCTCACTCAACATTAATGTGGCCTTTTAAGGATAAAAAAGTAATCTGTAAACATGCGTTTTTAAACATTGCATAAAATATATCCAACGAATTGCACTGTATTGACGACGAAAGATTTTCTTATCTTCATACCACTCGAATTTCTTGAATCAATTGAAATGCATACCATGTTATAACGCGGTCAAATAAAATTGTTGAAAAAAGAATTTATTTATTTGTATTATATACATTTATTCTAGTTTATTCACCAGCGTTGTGTATTGTTCTTCACATGGAATATATACGAATAAGAGAAAAACAACAACAATATGCACACATCACAACATTATTGCCCATTTTGAAATTTTTTTCGTTCATCAAGTAAAGCTTGTGATAGAGATTGTAAACATGTTTGCACTTGATCGAGAAGATACTCGGCTAATTCTGTTGTTTGCTCCAATCTCGTTGTTGCTGCAATATTCTCTTGCTCCAATAATTCTAACTGTCCATGTTGTTCTGCCAAATCATCTTCTGTAGATGGAATCGTTGGCAATGAATCAATAAGAGCAACAAGTTCACTCGTTGTGCGTGTTATATACGTTGCAAATAATCGTGAATAGTCGTCGCCATTATTGTCAACATTCGTTGTGGTACTCGAGGAATTTTGTTCAAAATCACCAAACCGACTAGGTCGAGCTGTTTCTTGCAGAACACCTGTTGCATTACATAAGTGATCAGCTAACAAATTAACAACATCCTGTAATTGAGTTAACCGATCCGACATGATGAAATCCGAAAAAGAGAACGAATCAAATCTAGAATAAAAATAACATATGATCAATTGTTGTTTTCATACTCTCTTTAAACTCAACCATCGGGCTTCTATGAAAAATGATTACTGTTTCTCTTCTTATATCACGAATGTACTTCTTAATTAACGAGAGTAATTACTGTAAAATACCGATAAAGCTTCAAGTAGTAATACATAGCACATGAAATAACAGACAGTGACTTATCAATTATTCTTTTTGTTACTAATTCTCGTTACCTGTGTGGCAACAGATAACCTAAAGCAGTCGCGAAATGAAAGGCAAATTGTTAGTTTTTTTTTTCATTCATAAAGTCAACATCAAAGTGGGAGACCGATAGTGGGTACGTTACAGCATTCTCTAGGTACACAAATACCACGGTGCGTGTGTATTTACTCAGATCCCTTTCTTTCGAAACTGCTAGGATGTTAGCAAAATGATAAATATTCTATTCTCTTCATTAATAAGGATCGATTGAGTAATGATCCTCTGATAATTAATATTTTTTATTGTATGCTTCCTGTTTGCGATACATGGAACTATTGAAACTTTAATAGAAGTGCAACTTAAACAGTAAGCTAAATGAAAAATAACAGCAAAATATACATCCATCCACTCGGCTGTTGAAAAAAAGCGAAAGATGCAAATAAGTTGTCATTGGAAGCCAAGCGAGCGGCAAGATCGATTTTTATGCTTACATATGTCGCAGCACATTTATGCGACTGTACAGAAAAGAAAAGAGAGGAAGAGAAAGAAAAAAAAACAGACTAATACCATCGTTTCGATTGTGTCAGCGAATAGAAAACAAACGAGGATAAACTGACAAAGCCATTTCCAAGGCCATTTTGGATTTGTTTAGATTTGAATGTTCTAACAACATACAACGATGAAAATATTCATGCAAAAATGTCTTTCGCCTCTGAATGTTCAACATCTTCTAAGAAGAGTAAGTACATATCAAAAAGATTGATAGAATCCGAAGACGATTACTTTCTAAAGGCTAACGTTTATAACAATCATTATCGACTGTTTTCATTTTCATCTACCAGACGATCGAATGAAGTCGAACCTCCGAGTAAGACTTATTTAAAAATATTTCAGTAACGATTTTGTGACTGTATCGTTCTAGAGTTTCGAATTGATCTACCTGGCGTCGAAAACTATGGTTTTGAAGGCGAATCATCGTTTATGAGATGTAGATACGGAGCGGTTACTTCCGATTCCGAGGAAGCGTCAGTAGTGGGAAGGTATTTCCTAGCGTTATTAATAACTAAATCAATACTTTCGTATTTTTTTTCAAATGAATGAAGACGTATTTTAAATCTCGGCGGTTCAGCGGTTGATGCTGCTATCGCTGTTCTCCTTTGTGTTGGTGTACATAACTGTCATTCAACTGGTATCGGTGGAGGATTTCTGATGAATATTTATGATATGTAAGTAAACGAAAACTATGCTCGTCGTATCTCATGTTGTTGCTGAAACTATCTGTAGTGAAAAAAAGGAATGTATAGCAATTGATGCACGTGAGGCAGCGCCATCGAATGCACATCAGCGTATGTTTATTGACGGCAATCCACCACCATCATCTGTATCCGGTAAAATACCTAGATGACGAGCGATTTTGATGTGAAATTTTCTTTCAAGGTGCTGTAGCGATTGGAATTCCAGGCGAAATCGCTGGATTCTGGGCGGCACATAAGAAATATGGTAAACTTCCATGGTCAGCTTTATTTCGACCAGCTATTGATATGTGCAGGGATGGTATTGCCATACGCAAAGCATTAGCTTTTACGATACTAAAAATGAAAGATCAATTATGGGCGGATAAATCTATGCGGTAAGAAGCCTTACAACATGAAGCGACCTTGAAAAGTAAACGTATTTCACACTTTTCAGACGAGTTTTTTTTAAAGGTGACTCTGACGTTGTGTACGGTTTAGGGGATACTATTTATCGGCCACGTCTCGGTCGAACCTTAGCGATCATCGCTGAGAAAGGTCCAAGTGCCTTCTATCAAGGTGAATTATCAGAAGCTATCTGCGATGAACTTCAATCACGCGGAGGAATTATCAATCGACAAGATCTTGAAACATACCATGCACGAGTCAAACCTGCTATTAGTGTTGAACTGTCAAACAATTACACAGCCTATGGTGTTCCACCACCTGCTAGTTCTGCTATAACACTACTCATTCTCAAGGTCATGGACGGTAAGACAAAAGAATGTTGTAATATGCTAAAAATAAAAATTTCTCTTTGACATATGACAGGTCTGCGATTGACACCACAATCGTTAGATTCGGATGAGAAACAGATCAAATTCTATCATACACTGGTAGAAGTATTTAAATTTGCTTATGGTAAACGATCAGCATTAGGCGATGAATACGATTCGCAAACTGAGAAAAATCTAGATATCGAACGAGTAAATATTGACACTCTATTTTTGAAATTCAACGAACATCTAATTCCAGTTGCTTCAACTTATTCTCTCTCCGGAATATGCTACAGAAATTCGTGAACGTATCAACGAAAACAAAGTGCAACCACTGAATTACTACGAGCCAATGTTTGAAATTCAAACCGGTATGTACTCAACGTACTTCAATAAAAACTACTCATTTCATTTCTTTATAGATCACGGCACCAGTCATTGCTCAGTTATCGATTCGGGTGGAAATGCTGTCGCGGCAACGAGCACTATAAACACGGAGTAAATAAAAAAAACTTTGTAACTGGTAGAAGACAAACTTGATTCTAATTAACTATGCTGTTTTCTAGTTTCGGTGCACTTGTTTATGGACATAATACTGGTTAGTTGACACAATTTCTATCTAAAAAGAAGAACAAAAAATAAATTGACTTTAGGTATCATTTATAACAATCAAATGGATGATTTTTCTCAACCGGGCTTGTCGAACTATTATGGTTATGCACCAAGTCCGGCAAATTTCATTAAGCCTTGTAAGTAAAGTGAACAAAGATTAAATTATTCACCTCAATCAAATCTAAAATAAAAAATAGTAATGGCAATAGGCAAATATATTACTTTTCTCTCATTTATTTATATTATCGAACAATCATAAAGATAACTGAGTTCTCATTGATCTTAGTACGAGAAGCAACGTTACAACTTAATCTAAAAATAAACATCATCACGTCTAAGCCAATGGATAGACTCAATCTTATTCTCATTTTAGTCAAACGACCCATGTCATCGATGAGTCCGATCCTCGTCACAGATTCCAGTGGTGATGTTATCTTTACTGCTGGTGGCTCTGGTGGTAGTCGAATCATTTCCTCTGTATCACAAGTTGCTATCTATAATCTCTGGCTTGGAAAAAGTATTCGAGATGCTGTCGACATGCCCCGCTTGCATCAACAACTCATTCCAATGGAACTCGAACTCGAAAAGCGCTTTCCCGTGGTACGCGAAGAAAGAAAACATCTCGGCTGTGTGATTGTTTTCTGTTTTTCTATCTAGAATGTCGTTCACGGTTTGTTGGGGAAAGGTCATACAATATCTGGCTTTCGTGGCGGATGTGTGGTTCAAGCAATCGAACGCCGTCACGCAAACGAATTGTGGGCAGTAAGTGATGCTCGAAAGGGTGGCGCACCTGATGGGGTTGGTTATACAAATTTGACAAAAAGATTAAATAATTGGATGCGGCGAACATTCAATCTGAGCAAGGCACGTCGGCTACTTGAACAAGAAATCGAAAAAGGAAAATTATTAACACCAAAATAAAAAATACTCCTTCTGTGTTCTTATCATACCCGCATATAGACAGATGATAGATTTATTTTGAAAACTGCTCGTGTTCATTTTCTTTCTTTTTATTCTAAGTTATGTTGTGTGTGTGTGTGTTCTAAAAAAATGTTTAATGGAAAGGATAAAATAAGAAAAAACTGGTATCAATCAAGTTCATTATTTTGCTTTTTGAAAAAGCTCATCCGCCTTTTTCCAATTTGCAATTTGAAAAATTGCTTTGACATAATCAGCACGAACATTCTTATATTGAAGATAATAAGCATGTTCCCAGACATCAATACCAAAGATAGGTAAGAGACCTTAAATAAACACGCGGAACGCAAAACAAACATAAAATCATCGTTTGCAACATCTCTTACCGGTTGTGGCTTGTAAAGGATCTTGGTTGGAACAAGTTGCAACTTGTAAACGTTGTTCTTGTTTGTTAAAACCTAGCCAACCCCAACCACTGCCTTGTACGCCAACACTTGCATTTGATAATTGTGTTACCATTTTATCGAACGAACCAAAATCTTTCTTGATTTGATCAGCAAGAGCACCACTTGGTTGATTACCTCCTTCTTTTGGACAAAGAACTTGCCAGAATATTGAATGATTTAGATGACCACCTCCATTGAAACGGATCGCTGGTTGAAGGTGAATCATTGTGTTAAGATCATCTTAAACGAAAGAGTCTTGTTATGTAAAAAAACGAAGGAAATTGTTCATCAATACTTTTAGCTTTAGCATCATTGTATTTTTCTTCAGCTACATTGAGGTTATTAACATATGTAGCATGATGTTTTTGATGATGAAGTTTCATAATTTCACCAGATATAATTGGTTCCAAAGCATTGTAGTCATATGGAAGATCAGGTAAAGTATGTTTGGAACATCGTGACAAAGCTGGAACTAAACTAAATCAGTATATCGATAAAGTAGATGTGCCAGAAGAAGAATTTGCAAAAAATTCCTTACGTTCGAGGAGCTAATTTAATGATAGTTTGCATGATGAATTTGATTCAGTAAATCTACAATGATATATTAATAAAATCGAACCCAGTGAACTGTATATGCGAATATATGAAATCAACAAAGAAGGAATCGAATGGTTGGCTACTTTCTTGTATATAGATGATAGCATTGGACAGATGATCATTCTAGTGACAGATGTCATTATCTACCGTTGACGAAAAAGAAAGAACTGTTTTCATAAGAGTAGCAGCAGCTGGTTTTTATTCATCAAGGATTCATTGATACAGAGAATAGGTATTAAAAATAAACTTTCTCTTGCATTTTCAAAAGTAAATCATATTAATATTTGAATAAAACGCAATTATGTTTCTTCATATAATAGTTTTTTTATGTTTTGAAACAAAGCCAATAATGAACATTTCCGATAGTTTGTCCTATCCTATTTGAAAGCTGTTAATGTTATCAAACTACTCATCGAGGCGAACAGAACAATGTTCTTCTTCCTGTTAGATCGAGCAAACTTGTTAAATACTTCTCACTCACTCTCTTTTGTTATTCTAATATACGAAAGACATGCACATTAGAGACATCTGTGATGAAGATGTCGATGAAAAAGATTCTCGATAGAATTGGAAAATGTTTGAAAAAAGAATAGTTTTTTCTCGATGAATTTTATTCGACGAAAATTGATTTCATTCGTCAGAAAATATTCAAATGAATCATCTGTCTGTCAATGATTTTCATTAAAAGAAGGAATGATGTTGGATGAGTATCGGAAACGGGCATCGTTCTCCATTGAACGTATGAAAAACATTTTCGAAGATGAATCATCGCAGATTTACCGAGTATGAAACACACATTTTCTCGTTTTTTTTGTCAAATCTCTCATATTTTTCCAGGAAAAACTTTGGTCAATACTCAACTCTCAATCGATATTTCACCAAGCAAAACAGCCATTAACCATCGATGAATATAAACGATTAACTTACCTTCGTTGTAAGGAATTAATACGATTGAATTTGTTGACCGACGATGAACTGTATGAAAATCCTCGTCGGAAAATTATACTCGAACAATGTTTAGCGATGTATGATTCGTCATGTCATGCAAAATATTCACTTCATACAACTGTATTTTGTGAAACGATACGTAAATTGGGTACGCAAAGACACGCATATCTACTCGATTTGGAAAAGAATGAAAAAGTAAGGCAAAAATCATCGTGGAAATGCGTACGAACAATGTTTTTCGAATAGATTTTTGGATGTTTTGCTCTGACGGAATTATCTCATGGAAGTAATACGAAAGAAATGAGAACTATCGCTATTTATGATCCACAAACCCAAGTAAGTTGGAAAATGAATGAATAAACGTTGTTTATTTATCGAGTTTTCTAGGAATTTGTTTTGAATACACCGGATATTGAAGCAATGAAATTCTGGATAGGGTAATTTGAATTTCAAAGTCATGTTGAATATTAATCATTGTTTAGAAATTTGGGCTATCATGCAACACATGCGATTGTTTATGCTCAACTTTATACGAAGAACGTGTGTCACGGTCTTCATTTATTTGTTGTACCAGTTCGGTGGGAGATTTGTTTTTCGTTGTGGATTGATGTTTATTTTAATGTGTTTTGAAGTGATCCGTTGACGTATAAAACATTCGATGGAGTCGAAGTTGGAGATATTGGTGCAAAATGTGGATGGAATGGTTTAGACAACGGGTATGCATGAAAATTTGTTCGATTTCGTATGAAAAGAATTGAAATTTATTGTAGATTTTTAATCTTGCGAAATTATCGAATACCAAGAGAAAATTTATTGAATAAACATGGTGATGTATTACCTGATGGCACTTATCAAACTCAATTCAAAGTAAGATTTGACTTTTTTTGAAGAGATGATAATTCGTACGTTATTATAGTCATCGAACAAACGATTTGGTGCAAGTCTCGGTGCTCTCTCGTCAGGTCGTGTTGGTATTTCTAGTTTAGCCATTGGACTGTTAATCAAATGTATAACAATCGCTGTTCGATATTCATGCACGCGGAAACAATTTGGACCGTCGTCTGGAATCGAAATACCGATCATTGAATATCAAACACAAGTAAATCAAAAACATTGATATCACTCACGAAAAATTTGTTTTTTTTCTTCTTCTTCTAATCGTAGAATTGGCGTTTAGTCCCAATAGTCGCATCACTTTATATCTATCGTTATTTAGCCGTATCTGTTTTCGACAATTTAACCGAATTTTATGCACTGTCCATGTCTTCGGATGAAAGTGATCGAGATCTATTGAGCGATATGGGAAGGGAAATTCATGCATTGTCATGTACAGCGAAAGCTTTGTGTACATGGAATACTCAGAAAGCAGTTCAAGAATGTCGAGAAGCATGTGGCGGTCATGGATATTTGTATGGTAAATAAATAGTGAGGAAAATTGTCAGAATAGTTGAGGATAACGATTGTACTTTCTAGCAAGTGGTTTTGGTGTCATACGCGATGACAATGATCCATCGTGTACGTTCGAAGGAGATAATAATGTATTATTACAACAAGGAGCGAATTATATTCTCTCGGTATACGAAGATATTCATCGAAAGAGTAAGGATTTTGTTTGGAATGAAAAACACATTAATTCTTGTTGGATTTAGATCACGTATCGAATTCTCCTTTTCACAGTGCTGATTTCATCGAAGACTTGAAAAAGATCCTCCAAAACAATCAATGCTCAATAACATCGGAATGTTGTATCCAAGGTAATCTCATCACTGAATATTCAGCGTAAACAAATTCGACTCTATTAGATCTACTTGGTGCATTCGATTGGTTATTATGCTACGCAATTGATAAATCGATTCGAAAACTCGAACGTTTATCACTAATGGAGAATCTCTCAACTTTTGATGTGAAAAATACTACGCAAGTTTATCATCTTCGAACAGTATCAATTCTTTACATTCAAGTAAGTTATCACTCTTCCGAGACGAAAAAGAAGACGAAAAATGCTTCATTATAGCGCACTGCCATTGAACGTTTTGCCAAATTTCTTCGCGAATCAGCTGGCATTGACAAGCCATGTAAAACTATCTTGGAGAAACTATTGCTCGTACATATTTTAAAATTATTCGAAGAGCATTTAGCGATTCTATTCGAAGGGAATTATATTCGAAATACGCATGTAAACCAATGGATGCAAACACGTTTATTACAATTATGTGATGAGCTACGCAATGAAATCGTTGCATTGGTGGATGTCTTTGCTCCACCTGACTACATTCTCAATTCAGTTTTAGGAAATAGTGATGGTCGAGTGTATGAAGCAATCAGTCAGATGATTCATAGTAATAAGACTACATTCGAAATTCCATCGTGGATAAAGACAGATTTAATTGAAAAAAGCAAACTTTGAATTGATTGATTTTAATCAAACAAAAAGACATTTTGTTTTTATTTGAAAATTAGTGTTATTCTTTTCTAGATTTGTATTTCTCCTTCTCCAGTTCCTTGAAATCATGGGTGAAACCAAAGAAATCGAAAGGTAAGTTAAGTAATTGATTTATCTGGAAACAATTTTGACATACTTTTCATGACACGCTCGGTTAACAATACACATCGAGTGACCCGCTCTCGTTCAGATTTCGTAATTCGTTGTCTAATTTCACTTTTTCCCTTTTAATAGTCATATGAAAATCAATGTAATTTTCAGCGAGAAGAAAGTTGTTATTTCATCGAGCGTAAAACGTGTTAAAAAACGTTTCTCATATGAAATTTAACTTTTTTCTTTCTCACGTCCATTATATACTAACGACGTCAAAGTACATGTCAAGCTTCATTAAAAACCGTATTTTCTCACCCATCTTTTACGCTCGAAAAGGTAACATTTCGACTTATCAAATCGTTCGATTCACATCGCATTTTACGTGATTTGCCCAAACGGCAACCGATCTTCACAAAGAATAAATCAAGATTACGAAAGACAAAGAAACAAAACATTTGACTTATCGTTGTTTTCATGTCATAAGGATGTCATAAGATACTGCAATGTGTATATCAGTTCCATTATCTAAAAAAAAACATTATTGCTGATTTAGATCAGTGCAGATGCGCCTGTATGCTTTACACAAACGGCAATTTGTCGCCGTATTTGTACTGTTCTTTATTTGTTTGTCCGTTGCCATTCTCATCGGCATTGTTGGTCCATCGGTTATTCAAACAACAACCTATAAATCTGAAACTCCGTCTAAAGAATTAGTAAAAATAATTGAGAAAGATGATAGGAAAATATTCTGATGATGTTCATTTTCCGCTAGTCGACACCATACGAATTACAATCGGACTATCTCGATAAATTTCATCAACGCCTTTGGTTAACGATGAAATCGTCAACTGATATAAGTGGTACGTGTGATTCTCTGTTTAGAATGAATATTGAAATCTTTTTTTTCTTTATCTTTGTGTAGAAGAGTTTCTTAAAACGATCAACGTTAGTATATCAGTGAATGATCCATCAACGAATGCCCAAGTGTATGTTCGTCCACGAACAATTCATTGTCAAAGACAGGTAGGGAACGCACACGAAAGATTAAATCAGAAATGCGATCGATTAAACTGATTTCTATCAGTTTCTGGTCAGATAAATAGAAAACTTTTTTGACGTTGTGAGAAGAGCAAGAAATTTCATATGCATTTAGACATAAAATTTTAAAACATATTGCATTTTAATATTCGTTAATTTAATGCATATTCGCTTGTTATGAAACTATTTTGTCTAGTCGCGCATCTTTTTTCTTTATGATAAAAAGAAATGATTTAAATTAACTTTAATTTCTTTCTTTGTGTGAAATCATCTCCGTTGCTCATATAACATTGAATATGTACATATACGAACGAATATGTATGTATATCATGCTCGCGTAATCTACCTAGATGCGTATATTCTATTCATTCATTTCTGCTGTCTCATCAATCAAATTTGTGTATGTATATACGTGTTCATCATTGCTTGCTCACAACGTTCGCTCAAAGTCGTGTGAGCGTGTGCTCGCTCGAGCAAAGCACGTGTAAGAACTGCAATCGAAATCGATCAAATCGATCGCGCAACTCCACGAACGTCGTTCTAATTGAGGACGAAGGGTGCCTCTTTTCATCCATCTATATGCAAGGCTATGGTCGAAAAGCCGTTTCGATGCATTCAATTGTGTCCGTAAACCTTGACGTGCTCGAATGAGCAAGTTTGAATATGAATGCCCTTCGCTATCTGAATCCTTTTTTTTCGAACTCAATGCTACGAGACCAATCAGGGTCAAAGAGAGAAAAAGATAATGAAATAGTATAGGAGAAGGATGTTCATGGTCGTAAGCTCAGTACTGATATAAATACACGGGTTTCTTATCAATCAGATTCACATTCAGGTGATAGTCTCTTGCCAATACGGTACACCCAACTCTTAAAGTTTCAGGTAAGACTATTAAAGTTTTGAAATTCAGTTTTTTCTCTGGTCCCTTTATTACTATGAACATTTGTTACTCTCACTCCCATTATGACCATTAATATTACTAATATATAGAAGATATCAATCTTGCTTGGACCATCTCCACGGTTGTTCATATGCACATATTGAGCGAAGGGAAAAGAAGAATAGGAGACACAAAAAGAAAAAAAGAGAAGAAAAATCTTTCACCGTAACGATTCGGTTGCACAATTTCATGTTGTTGGTCACGGAGAGAAAGGAGAGAGAGAGAGACACACACACATAGAGCGAGAAAAGAATATTGAAGGCGAGTAGAGTCGTTGTCAAAAAAAGTTGCATCATATATACAAACAGAGAGACATCGGGAGTGTACAGTATTTTAGTCTTGCCTCATATTCTCGAACGTACACGCACACACACACCTTTATATATCACACAGAAATAGTTTTGGCGAACCCACACAGGCATGGGTCCATACAATCAATATTCACAACAATCGGGAACATATGCTTCCTCGACTAGACAACAAACAAATAATAGCAGCAGCGGAGTAACAGGCGGATATACACAAAATGGTAGTAGCACTGGTGGTGGTCATAAAAGCAATGGAAAAAGTTCAGGATCAACATCAAGCACAAGTTCGTCAAGTTCTTACGATTACAAACGATATCCAGCTGGTTCGAACTCACAGAAATACGGCGGACCAGCAGCTGGCGGTGTAAGTGGTTATTATGAGCAACAACAGTTTAGTTCAGGTGCTGCTGTTGGAGCTGCTGGAGCAGCTGGAGCTGCAGGTGGAGCAAATTATGCCGCTTATAGTGGTTATGGCGAATCTCAATGCGGCAGTGAAGGTGGTTATGATAATTCAGGTGATATGTATCTTCGTCGTCGTCAAGGCCGTATTCGTCGACAAGCTATTCGTTTACCAGATCAACCAGGTGCTGTGCGACAAGTTCGACATCGAATGCCTACACCAGAGCCCGACATTTTGGAACGTGTCTATATTCGTCGTCAACCAGGCGAAATTGTGGAAGAAATCATCGAGGAGCCAATGACACCGCCACCTCGTGTTCAAGAACGTACTGTTGTAGAACCATGTGGACCACCGCAAGTCGTACGTAAAGTCATTCGTGTGCCACCTCGTGGACAAGGATATCAACATCAACAACAAGATACACTCAATCAATACGGAAGCTCCAGTGGTGCGAATGCACCCGTCGCTGGCGGTGGTGCTTATGGAGCTGGCTATGGACAATCCGGACAAGCTTATAGTGGCACAAGTAGCTACAATCAATCGAGCAGTGCTATTGGCACGCAACAACCAGGACCGCAAGGCTACGGCCAAACTGGCTATGAACGATACCAAGGACCAGCACAAGCACGCGGTGCTCAGTATGGTTACAATGCACCAAACGCTCAAGGTATTGCTAGCACTGGCATGTATCCACCACAACCAATTCCACCACCACCTGGTCTTCCACCTAATGCTTTCTGCTTTGAAACTGGTGGTCCTGGCGCTCCACCTCAAGCTCCACCAGCACCATATCCACCTCAGCCAGCTATTCCACCATTCGGTTCGGCTCTTCCAGGTTTTGGACCAGCTCCAGGCTATGGTGCTCCTCCAAGCTATGCGCCACCACCAAGTTATGCGCCACTCCCAAGTTATGCTCCACCACCAAGTTATGCTCCACCTCCAAGCTTTGGTCCACCTCCAAGCTTTGCACCACCTCCTAGCTTTGCACCACCACCTAGCTTTGCACCACCACCTAGCTTTGCACCACCACCCAGCTTTGCACCACCCAGTTTCGGTGCAGCCCCGGGATTCGGCGCTGTCCCTAGCTTTGCCGCGCCTCCAGCCTATGGCGGCGGTTTCGGCGGCGGACAACTAAGTAGTATTGCTAGTTATGGTGCAGGCACTAGCTTTGGCGGTGCTCCTTATGGTGCAGCAGGTTTAGCAGGCTATGGTGCGAGTCCATTCTCTGGAGGTTTCAGCGGCGGCGCACTTGGCGGATTCGGCGGCGGTATTCCAAATGGATTAGGTTCATATGGTGCTCCCATCGGAGGAATGGGAGGTTTCGGTCAAGCTGCTCTACCATATGGCGGTAGTTTTGCTGGTGCTTCACCATTCGCTGGTGGAGCTTCGTTCGGAGGTCTACCATATGGCGGTGGATCATTTGGAGGAGGTGCCTCATTTGGAGGCGGTCTTCCATTTGGCGGCGGCTCTTTTGGCGGTATCAATCCATGTGCACCACCAATGCCACCACCAATGCCGTGTCTACCACCAATGCCAATTGCACCACCACCAATGCAAATGCCGTGCCCACCACCAATGCCGCCTCCAATGCCGTGCCCACCACCAATGCCACCTCCAATGCCATGCTTGCCGCCACCAATGCCAATGCCACCTCCAATGCCATGCTTGCCACCACCAATGCCAATGCCCCCACCAATGCCATGCTTGCCACCACCAATGCCAATGCCACCACCAATGCCATGCTTGCCACCACCAATGCCAATGCCACCACCAATGCCATGCTTGCCACCACCAATGCCGATGCTTCCAGCACCACAACAAGCGCCAATTATTCAACAGGTACCATGTCCAGTACCGGTACCCGTACCACAACAGGTTCCATGTCCTGTTCCTGTACCAGTACCACAGCCACAACCGTGTCCTGTTCCAGTGCCTGTTCCAGTTCGGGAATGTGTACCAGTACCGTAAGTGCTAGTTTTCCATCAAATGGCTTTATTATTACTGTCTGTCTATGTTTTTTTAGACAACCATATCCTGTTCCTGTACCTGTACCAGTTCAATCGAGTCAAGTTCAAGTAAGACAGATTGATTTTTCGCGTTATGATCGAAACATTAATTTTATTCTTTTTATAGCAAGTGCCTGTACCTGTTCCTCAACCATGTCCAGTGCCAGTTCCTGTGCCTGTCGAACGCATTGTTTGTCAACCTGTGTAAGTAGCTCCATTATCATTACAAATGGAATTTACGGCCTCTCTTCTTATCTAGCTGTATACCTGTTCCACAGCCAGTACCGCAGCCATGTCCAGTACCAGTACCACAACCGTGTCCTGTACCTGTTCCAGTTCCATCAAGTCAAGTTCAAGTAAGATAGATTAGCTTTTTTGTTACTTATTATAAAATCTATCGTTGTTCCATTGTAGCAAGTACCGGTACCTGTTCCACAGCCATGCCCAGTACCTGTTCCACAACCATGTCCAGTTCCAGTCCCTGTTCCTGGTCCTGTTCAATGTATACCTGTACCTGTGCCTGTGCCTGTACCTCAGCCACAACAACCACAATGCCTACCGCAAATGCAAATGCCAATGCCAATGCCATGTGCACCACCACCAATGCCAATGCCAATGCCAATGCCATGCGCACCACCACCAATGCCGATGCCAATGCCGTGCGCGCCACCACCAATGCCAATGCCAATGCCATGCGCGCCACCACCAATGCCAATGCCGTGCGCACCACCACCAATGCCAATGCAAATGCCATGTGCACCACCACCAATGCCAATGCCATGCCCACAAATGCCTATTGCACAACCAGCATGTCCAATGCCCAACCCCTGTGCCTCACTCGGTGGCGGGTACGTTGCATTCGTCTTTTAGTATCTATTAGTGAATTTCGGTTGATTATCTTTAGATTGGGTGGATATGGTGGCATGTTCCCATCATTAGGAGCCAGTGGACTTCTCGGTGGAGGTCTAGGTGCTTATGGGTAAATCAAATTAAATTTGACTCTATTTATATTTTCTGATGTTATTGCTGTTTTTTAGTGGAGGACTCGGTGGCCTCGGAGGATTCGGAGGCGGTTTAGGTGGCTTCGGAGGAGGCTTGGGAGGAGCTCCTCTCTGTGGTGTACCTATTGGTTTCGGCGTGACAACAACCGTCGGTGGACTCAATCCATACACAGACGATATCTATGGCGGAGGAATTGGTTATGGAGCATCACTTGGCTATGGACCAACTGGCGTTCCACCACCAGGTGTTGCTGGCGTTTCAGGTGCGTTCAATCGGGCATTACATCGTGGTCCCTATCGTCGACCATATTAAATTTAAGTTATCGATCGATTAGCTACCCGAATGAAAAAACTCATGAAACAGACAGAACGACAAGAAGTGCCTACACCACTTGTCTAAAAAATAACACACTTAGATCTATGAGCGTTGCAAACGACTCTTTTTTTCTCTTCTTTATAATTTATTTGAGGTCTTTCATTTACATCTCATTTTACACGCGTTTTGTACTGGCTCATTCTTCTTTTACATCATTTTATATCTTTTTACAATTTTACAAGTTTATTTCTTGTCATCGTCTTGTGTCTCTCACATTTTATCCGTATGTCTACGTATCGTTTGCCTCTCTCTGCATGTGAAAACGTTCAGATAGGTGTACTTTTTTGTCCATATTTGTTTGTTGTATTGTGCAATCGTCAATTCTCTCAAATCTCTTTCATTTTATTAAATAAATTCGTATTCTCCACCCTTCTCCTTTCCTTCTCCCTCGCCAACCCTCCCACTCACATCCCTATTCACACCATCCGCTTCGTTCATTTTCAAACTCATTTGCGCGTACATCCCGTTCGTTTTCGTTCGCTTCTTATTTAAATGCATTTTACATGACGTAATCATATATTGCGCGCTTGATAATGGGACGTCCTCGTTCTAGTTCATTGAACAACTAAATAAGAATGTCAAAAGTGTGTATGTGTGTGTCTGTACGTGCGCGTAGATTTCATTCAATCTATAATTTTGCCTTCGATGGAAAATCAAGGTTAATAGGCGCTCGATCATTAGTTAATTAGCGCATGACAATGTCATCGACTTGTCTGCGTACCCTTACAAAATGTTAGAAATGCGCTTGATGTTAATGAAGAAATCATTAATGGAACGTGAAGGCTTCTAATTTTGTTTCACGTCTTTTCATTAACTTTGTTCGTGTAATTTTTTCGTTCTAGGCTTGTAATGAATTGATTTTGTTCCATTTGAATTTCCTTCATGAAAATAAGTATCAATTTAAAATCCAATTAAATGGAATTGACGAAACGAAAACTAAATCAATCCAATTTTCTGTTCGCGACCTTTTGTTCTCTTTTCACCTCCATTTAATTTACCGTGATCTTTTCTCTTCTAGTTGAATACATTCAATCCGAAATATACACAATTCGAATTGGCTTTCCGCTTTATTTTCTTGATTAGTTCAATTATAGCAACAGTAAGTCGTTTCGATCATTCAATCACATAAGTTTCAATTGAATTCCAGTGTCTTTTTACCAAATCCATGCGGCGATTCTCCATTCTCGATTGGTCACTCGAACAACGATGGATGATTGTATTACTTATCTTTCTCGTTTTCTACAATGGTAAATGTGCACTTGATTGATTTCACATATTTTTCCTCTTCTCTTGTTCTCTTAGATCCATTTTATCCGTTAACATTTTTAACGGACAATTCTTTTCCAACCATTCTCGATGGTATACTCCAAGCCAGTTTTCTATGCACTCTTCTACTCTTCTGGCTTAGTGTTTATCACGGCATACGTCAAGTTAGACCATTCGATTGATATCGTCGAATTCTATTTGTCTTCTATTTTGTTCTTAGAATGTTCGTCGATTTCTTCCATTCTATTGTCCAAAGATATTTCTCGTTAGTCTTCTATGGATATTCTCTATTGTACTCTCGTCTGCTCGTATCGTACAAGAATTTCGTGATCCAATGTATAATCTCACTATTGACATTAAACAATTTACGGTAGGAGTCAACTTTCGTCGAAGAAAAGAGTTCTTTATTGCCTGTTTAGACATATCGAGTTATATTTTATATCGTGGGAATCTTCTACATTCTCTATTTGCTCTTTTTAATCATTCGAGCATTTGGTGAACTTCGAAATATGCCCTATTTCGGTAGGTTTTCATGCGGTCTATGACCATTGAAGTAATAATACTTGAATTTAGATGTTCGTTTGAAATTTACAACAGTACTGATGTTATGTGTTGTTTCGATTTCGATTACGATCACAACGCTTCGATTCGGTTCAGGAATAATCGAAGAAAATTTCGTTCCAGAATTAGCGTCACGTTACAAAAATTCCGTCGAGTTCTTGTCGTTCTATAGTTTAATTAATCTGTATTTGTATACGATGGCATATGTCTATTCTCCAGCAAAGAATGCAGCCATCGATTCGTTATTTCGGGATAATCCAACATTTTCAATGATAAATGATTCAGACGAAGATGTTGTCTACGGGTAAGCAGAGATTTCTTTGAATGAACATGACATCAAAGCCTTTTGTTCGTGTAGATCTGATCATGAAGCATCTCAATTGACACCTATAAGATAAACGAATCTGTTTGTTTTGTTTCAATGTTTTATTTATTCAATGGTGTGAGGTCTTTCAATAACGACAACTATGTGCATTAGATTGTTTTCTCTTTGTCTTCATTTACATTCTTAATCGAATACATATATGTCTCATTACTCCTAATCGTTGTTATGTAGTTCTAATTCTTCTGAATGAAGGAAACAAGTTTCTCAATGGTTATTTGTGAACAATAAGTATTTTTATTTGTTGTGGGAAAAAGAAATAAATGTCACTGAATGAGTCTCAACATAAATCTTCATTTTCGTCGTATTTGAACGAATCTGCACTTGTTCGATTCACCTTGCTCTCCGAGATCAATCGCGGTAAATTATTCGGTGATTGTCTTCTTAAGTAATGACATGGACGCATGTAGGGAAAGACGAAATTGATGGAAGAATGTTTCGATACTGTTGTCACACCATCTTTGTAGCCAGTATTATTCATATTTAATTTATGACACATATACAGTTGTTTATCAATAAGTGTTGAAGATTTTGGATGAGATACGTGCTGATGTATATCGGAAGATGGTTGTCGCTCAGGTGAGTTGACTCGTTGACGAGATTGATCGATATCCTTGATTTGTTTTCTTGTATGAGATGATGTATGTACTAGAATAGGAGAGTCAAATCGGTATTCAGTCAGGACTTGAACTTGTTTCATCGGACGTTTGCGAGCGGATAGATGCGATTGGGATAACGGAGGAAGAGATATTTCATTTGCACGAACATATTTATTTAACTTAGGAAGTGTTTCGAAACGTATTGCATTGCCCTCGATACCCTTGAGATCCTCATTATCATTAACATCGGTTGATTGTTGCGTAATTACTTTTGTCAACAACGGAACGCACACGTTGACATTGGAATCCGTACGCATTGCTTGCTGTCGATGTCGATGATGTGTGTCCGCCAGCGTGTCGATATTCAAAGCAGATTTCATGCTCAGTCTGTAAGTCTGACGATCCAGTATCGAAGCGCGATTATGATTATCAATTAATTGATCGAATACAGTCAATAATGATTTATTTCGGCAAGGCAAACGACTAATTGTTTTCGGCGAGGACAAATGAGTCATGGAATGTTCGATATGTAAATAACGCTTATATCGAAGTGACGGTGAAAAGCAGTTGAATGACATTTTCAATTATCTAAAACAAAATTTCTTCGTCACCGTATCGCGAATTAGCACATAAACACATTCGATCTTCAATGTTAAAAACATCTGCATATTGATGTTCCTATTGCTGATAATTGAATAGAATTTATATTCACGTTCAGCATCTCTATCTGAAGCAGGTAGTCCAGAGTTTCGAGAGAAAAAGAAGAAAAAGAAATAATAAATAGTATGTTTTTTTTCTTCTTTGATTAATGTTTGAAGCATATAAATATTTAAAATGCATGTTAAGAAAAAGCAAGTTTTCATTTTGTTAATTTAGAAATATCGATAGAATGAAATTAACAATTAAAATAATTAGATGAGAAAATCATGTTGGTATATTTTTGCTCCGATCAAATCTGATTTATGGGTGAAGATAGTGATTGTGTGTGTGTGAAAGAAAACATTTGAATTTAACTGATCATATCGATCAAGTGTGAGAAGATGCATTTTCACGAACGGAGGCAAAATCTACCAACGAATAATTTTCTCAAAATCATGACTTCACACGTCTGATATGACTATTTTTGTCGGTATAAAACGGGCCTAAAGAGTAAACATCATTATACTATGAAGTTTTCTTCTAATATGAAATGGAATTACATAATGCTCAGTATGCTTTCGATTGGAATATGTGGCTTGGTGATTGCTTCGACTGTGGTGCTATCATTGATACCACTTTATACACCTTCAAGTGAAAGACTTCTGTCAACAAAAGATAAGCTTTGTTTGATTGTCAGTTTACGATGATTTTTGAACTATTTACGCAGGACACGGTCATTTCAATATAAATCAAGCTATAATCGAGTAGCTAAACGTAGTTTATCCTCGGGTTTAGAACCGGTGGATGTATCCAGTTTTCAAGAATTAAATCATCTGGTTTGTGTTTGAAGAAAATGATTTAACAGCAGAGTTCATTTTCTTTTGATTTAGATTCGGAGTATATTAACGAAGAGAACGCATGTGCCTCTAAGTGTTACCGTGAATGTTGAACAAGCTTTTCTGTAATTCTGATCTTTTGTATTTGCGCATCTTAACAGATTCGTTTTATTTAGAGATAGTACGACAAATGTGTTATATGTCGGAGGATTTTACACATTTTCGCTTTTCTGCAATACTAATTGTCAAGATCAAATACTCGATAGAATATTTGTTGATAATAGTACAACACAGATGCTGCGTAATTTATCGATTACGAATTTAAACGAACAACTTCAACTTAGTATTCATAAAAATATATACTATTTTGGCATAATAGACCTACAAATTGCTCCCGAGTCTTCAACAGGTGTGATACAGATTTTCGTCTACTAATTGTTTTCTATTATGATATATTAGTGCCCATTGACTTAACTTACGATACAGAAAATGCAACAGCGAGCCGACGTCGACGAAGAAGACGACAGCTATCGCTACATGATTCAATTGATTCTCTAACTAATTTAGTAAGTGCTTTATTTATTACAAGAACAAATCCTACCAATCAAATATATTCAAGGTCGAACAAACACTTCGGTTAACAGCAGACAGTCAGAACATTCCATTTGTCATTGCTAGTGTCAGTTCGTTATCATCAAGCAGTGTTTTGCAATTGAACGTTTCTGTAATACTTCAATATCCTTTCTATTGCGTGAATGCTTGCTTAACAGACCACGTCGATGCTTTGGTTTCTGACTTATCCAATCTCAGTAGAATAGATAAACTACAGTATCTATATGGCAATAGTTGGTATCAAGTAATAATGCTGAAAACTATGCTCAGTGAAAACTACGCTCTTGGTAAGTGATTATAATCCGTCATTTCTATTCGATGTGTTTGATTTATCTTAGAATCTGAACGAATTTTCACCTATGAAATAAATGGCACTACTGGAAATACTTCAGCGATTGTCGCTGGCCCGATTAATGATGCAAACTCGTTGGACAATATCAAGGCTGGCGTAAGTTAATGAAGTCATTTGAACAAAATACTTGTATATATATATTTATTTATTGTCTAGTTGAACGCAACACTCAATTCTTCGATTGACTTCGTAGTTGCTGGCGCATCTTTTCTGCCGATAAACACGAATCTACCAAACAGATTATTGGATTTATCTGCAAAGCACGGATTGTCACGTCGAAAATATGATCGATATCGACTGATCATAATCATTCGCTTTATCTTTCTGTCGTTATGTGATCGTCACTGTCAAAAACAGTTATTAACGCCAATGTTTGATCATCGCGACATTCCGTCACCACCAGCTATCATGATTCTAGGTATTAAATTTGAACTGCCGAAACCTATCATTGGTAATTTACTTATTTTTCTCTTTTCAAACAAAATCTAACAACGATCGATATCTTTATTTAGAAATATGGTACAAACCGTCTCCATCATTGACTACAAGTAGTAAGACTCTAAAAGCAAACTGACTTTTTCCTTAAAATATCTGTTCATATCGTTTTAGCTACGACAGTCACATCAGACAACACTGCAACAGAAACGGATACATATACGTTCACGGAAGAATCATCCACAAGTGGCACAACGTTGTTCATCACAGACTCGACAACGCAAACAGAGACTGAAACAACAACCATACTAGGCTAAACCAGTTAAGCACTTTGTGACTAAAAGACAATCATTCAAAAAGCGTTCTCGTCTTATTTAATCTTGAGTGCTTCGCATAAATTCAAATTAACCTACTAATCCAGAATTTATTTTGTAAAAAGCGCAAGTCTTCTTTTAATATAAAATAAATTTATCACTGTAAATTTCCCGAACAAATCTATGAAAAACAAAAAGAAGTTCTACATTTGAAAATAACTGATCTAGTGCGATGAATTACGTGTTTAATGGGTTTATCGAATTCAGATAATAACTTGTCTAATGTTTCAGCCCATGAATTCAAAGTAGTACGATAATGATGTTAACAATAGCAGAGTTTTATTTCGTAAGTTGCAACACATTCTGTCAGCTTTATGATGCATTTTGAATAGAACAAATAATGCGTTCTTAGTCGAGGGACAGCGTTTGATGCGTTATAAAAGAGAGCAGTACATCAACATAATATGGTTTCTTTCTTTTACTTAACTTTTTCGAATGATTTTATTAAGAAATATCAACTTAGTATGATTGATTGAAAATACATATGAAAACTTTATGTAAATGTGTTTCTTAGAATATATTTCTATGTTTTCATTTGTTCTTTCATTTCTTCGATATTATTCTCTGTTCGAATAATTTCTTCATGTGTGGGTGGTAATATCTTTCGACTAATTTCCAACGATTTTTTATAATACTTCAAAGCTTCAGAGATGTTTCCGATATTTCCATGGAACCAACCTAGATTGTTATATGTTATTGCAATGTCAGGATGGTTAGGAGGTAAATTAGCCAGTTGCACTTCAAGAGTTTTGTTATAATATTCCAACGCTAAATTGGTTTCACCCGAACAAGCGTATATCACAGCTATGCCATTATAGGTCTTAGCGAGAGCAGCACTATCAACTTCAAGTGCTTTTTCGTATAGTTCAATAGACTTTTTCATATTGGATAACGCTTTGTCATACATGTCTTCTCTCCAATATACGCCTCCAATACGGAAGAAACATTCTGCTACTTTCACATGATTTTCTCCCAACAGATGTCTTCGTATACTTAGAGCTTCTTGTAGATGCTCGAGACTTTCATCGTACTCATCACATTTATACAACGCCCATCCAATTCCAGATTGAGCATCGCTCATTCCTAATCTAAATTCCTCTTGCATTCGTCGATAGCACTTTTCCGCTTGCCGATATTCACCCATTTCAAGTAAAATTCTTCCTAATGAATCCAAGTTTGTTTCATCTCCAATTTTATCTTTCATAAAAGAGAATGTTTCTTTCAAGCGATAATCATCTTCACTTGCTAATGTAATGTTCGCTATCCACATTCGATTCTTTTCATCTTCAATCACCTTTTGAATGCGGAACAAAGCGCCCAGCATCATCAGTACTTCATCTTCATTTTGATAATAACTCATTTCTTTGATATCAGCAAATGCTTTCGTTTTCAAACGTGGATCGATTTCAATTTCAAACAAAATTCTCTGATGCTCATCACTCATTGGAATCATGCGAATAAAATCTATAGCAGTCGCACGACTACGACTTGTTGAAAGGAAAGAATTCATTGATAAATATTCGCCGAGACTATTTCTCATCAGATTCAGTTCATCGTGACCGATTGCTTGTCCACGATAGACACGGATGACAGTTCGAATATCACTTGTACGAATGAATTTTTCGTGTCCATCTTTCAACTGTTTAGCAATATCCGTGATAAGAAAGCGAAGCGGAAACAAAATGTCATAATCTTGCACTCGTAAAGCTTTGTTCATCATGCGATAAAAACATGCATCTCTCGTATACCACCATATTGCATTATCACTTTTGTAGGTTGTCTCAAATTCTTTAATGATAGCCATTTCTTTCCGATTACCATTGTAATTTTTCTTACAAATATCGATTAATTCTTTTCGATCGGTTGATTTATGATGCATGCGAAGAAGAACTTCAATGAAAAGTTGAAACCACATGAATATGGCATTATGTGCTTGGAGTGATTTTGGACCGTTACTAATCACAGAAATCGATGCGCTATCTTCTACTTTATTTCGAGCTGTTTGATCTTGAGCAATCTTATCGACCAGTTCAGAACGTTTAATAAACACACCTTTTACCTAACAGATCATATAGGCAAGTTCGTTACTTCAACTAATCAATGTTGAAACAATTACCTTCGAGTAGTTGTTAGCCCATCGTTCGTTAGCTTCTTTGTTACTACAGAATACGTAACATGCGACAAACTGAGGAAGAGAATGCAGTCGGGGAACGATGTTCTGTCCAAACGACCCCGAAACAATCAAAACCACTTTTTCGTGCGTAATTTGTCGAATATATTCTTCACATTGATCACTATCATCAAATGTTTGAAGATAATTGATGACCTGTCGAAGTTCTTCCTGTGTCGTGCGATTGTCGTTTGTAGAATGTATATTTTGATCGAGCCATAAACAAGCAACTGATTCTAAATTTTGATTATGAATAGTATCGACCGTAGATTTAGTCTGGACTGATGTTGAAGATGATGTCGTTGACAATTTTTTACTGGTAGCCATTTTAGAAATCGAATCTATTTTTCAAGCTGTGCGTTTGAATAGATTTTTTGTTTGCAGTGTAGGAATTCGTATGAGTTTTTTTTTTAATTGAAAAATGCTATTTTTATAGACATATTTTTGCGTAGTAATAATAACTTGTTCTTTTTCTTCCGACTTAAAAACAAAAGCGTAGAAAGACATTTCGCTTCAACACTTGAATATCTTGCCATGCTAGTTATAAAAATATAGTGACGATAGAAGAAACGACTGTTTTTCAAATTCATCGAATATGTGCAAAGACGAGTACGTATGAATTAGGCACTGTTTTCAACTGAAGTTGGAAAAAATATCACATTCATCATAGTTTTTGTTATTCGAAAAAAGAGCATTAGGTGTGCTTCTCGATGCTTTAACAATTTATTTTTATGTAAAGATTACAAAGTTCCCTGCTTCGTTGTACATCAATTTTCGCTATTCGAATTGTTCAGTTCATATGCTTTTCATCATAACTGGTTCTATACTCAATAAGCACACAGACACGAAGTATTCCGATGGATTTCGAATACCATTGTTAGCTATTGCGTATGTTTTAGAGAAGATAATAATATCTATTCTCCGTGCGCCAACGATCAAGGTTGAATTTTATAGTAATTTGACACCTATGATTAAGAAAAAGAAACACCCACTGCTTTTTTATTTGTACTAAATCAACTATATATATATAAATATATCTTTGCAAAGACTAAAGATAAATCAACCTTCCAGTCATCAATTCAGCTCTATCGAAGTATGGTTCGTCATCTTTTACTCACGTTCTTAGTTCTCTGCGTTTTATTCGCATCGATCAACGGTAAAAGTCAATGTTCCTGTTCATGTTGCAAAGGTAACCGATGTATCAAACAATATCTCGGTTCAATCCAAATGCCTACATGTTCTGCAACAAGTTGTAAGAATGCTTGTAAACTTCGTCATCCCAGTAAATGCGCCGGAACACCCGGATCAATCACTGCAACATGCACAAAAACCAAAGCACCTCACCGATCACCAGTGAATAAGATTAAACACAAACTACGACCTTCACCAAAGAAATATATCAAAACCCCATACATATAAACCGAGATATATCAACGGACGAAGCGTAGCATAGAGTTTTTCATGTGATTTTTATTTAGTTTTTTTGTGAAATTGATTGAAAACTTAAGAAAATAAAACCAAAAAAGAAGCAATTCATTCTGAAATATTTTCGATTTTCATTCAATCGATAAGTGATATTGATATTTCATATAACCGACAATGGTGAATGTTGTAGCCATAAAGTTCAGTTTTTTTGCCGAAGTTAATTTTACATTTATGAAGATTCGATTTGCAGTGTACTCCTAGGGCATCAAATCGAAAGATTTGCTGTAAATCTAGGAAATATGATATCTTCTATTAAATTGTCGCTGTGCCTAACTCTATAAAACTAATGTTTATTTCTCGGCGTTTTGCTTATTTTTAATCAAAAGCATACTTCTAATCATGGCACGTTGTTCGTTGCTTACGACATCTACAGAACAGTGATTCAGTTTTGTACTCAAATCTATCAACGAGTGATAGTAAATCGTAATATAATCGGAGTGAAAAGGGTCCATTTAATCAACTCCATTTGCTACAAGCAATCGATCTCAAACTAATTCACAATCAAACCACGGATGCTTCATTTACCTTCGTCAGAACTTTTCGACAACAGTTTATTAGAATTCAATTATAACCGTTCTACACAAGTTAGATAAAAAAACGCACGCGCTACTTGTTACAGATTAAATATGCTCTTGATAATTGTCCATTCATTTGTAGGATACCGGGAAAGCTCTGCGAGCCATAAACAAAGAATAACATTCCAATTAATCTTTAGTACTCTTGATATTTGCGTTATATGAAACAGTCTAGTTTGGTTTTTAGCTCTCATAAAGCGAGGTATATCTAACAGTGACATAATTGACCTCGGAGAGAATTTTCTAGTACCTGTTGAGTTGAGTGAAACACTTTGATTTACTAATTGCGAGCTGAGAATCACACAGACAAGATAATTCTTTTTGAAATAATACTCATGTGATTGAAGTAGAAAAATAGGGTTGGATAAAAGTGTCACTTAATGGAGAATTTCATGACTAAGAGACTATTGTCAACTGAAAATAATTTGAGAGAAAAATAGCGTTGAAAATTCAAATAGTCACATCTCTACTTTTCCTTTGAAGACTACTGAAAAAGCTCGCTCATCCTATTTATCTGTTTATGATAGAACTTATCTACGGCATTTCTATTAAATTGAAATCTTTTTTTGAAATAAACATTCCAACATCATTCTTACTGCGACGATGTCAACAGCAAGCTCAAGTTTTGCTCTGATTTCTAAATATATCGCTATTTACGCCGGCACTCCGATTTTTATTTTGGGAGTCGCCGGTGGAGTGTGCAATCTTATTGTTTTCTTAAGCCTTCAAACATTTCGGCAAAGCTCATCAGCGATCTTTCTGACGGTGATGTCGTTTGTCAATATTGGCCAATTAGTTACGGGTCTGTTGTCACGTATAATGATATCAGGATTTGATATTGATTGGACGCGAACATCAGAATTCTATTGTAAATTTCGGATTTTTTGTTTACAATTCTGTGCATTATCATCGTACACGTGTTTATGCTTAGCAACGATCAATCAATTCATGGCTACTTCGTTTCGCATTCGTTGGCAGCAGTGCTTTGATGTCAAACGGGCGATCATTGCTTATGGAATCTTTCTCATTATCTGGATCGCTCAAGGTATCCCAGCTATCGTAGCATTCAATTTAAGCTACAATACACAAACAAAAACAGTTAGCTGTACGATAACTGATGCAAGCTATTCGCCATATTATTCCTACGTTTATTTACTTATTCTTCAAGGAGTTTTACACTTGGTCATTGATACCACGTTTGGATCGTTGGCTTATTGGAATGTTCGACAGATCCCTTATCGAACGGTGCCTCTCGTTCGACGAGAATTGGATAAACAACTGACAAGTATGGTACTCGTTCAAGTTGTTTATAAAACCATTGTTGTCGTACCCTATGTCACCATCTTATTTATACTTTACACAGCCGATTTAAGTAAATTGGCTCTTTCAACTGTACAATTGAATTTCTTGAATTTCATCACAGGAATGATTTATTATTTAAACTTCGCGGTAAGATTGAAGAATGATGTTTTTCATTTCAGTCAGTATCGTTTCTTTTCTAGAGTCCATTTTATATTTATATGTGTGTGTCAAAACGATTTCGACAGCAGTTCATCTATGTGGTATCAAGTATTTACTATGGAAAAGCAAAGCAACAACCTGCCGGAATCAATGAAGTCACTCCAATTGAATGATGATTATCAACGAGAACTTTGCTCCTACTGTGATTAATGGCGGATGTTTTCTGGACAGTACTTCATAGAACACTGATTTGATGGTTAATTAATCTCTGGCGACATGAACTTTGCATTTGACATGCTTATTAGAAGAGCAAAATGTTCATTCAGTCTAAACGTTGCGAACCGTCGAATAGAATCTTGTTTATTTGACCGTGAGAAAAAAACAACGGAATTTAACATTAATTAAAAGAATAAATTGGTTTTAATTCTTGTAGTTGAACGATATGTAGGTCATTATCGGCTTCGAGAGCTGATACAACTTTGAATTGACAGCCGGGTGATAAAAGAATTTGTTCTTTTGATGGATCGAAGGCGTGTCGAGTGATATCTTTGCCAGTTCGACAGTGAATTGTTAAAAGTGTTCGTTCACCTGTCCTGCCGAAGTCTTCATCCTCTTCTAATGACTCGATCAACGGCGAGCAGTTCGAAAATTGCCAGACTGTGTAAATTTTATTCGTAGGATAATTCTTTGTCAGATCTCCTGAAAATCCTTGATGGACAATTCCCGAAATAGTTTTCAATTTCGAAAGTCCGTGGAAGAGCAATCGTAAATATAGAAACCATGGCGTGACCTTCTGTTTCTCTTCCGCACGTAGAGCTTCATTCAAAATATACGAAAGCGAAGATTCGTGTGGAAACCATTCCATGGTAAAGACGGAGATCGATGCCGATTCATCGACTGTAAGACCATCCTCGGGATTTTGACAATTTTGTTTGGCTGTCCAAACCATTTGTTCGACTTCACCAACAATGTCTTTGAGGGGCTCGACAGCCTCTTCGAGGGTGCTCAATGGTAGTTTTTCGTAGCCATCAAGTATGCAAGGATTTTTATCATCGGAACTGACTGGTTTGGATGTTGCACCTAGAGGAAGATGTAAAATTCGTTCTGATGAATAGACTTCTTACTTGCAGCCGATACCGGAGATGGTTTAGATTTAAATTTTGCTTGTAGTTCGTCCAAATCCGTCCGGATTCGATTCATCAACGGTTCTAATTCGACGAAGATATCCTTAATCTATCGAAAAAACGAAGTTTTTGTTAAAAAGGAACGAAAATATCGGTAGCAAATCAATTAACCTTAGGAAACTTTTTTGCCCATTCAGCATGGCGACTTTTATCCATACAATAAATATAGACTCCATCAATTTGCGCCAATGCATCAATCGCAGGTACAAGTTGTCGACCTAATCGACCACTGGCGATAACCAACATATGTGCTTGAGGTTCAGATTCGATAAATCGTTGACAATCATCTTTATTATCGAAAACTTTAACATCGCGGAAAGTGTCAACTAATTTATGTTGTGTCGTGACATTTTCTTCGCTGTTATTAATTTCCGAATCGAGCCAAAGTACCAAACACCTTACAGAGCTCATAATTGTAATGTTTCTCTTCCGTTCGCGTTTCAGAATAACAATCGACACATGTGACAAGCAAATAAGCACAAAAAAAATCTTTTTTTTTCTTTACTCTAGTAGTTCTCTCATGTGAAGGTACAAATGTAAGAGAACGAACAACATCTTCGGATTGCACGGACATCTGTTTCGTTTTTTTACTCTTTCTCTTCTTCCGACAATCGAAAAACATGAATGCTATGTAAAGTGAAATATCACTGATAACATCATTGCATTCGATTCTCTGCACGTAACTTAATAGAGACTATACAAACTACATTTTTGACAAATATCAATCGGATTTGTAAAGTCATAGTTTATTTTTATACAATACGAACTGTGTATGAAACAAAATGAAAGGCAATGTCTTGTTCTCAATCAAACCAACAGTCACATTACAGAATTTACTTTGTAAATGATCACATTTTTCATTTAGTTCTTTTCAATATTTATCACGATCTTCTCCCACATGAGTGTCTCAATACGTAAGAGCAGAAACCTATTTGAATAAAAACTTGCCGTGATGCTATTTGGTTGCATGAAAAATAAAATACTCGATAAAAATATTAATCGATAGTGATTATTCATCTAATATATCAAGGTTTGCTTGCAACCTATTTCTACATTCACAAATACATATTGATCCTTCTGACTACAAAACTTCTGTCGATTTACCTTCAGTAAAAAAGAAATATTCATAATAAATGGATTTTTTTTTCCTTCTTGAAACTTCCAGTATATATATACGTGCATGTTATTTTATTCATTCTCACGGTCGAGTATATTTTTTCGAATCTTTACCTCAAGGAATAGTTTGACAGACTAACGATGGCGCATTCGAATCAACGAACTACTTATATCACCAATCAACCAACAACTGGCAATCCGTTTCAGCAAGCAACTAGTGAATGGTCAGCTGATTTATTCAGTTGTTGTGATAACGTTTCGGAATGTAAAATCGGACATATTTGATTGATATGATCGATGGATCTACTTTCGGTTTATACTTATTAGGTTGTTATGCATATTGGTGCTTCTGTTGTTTTCTTGGAACGTTGGCAGATCGAATTGGTGAATCGAAGGTTTCATGTTGTTGTGTGCCAAATGTACTTGGCGTGTATCGTATGAAAGTACGATCGGTTTTACGAATTGAAGTAAGTTCTATAGGATAGAATTATTAGAATAAAAGTGTAACTGAAATTGTCAATTAGGGTGATTCATGTGGTGATTATATGGCGACATCCTGTTGTCCTTTTTGTGTTGCTTTACAAATATCAAATGAATTGACTAACCGTGGTATTAATTAACGGTTTTGGTACTTGAGAGACAGAAAGCGATATTGCTTATCTTTATTATTCCAATAAATTTTACAGTAGTGAAAAAGAAGGAATAAGAGCACTTGGAAATCATTGTTTAGATACGAAGATATGCCAATCGACAGAGGGCATGTTGACCTTTATGAAAGAAGTGATGTAATTATTATTTTTAGTTTCATTCGCACATGATTTGCATACATTCACGGCTTATGTTTGTTTTCGAGAAATTCCCGATAAACAAAACTATGTCCGAAAAGTATTTTGACTACACTACCGTTGGCCACTGATGAAACTGAGAGAGACGATCAATGACGTCTGCATATGTCAGATTAATTCTAAGTAGGATATAGTTAATAGAAAGTCTATTTTCGATGTACTGCGTGAACATGTCAAGCTGCAGACACGTATTGAGAATATTTAAGTAGAAAGTCGATCATTTCTTTCTGCTGAATCGCTAGTCAGAACATCGAGGACGTTAGTTGCTCAATAAATTAATCGGATGTTGTGGAAAACGTGTTTGTACTATACAAATAGTAATCGGATAATAAAACACCGGGTAATCCTTGAAGAATTCATTAGAGTATTTTTGTCATTAACGATTCAAAATATCAATTTTCAAACAGAAACCATCCTTTGTCTTTGACAAATCGTGTCAAGGACATTTCATACTAATGTGAGTATGGATTCGTTTGACTAGATTTCCTCGTTAATGATAGCACCCTCAGTGCATCTACGGAATATGCATATAGTACGGAAATCAGTTGCAACATTGCGTGCGTATCATTCTAAGTGCTATTTTATGACTAGGATAATATAGGTTGATTTAAAATTAGCGGAATGATTTGTCTTTTCAAAGATAATTTCCGTCTTTGGAATTATTTTTCCATTCATTAAAAATGTCAAAAGCATGTTTTCTGGCTATATGAGACATATAACTAAGCAGCTTAGCCATGTTTTCATATATATTTTTTTGTTTAGTCATCAGTGCACGAAATGCTTATGCATCTGACGTTTTCGTTAGGGAAATGTGAGCAGACAATCACATTTGTGCCAAATTCGTATTTGTGTGATTTCAATTGAAAAATAGGACAAATGCGAATGATCGATGCGTCTAGTTTGTTTGTTTTGTTCTCTTGAATAGAAAAAAAGATCTCTTTCATCGTTAGAATTTCGTCAATGATTGTGATATGCAATGGAATAAATAATGAATGTTCTCTTTTAAAGACAAGAATGCTAATTAAACAGAAATACGTCTTTCTATATTTCCTTGCATTATTTCAACAAAGTCATTAGCATAGTATTCAAGTCAATCGAAAAAATGACCATACTCGAGCAAATCTAATGTAATGCACTGAAACACGCTGTTAAAAAAGAAATCCATTCATTTTGATGTCGAAGATCATCCTAGTTAAACTCATTCAACATTTCAAAGAAGTGGTATACTTAAGCATTCAAGTGAGATAATATTAATGCACTGAGTTAATAAAATACATTCGTTGACAATGGTTTTTCAAAGGATATTTTTTTCTACTGATTCGCTACTCATCATAAGCTTTTTTTCATGTTATATAACTGAGCAAACAGTTGAATTTTGAAATGATTTATTGAAGAAATGAAAGTAGCTTTTACGAAGTGTTCGAAATGAACTTATAATACAAATTTAATCGAAAAATCTCGCCGAGAGTGATCCTTCCGTTGTTTCAAGTCATTCTGATGTAAATATGAATTTCTGCTAGAGAACACTCTGCTCTCTTCCGGTATAAACGAGTCATCACAATATTGACTTCTGTCTTACAAGTAAACATGCACTTGATTGAGATAATTATAAATTGATCAGTATTTTTGCCTCTGTGTTTTTCTTTGTGTGCAGACTAATATTTATATATTTAAAACACGGCTACACGAACAATAAATACATAGATAAAAACAGATCTAAACGTATGTAGGCACTGCATTGTGGGATGTTATCAACGGAACCATTTGTGGGACGGACACTGAGCTGAGAGGATCACCATATGTATGTTCATTAACCGTCACACTCAATTCATACATCGCATGTTTTTCGTGTCGAAGTGATGCGTTTGAATGTATGCTTTGTTGCATACTTTGCTTCTTTCGTAGGCGATCGTTAACTAAACCACAACAAGTGGTGCAACATCGCCAATAATGCAAATATCCGGCACGAAATTTTGATGACATGACACCGTATATGAACGGATTGACACAGGAGTTACTCATAGCCATTAGATGAAAGGCGAAGTAAAAGTGTGGAACATATTTCTGGTCAAATATTTGATCGAGATACGGACGTAATATATTTATATATAATTGCATGGGAAACCAACATACGCCGAACATAATCACAACAATAAAACACATTTTCGTGACTTTCTGCTTGGATTTTTTCACTCGAGCATCACGTTCGACGTGTGCTTCACCGGGTAATTGACTTCGCTTCAGCTGCCAGCCAAGACTTATGTAAATTATTGTCAAAACAAATAAAGGTATCAAATAAATTACCGTTAACGTTGCAACATTATAAACGGTTTGAATCGATGGATTCAAACCATTCGTTTGACAAACAGTTTGAGTATCTACTTTAAAACGATTGTCATCACGATGATAACATATGTAACTAATATGCATCTCGAAAAATATCGGCGAACTAAACAGAATTGAGAACACCCATAGCATAGCGATCAATATTCGACATTGTCTACGCGTTAATTTCTGTTTTAATGGATAAACGATAGCTATATAACGATCAACTGACATGGCGATCAGTGTATATACAGTACAAACAACGAAGACTGATTGTGCGACAGACGTAAATTTACACATAAATAATCCGAATGGCCAGTCGGATAAGAGGTAATCGGAAATGAGAACGATCGGGATACAAAGCAAACCAACAAAGAGATCTGTAACTGCAAGATTAGCTATAAACAAGTTCGTTACTGTTGTCATGCCCATGAAATGAAATACCACCAGACAAACGAGAGCGTTGCCGCCAAAAGTCAGAAGACTTAGTAGAGTGTAGACGATAGCAGCAGTTCCTTGAAGGTACGGTGGAGGAATAGGTGGAGCAGGATCGACAAAAGTTGCGCCATCCAGTGATGTGTTACATAGTATATTATACGTTGAATTCATCTGGAGCGTTTGTGATTTAACTATCTATTCATTATAGGAAACTACTATCTAAAATAATAAGATGAGAATGGAGATGAAGTGTGATAGATTAGCGTGTTTATAATAGTGTTGCAGACAAACACTTTCACGTCTTATTACTCTTGTCAAAAGATAGATAAATACGAAAAGAAATTTGTCGCTCATTCTCTTTTTTATACGAAGATTTCTTCAGGCTGTTGATGAGTATAGATTAAAGGTGCACGTCTTATCTGTCAGTCGTGTACTTGTTTAAATTACCATAATTTCCTATCGACGAATATATAATCTCGATACTTCTATGCTAATGAAATGCATGATAAAACGTCTTGCTTTCTGTTAATAAATGCATTTTGAAAAGAAACAAAGTTTTTCTGGTGTCTGAAGATGGCATATCGCACACTGGCACTTATCAACTAAAGGTCGATCAAGTCATATAGATGGTTTCTCTGGTTTTTTTTTCTTTCTTTTTTATTAAAACAGACATGGTATCTCTCGAAGAAGAAAAACTAGTGTGGAACACTCACAGTAGAACACACTTGTCGTATCATCAATATGAACAAAGTTCTCTCTGGAAAAAAAAGAAAAAGAAAAGAAGAAGAAATATTTCTCATGCAACTCTTTCATCATGATTCTCAGCTGAAAATCTTGTAATTTGGCCAAATTTAGCCAGACAAGTCGAATTTATTAATTTATAAGTACTAACCAGACAGAGTTTGATTTCCACCTTGATTACATCTCCATTGTCACGAAAATACGCAAGCCATCACCGATCGTCTATGTATCCAATGTATTGTAACGAGAAAACATAATACGTTGAAAAGAAAAAGAAATTATGATATATTACAAAGCAAAAAGCTGTCGACATTCTAATTTCTTACATTTTCATCGATATGATACGATCACAAAAAACGGCGAAAGAACGACAGAAAAGGCAAACTACGTTTGCACGTGTTTATATTGTGCGTATCGTATGTATCTGAAGACTATTTGATCAGCTACGTGCTTTTATTCTTCGGGTATGCTGACAACGACTTACAATTTGATTATTATTAATATGGCGTCCATGTTCCTTTGTTTAACAAGTTTAATATGCTTTCGAGTACTACTCCTGGTAGATTTCAAGTAGGATTTTTGTTAGTTGATGGAATAGACGAACACATCGAAATCTAATGAAATGGATATTAAAAAGCGGAGGCAAATAGCACCACATATAACTTATTAACAATGCTTTCTACATGTCAACTATTGACCAATCAATCATACTTTAACCAAGCTAAGAAAGAAAAAGGAAGAATCACGCATGTTTACTAAAAAAAGTCATTTTCTTTGATGAATATCTGATCATCAATAGGCAAGATGAAAACCAAGATATATTAGTGAATATATTTTTATCCTAATCGCAATAAGACAACGGAGTTATTACTTACAGAATGTCGTACAGAAGGAGAATATGCCAACAAATAATAATCGAATCTACTCAATAGAAGAAAAACTCTGCATGTATAAACAAAACAACGTAAACGAAGTGATAACAGAAGGAGATTTCTTTCATCGGAAAAACAGATAGATCTTCTTACAAAAAATATAATACGGCTTAATTAGAATGTGAAGTGCACAACGACCCGATGGATGGCAGCTACATTGAACTAAAACAGTCCTTTATGAAAAGAATAATACAACGCCTGATGTGACAACAACAGCAAATACATTTTCTTCCTCATGCACGCAAGAAGTCTATGGTTTGCCGAGACAATAGAACTTTCCTTTGTTGTATTCTTTTCCTCTTCTGTTCAGAAGAGAAAAGACTTTTCGAACAACGCCGGTTGAACTAGTCATTTGTTGGCACACAAAGAGGAACACGAGTTTTATCATTGGAAAAAAAATCCAACTAGTTATCTCAACAATCTATCATAATCGTGTTACTAAATAAAAACGGCTTTTTCCATCAGAATATTTCCCTTTTATAGCTACAGCGTTTCTCATTACAAGAATGACATCTGATCTATCACAAGTTTCTTAATCGTACTCTAATTATCATACGATGCTAAAATTGACAAGCATAGAATTTTGTTCGTAGCTATAAAGAGTAACAGCAGGTTAAACAGGTCGATTTAATCTAAGACAAGTCCTTCGCGACTAATGAAGCTAAACTTATCACATCAGATTGGTTTAAATTTAACAATTCTCGTTAAAACTAGGCCATTCCGTGATGAAACGACTGGAAAGATACAGACACAGCGAAAAGTTTTCGTAGAAAATAATAACGATATGTGCAATCTTCTTTCTCTTGAGATTTTAACTGTCAATAGCATTATCTGTGTAAATGCATTACTCTTCCATGAGTGAAATCGAAAATACATCAATTGCATCAATGACACGATCAACCAATGCTTCCTAGTTTAATAATAAAACTAATTTACGAAGAAAACTATTTGCATTCATGTCTCATGAAGATGTTTTGAACAAAATTTCAAATATATTTCGAGTACATATGCATTTCCTCTCTAATCGATTAATGGCTACGAGATGAAATAAATTGCAAGAGGATACTTTACAATGAACTTGCTCCTAATGGAAGTTCTCTAAAAGAAAGAATAGTTCATCATGATATGTTAACAAGACGAACTCCTCATGTCAGCGATCTATTGTGGAAAACTATCAACACTTGCATACAGAATTTTGAAATGCATTTGGAATATTTGATAAAGTGAGTATTATGTTTAGCAAAGATGGAGTTCTTCTCGATGAAATATTTAGTTACAAAGCAGAAGTTCTTCTTTTCTTTTCCTAAGTATTTATATAATAAATTCTAATGAAAAAGGAAAGCTCCGATCTAAATATTATGAGCACGAATGATTTACACTCGCAAGAATTCCGGATTAGTCGATGTATAGAAATAGTATTTTGTGAATCAGACGGAAAAAGCTTTTGTGCAAAGAAAGTGAACTAACTATAGCCTAAGTACAATACCTATTCGCACTATGTGTTTGAATAGCCAGGACTTGAATTATTTATTACTATGTGAACTACATATGATATCCTTAGCTAATTTTAACTTACATCCGCTTCCATCTAGTTCTTTGTTTGACTTCGGTTATGTCATGAATGGCTTCGAGGGTTATATTTCCCCTACTGTTGATCCATTATACTCTACGCGACAGATCGTATTTACCTAGAATCTTCTCATGAAAATATCGCGATTGGAAAAGTATCATATCGAGACATGCGAAAAATAAATTGACGATAGTGTTCAAAATGTCTTACTTGAGTAAAGGAAAACTCTTCAAGAAACATCGGATACATTGACGCTTATGAAATGGTCTTATTAATATCGAAAATCGATTCATATGCTCGATCGAGTGGCGATTAGAAGTAAGTATGCCTAATCTCGCGTAGGTATGGAAAAAAGCTGATCCACTTTAAAGTCGGCCCATAGAAAATCATGATAGATGTAAACAAGATTTTCATCGGAAGTGATATAAATTAATCACGAAGGTTTAATAGAATTTCTGAGTGATTGATTTACCTCGATGCATCGAATGTTCTGGAACAAATCGCATGAGCCGGCCTGCCGAGCATGCTCGCATTGGTGCGCCAACTAAATTATAACCATCATCATAGGAACGTTCATTCTTGCTTTTGATTTGTAATTTGTTCGGCTGTACATTTGTTGGATACAGTCGAGTTTCTCGAGGGAAATTTACTTGGTCTAATAACTTGATTAATTTGATTTTCATTTGGGAAACTTTACCTGTTCTCTTTGTTTGTTTTGGTACGTGTACTTAAGGCGAAGCGGAGCGAAGGAGCGTTTTAGTTTAGGTTCAATTATTTTCAGACTCCCGATGGAAATCTAAAAGAAAAATATTTTCTTTTTGTCTTGCTTTTTTATTCAATAATAAGTATTGACAAAGACGGGAAATGTTGAACTACTCGGGGAAATCCTTTGTTGAATAAGAAGAACGTAATATACTCACGGTTGACCGACAGCTTCATTTATTTTCCTATAGAATGACTAATTGAAAAGATTTTGCCCACCAATACATTTTCAGTCTTTGGAACGTGTCAATCACGTCGTATGCATTACCTCCTTGCACTCACCGCACGCGTTTTTAACGATATAGAATAAGTTCTAATATATTTATTAATCTAAGTGCACAATAAAGGTCAAGTGTCATCAAGTAATAATGAACAAAATAACTCACAATTACATATTTGTATAGATAATGCTGAATGTCATAAAAACGGATGAAGTTTTTCGACTAGAAAGAAAGAAAGTGTGATCGTATTGAATATAATTTCAATACGTACACAGATGACGCTAATGCATGGAAAACAAAAATTTTCTCCGGAAAAGTTTTTTCTTAATTAAACCAAACTATTTTAATGAGAAGACCTTTAGAAAATTAGAATTCTTCCAAACTTTCAATTTTGTAAAACAAGCGATCGATTCATTGGCCAATCATATTGCGAACACGAAAGCCCAGTCTTCCAAATTTATCTGTGACTTCTTCATTTCAAGTCTTCTTCATACTACTAAACAATGGCTACATCACCTTCAGTTTCCACTGTCAAACCAACAGTACGACACTCGGTTTCCCTTCATTTTAATATATCTTTAAAGAATTTCTAGGATTCATCAATCTCAGATGAGAATGATTTACAAACGAGAGGCCATGTTTCTCTTCCATCGGCTTCGTCGCTATTACATTCTGCTGAACGCCTTGTAGCACCAATTCAAACGCCCTTACCAGCTGGGACACCTGTCCAACAACAACCTACCGGTGGATTTACGTCAACGTTCAACTCCGCTAATCCAACGTTTGCGGTTTTGAAAGCCACTGCTCTACAACAGGCTTTTGGCCATCCAATGGCTTATGCACGAACATTAATGCAGGTAAGTGAATTCGAGTGAGAGTTTCGAGTTCGATTCGTTTATTTGTTTAGATGGGGTATGAACCGTTGCCTGTATATCGTGGGAAAACTTTACTTGGAAAAGAAGCTCTGTTTTATCCGAATGTTTTTCGCTACTGTTCGTGCTTCTTCTCAACCCGATCGATCATCTATTCTCTTTGATGTTTTTAGTGAGGTATATTTACAACATCGATGGTTTTACAGGTCTATATCGTGGATTTGGTTGTGCTGTTCTATCAAAAATGGTCTGTTGGTATACAACAACAAAGGTTGACGAAGTAAATAAAAGAGATATCTGTTGAATTGTATGTCCGTTTCATTTTTTCTTATGAACAGCTCCTTGGGCCAGTTGAACCTGTTGTACCGAACGATAAAGTGAAACCAACATGGGATAAATGTATCAAAAAGACTTTACGAGAAGTACGCTGTCAGTCGTGGGGAATCTTGATTTCGCATCCATTCCAAGGTTTGTTCGACTGCAATACATTTTCTCGGGATATTCTCAGCTTTATCGATTAGTAATGGCCATTCGATGCATGGGACAATTCATTGGTCGTGAAACAGCATATTCGTCGATCAACATCTTTCAAAATATCCAAGAAATTTACAATCGACAAGGAATTGGTGGATTTTTCGTGTAAGTCAGTATTTTTCTCTTCAAATCTCTCGTCTCACTTTTCACTCGTATCTACAGTGGCTTAATTCCACGTTGGTTGTTAGAAATTGCAACAATCGTCATATCCAATGTACTTATTCATCTACTTAAATCCCAATTACCTTCACAAAGTGAAATGGTTCCATTGTACGAATACATGGCTGCTGTAAGTTCAAATATTTCGCATAACAACATATTTATTGATTAGTTCTGAACGCCCACCTCCCTTTTCATCTAACAGCCATTTCGTCAGTATAATTCACACATACTTTTGCTCTGGCGAGTGAAATATGCGATGCGAGAAAGAATGTAATCTATTGTTCTCGTAAAAATCCAGACTCGAGAAAAAAAATGCTAAATATTTGTTTTGATAACAATCAACATTGAAAATCCGAATAAAATAACATATACAACTTCTCGATTAAATCAGAATTAATCTTTGTTGTTTTAGTTCGTTGCTCAAACGGCAACGTATCCATTGAGTGTTGTAACAACAGTTACAGCTATCAATCGAAGCGGTCTGCGAGCTGGTATGCTACCAATTACACCAACTTATGCTAATTGGCAAGATGCATACAAACAATTAGGCAAAACTGTAAGTCTTTGAAAATAGTCGAAAGAATTCTTTGAATATCGACGAGTTTTTAGGAACAATTGAAACGTGGTTCGAGCTTCTTCAATCGTGCTGTTTTTGGCAACGTCGGAGTTCCCGCCCCGGGTACACCCATACCAAATGTTTAGACTTTTCTCTTTTCTCTCATTTTTTTTAAAAAAATTTTCCCGTTATTTTTAAACTTAGATAAAATAAATAAAAAAAAAACAGTAGGAAAAACGAGGATGAAAGGACTCGATTACTCAAGGTCGTATGAATAATATCGTGGAGAGATGCCGGCTTTGTTTTGTTAGTGATGATCTATTGGTGGATATTTTTCTTTTCCTTCTCCTTCTTGTTCTTCTTCGTCGTTTTGTTCTTCGCAAGAAAACATCGATGACCTTGTGACCGCATTTCAACGGAATACACTCACGTATTCAAACAGAAATCAGCAGATCCCATTTGTTTTATTGGTAAGCAGGAATATTATTTGATTTGGTCATACGTCCTTGGATCGGTTATTGGAATTACGTTTTTCTCTTTTTTTTTTGTGTTTCTATGTAAAGAAAGACAACATCAGACTATGGCGTGATATTTCCTCGTACGATACTATTATTCCTAAGTTTTTTTTTGCTTCTTCTTCTGTTCTTTTTGTCGCGTCGATTTGAGAGGTAAAGACGGTTTTATGAAAAGCATCATTCGATTGGTCATTTCGATATTATTACTCTCGTGATGCAGTGCCAAGAAAAAACAGCTCGCAACTAGTAAATGTGTACGAAAAATCCGTGTTTTTCTCTCACATTATGACCATATCGGTTACGACTGCAGTTTCGTAGCACATTTTGTCGTTGAATATACAATGTTATCTTTTGTCTTCACGAATCTCTCATTATTAAAAGGATAGATATGATAGTCAAAAAAATGTATCGATAAACAAGATATCAGAAGCACTTAACACGAGAATGAGAGAGAGAAGAGAAAAAAGAATTTGTTAGCACACGATCGACGAAGTGAGTGTTCTTTATTTTCTTTTCATCGTACGACTTTTCTTGTTATGTGTCGTATTGAAGTGTTTATGTGAAGGTATACACCCGGGGGACTTATCTTCATCGAACAGATTTAGAATGACGTTTCGCAACGAGCCGATCGAGCGAACGCTGGATCTCTCGTTGGTATATTTTCGTCAGACGCCTCCTACACATTCCACCACGTGTGTATCAGAATGGAGATCGAAGAGAAAAGCGCACATAAAACGAGTGAAATCCAGCTGTTATGAATGTTATTATTTCGTTTGTTTTTTATTTCTGAGTAGATTAGAAATAATATTTCGATGTCGACTAGTATTACTAATAAAGATAATCAACGTTATTCAATGGGCTCGAATCGAATTCAAGAACGAAGTGATCAATTTTGGAATGGTTATTCGAAGATTTTAATACGGTTTACACAGCCGATTTTGTTAGCAAGTTTAGTCGTCACTGTGGGTTTAACAGTTTGCTTTTTCTACTTTGTGCAAATCCGTCAATTCGATCAAACTGACTTTATCGTGCGGAGTGGTAAAGCACAACAGAATGCTCAGCGGATCAGCGAAATCTTCGGCAATGATAAAGGCTTTCGTGCACATCAACAAATGGATCTTTATCCCGCATTGGACATCATCATAAAGAGAAAACTCTCAAACAATTCCAGACATATGAATGAAACGAACATGTTAAATAAGGATATTATTGAAGAGGTAAGGACAAGAATTTCGAAAAGCAAAGAACACATTAGTATTCCACTCAGATATCCTATCAATCTTCTCCTTTCCTCTCCAAAACGAACAAATGTTGGCAGATGTCAACATTCCCTTTTTTCGAGACAGGCCGTGATTAATGATTTTCTCGGTCTACGAGTCTTCGAAATCAGACGGCTAAAGTCAAGTTCATCAAATGTATGATTTGTTCTGTTTAGATACGTATACTCGACCGTTATATTCAATCGGTTCGAATCAATGATAGTAAAAATTCACTTCAATACAACTTTTCAGCATTATGCGCCGTGATTAACCATGCGTGTGTAGTCGATGGGAATTACTTATTATCAGATAAATTTCGTCAGGATGCATTACTTTTACCACATATAAAAAGTGGAATCTATTTCGATTCGCTCACTGGAGCTAATGGACTTTCATCATTTATATTCAGCAAAGATTACAAAATACTGAACACGACAGTACCGGAAGAAGATTATGTCGACGAAGAGGAGGGAAAAGAAGAAGGTGAAGAAGAGGAAGAAGGTGAAAAAGTTCCCGAACCCAAACCAGCGCAATTTATCGAAGTCGTGTCGTATGTTCCTTTGTTTCGTATTCGGTATTCGTTGAATATTTCTACGGATGCAATGCGTTCATTAGCGCTCCAATGGGAACGCGAAGTTCTTCGTTATCTGAATGAAAAATTTCATTCGTCATTAATACACATCTCACCATCTACATCGACAGCAATATCTGATATTGTTGGCAAACAAGCGCGCGATGAAGGTCCCTTTATGACCATCATGCTTTTAATTTTTTTTATTTTCGTTGGCTTTTTCATCAGTATTCAAGGCAATTCTCATACATCTGTAGGATATCTCTCACTCTGTGGAGTCATTAATTTAGCTTTAGCATCTGGTGCTACTTTCGGTCTGTTAGCAGTGTTCAAGTTGCAAATTATTGAACCTATGGCTCTGATTGTTTTTGCTGTTGCGAGTAAGTATTTTGAGACAAATGTTTCATCGGTCTCAACCTCTCGCTCTCTCTTCTAGTTATCGATTCAATGCGTATTTCGATTGTTTGCGGCGAATACCATCGAATCATTAAAGATCATTTACCAGTCTCATCAAACAATGTTGCGACCAAAATTGATATCGAGAAAATTCTTCCATTAATTATTAAATCTTCTCGGCCATATTTTCTTTCGACAACGTTAATCCTAATAATTGTTTATCTAGTTCTATCACTGTTATCACCTATGTCATGTACACGATATCTTGGTTTAACATTGGTCTTATATGTATTTATTGATTATTTAACCCATTGTACATTCTTCTCTGCATGTCTTGTTTTTACCTTGAAACGTATCAAATCTCGCCGTCATTGTCTCTTGTGTCATCATTTACCCAATGATCATTATATAAAGGATCGTCGAAGATCCTTTCAGAAAGTTGTTTTGGAAAAGCCTTTGCAATTTTGGTCAAATCGCAATGCAATGATCAAGAAGTTTTGCACCGGATTCTTATGTTTGTTATCGTTTGGATTCATTATCTTCAGTGTTTGGTCATTATTTTCCATTGACACGCATTTATTCGAAGATAGGTTTCTTCCGAAAAATGCGTCGTTATTGAAATCCTACATGAATTCTCATATCGAGCAATATAATATCGGTCCTGTGATTATGTTTGTTATTCCTCGACCGATTAATTATGAGAATAAGAAGAATCAGGCCTTGATTCGTCATCTTCTTCAGCAATGTTTGAACGAACCGACGACGAATCAGTTTAAACTACTATGGTTAGATCAAGAAAACATTCACACGATCTTAACAAGCAAAGATCCGATGAGCGTTCGGGTGACGCCCTATTCGCAAAACGACATTATTGTATCCGAAATTAACAATAAAACAGTCATAGAAGCATCCCGCTTCTATTGTCAATATCAAACTAGTCAAGGTAAGACCGTATCGAATAAGAATTCGAATTTTCAACGTTTTTTTGCTTTTATTCTCTAGGTGATCGAAATGATTTACAAACGATGAATAATATGTATACATACGCAAAACAGAGCTCCATCCCGTCAATTTTTCCTTACAGTTTCATCTTTGTGCACTATGAGTCACTCGCCCAGATACGTACGGAAATCTATTTGTTGATGTTATTCGTCGTACTCACTACATTTGTTATCATTTTTATCATTTTTACTTCGTTTGAAAAAGCTCTGCTGTTATTTTCACACATGCTCGCTTTACAAGCTGGAAGTTTAACATGTCTATACTTGTTTCATGATTTAACATTCAATTTCGCCAATGCACTTTGGTTGTTTATCATACCAATAATCTTCTGCGATACGTTAATTCATGCATCTTTCAATATAAACAAATCAAAATGGAAATATAATCGTGTTCTACTTTCGCTGATCATTTCTTTAAGCATCTTCTCTTTGTTTTCAATTGAAACATACATCTTTCATATCATACGTTTATCGCTGCTGTATCAAACGATCATTTGTTTTGTACTAATCAATTTTATACTTCCATCGTGGCATTACCTGATTGAAAGAATGTTCAAGAAAGCCAAAGACGAAAAGCTACCTACAGCAACAGCAACAGCAGCCATTCTCGAAAGCAGTCAACCATTGACTGCCGGTACAGAAATACAGAATCTCGTTTACGAATCGAATGGCAATACGATCGGTTCGACATAAAACAAACTATTGCTGTGATGTAAACGTTCAGTTCTTTTTCCTTCTTGCATTTTCTTCCGAGTTAGCTCAGCGTCATTACTTGCGTCCAGACATATCTTCGTCTTTTTACTTTGCTCTGATGTCTGTTTATGTGAAATTTTAAATCCCACATGCATGTATTATTTCAGTGTAGTTCATTGTTGGTCTTTTTTCTTCTTCGTTAAATAAAATACGTGAAGTTGGGTGCTGCTTTAACTCTGGTGTCTATCGAAACATGAACCGTTCTGCTCAAGCGAAAAGGTGTTGAACATTTGTGCGAATATAGACCTTCATGACTTCGAGTGGAATCGAGAATTTGTCGATTGTCGAAATGGAATCACACATAATAAGAAAAAACATTTCCTAGATGAAAAGCACTATTGTGACATGCATTGTAATATAAGACTATCCTATATTGATCTTCACATCTCTGTTGAACACTTATTCATTTCTTTTGCTTGGTTTTTAATAACATTAGATCTCTCTGGTGAACACTATTTGGACAATTAACATTCTATACATAGACCGTTTCTGTATTGAATATATATACGTAAAGATCACGAAGTCTTCTTCATTTTTTGTATTCGTACTCGTCATAACATAAATTCCGAAGAGTAGCAGCATGCAAACACACATCTATCCCTTTTGTCTATTAGCATTCAGCATTGTTTTGATCAAGTAAGTAGATCATACGTACAAATTGATTATCTGGCAATGTTTTTCTTAGTGCAAGGTTTGTTTTTCGATCGGTGGATGGTGGTCAAGACGGAGAAATACGTTATTTGAACAATCACCCTTATCATACGCATCATGTTGATGCTTATCAAAAACTATTAGAAGATATCCTGGAAACAGAACTTCGTGCGGGTAAATCAAACCTAATTGATCTTCAATCGTTGGACCGGACAAGGAAAGGAATCGAACGCGGTGATCCACGCGAGTTTATGGGCTGAAAATCGACGTCGTTTGTCAATTTACCAGGAACGAACAATTTTAATAGCTGCCTTTGAAAAAAATATCTCATATCGACTGAAATAAATCACATCATTCGAAGTTTGCAAACCTTTATTGATGAAAAATTTTCGTTTTTGATACATAAAACATAAAAGTACATGTATGTATACTAATCTAAACGAAGAAATGTTCAAATGACTAGGTGGACGGGTTACAACATTGAGAAGTAGAAGAAATCAACATGTTATCAAACGAGCATTATTCTTCGAACAAAAATAACATCGTTGTTCGAACCATATCTGTTGTCCTGGATAGATTAGTCGATGTGAGTTGACACTAGTCTGTAGAACACATGGTGTTGCTTTGGTTAAGACTGACAGTAAGCGATATTCACCAATAGCTGCTGAGCGTTCTTGAGGGGGAAGACCAAACTTCGTTCCGACATCGATTCGAAGCACTTGATCACAATTAAAACATTTCCTTTGACCGTTTACACATGAACACGAACGACATTTATGATTCGGTGGTGTTAACCATTTGGAACCTGATGGGAAATAGTACATCACTGATACCGGACGTGTCTTTTGTAGAAAGCAAGGACGAAGGCATATATCATGAAGACGTTCACATTTTAATATGCCATCCAACGTACACGAACATCGAGTACACGAATTCTGGTCCATCCATGATGTTTCACGTGGTATTTCAATGTAACGACTAGGCTTTTCACTGGTGTTCGCTGAAGAGACACGTTCGATTAGGATGCAAAATTTCGGTGTAACACTCGATGAACATTCCGGTTGCAAACGAACAGTCGATACACGTCGGTCAAGTCGATTTGTTTTAGGAAAAGAATCTCTACAATAAGTACAATGGAAATCAATATTTATTCAGTCTTATATAAATCTCACCTTGGTATTTGTTGTGATTGGTGAGTCATCAGTCGAGTTTGATTCAATGGTAGTGCTTTTTTACATATCCAATGTCCGTTTTTCGTACATTTACATCCCGTACATCCATCTCGCGATCGAATCCGTATACCGACTCGATCAGTTCTGCAAACAACGACCCGTTGTCGAGCGCTCGGATAGTTCGCGATCGGCCATTTCGCTAAATCTTTCGCGGTTGGTGATCCATTCGTATTCGTTGGCCGAAGAATAGTCAATTGATCAGCAGGTATTAGCGATTGTTGACTATAGAACAGACGTACTTTACCCTGTTCACAAACACAATAAGGAGATCCTGGTGTATCTGTCCGACCCCACATAGCACCATGAGCAAATCGATGACCTTGATGCCAACATTCCCCTGATTTAAAATCAGCTCCCGACCAACTGTATAACTGAATGTCCGATGGTCGACATTCGATGTCATTAATAACTCCGACTAAGCCTAAACATTGATACGTCCATTTGAATGACCATAAGACAGAGAAAATATATACATAGTATAGTACAGTTCTACAAATAAACTGAAGTAATTGATATTCTCGACCAATATTTAACATACTTTGTAAAACAGATTTGTATCGAAGCCAGACTCTCGAACTAATATGAACGTGAAGCAAGAAATCTATCTAAACATGAACAAGATTTTATCTTCTCTCTATATTCGATGAGAAGAAAATCAAGAAGAAACCGTCACAAAGAAAAAGCCTCGAAAATGATTTATATATTTTCAATTTGTTGATCATCATCATGACAATATGGTTTCCTTACAATTCGGATGATTTCCTCTAGAGTGTCGATCTCACCAGAAAAAAAAATCATATGATTGCTCTTCATCAACACAACAGGCCTTGCTGACAAAATTTTCTCTTGAAAGTATAAGTGCACATCAACGAAACACATTATGCTTAGACAGATTCGCTACTTGACAAGATCGAAAGAAAAATATGCGTCTATTCTCACTCAGCTTATGCTTCTTACAAATGTCCTACTGCGCACATATCTATCATCAGGAGATCTTCGACATAGATCCCTCGCACTGCCTTGCATTACCTGTCATTCGCTTCATGCGTCTTCAAATAATCTCGAATCGCGTTTTTTCCTTCTTCTTGCGACGATGCACTCAGTGGAGCATCCACTTCTCCCAATCAAAATATTTTATGAATAAAAAAAAACCGCCGAGTCTTATTTTAATTCTCACACGTTCGTCTATCTGTTCTTCACATACTTACAAGGAATAACAAAAACAAAAGTATAGCTTTATAAAGAGAACGTTCGATGCTATTTTCCCTTCTTTCTCAGTATGATAAGGAGAAGAAGAAAGCGCAAGGCGCATGCATGCATAAATGAGTTCTGCGATCCAGGACAAACGCTCATATGGACATTATAGACGAGAAAACAGTCTTTGCTTCTCCAGCAATTCGATAACCTTGAATCTATTGGAACGATAACAAACTGTGTTGTTTTCTTTTTCTCTTTTCATATGCCTTTAATAATAGTAACACTTGTGTATACGCTGAATACTTCGCAACATATTTATCTCGGCGCGCGCGCAAGAGAGAGAGAGAGCAAAGGAGTGCGAACAAAAGCTTCAATCAATGTTCAAAATATTCAAAAGTTTTGTTTCTTACGAAATCAATCTACGATGACTTCCGTCTTAATACGTCTCAAGCGACGTACTCAATTTCCTTTTCTCTTTCTCATTCAACGACCTTCAGCTGGCAAACAGACGTTCGTTCTGTCTGAACACTTGAGACATTTATATATTCCATGAAATCTATTCGAGAAGAATATAATCAGAATTCCACAAATCCAATTCAATTAATATCAATTGGAACTGATGTGACTTTAAATAAAGAAACGGCATGAAAATAATTAGTTCTTTTTTTTTCTTTTCCAAGGACGTCAACACTCTGTTCAAACTCGACAGGTAGATGACAGGAAATGAACTATGAATTTCATTTAATATGTTGATTACACGTTAGATCATCTTCCATTCTTTGTAATTAGACATCGACATATTTCCGATCGTGATCTGCGGATTGAGCATATTCGTTCGACTGTGTGGAACTGAAGAAAATATTGACTAAATAAAGAAGTTTTTTTTTGTAGTAAAAACTCAACTAGACATTTACGAGGTGATTGATCGGAGATTGTTTGTTGTTGAGCGAGATTTCGTCGAACCAAATCTTCACGATTAGGATCAGCGAAGACGTTGACGAACGTTCGACCAAGCGTCGTGTCTTGGGAGAAGATTCGAAGTAGAAAATCGCAGTTCTGATCCACATCAGCCATACTGGGGATGATCAAATAGGCTCCAGTTGTAGTTTTTAATAGCAGCGAAACTTCTCGGCGATTGACTTTGATTATCGAAACAAAATATCAAACAAAGAAAAAAAAAACAATCAAATTTAATTACCATAAGGTCCTGTTGATGCTATCGAACAGAATATCAATTTGATGAAAAATATTTCATTTTCACTTACCGATACGTTCGACTTCATCGGGCTTATAGACTTTCTTTTCGCATATCTTCACATTGGGTTTGATTCGGAATAATCGAATTTGTATGTACTCTTCATTGGCACTCTTCTTTATTGGCTTTTGCATTAATGCAATGATCATCATACATAATCTATCGGAACTCAATGAACGATTGACAGTTAACTCAATGAGAAACTGGGGATTACGCCAATAATAACATCCATGACGACATCCGGACGTGGCACATGAACCGCCGCTATTTTCTCCTGCACGCCATGATCCGAGAACGTACCACATTCGCCAATGATGTTTCGAATCTTGAGCTGTCAACCCGAATTCATCATAGGTATCTGGACTAATGTGACAAACTTCCATGACATCGAATTCCTTGTAAAAATCATTGAATGACATCCAGAATTCTCCGTCGTGTTGCTTTCTGATACTTAGCCTTGTTCGTGTGTTTTCATCGAGTAGATTCCAAATAGAATCGGCATCAGACCATTTGCCATTCCATTCTATATCATTTCCCCAAGGATTACGAAAGCGTATCAAACCGCGATCGCTCGTTTTCGATTGATTCTCATCATAGATTATTGGGAGAACATGATAATTAGTTATCGAATACGTATGACCAACGACGAGACCGTTGGGAAGAATACTTTCGATTTTTCTTCTGTCTGCATTAATCGAACAAGCTATCAGTGAACCATAGTCAATACAAGATCGAATAAAATCGAACAGCTCTTCGGAACGAAGATTCGTCTGCGATATATTCGTTTTGAATTCAAACCGCTGTTCAATTCCACCGGTGAAATCTGTCAAAGCATTGACAGGAAGACCACCGGCTAAGTTCGTGTAACAGCCGTTGAGTTTCGCATAGGCTTTTTCAAGTAATGAAACCCAAAATTCATTGATTTCAAAGAGATTTCTCGCACTCCAAAGACGTTTTTGTCTTTTCAGATAAGGCAAACGATCGTCGATAACAACATCGTACCAGTTTTGATACCGCCAGAAACGAAAATGAAATATACCAGCTAAAAACTCCATCGATCGAACCTTTCTCAATTACTCACCATACCAATCTTTGGAAAAAGATTGATCCGGTGGAATGACTCGATTCAAGACAAGATTATTCTGTGTTAATGCACTCATCGCTGCGATAAACCAGCAGTTACCTAGATCACCTTGATTCGGATCTGTACGTTTGATTCCGTTGACAATGAACTGAGGATCATCGACAATCTCTCCCGGCCGGTTCCACGTGATATCACGCCAAGATGGAATCAGGTTTTGGTAATTATTTGACAATGATTCAACTTGGGCCGGGAAGAGAGAGTCATCGAAAAGTTTATTCTCTTGTCGACATTGTAATCGAATCGATTCGAAGTCTTGCCCTTCAAAGATTCGAATTGTATGGTCGCATTTGGCCATATATTGGAAAAGAAAGCAAAGAATATCAACGCGCTTATTTTATTAGAATTCAATTCATTTTCATTTATTATTGATAACCTCTATGAAAAGTGATTCAATACTAGTCCAAACAAAACACCCCCGTAGTCATTAAAAAACGTTTTACAATCGATCGAGAAAGACTATTCTCAACATGTTTAGCTTCAATGAACAGAATATAATATAAAGTCATCAACAAATCATTAGAAATTACCTTTCCTTTTCTTTCATCTTATTCTATATGTGAATATGATGACATGAATTCTCCTTCTTTTCTTTCCACGTCGTTTCTCCTTTGAAAAGAGGAAAAAAAATCGCAGTTGACAAGAAAGTAAATCTAGTCATGAAGAACAAATCATAACTCTTACAATTCGATATGTCATTTATCATCTGGTTAACATCTGTTCTCTCACTCGCTTGCAGTAAGTCGATTTTCATCATTGAACTGTCGACTTTACCTACCATTTTCTTCTCAATCATGTTCTCCTTCTCTCGACATTCATTAATAAATAAAAAAAAAGCTCACTTGGAAATATGTCACTTGGCCGCAGCATTTTTTCTTTCTCTCTCATTCGACATCGAACATTTCCAGATCAAACACTTTGCTCCTGAATCGATTGATTGTCTATACGCATTTCGTTTCGGTGACACACTAACGAAAATCGTACGGACATATCATTGATCAAAAGCAGTTCGTCATGTCAAGCAATGTAGGTAGATAGTACACTTGTACAAGTAAGAAAATTCGTCGAACGCTCTTTCACGCACGAAAACATCGAATGCACACGTGTTCGACATTTTCGCACGAATACGTTTTATTTTGATGAATCGTTTTTGTCAATATTGATCCGTCTGATCATCATAGAATTGAAGGCAAATGGTACGACTCATGTAGCATTTATAATCACGAATTCTTTCGTTTGAATCATCTCGATTTTCATCTTCGCTTATCAAGTATTTGACATCAACGAAAAAGAAAAAAGTAATTTGGTTGTAATAAATCTCTTCCTTTTCGTTCGAGACACTTTTTTTTCTTCGTCGACTTTGTTTCAACTCTCCTTTGATAATAGTATCGAAAAACAACAAATGACGCTGTTTCATATTCGTACATATACGTCAAGCTTTGATTTTCGTTTTTTTTTCCTACCTTTTAGTTTGCAATGCCATTTATTCTACTAAACCAATACAAGAATAACATGCTAGAGAAGAGAAAAATAGAAGTAAATTTGTTAAGTCGGCTTCATTATAAATTTTAGATATGGCCTCGAGATCGAGTGGAGGTTTACGAAAAAGCAAGAAATTAGTCATCGTAGGGGATGGAATGTGCGGAAAAACATGCCTTTTGTTTGCTTTCAAAGATGATCGGTTTATTCCAACCCATGATGCAACTATTTTTGATACTTATGTTGCTGATATTCAAGTTGATGGGAAAACGGTAAGTGGAATTTGTTGGCAACGATGTTTTGCTTCTACGATTGCTGATTTTCAGATCGATCTGGCACTTTTTGATACCGCTGGCCAAGAAGATTACGATCGTCTTCGTCCTCTGTCCTATCCGGACACCAGTGTTGTTCTGATCTGCTTCAGCGTTGATAGTCCGGTATCAGCGACGAGTGTATTAGAAAAATGGATACCAGAAGTTCGTCATTTCTGTGGAACATGTCCTGTGATATTAGTTGCTTGTAAGAAAGATCTACGAACAGATCCGGAGGTCATTGCAAAGTTAAAGCAGGAGGGCGAAAAACCAGTGACAAGTGAAACAGGACGAGAAATTGCTGCACGAATCAAAGCAGATGCTTACATGGAATGTTCAGCGAAGACACGCGACGGTGTTCAAGATCTTTTTGTGCATGCTGCTCGACTATCACTAAAACAGCGATCTGGTAGATCCTCTACTAGACGTTGTGTTTTGTATTGAATGACACTCTTTGATCTTCTTTTTCTATACATTGTAACTTCTCAAACAATCAAACGAAAATATTTCGGTTTAGTTGTAGTTGATTTTCTTTCGGATTGAAAATGTTTACACATGTTTGCGACGGTAGAGGTAAACATCGTCTTCACATATCGATGACTCATTTTTCCAACAAACTCTGCTCGAATTCTCGTGATTTTTTGTCTGTACTCGTTTGTTGTACTCGATAGCCATTGAGGAATATTTTGCTGTTCTCTTTTTCAACTGAAACTGCTTCATCTGTTGAGTCATTCTGGTCAGAGCATTGTTATCATCTTCATTTTCGCTACCGAGCTTACCTTGGTGCACGAGACATGACTTTTGATGAGTCACCTTCTTACACGAGTACTTCCAATACAATATAACACGGCTCGTCAGTCCACACATCAAGGTAGTAAGTGTTGTGTCAACTGTTATCAACATCTAAACGAATTTTTTTCCCAATGACGACTTCAACGAACTATGTTCGACGAAAAACCAGAAAACTAGTAATTGTCGGGGATGGAATGTGTGGGAAAACGAGTTTGCTATTCGCTTTTCGAGACGGACAGTTTCTTCAAACGCACGAACCGACAATTTTCGAAACTGATTTAGTTGATGTTCAAGTCAATGAAAAAACTGTCAGTCAATTTGATAGAGTCTTTCGTCGAACTCTTATCTTTTCTTTGTTTTCAGGTTAATTTAGTTATCTTCGATACAGCTGGTCAAGAAGATTATGCTCGAATTCGCGCATTGTCTTACGCCGATACTAACATCGTACTTGTATGTTTTAGTGTTGATAGTCCTTTGTCAGCTATGAGCGTAATTGAAAACTGGATGCCCGAAGTACGAGAGTTTTGTGGACGTTGCCCAGTCATTCTAGTCGCATGTAAAACTGATCTTCGAACAGATAATCAAACAATTGAGTTGCTGCAACGTGAAGATGAAACTCCAGTTACGACTGAAACGGGCAAACAGATTGCCGCACGAATCAAAGCATATGCATATATGGAATGTTCAGCGCGAACTGGCGAAGGCGTTCAAGAACTATTCCAATGTGCTGCTCAACTAACGTGTAAAAAACACTTTCGAAAATCATCTGATCAACGATGTGCTTTACTCTGAGTTATGTTTTCTAATAAAGATTCTGTCTTCACACGACCTCTTTACAATTCTATCGATTAGTTCGAAAACTTAAACCAATGAAATCTGTGAACATCTGCATAGATGCGAATTCGAGCAGAATATTTTGCTGTTTCATGTCACTATTGATCCTTTCATTTGATAACTCATCCGATCGCATCGGTGTTCATCTTCATCGACTTTTGAATTCTTCATTAATAGGAAACTATCCTCACACTGCGTCATTTTGCTCATGTCGTCAATTGTTCTTCTCTTCAATAGACGACTTCGAGAAAATCTTTGCTACGTCTTTAAAACTTGATCTTCTTTCTCATAATGATCTGCTTGGCTTCATTATTCTCATCGACATTGCCACAACGAACAAACTACATTTGAATTATCTTTCGTCCATCACCTCCTTACTGATTTATCTCAATACGAAGCATTCATTTCAACAAATTCTTACATTTATTATTCACGCCAGTTCTACGAACCAACTTTATACCTCATCATTGACCTGTTTCAATCTAAATCTAATCCTTCTACACGTTTATCCCTATGTAACCGGAATTGTCTTTCTAAATATCGATCAAATTGATCAACATGAACTCTACCATGAAACTATTGCTAAACAAATCGCATCAATCTTTCTCCCGGTTTCGTCGTTACGCGAAGAGAGAAAACGCATTGTGAACAAAAGTGTCTGTATTGAATTTCTTCAATTTCTTCAACATTTACTCAATAACCCGAATAAGAAGATCTTAGTTTTGCTCACAAACAATCTGAAAAAGTATTTTAATCAATCGTCTTACGCCTCATTGCTTATCCAACGAGGAAAACCCTCGATAACATCTAACGAAACACCAGGGAACAACTTGGACGTGTGGAATTCGTTCGAAACAAATCTCGATAAATTACAAGTGACGCTCATCGTAAACAACGATGAATTCACCGAAAATCTTCTCGAAAAGCTGATTCTTCAACCGTTTGAAAAGAAAACTCGAATGAACAATGCCTATTTCTACTGGTTAAAGAAAAAATTCCATCTAGACTCTCTTGAAGAACAATTAAATCAAGGTATTTTATTGTGTAAAAAAGTCATTTTAGACAAATAAATTGTCCGACAAGTCACAGAAAACCATAATTTATTGAGATTATTATTCGTTGTATTAGCGAAGATGCAAATCTGCCCATGTTTGTTGATTTCCATACATTCCCCATGGATTCGTTGCTAAACAAGGTTGAACTGTTTGCGACAAGGCATTCATTACGTTCATAATACTACATGGAGGAGTACTGATGAGGTTACTTTGAAAGAAAAAAGAAATAGAGTGAGCTGAAGGCGACAATTAGAAATGTTCTACTTTGTATTTGTCGAACCATTGGCAATGTATGTCGATGGGTCTTTCATTCTTCGAATGAAACGATGATCTTCGTGTTCAAACAGAAGAGAATTATTTTCACGAAAACAACGAATCAAATTTAAGACAGATGGCCGACGTACAAAGCATAAAACAACAAAAGCTTTGTTTTCAATAGAAAGAAATCATCATAGTCGCCTTGCGACCTACTGGTGCATCATTGATGACGGAAGTGCTTTGTGATTCTGCTACAAACTAATTAAGTAATGAGTGTCTTTTTATTCAACGAGACCTTTTCACATCTTGCCGGTTTTTTTTAACTAAGAAATAACAAATAACACATAGACAAAGCAAGAAATGACTAGAACTTGTGTGACATGTATCTATTCTTTATTGTTTCTTTGTTGAATATATTCTTTTTATCAAAACTCGTTACTTGTAGCATTTTTCCTTTCAGATCGTTGTTTGGTGTGAATTTTCAAATGTCTTGTTATCATATCTCGTCGGCACGCTGTGTAGGAACATTGTGGACATGTGTACGGCTTTTCGCCCGTATGCGTGCGTAAATGAGTAGATAAATGATCACTACGAGAGAAGTATGTGTTACACATTGTACAGCGATATGGACGAATGCCCGAATGAGAACGTAAATGTCGATTTAGCATATCACTTCTGGAAGAAATGGCAAGTGTTTCTACATGAAGGAATTCGCCGGTACTTACCGAGAAAAACGTTTGAAGCATATTTTACAAGAGTAATTCCGTAGATCACCTGCACGATCACAATATAATGTATCTGATTGATCAAGTTCACATGGATTTTCTAAATGAGTGCGGTAATGGGATAAGTACCTAGAACAGACAGATAAAGAACGGAGAACGGCGGGTTGTGAATTTACATTTGATGAGAATTAAATTCTTGTCGACAAATCTGACACGGTGGAACTGATGACGAATCTCTAGAAGAATTTGATTGATGTTTTTCTGTTTTGATCCTAGATTAAAAACATATTTTATTAATACTCGGCATTGACGTCATCGAAAAAGAATTCTTTTTACCTGGGGCTAATAGGCGTGAAAATACTTGGCTCATCACATAACATTTTTGTTAACGTCGATAATTGAGCAATTGTTCCTTGGGCATTCACGTGGACTTGTTCTTGAGTTTGAGGAAAGCGAAAGTTGAACGGAGATGTTGGAGTATTAAACCAAGGCGAGCGAAACGGACCAGGATCGCTCGAAACCGAATATGGAGTTAGTGGTAATTGCATGCCACTAGAGTAAGGTGTTCGTGCATTTTGATCCTGATCGTGAGAATGAGGATGATAAGGTAAGAGAAGATGATTGTTTTGTTTAGTAGTTCGAGATTCGGTTGATGAATGTCGATATGACAACAACGGTTTAGTTTCCTCTTCCTCCTGTACAACATCGTCATCATCATTGTCGTCATCATCGTCGGGTTGATTGATACTAAAAGTAATTTTTCCAGCATCATTTGATGCATCGTCGATATCGATAGTTGTATAATGTCGTAGTAAACCTCGTTTACTCGATGTAGGACTTAGAAGATACTGTTCGGCTTTCATCGTCGAACTTTGTGAAGAATCGAATGAATGAGATTTAAATGCTATGGTAGGTTTAGGAAGGGTGGATGATGAGAGATCGAATGAACTCATTTGTTCGGTACGATGCTTTGTTAACATGTCCTTTCGTGATTGAGGTTCATTTGTTTGTTCTAAATAACGACGTTGAAGATAATCCTTAACTTTACCTTTGAAGGTCTAAAATTGAATGAAAAAGTGTTGTTTTTTTTGTGTGAATAATTTCGATTATTTTTACTTGTAAACTGACACTCGTGCTTGTTTGATCATTTTCAATCGACGAGATCAGAAATTGCGAAGTAACAGGTGTTTGTGCTTGGCTTGCAGTTGATTGTGTTGTATGATTATAATCTAGGATTTTTGTCTTTGGGAAAAATTGCTTTAGTAGGTCGATAATTTGTTCCAATTCACACGCATCGGTTTCGATCAGGGCGTAGGTACGCGCCGGTGACTGTACATCAAAATGCATCGCTTCGACTTGATCATCGTCAATGTCGTTGGATAGTTTGTGTTTCGGCGAATTCATTGGTAGAATTTGTGGTGTGTTAGATGACAGAAGTTTTTGAATGCACATAGTCGTTTGGACAATGTGTAGAGAGAAGATTTGTGTGCATTCAAAATAATATTCTAATCTAAAAACGAAAAATGACGCCATTGTTCATCAAAAGGATGATTGAATGTCAAAATACATCCATTGAAAAGAAAAAGCAAAGGAACATTTTCCATTTATCAATTTCCGTCATTTAGTATGACTTGAGAAGAAATAACAATTAACAATATAAAGAGAGAGAAAAAAAAACGATTACTATAAAATAGTTCCCAAACGAGAATGACTTCTTTACCTACTCACCTTAATTGCCGAAATGAATAAATTTACTTAAATACAAATGTTAATTTCTTACCCCTTTTAACAAGATATGACAGTTACGAACGTGATTATCCAATCTCATTGACAAATGTTCTTTTTCTCTCTCTCTCTCCACCTAACAAACAAATGCCTGCGTACATACTTAAAATGAATATCGTAAACATAATACCCTGGATTGCGACCAAACAAGCAAAGAAAAATGAAGGGAGGATGTTTAAGTGTCATGTGGAATGTGTCAACACAGAAGAATAACGTCTAAGCATGTTCAAGGTTAAACATTAGTTAATTGATGATTATGTCGATGAAGAAGAAGTTCACTAGCAAAACAAAAAAGAAAATCTCGTCAGCGAAGTACGTTCGAAGGTTTTATAAATAATAAATCATATTATAATGATAGGGAATAAGATTTTCAAAAATGAATGGATCCTTTGCTTGTTGAGGACTTTAATTATGACAAGAGATGAAAACTGAGGACTGGAAACGCGAGAGAGAGAGAGAAAAAATCTTCTTTTCTTTCTTCACCAGCCGGCGTTTCTTTTTTCAATAAGAAAGAAAAGAACACAGCGACACGCACACAATATAAATGTAATTCTTGTTGAAAAGGAAGAAAAATATGAGACAGGATCAAGGCTACATATTCAAAAAATAAGAACAAATGATAATTATTAATGCATTTGCTCCATACGAGAAAATATCGGTGAAACAAAATGAGAGGAAAAGCAGACAGCGAGACATACGAAAACACGTTTGAAAGACACCTATGCATAACATATTTTTAAAATCACCTTTGCCGCGTCAGTTCGCTAACGTGAAGAAGAGAAAAAAAATGAATCGGTAACCTTCTTGTTTTTCTTCTTCTGCGTCTTCTTTCACTATTTTCTTGACGATGATCGAAGCGGAGGTGTGGATGACTTGTTTTGGCAGAAAAATAATCGCAAAAAATTGCTTTTCTCTTGACCGATTCGGGTTTTAACTTAGAACTATCTTCATGACAAACACACACACACTATTTGAAGTCACAGATGGTATATTGTTTTGCTCTGATAATACATTGACGTTGGAGACATAGCTATTACCGTTAAATAATACGCACTAACAACTGCTCTGATATATTTTAAGAAGAAAAAAAAAGTCTATTTTAAAAGGATTGCATTCATTTCTAAGGAATATTTATAAGAAAAGTTTACGAAGTTACACGTGATATTTTAGAGTTTAATTAACAAAATGGTTCGCTTTGTGTGTAATTTGTCTATCGAACAACCTAAATGTTACCAGTGAAACTTAGTACACTTGCTTATGATATCATAGCTAATGTGTTCTTATTCGCAGTTGACAGTCTGTTTTCTCAGTTATGACTTGAAAGTGATGATTATCTTAACTTTGTCAATCGAGCTGATTACTTGACGTTTTCTTTTGAATTACTGGATAAACAACAACGATGATTGAAAAGAGCATTGTTTGCTTAAACAAAATGAGAAGTCTTAATTGATAATTCATCAAAATGTATTACGGCATTACATCCTGGATTCGAGGTATTCAAATTTATTTCTTTGTGCAGGGCATAAGAACACCTTTTCTTTTAATGAATAGAAGAATTGAAATTAAACTCGATGACGTCTGATGAAAGTCAGTTTTCATGTGCGAGTTGTTCATTCTGTAAGAGTTTCGTCGAGATTTGCTTTTTCAATCCATTGCTGATGCCGTTATCGTAGAGTTTTAGAGTGATGACTGTCTGAATGAGAACATTTGTATGTGGTTGAGAAAATTATCTTAATTACGGTATTTTCTAGCAAAAGATTAGCCAGATATTGTACTCTAAAAACTCCGAATGGATTTACGTTGTGATTTAACATGCGAAGTGTCTGTATGCATGAAATTTAAGTATGTCGTGTAAACAAAAGGTTGTCGAGTGTTACGCTATGTTGTTTTAAACAATGAACCATGCTTCTCACGCGAAAATTGGTAACCTTATTACCGGGCAAGTCTAAATAAGTCAGCGCCTACGATATATTTGAGAAAGAAGTATTGGGTGACGATAGAAAGAGAGAGAGAGAGGGAGTACCTTATTGTTCATTAATATGTCAGCCAGCTGTTCAATACCAACGTTATCAATTCGATTATTTTTGACGAGTGACGTACTGAACGACTGAAAGAACTTGTATGAGCTATAGTGGCGAATTTAGAATCTGTATAATCATCATCTTTTTGCGGAATGTGTTAGTTAAATTCTGTGCTCCTAATTCCCCTATCTGATTATATCGAAGATTAAGGCTTTTATGTGGCTGTAAAATAAAGAAAAGACGAAGATAATAACAGAGACAAGTAAATAAGAGTAATCTTGTTTAGATCTAGAGCACCTGTCAGGGAGTACATGGCATCGTCTCCGATGTGATTACGTTGACGATCTAGCGTATTAAGTGTCTGCCAAATGATAAGCTGGTAGTTACATTATGCAATGAATAAAAATAAGATAAGTATTACTTCAGTATATTGTTATGTGTTTACTAGATATTTTCCACCAACGTCTTGGATGTAGTTCATTCAAAAGTGCAAACTTTTCAAAAGCTGTATGGAATCATATAGAAGGAAAAATATCTGTCGAACAATTCTGATTCACGCTGTTAACAACTAAAGCATCAGCAGGGCGCTGTGCTTTAACACTTCCGATGCGACTATTTCAAAGATCCAACGTGTCGAGCGTCTATTCGAACAAAGTGAATGTACTCAGACTCTATAAAAAGACGACTAACGTCATTGCTTCTCAATCCATTTGCCAAATGTTCAATTCCCACGTTTGCAATTTGATTATAGGTGAGCCGTATGATAACAAGTGTCTATTTAGGAAATTAATGTGAGTTATTCAAAGACAAACAGTAATAGAAAGTGCTGCACTTTCTATTAATTTGTTGGAGAGATGCTGCAAACCAGCATCACCTATTCGATTCTGTCAAAGATCTAACGTGTCTAATGTCTATATACAAGAATGTGAACTTACTTGATTATTTCGTAGGCCATCAGCTATAACATTCTGCTACGATACTTCCAATTTGTTGATCATCAAAGTGAAGAACTGTAATTGTTTGTTCATCAGAACGTAAGCAACTCTATGCGATAGATACACAAGGAAAAGTAATACTACTCTTCGTATTATCTCTCAACGTGTTAGACAGATACTTTACTCGAGCATTTCAAATATTTTGATATCCGAAACTCACGGTATTGAGTGATTATACATCATTGTTACGGCAGCAAAAGACTTGAAATACAAATCAAGATGAAGACATATCCTGTGTTGAAACTAACTGTCCACGATAATGGCGAAACATTGACACAGATTACACATCGGACATAGAAATGTAAATTTATTTTTATGATCAAGTATTCAACAGAGAAGTACTACTGGGAATGTGAGAAAAAATAACGGTGATTTTCTTTTCGATTATATTGAAGAACGAACACATATTGTTTGCTTTCTTTTCGTTCTATCGATATTGTATTTTGTACCTGCGGTCGATTTATTATCGACGCAAAATGTATTTGGTTATTTATAGAAACAAAGCATGTGATTCGATTTGGGATATTTCAATATCTGAATCGTTAAAAAAAAGGTCACTTCTATCGATAATTTCGATTAACATAATCAGAGACAATGTAATGAAATTGGAATTATTACCAAACGAACTTTTCTACTATACTTCTTCTACAAAGAACGTATTGCGAATTTTGTCTTCACTAATCGATCATACAATCACGCTGTCTGATTAATAAGACACTCTCGATCGAATTGAATCGTTGGTTTGACAATACGATCTTTTCCGATATCAAAGTATTGGCAAGATCTACACTCTGCCAAAACTTATTCCTTTTCAATTTGAATAATTCCATTTATGTCATGGAAAGTATCGCCGACCCTAGAATATGCCATTGCCCACGCTTAAAAGCACGATTCATTATCAAATATTCCTCGGATAACGGGTCGTTTATACAGATTAAATATTAAATTGAATCATTATTTTACAAATGAGAACGTCTTCTTCACATTTATATACAGAATTTGAAATTACTTGAATTAAGTGTGGAAACAATCCTTCCAAACTTGATATTATTGACAGATACGTTCCAAGAAGTTTCCTTATGTGAAGAATATTGGTGAAGTTTAGTTTGAAAAGCGTACTTTTAGCTTTATGCACTTGAATGCACAAATATCGACGGATTTAGACGATTCACTGCCTTGCTCTTTTAGACTACCGAATCTTGACGTTCAATGCATAAAAATTCCGATTAGTGAGCAATTCGATCGATTGTCTAAACTTAGATACGATGAATATTGATTGCACGATCTGGAGACTTAGAAAAGGTTTGAATTTAGCAAATGGTCACATGATGATAAGAACGGTCTGAATCATTTTTGAAGTTACAGAAGGCCTTTGTCTCATATAAATGACATCATATTTCCATTTTCCCCGAAGAGCTAAGAACTGAATCATTCATCTGAGCACACATTTGAATTTCTCAAGGAATTGCGATTCTTATCGATCGAAAACACACCTGTGCTATAGACAAGAAAATCACAACTCGGTCGACGAAAAACTATATGAAGTGCAGTAGTGTCTCGTGTCTAAAACAGTTAACAGGAGATATTTTAATTCGCATATAACTATGCGTGTACTCTATCTGGTTCTATTGGTTGTAGTATCGGCAGTTTCTGCCAAATCTCTTTTAGAGCAGATCGAAGAACGGGCGGAGAACAATTGCAAAACAATTATGGATCTGTTCATTATCCTCGACTCGTCCGGTAGTATTGGCGCTGCTGCATTTGAAAATGCTAAAAAAGCTCTCATTGAAATGGTTTCCATGTTACAAATTGGTCCCAAGAAAGTACAAGTATGGGTGTTCAATTATGGACAAACTGTTGACATGCCAATCGCTTTTCATAACATGCCTATGTCAGACTTCACCAAAGATGTTCTAATTCGAAAGATTCAAAACATTCCATACATGAACGGTGGTTGTACTGCTACAGGAGACGCACTACGTGATGCTCGACTGGTTTGTGGCAAACATTGTCGAGGTCTTCATGAAGGTGTTTCACGAATTGCTGTTGTTTTCACCGATGGAAATAGCAATTGCGGTGCATCAGTTGGTGTCGAGTCTTCTCAATTCTTCAGTCAAACTAAATCTAGTGTTTTTGCTGTTGGTATTGGTTCCGGTATTAACACTAAAGAACTCCTCACAATTGCTACCGAAAAAAAACATGTTGTACACGTCAACAACTATACCGAATTAATTACAGCAATGAACAATATCACTGTATATACATGTGGTATTCCAGCTTTTGTTCTTCCAAATATTAAAGTAGAAACATCAACACCTAGCAACACATTTCGATACTACCAAGTCGATACAACAGAACATTTCCGAAATAATCGAAACGGTCAAGGTGGATTCATCGAACTTAACGCACATGTTCATAAAGGTAAAGTAGACGTTTACACATCGACGACAAATTCCAATCCGGGACCAGGTACTGGCCATCGTGTTCAATTTAACACAAGAGGATCTGATCTATTCTATATCGAACATATTGAAGAAGATACTCCAAGATTATATTTTAGTTTTTACGGTGTTGAAACAGCCAACGAATATGATTTTGTTGTTAATTGGCTTGACGCCAGCGGTGGAATAATCGGTTAAAAGTTTCTTAAGTGATTTTTTTCTAGTTTCACGTATGTGAAAACAAATTTTAAGTCGATAAACAAATAAAAATGTAATTTTGCCATGTCTTACGCGTGGAAGATAAAACATAGAATAAGTCAACAAAACACTTCGATTTTACCTTTTTTTTTTCTCTTACCTATATGACGATGACATGTCTACTGCAATAAAAGTATGATTAATACTGGGAAAAAATCAGTTTCAACTATCTACTTCCTTCAAAATAAATCAATGTTATTTTCACTCGATGAATATTTGTTCTCATGGAACAACCTGGTTTGCACGTTGATCGTCCGGTTGATTCCAAGGATACTGTCGAACCGAATCATCTGATTATTTGGTTGGACAAGCACATTGGAAAAACTGGGCAATGTCTTCTGTTGAAAAGAAACTTTTTTATGATAACAGATCCAACTACTGAATGCGAAAGAAGTCTCGACAAGATCGACATTGACGCTCGCATTTGTTCGAATACCAGTCTATACCCACGACTTGATGGAATTCAATTTGTTCTACGAGTATTTGACGATCCTACGACGTGTTATAAAACGATCGAAAATAATCTTGATAAACGTATCTTTTTGATATCGTCTGGCTCGAAAGGAGAAGTGATCGTACCGCGAGTTGTTCAAAACTTTCCAGAACAATTTGGAACGACACAAGCGATTTATATATTCTGTGCAAAGATGAACATGAGAGAAACTGATGGTGCTGGAGCTGCGACTAACGAATGGGCACTTGATTATAGCGATCATATTTTAATGTACGATCACGAAGATTGTTTACTAGCTCGTCTAGTATTCGATATTGGCAAATATTTCTTTGCCGAAGCAGAAGTATTGGCTCAACAAGGACAATTGAATGTTGCTATTCAACATTATTATTGGTCAAAAACAATGTTTCAGCGACGTAAAACGATGATGAACTCAGGAAATTTACTGAAAAACGAACTTGAAACTGTTGAGAAGTTGATAGTTGATCTCGAAAATCACCTCAGCAATGATGAGCACGATATTAAATAAATTACAAAATTCTTTATTGATTTTCAACATTTATGAAATTCTACGCAAAAAATACGTATAGAAAGTTTAAATATCTTCCGTATCGATGTCGGGCTGATTAATATTAATGTTCTTCACGGCTATCTTCATCGCTTTGCTCACAGTTTTCTTCACCGTTTTCTTTACTGCCTTTCGCGTAGCTTCTTGTACCACAGGTTCTTGGTTTGCAACTTGTTCATCAACTTTTGGCTTGATTTCCTGATTTATTTCGAGCGCGATATTCTTCTTCGCTGTTTTCGAGGTGGCATATTGAATAGCCAGTGCATTGACTTTCTCGACATTATCAGGAAAATGCGAATAGAGAAGACCTTCATATGGTTCTGGTGCTGCTTCTTTCATCTTTCGGATAATATCTGATCTTTGGATCTAAACTCGAGTATGAAGAGAATTACAAAGCCATTGTCAATTGACTTACGAGAACGTTTTTTGGAAGATTAGTAACTATTATTTTTCCCTGTTCTTGAATAGTTGCGATGATTTCGGGATCGATTTTGGTATTCAGAGCTCCCATTAGAATAGCTGTTTATTGAAAATACAAAATGCAGATGTCGTAAATTTCTTTGAATGAATGATTCGAATGGAATTTTTAAGCATATATATATATACAGTGACAGAAAACTGCGTTGTTCCTTTGTTTGTGTTGTGTGATTTTGTGAAAAAACAACTCGAAAATCATGCAACTGCATACTTCAGAATCGACTGTCTCAAAAAAATCAAGAGAAAACAATCACAGGTATACAAAAGAGAACTGAGTTATTAATAATCCAATTCTTTTTTCTACGAATGACTATTCTACTAGTCATTGGATCGATCATTCAATGATTGAATAACGAAAATGAAAATTTGAATTCCCATTAGACAAAGAAATTTTCATCATGTTCTACAAAATATCATTGGTGGATATAACTATGTCAAGTTATACTTCGAACGACCTATAACTGTAATAGCATATAACAGAAGAATTCGAATCAAATGCTCTTCGACACCTCGCTAAGCACAACAAATGAATACAATGAACAATTGATTTCGATTTCACTGGTGGCTATTGACTATTTAGTACGTCAGACTATTGATATGTGATACGGCTGACTAAATCTCTGCGATCAAAATCACTCCGTCGAGAAATTGATTCAGTCAACAAAGACAATTTATGCATACGTCCATTTAGTCTTTCGAAAGAACGAAGGATGGCCCTGGATTTTAACGTATACACACACCACGCAGATAAATCATGTCAGAATTCATTCGTCTACCGACACACTATTGAAGAGACAAGAACACATCATGACCAAAATGATCGTGGTTGCTATCTGCTTATTCATCATCGCACAGCATATCTGGACTACATCAGATTAGCTTTTGTTTGAAACGGTCACAATGGCCAATCAAAAATTTAATTTGTAACAATCATCTTTTCAGTTCCTCGACTATCCTTTAAGAAAGTCGATATAAAGAAAGGAGCAGTCGACGATCGTGAACATGGTTTCCACATTGATCCAACGCCAGGACCAATTCGAGTTTTTCCTTCGAAACTATTTACAAGTTTCAAAAGAACAATAGGTACATGCGCCAACATGAAATGTCCAAAAGGTAAATCTTGCACATGGTGTCATACTCGCGCGATCCGTTTACCACATGGTGCAATTTGTTAAATTCAATATTCATCCTAATTGAAAAACTTCTCATCTTTTCCTTAATTCATATCATTCCTGTTATGTTAATAATCACATTATTTTCAAATAAATCTGGTTCAACCGAAACCAAATTTTGTATTTGAGATAGAGGATGTTGAATCGGTGTCATCTTGACCGCCTTTGGTTTGTATCACTTATACGACACAAGTGCTTCTAATAGGAGTTTCACCACGATGATCAGCACTGTTCTTTTGATATATCTTAGTCAAAGATTGCATTATGAACTATGCATTAGCTCAAGAAAAACGTAGAGCACACCATATTTGATGAACTGGCATCGTTTGATAAAATACCTTCGAAGAGAACGACGATCTAGTTGCTGCTTGTAAATGTGTCGAAGAATTTTTCACAAAACCTCAACACTCTGGAAATATATATAAAGTAGAACAATAATCCTTCAGATTATCTTACGAAAATAGCATGCTTACATTAGATGCAATCGATATCTCCACGATAAACATTCTTACAGGTAAAGAGCGAAAATCAAGTCATATCTGAATGTAAGATCTCTTTCACGCTTGTTGAGACGTACTTTAGAACGCATTTGTCACGATCTAGAACGTAAGAACTGCACAAAATGAGTGCAACAGTCTACCAAATGTAAGTCACTTCAATCTACACGATAAAAAATAGTTTAGTTTAACATTTGATGGAAACCGTTTCTGAAATTTAGTTAAAAACCGTGGTATATTCTATTAATCGTAATCAGACAAGTACAATTCGAATGCGCTTTGAATACCTTGCAATTATATCGAATCGTTCTTATTCGTCACACGTTTATAGTAAATAAATAATCGCACATTCGAAATCTCGGTCATTCCGTCAAGAAATGAATTCGGCCAACAAAGACAAGTGATATATATATACATCTATTTAGTCTTTTGAGAGAAAAAAGAATGATCCCTGGATACTTATCGCATATAAATACTATGCACAAACATCACGCCGACATTCATTCATATACCAGCATCTTACTGAAGAAACAAGAACATATTATGGCCAAAATGATCGTTATCGTTGTCACCTACTTACTGGTCATCACACAACATATCTGGGCAGCGCCAAGTGAGTTTTTATTTGAAACGATCACATCAATGAATCAAAACTTAATTCATAACAATTATCTGTTCAGATTTACCAGATTTATTCAAGGATGATAAACTTGGTTTCCATGTTGATTCTACCTCAACACTGACTCAAGTTTTTACCACAGCTTGGCTTACTAAAGCTAAGCGAACAGAAGAGTCATGTTTGGTCACGGGCTGTCCAGAGGGTGAACGATGTAAGGGATGCAGTAGTTCCATGGTATTCTGCACACCAAACACTGGAGATTGTTGACCTCAATATTCACTTCAGTTCATAAAACTTTTTCTACTTTCTTAATTTTTGTTCATTTCGTTATGTGAGTGTAATAATGACAGCTATAAATAAATTTCATGATCAAAGGAAGAGAATAAGAAATCAATACATTCTTTGTAAATACGTGTCTGTACGACAAACACGCAACAGTTGCCGCATTGATTATGATTCACGTAATAATAGCAGATCTTATTTCCAATACGCTTCCATCAAAGACGTTTCGATTGGTTTAATAAAGATAAAAGATGCCAAGTATCTGGGTTTTTTTGTGTATAAATAATGACAAGATTTTCTTTACAATCTACATTCAACTCGGTAAGTTTGACTGAGGACGGTCTCACTGTGAAATCGAAAATGATTGTGGCATAGTTTTAGATTAAACACAAATACCTTCAAAAGCCAATAAAACAAAAGTCTTCTTCGAAAAGCTAGACAAACGTCTTACTGAAGAATCATTGCGAGCATTCTTATCAAAAGAATACCAAGTACAAATATACAGCGTTCCATTAGAATCAGGTAAAGAAAGATACGTAGTGTTTATCTAGATGAACAAGGAATCACCAATATCTGTTCAGGTCAAAACAAACGATACAGTTCGGTTAAGTTTACCGATCAGTGCTTGATAAAGGTCGTTTGAAAGGGAAATTAGGCGTCACAACTCACCTTGCCCACGGTATTGAAAATCAACTAATCAAAGAAGATATACAGGAATACTTCCAAGACAAATATGGACAAATAAACATATTTCCATCAGTGAAGACAATGGTCTTTGTCTAGTCGAATTTTTCGAGTATATTTATCATAATTGTTGAGATGATATTGTTTCTCTTCATTCATTTTTGTATAGCTACGATTCCGTGGATAAAGCTTTGTTAAATAAGCCACATCAAATTAAATCTGTCTATATCGACATAGAAAAAGGTGAGCGCCATTGTTCGCAACCAGTAACAACTGAAGTACTCGATTTACAGCGATCAGCCCAAAAGTACCGTATTCGTGTAACCAATCTTCTGGAAGTTGCGAGCGATTTTGTGAAAAAATGGAACGGTCAATTTCATGACAATTTGAATATACAGCGTTCTAACGATATAGAAACAACAGATCTGTGTAAGTTTTTTCAAGTTGGTTGCTATAATCGTGAAGCTGACAAATGCGATTGCCAACATATCGCATGTACCAATTATTCAACCTGTTCAGCATCTGATTGTGCCTATGGTCATTTCCGTGAATTGCGACGAACAATGATCGAGCCCAAAGATTCATACCGAATAAAAATGAGGGTGTTTATCCAGCCTATCAAAGCATCCAGATAATAAGTACTATGTCTACCCACACGATCAAAAAAACTGGCTACGCAATCAAATTGAAAACCATCAAATCAGCACCGAGACTCTTCGAAGAATGCCATGAACGTACGCTTGATGAGTATAATACATTACAGTGTCAACTTGAGACGAATACATTTCCATCTCGTCGTACATGTAGTTGTGACTCATCTTGTTCAAGCGATAGTGCGGATTCGAGTATCGCGGCATATCAAGAACCAAAATCGAGTAATCAATCGATATTCGCCACTAACGGTTGGAACTGTTCGTCGAAATGTGAGTCGAACTGATCTTCACTTTATTATAAGATAAGTTCTAATTTATTTAGTGATATTAGCTAGTGCTGATTTGAGTAATCAGTGGGAGATAGCAAAAAAACTAGATAAGAAAGGTCGAGTCTTGTTAATAAGCGACAAGTTAAAACGAAAACAGCTCGTTGTTTTCAAGAGATGCGTAAATAATAATGAACTACAAGCGTTGACAATTCAGGAAGGTGAGTATCATGAGTCCAGATCATTTCCATAGCATTGAATTTTATTCAGATATTGATAATGTATCTCAACTGATCGATTATTCCGCAAAGGATGATAATCGCTGGACGATTATAAAACGTGCACCGGGATTATCACTTGAAGAATTCATTCAACGAAAAGGTAATCATGTTTTAGACATACTTCAAGCAGTTCAATTAGCTCAAAAGGTACTGACGATCATCAAATGTATTCATTCCTAAGGTGTATGTCATAAAAACTTACAACTGAAACACATTATGATCGAATACGATTCTACGCCAATGTGGATCGAACACGTAAAACTAACTATGATAAGTTTTTCAAATGCTCATATTAAATCGGAAACAAATATTTGTTCTGATTCCCTATGAAAACAAAGTTGGTGTAAACCACGGCAATCGAATACGAAAGTTTCACAATGGCTTGCCTCGATCGATACAACGAGCATCGGTGCTTTACTCTTCTGGTTAATAACACATACGATGCCAACGCATGATGATGATGGTAAAATTCTTCCACATGAGCAGAATGATGCTCGAGAGCGTCTAGAAATTGAAATTGTCACGCAATGTAAGTTTTGAAGCACTTTTTTTTAATAATGTACCTAGCTCACTTTATAGACTCAAAGAAAAAGAAGTCGGATGATGTCAAATGCTTGACGAGATATCTAAATGACACATTTAATTATGCTTTCGGCTATCCTGATTATCCGCCATGGACGATCGATGGTTTAGAAGATCGATTAGAATCCATATGTGAACTCATCTGCCCTTCTGATAAAAATTTACATTCCATCGAAGAGATTTCTCATTGTACACTTTCGATTGCACAGGTACCAAAACAGTTACTTCCCCGACAATCGATTGCTCAGCAAAATATCTTTGTCAAGGTGTCGTACGCATTCTCTAAAGCGAAACAAATCTTTTCCAAACTCTATAATCAACGATACTCTTGGTCATATAGCAATTGCATTTGGTTGAGTAATTCATACAGTCTACTTGATGAACATCAGAATTAGGACATCTTTATGTATTGTGAGTCGCAACGAAACATGGTTCGTTATTGTCCTACTATTGTTGTGTGCTTGACAAGTTTTCTTGAGAAGGAACGGATGATTACATTCTCGATCAGTAGTCCAGTGAATGGTAAAATGCTTCGCTTTCCGATTGGTCAATATAGTACAGATCAAGACTGTGAAGAAGAATTCCGAGAAAACTTCCTGATTGAATTACAACATCTTTTGTTTACAGTCTACAAACAATCCAAGCTCGAGTGACAAGAGAATAGGTAGTGTCCATCTTGGGGTTGCATTCTTATTCAAGAGGCAAAGTTCGAGCTGTAATAATTTTGAATTTCTAAGAATTCCTACCAAGGTGCGCTGTCAAATTTCTTTTGTTTTTATTTGGGAAAAGTGCATCTTCGTCAATCGTATTATAGTACAATATCTGATTTAACGTTGAGCAATCAATGATTTCCTCAGGTATACGACATGATAGGTAATAAAACATAATATTGAGTAAAAATGCTGGCCGATTGATTGGAAAAGAAGAATCCAAAATACAGTATATGTCGTCTTCTCCATGTGACATACTTCTAATAATTCAGTAATCCTACGCAGTATCAAACACGTGCTCAGGAGATTTCAGAACGGTTTATAGGGCAGATATTCATGAAATAAATGAGATGATAATCAGTAATCAACTCAAACGTTTAGATCTACACAACACTTCCAGTTTTTAGACAACGAGACTATTTTTGGTAGTATGGTGTAATTCTATGTTGCTAAAAGAATCTTGACGTCTTAATGTACCGATTCGCACAGTAAAGTTAGTAGAAAAGAATAACATTTGACTATGAAAACAAATTCTACGGCGAATGCACAATTCTTCGAAAATAGTAGTTCAAATGTCAATAGCGTTTGAGGGTGAGAAAGATGCGAGTGTGATAAATTGATTGTAGTACCACAAGACGTTGTATAGTCTTTTACAAATAGCGAGCTTATGTATAGAGAAGAGAGTTATTTGTTAAAAGTTATGAAAATCATGAGTTTCTGAAAAGCATGTCATATCCTACTGCACATAAAGAAAAGGAAACTTGATAAATATCTAACCAGATGTATATCTTTGAAGCATAACTTGTGAAATTCAACAGAGAATCGGTGAAAAATCAAACAACAAGCATGTTGAAAAGACACTTGTGTTGCAACATACAAACAGATGCACCGGTTGGAAGAAACGAAATTTTTTTATCGTTGGTCATTGTGTTTCGGTTTAACGTCGACAGGAATAAGAGAAAGCTGAAGCTTGAATGTGTATTAAATATTTGAGCAGTTGGTGAGCAGATGCTGTTCGTAAATATTTACAGGAGCTAATCACTGGCATCTGCTTCCATTTTGTTCGAAATTCAAACTTGAACACGAGATAGTCTTCGGCATCGGTAGACAGCTCGTATATTTATGTATATCATTGCCTGCAAAGTAGATGGTACCGGTTTATTTCAGTCTTGATGTGTGTCTAGCTGTTCAAAATACACGAATTCCACATAAATGATGCAAACGAGTAAAGTCGACGTTCAGAATGTAATTTATAATAGATCAAAGAATATACTTTTATAAATCGTTCGTTTATTTTAGTTACCAACATGCAACCCGTCTGCTCGATCAAATCGCATGTATAGACATTGTGTGTGAGATAGAAATAATCAATCAAGGAAATCTTTTCATTTTTAGATGTAAATTCGCTTCTAAACGAAAACTGACATGCCTGATTTATTTCACTCTTATTACTATTTTAATCGTAGTAGGTAGTATCGTTTCGTTCTATGTGGCCAGCAAGAGCTTGAAAAAGACGGCAAAATCCACAAGCTCATCGACTGTCGTCAATAAACAGTTCGTAGTAACAACTGTAATGACCGACGCAAGATCACTGATAAAGAAAGGTAACGTGTTCAAACAGTTAACGCAGAGAAAAGAAAGGTTTTATCAGAATTTTTCAGATCTGCTACCACTTATTACTCCCAATGACACAATCTACGGTGTATACGAAGCATTCATGGGCTATAATAGTACAATAGCATTACCATACACCAATGGTACTGGTCAATATCATTCTGACGAGTCACCAAGTAATGCATGTGATGGAAACATTGCCACAAAATATGTTAATTTTGGCCGTTGTGCAGCTAATACGCAGATTTGTGGATGTGGTTCACAAACGGGTTTGCATATCGAGTTAAAACGTAGTGCGCCACTGGTAACTGGATTTCAAATATGCACAGGCGACGATTATCCTGGACGTGATCCTATCTTAGTGACACTGGAAGGAAGTAATCATTCAGGAACAGATCTTCTTGTGGGTTTCAGCTGGTCTTTGATCTATGTTGGCGACAGTGATCTAAAATCTGATACTGGGAGACGTAGATGCGGTACGATCCAAATGTTCCCTAATTCAAATCGATATAAGAACTACCGATTTCTTATTTTGAGTGTACGACAAGTATTGGACTGTGCTCAATACTCCGAATTGCAATTATATGGATACTAATTCTTAAAATTCTCGCTCCTTCTTTCCTTTTTTGTTTGATAAACGACTTATTGATAATAAATCGATTTATTTCCGTTTCTCGAGAAAGTTCAAATCAAATTCGATTCATTTATACATAGTATTTCAAAAGAAAATTGTAAATACAAACGCAATCATCATCATCATCAAGATGATTTTCTTTAAAAATGAAACATATATAAATGACCCACCTGCATTGCACAACAGGCACACACTTTCATTCCGTTTAGTTCATTGAACTATTCAGATATACATCGTGTACATTTGGTCAGATCAACCATCGTTGACTTTGGACACTCTTCAGCGGTTTGATCCGCAAAAGTTAACACCGATATGCGTCGAATATCATTACTCACCTCAAAAAATCTTTCAGGTCGTCAAGTTGATTGGCTATTGTCAGCGATTGCAACAAGCGTTTGAGTACGTTCATATCATTGCAATAATAGTTAAGCAACTTATGTCTTGGTTACCTGGATGTACGGTGTAGTTTGAACGGAGATCTAGGAAATGGGAATGCTATCGATTATTTTAAATGGGGATCTTTATCGATCATAGATGAATCACTTCGATAATGAGCAAGGTAAGATTAGTCATCTATGAAATTAGATAAAAGGTTTATTTAATAGTACATTCAATACTTAAAAGTACATTTTTGTATTCGTTATGCATTACGAATGTAATTTTGTTTCATGGAATTTTTTTACTTTATCATTTTTGTATTTAATGTAGAACCCTATGGAAGTGACAGGAAGTTTACCATTTTATGAAGATACCATAGAACACTATCCTTCGTGGTACCTTGTATTCAATTAGTTTTGAAAACTAAAAACTATGAAAATTGAGGTGTAATTAAGAGCGGGAACTGGTATATGAGCATAGTTATTGTTTAGATGTTAACTGCATATGTTTATAAATTGCCATTATACATATATCGAATCTATTCGATCAGAAAAACAGAAACTGAGGGCATGCATTTTGCTACGTGTTATTGATAAATAGCATAAATGAGAAAAGGCAGGTGAAATGGGTGCTTGTATATGTAAAAGTAATTTCTCCTCAGTTTATGCAGAATTCGTTTCTTTTCGCCGTTCTTTTTGATTGACTCTGATGAATACAAAAGTATATTTATAGTGTCTATCATACTTTTTCTCTTCGATGCGATAGCCACGGTCGTTGATTCTACGAAAATATAAGCACGTAGTTGCAGGTGTAAACGCTTTAGGAAAGGCGTGTTGTTTTAAACAAATGACGTCACACGTTTGATTTTTTTATTGGGCCGATCGAACTGTTTCATCAATCGCGCTGACTATATATAGGTATATTATTCGCTCATTCGCACCAATAACTCAACCCGAAATGTCTTTACTCTCTTATTTCGTTATTTTTCTTTTTACTCTTCAAAGTGTTCACACGCTGCAATGCTATCTGAGTACTATCGATGGAACTGGGACAGTAACAACAATAAACTCTAATAATCAGACAGATTCATGCAATGCCACCACAGGTTGTGTTTGCGCAAGTTTTCAAAGTTATTGTCCAGACTCAACGTTTTGCACCAGCAGTGAATTACAAAACAACGTTACGAAATGGTTCTATGCTCTTACAGATCCAATAAGCTGCTCAAACAGGAACCAAACAAATGGTGTCTGGAACATAACCTGCTGTAGTACGGATCTGTGCAATAATCAAGGGATAAGCGGCGCGGCCATCACCACAACTACTATTGCAAACGCTGCTACCACGACCGCTATCATGAACGACGATAGTGCTACCACAACCACTATCACGAGCGCTGTTGGTGCTACCACAACCACTATCACGAGCGCTGTTGGTGCTACCACAACTACTACCATGAGCAATGGTGGTACTACCACTACCACCATTATGAATAATGCGATCACTACTACGACTACAGTTGTTACGAGCATAACTAATTCGACGACCACCACCCCTGCCGTTAATACTACTATTAGTGTAACCGTAACAACAAAATCATCTTCACCGATGATTTTGCCATCATTCACCGTATCAACAGCTCTAGTGGCATTGTGCTTTGCGAAGAAACTAGTCTAAATTTTTTAACATTTTCTCTCATCTACGAGTGGGTGACTTTATTTTTCTTTCACATGTATGATTTTTACTCATTGGTTTCATTAATAAATTATGTCGTTTGTGAACTATGACTCACGGATTGTTTTCATACAGAAAGTACAAAAAGTGTGCATCGAATCAATGACCTTAATATTGAGTCATCGCGTATATTGTTTTGATACGCGCAAAAGGTGAAAAGAAGAATGCAATCGCAAAAACGCACTTAGTATGAACTTTCATAATGAGTATGTTGTTTTTTCTACCTGAAATCAAATCGATACGGACTATGGACTCCGTGCAATGTGATCAGTTATGTAAATGTTCGCACGAACGACAAAAGCTCAACTGAATTTATATAGCCGATACCAATCGGTTCAAAAATGCACAGATAGTGATTGAAATCAAAATACTTTAGAAAAATCGATACAAATCAGATCTTTCTGCTTCAAATAGAGTACAAATGGTCGCTCCAAGGTCTAATGCAGCTTGAGTGAATCGTGTTGTTGAATGATACATTAATGAAACAGCGATAAAAATCGAGCCTGGGTGATCATTAGTCGCATACAGAACGATACAATTTGTATTTACACCTCGAACATATCGGCTGAGGTAATGAGTAAGCACACTATCTGCTGCTTGTTGATGTCCAGCTAAAATGCAGATAATGCACAGCCGTTTTTTTCAACTTGGAACGGGGATATTTGAAGAACAGTAAGAGATACAGACTTGTAATTTTCACTACACATGTAGATAGATAAATTCCAAAATACCTACAAGTTTGAGCCTGAAATGTCTAGTCATTTGGATTTTCTGAGGGTAAAATATTGGTGAGTAACGCACAGACAAAAATTTCACGGAAATCAAAAACCTATATGTTCGTTGGGTAGTCAATAAAGAGTAAGCAGAGAATTAATTCGAGCTTAAAAAACCTTTTAGTTCAGTCGAAATATTTCTAAAACTTAAGTTTTGGTAACGCACGAACATAGTGTCTTGTATAATTTTTCGAAAGCGCTTTCCTCATAGCAGAAACAGTCTAGGAAAATTTTGCATAGAGAAAAAGAATATCCAGATTCTGTGCTTCAAAACTATACGAGATATATGACGGTTATCGGTTTCCTTCTCGCGTTGTTCACACTTTTCTATTACTGCTCGAACACATGAAGACGGTAAACTGTTCGATGAAGTTCTACAAGGCAATATTCGTACTGTAAAAGATTCTTTTTCTTCAGCCATTTTCGATGATGAAATACTCCACGTATTGACTGAAAACATTTTATCTGAGCCGCAGGAAAATATCTCGACCAAAGATTCAAACAGTCGTGCAATTGTCGAATTGAATCAATTAATTGATCGTGAAAATCAGGAAGGAAAAGATCATCGGCCGCATATGTGCGCAGCTCTTAGATTTGTTTTTCATCATCATTCGAACATTTACTGATTCTCATAGCCTAAATAAAGCAGAGAAACGATAGTTTACTAAATGCATTCTCGACCAGAGATTGTTGAGCACTGATGATCCGATGAAAATGATTGTGTTGGACACTGAAATATCTGTTTATCGGGAGAAATCGATTGAAATCGTTTCCGAATGTTCATATTGAAAAACTTTATCATAAACAGTATGAATCGAATCAATATTTTTTTCAACAAATGTCCAATGTTTGTAAAGCAGACTTCAAACTCGTTACCATCTCCATAAAGAATGTTGTCTTCATACTTTGGATGTTATCTTTCACTTAATCCATGAGAAAAATTAACCTCATTCACATTGCAACGAAAGCACCGCCGATAGTATCACCTCACGTCATACAAAGTACGACTAAAATCCATAGATCGTTTCAAACGCATCCGCTAACTTTGGAACCACGATGAAGACGGAAGTGACGCCGATCATAATCACACTTTTGAATGCGAAGAGAGATCGACACCAGTCGAATTTGATGTACTCTTTGAGGGATTTACATTTTCTACTAGAAGTTTTGGTTTTGGTCTTGCGCATACTCTCGATTAATAATCTCATGATCGTACCGAGTTCAACGACCGGCTCGATCCGATGAATACGAGTGTGAACACAAAACTGCACGGAGTTCATCAAAGCTCGTTTGAAAATCTACTTTCGTCGTTGATGATGACGGAGGCAAATCAGATACGAAGATCGTTCGCGAATGATTGAAATTGACTAAACTCGATTCCAATTCGTCGACACAATTTTGATGATATTCGTTGAATGAGCATTGTTTTACCATTGACTGAAGCGTACATACGTGCATCAACAAGGAATTCACGACATTTGCCATCGAGCAAGCGATCTGAACATATCTTGGATAAATGAATCGAAAATCGTTCGTCGTCATCGATTGAACAGACGTTGCAAAAAAAAACCGAGATGGCTCGAATAGAGAGAGCATCCTGAATTCTTGTCTGAATTACACTCATTGTTTTTCGTATCATCTCTTCGATAATTCTCGATTGCGATAAGAACATTTTCGAACTTGTACCATGACGGCAGAGAAATGCTCGAACGACGACCATATGCATTTGTTAGAAATAATATAAACAGTAGTGGATTCGACTTTCGATATCAATAGTAGCAAAGAGAGAAAGATAAATAGAGATACAACCATTCCAATGAGAAATTATTCGAGTAAGATGAAAGAAAACACTGATGGAACGTTTGCTCCGTCAATTATAGCTGCAAAAAAAATAATGAAATGAATAATAAGTTCAACTTTCGAGTTGGAAACTGAAAGGATCGAGCTTTCATGTCGACTAAAAGATCAACAAACTGAGAAGATATACCTGTATGCATTTGTATGAGACACAGAATGACAAGAGAAGAAACAAGGTTTCACCGGAGAGTTAATCCAAATGTTTCCTGGAAACAGAGAATGCCCATATTTGACAACATAAATTCCAGTGTTAAGTGATCATGCAAATCACTTTCATACACAAGAAAGCCACCGACTTAAATACGTCGACTTTGCCTAGTTGTAGTTTAAATATCGATGACAAAATATCTCTCGTTTTCATAATCTTTTGCAATTTCTCCAACTATTCACCGGATGTACACGCTGACAAGATCAGTGCAGAAATTGTTGGCTTCACTATTAAGATGTCACATGCGTTAAACGATGCTGAACAGTGTAGATTTATTGAAAATATGATCACAAGGATTCGACAGATTATCCAACAGAAAATATCGATGAAATTGTGGAGGAAATAGAAATAAATGGAAAACCATATGAAAAGCAAAGGATCTTCGTCAGTCGCAAAGATAAACATGGCTTCAAAACAACAGTTTATGCAACCAATGGACCATATGGCTGTTTCTTTGTGTTCACAGCAGCATATAGCGACAGTGCTATGGATAGTACTATACCTTCTAGAGATCTCGAAATATTTTCTGTGTTTGTTGCCAATAAAATACTGTATCACATCAATAAACTAAATGTCTATTTCATATTTGGTTAAAGAAAAGCAAATAGCATTGCAAAGTGCGGGATGAGTATTTGCTTAGGCGAAATAATTGGCAAAGTATGCAATTCATTGAGATGTTTCGTTTAATGTATGTCTTTTCCCGGGAAAAATTCTGGTACTGATTTTTCGAGTAAGAAGTAGAGAGTAGGTGTCGTTATCAGACAATCCAGGATTGTTTCATTTCTAGCTTATGATATCAAAAATAAATACGATAGCCAATTGTTAACAATGCACTTGTTCGCCTTTTTCCGATTGACCAATAGATATAACTCGTCTAACACAAGACAACTGATCGTATATAAATATCTGTTAAATAATAGACGGCTGGATACATTCTGAATAGATAAACTGGTTGAAACGACATGGCTCGACACTTCTTTGTACTTTTCGTCACTGCAGTCCTTGTACAATATAGTGCAAGTAATCCTATTCGTAAGTACTAAAAGTGGAGAGTGCAATATACTCCATCGAATTTGTTTTACAATAGCTGTATCGACCAACAATCAAGGTTCACTCTTTGAAACTAAAAATACTTATGGCAATATCTATGAGAACAAATACTTCAATGTGACAGCAGAAAAGCCAGAATCATGGCATACAATCAACACGGAAATATTTGCCACTTTTATTCAGAATATTGCGTCACCGATTCTAAGTCAAATTAGCAATATTACTGGTCATGATGAAACAATCCCGCCTAATTACTTAATTCCTCTCTTCGGATTCTCGCACTATCAATTTGGTATTGATAATGGGTCAGTTAACGCCAACTTTATCGGAATCGTTCAAAATGTCACACGCGACGGACTCCTACAGAACAACTGCGATATATTCAGTGTTGATCTTGTTAATCTCGTTACGGATATGAATGTAACACGGGCAGGTGGATGTCAGGAGATCGATATGAACGGATTCAAATACGTTGAACAAAAATCAGAGGTTCAATTAAGTAATTCGGTAACTGTGAATCAAATTCAATACATCCGAAGCAGTCCAAATGGGTATCTATTCACATTTACAATGACATATCAAAACAACAATGAAAGAGATGAACTCCTGAACATCATGGAAAGCGTTCGCTTCGTAGTATAATCATTTTTGTGTTCATAATCATATGTCTAGGAGAGTAGTGTGTTCCTGTCATGAAAATAGATATTAGATTCAAATAATGAATAAAATCTGTTAAAAGTTCAAACGAATTACTTTGATTGCATCAAAGAAGTCAACGCGAGACATAATCGTTGAATGTATTCTCAGCATAACGAGAAAATTTTACTTTTTTAATGCCTGATTGGGTATACGTGTTAATTTGGGTTCATTCCTTAAAACCACGATCGTCAGTTTGAATCTGACGATAGCGGAAAAATGTTCTTCCTTTACACGCACATACTTGAATGAATAAAGAATGAACACAGGGAACAGTTTATTCGAATGGGTAAGCACACATGACATTATTTTGTCATGAATATTATCATTAATATAAACGAAGAAGACTACAATCAAGAGGGTGTACAGGTCATGACTTCTGAGAATGTGGCACCCATTTAGTATTTAATCTATTGTTATCATCTAGAAGCTAAAAAAACTCACACCAGCGAGAGTGGGAGGAAAATTTGAATTTGACGAGAAATGTTCTCATGAAATAAAGTTTAGTTTATATTAAAAAACAAAGAAACATAAGTTCAAGTCGTTGTACTCAGATTAAATCGACATTGTTGGAGTTTCATAGCAGACATTCATAAGTCTGGAATGAAGGATGATAAATGAAACAAGAGATGATTTTCTCATGAATAATAGAAAAAGCACATGTCAAACCTAATAAAAACTACGAATAGTTGCAATCATATTGCATGCTTCAAAGGTACCATCGACCTGACAGAGTTGTTTAAAAATAGAATCTAGCTCAATACGCCTCTCAATCGTCGTCGTCGTCGTCGTCGTCGTTTGTTACATCTACTTATTAAAATGATTCAAAAGTTCCTCAGAATATTTTTGGAAGATGTTCTGTCTGAGCGGAACTAAAACTTTGTCAAATCGTGTCAGTTGGGAATAAACGAAGGTCACGAACATCACGATAGATCCTTGAATCTATTTTGTCTCTAGTATCTTCAATGCCTGTTCAGGTTGTTTTCTACATAAATTATCAGCCAAAATCGTTCGGAGGTGAGGATCACTGAGGAAAGACGAAAGATAAATTTTTGATGAAATAACAAGAATAAGAAAAATATTTAATCACAAGGTAGGCGCGTTGTCAGTCGGATGGTAGAATAAGAAGTCGTGTAATTGAAATAATGCAAATATCATGTATGAACTAGTTTAAAAATAAATAAATAACATTGGTGTTTCTGCGCTGCTCATATTCACGACAGTTTCTAATCAATTTGAAACCTTTTAATATTCGAGTAGAGAAACCGGGAGATCTCTATGTGTAGAGGGAAAAAAATGCTCCATGACATATGCTTCTTTGTTTTTTTTATGAGTTGGTAAGTGGCATATGTTAATCTAATGTTTCCTCAACGATATGTTTCCTCAGAGAACAGAAATGTTGAGTTTTTTTACTATGCGAAAGAAGATCCTATATTTTTTAAAGTGTATTATTTGTCTAAAAGGCAAAAGATTAGCATATATGCATTCTGAACATGTTTAGTTGACATTTATAACTTGAGAAAAGCGAACGACGCGTGATGTTATTGGAATTCAGTATATTTATCCGATAGTTGCACCATATAACTCGATGTGTATAGGGCAAGCATCCATGAGTTCTGTGTTTTTCTCTCTCTCCTTCCTGTCTTCAAACCTTGTCAAATCACGTTTTAGCTTGCGCAAATATTCATATTCAGATGATTAACTTTTCTATTACGATAATTTTGACATATTTTCTTATTAAAAGACGAATACACAAACATTTCTATTATTTTTTCTCTTTGCGGAAAGTGCATAATTATCTACTAAAAGTAGAAGAGAGAGAAGAAGAAGAAGAAGAAGAGAGAAAAAACGGGAATATAGTATTTTCAACGCATGAAGAATTACTTTGTAATTTTACTAACAAAATGTCGTTCATTGCTTTTTTCCTTAACATATGGTGAGTGAAGAGGCGTCGAAATCGATTGTTACATCGATATAGACAGTTTTTTCTCAACGAATTCATATTCTAATTTGACATGACAGTGAGTAGGGTCAGATCATAATGAGCAGTAGCATTAGTAAATGTAATAAGGACGACTTGACTTTCGTCTTAATCAAACATCGAATACTAAATTCGAGATTGAACTATTGTTTAAGAAAAAAGACTTTCTTTGTATCTATTTAGATTAAATGTTATAAGTATTTTTCATTTATAACGAATTAACAATTAGCATGTCAAATAGTAGCACTTCACCAATAAGTACGATGGAGTATGTACAGAAAACGTTAACGCAGATTTCTATTCCTTATATTATCATTATTCCATCAATTGGTATTGCCGGTAACGTACTTACTATCATTATGTTGTCTAAACGATCTCTGACGAAAAATTTCAATAATTGTACATTAATTGCACTCGGTAAGTAGTTAAACGTGATGAAAATGTAAAAGCAAACTTGTGTGCTTTAGGTGCAGCAGACCTTCTATTCAATCTAACACTTGTGTCGTTTTGTATAAATAAATTGAGCGGTTTAAATTCAGATAGTTTCTGTCGATTCTTATCGTTTTGTTCTCATCTAGCGGAATTATTATCGGCTTGTTTTACTGCACATTTTACTATTCAACGTTTCATTGCTGTACGATTTCCTTTAAGTGTATTCATGGAGAAGAACGTTCACATCTTGCACTATGTTATTGAATCACTGATTATTCTATTCGGCGTATCATACTGTTTATTACTCATCATGAATAACCGATATGACAATTGCCAAGAACAATTAGCCTCAAATTGGTTTATATCAGACGCGTTATCATCATTTGTCATTCCATTCATTATTATTGCAACATTGAATTTATTAATTATCTTTCATTTGAGAAAAACTTCGCGAAAGAATCAACAATTGTCATCGATTAATAAACGAACCAAACGAGATCCGTTACCTTTGAATAATCGCAAGAAATCATCGATCTCATTCGACTCGCAATCCCGATCGTCGGAGCTGAATATTGCGTTGAATCCAAAGGTAAGGTGCATTTTGTCAAAATGACATATTCTATTTCTGAACAGATACTTTCTAAGTTGGCTTTTTATTTTCTTTCCTAAGTGAAGTCATATCTCTTTCGCATGAGCGAGAAAATGTCACTTTTGTCTGTAGTAATAGAGTCTTTCATCGAAATCGTTTAATGATTTGTGTTCTAATCGATTATTTATGAATATGAAGGAGAAAAAAAACAAGTTGTCAGCTTTAGAAGAAACGGAAAGTTGATTCAGCATGAATATTGACAGATTTTCATTTCGATAGGAAAATGATTAGAGGTTTTTCAGGAAGAAAAACATGTATTTCCTGTTAAATAATCATGAAAACATCGAACAATATGTATGGGGGTGTCATTCATGACGTCTGCTCAAGATCAATTAGCAGTCTTCCAAAATAGAAACTTGACGTGGGAGAATGGCAAGGGTGTAGCTGAGTCTATTAGAATCAAACGATCATTTTGATGAGTGTATTTATATTTAGTGAGTAGAGATATGTCAGGCACGTGTATTCCACTCAATGTCCTGTATATATGAGAAAAAAGAGCACATTATCCAAGGCTTTTTCTTCTGTCTAATTGACTTTTCTTGAAGTAGTCTTTTTATAGCATAAAAAAAGTTTCCTGTTAAGTTATTAGCTCACGTCCAGAATGATCTACGTTCTTTTAGCATCAAACCATCTATCAATTCAGAACAAATGGAGTATCGAATGCGAAGTATTTATCAGTTAGCACACGTATACGTCGCGGTGCATCCATTCGTTCAACAACTCGTTCTCATGCTCAATCGCATCGTGTTACACGCATGCTTATCTTAGTATCAACTTGTTTCCTATTACTAAATGCTCCATGGCACATATGTACAATAAGTTCGCAGATCATCGGATATATTGCCAATTCGGCATCATCATCATCATCATCATTGTTACTATTGAATTCAACATTTTATACAACCGAAGAGACAAACTTGAGTTTTATATTAACCACACCGACGCCGATGTTCTTGCGAGAATCTCCGGCGAGATCTAAAATCAGCTTTTTAGATATATTTTATATCGTTATGATTATCACTCAGCATGTATCGTATTTATCTTATTCGATAAATTTTTTCTTGTATTCATTTTGTGGAATGAAATTTCGTCGTGAATTAATGAAAGTTTTGTCTCGCTGTCGAAATTATCGTGAACATTTGCCTACATCAACAACGGCAAATTTTCTATGAAATTCAACTCGAGCGGTTCTTGTTAGCTTTTTGTTTGTACCATGTAATCGTTTCGTTTTCGAATAAATCATTTCAATTGAACGATTGATGTGATTTGCAGACAGTTTTCTTCTGGCAAATATCTTGATCGAATGGGCGGAAAAAAGTCATCTCTCAATGTGAAAGATCTAATTAACCATGAACTTACACTTGTCGAATGAAACCGGATCTAATCATCGATTTTCTTCTCCTTCTCCTAATCATGAACTATTAATTTCATATACATCTCCTAACTTCTTTTTCCTGACTTACGAAGAGTATCGGAATTGTTCTTTCTCTTCGATATTATTGTTTGAGTGCTCTAAGAGATTATTAATCGGAGGGAGTATGAATGGCAAAAAAAAGAGCAAGACTTTCTTCATACCTTGGCATAGATTCTATTTAGTAGAAAACAATTCAACACCACTTAGAATTTCCCTTTTCTCGCGTATTTTTCTCTACACATCGATTCAGTTCTTCACCCATTTAGATTCCAATATACGAATCAGACAAGAAGACTTACATGGGTATTCTCAAACGATGATTTCGAATGTCATTATTTTATACATGAAAATCTTGTTCTTAAGTTTGCTTCTATTATTTCTTCGAACTCCATCGTCATCGAATGGAACCGTCTTATTTTTTCACAAGAAATCAGACAAACACTCACGTTTTCATCCAAATCAACAACAAGACGGAATTGCATCAATGCCCGGAACTGTTTGGACACACTTTCAATGTGACTCGAAAATAAGTCCGTTTATCGGCGTGGGATTCGGCTGTTATTGTCCAGGTGCATGGTGTTCAAATAATAATCAATGTTGTTCACAAATGTGCTATAAGAAAACTTGTTATTAATCCGATCTTTTTCAATTGTATCATATTTAATAAATTCGAAGAATCTGTTAAATATCAGCAGGCACGAAAGCGGGCGTGTTTTTTTTTATAACCCTTTCGACAGATGGCGCTCGTGTACATTTTAATTAATAATTGATTTTCGATAAAATTTAGCTGAAGAATTGATTTCGATCCGTGAAAAAATCTCACATTGCTTTTCAGTCGTTGGCAAAAACTTATTACTCATTTGGATCTATTCTCATTGGTTACCTGATTCGATCTGTTTCTAGATTTATGTCAGAACTGATGAATCATTTTCAACTTTTTTTTTTATTCATTTATTCATCATCATCAAAAATAAATATTTTCTTGTTCTCGTTTTCAACCTGAAAACTTATTCATCCTCGCCTGTCCGAAATTCATTCGGGATTCGAAAACTATGACATATAATGCAAGTACAACGCAAGATCCCACATCAACTTTTCGAGATCCATTGATTTTCTATGATCCTGATCTAACAACTGGAAATACTCAAGCAACAGATTTTTTTTTGGATGAGTTAACATTGCCATCTCAACAGAGCCACTTACCATTGACTGATGTCAACAATAGTTTTCCCGTTGATGATCTCGATGGCCTGAATAATAATAATAACAGCAGCAGCACAAATTTGATTCAACAACGTGATCTACCGTTTGAAGATGAAGAAGAAGGCTTTTTCGAGAAAGATTTACCCAAGCATGCTTGCGCGTAATTGATTTCTGCATTTGCATAGTTCGAATCGTTAAAACTATTGTTCTATTCTAGCTATTGTGGTATTCATGATCCAGCAGCAGTTGTAATGTGCAATCAGACGAAAAAATGGTTTTGTAATGGGCGTGGAAATACATCTGGCAGGTAGCTGACACTATTTGACCATTTTACGAGATTCGATGTGATTCATGATACTTAATTTAGTCATATCGTTAATCATCTTGTTCGTGCTCGATGTAAAGAAGTTACTTTACATAAAGACGGTCCGTTGGGTGAAACACAGTTAGAATGTTATAACTGCGGATGCCGAAATGCATTTCTACTGGGTTTTATTCCAGCAAAAGCAGACAGTGTCGTTGTTTTACTTTGTCGACAACCATGCGCTAGTCAGAGTGCATTAAAAGATATGAATTGGTAAGTGATTTAACAGAATTGACTGATATTTGTTCTATTGAACTCGTCTAGGGATCCCATGCAATGGCAACCATTGATACAAGATCGATGCTTCTTGACTTGGTTAGTGAAAATACCATCTGAACAGGAACAATTACGTGCTCGTCAGATCACAGCACAAATGATCAATCGTTTAGAAGAACTTTGGAAGAACAATCCCGACGCTACTATAGCTGATCTAGAAAAGCCTGGTATTGATGAAGAACCACAACAATGTAGTTTGCGATACGAAGATGCTTATCAATATCAGAATATCTTTGGTCCATTGGTGAAAATGGAAGCAGATGATGATCGAAAAATCAAAGAATCACAAACGCAAGAGAACATCTCCGTACGATGGGATATGGGTTTAAACAAGAAACGTTTAGCTTACTTCTGTCTACCGAAAGCAAATGAGGGTAAATTTATGCGAATTTCCGATTCGAGATAAAAGTTTGGTTCGATTTATGTTGATTAGAAATGAGATTGATGCCAGGTGATGAACTACGTTTGAGATACGTTGGAGATCCGATGAGATCTAATTGGGGTGGTGTTGGACATGTGGTCAAAGTTCCAAATAGTAAGAAATTGTCAAAATTATCCTTTTCTGATTATCGAATTATCCAATATTCATGTAGATTATGGAGAAGAAGTTGGAATTGAATTGAAAATAAGTTCTGGTGCGCCCGTTGAACATAGTACTAATTTCGTCGTCGAATTCGTTTGGAAATCCACATCATTTGATCGGTTAGCGATTGTTTAGAAAAACAAACAAGATATCGATTTCTCAGTTCAATTGTAGAATGCAAGCCGCGCTAAAAACGTTTGCTGTCGATGAAAATAGTGTATCTGCTTATTTATATCATCGTCTACTTGGTCACGAAGTCGAAGATATAGTCATGAAAGTATCCTTACCGAAACGTTTTTCTGCACCAGGTCTACCTGAACTAAATCATTCACAAGTCTATGCTGTTAAAACTGTTCTTCAACGTCCATTGAGTCTTATTCAAGGTCCACCCGGAACTGGAAAAACTGTCACATCAGCGACAATTGTTTATCATTTAGTAAAACAAAATCAAGGACAAGTACTTGTCTGTGCTCCGAGTAATATTGCTGTGGATCAATTAACTGAAAAGATTCATAAAACTGGTTTGAAAGTCGTGCGTCTATGTGCGAAAAGTCGTGAAGCTCTGGATTCACCTGTCTCCTTCCTTGCATTGCATAATCAAGTACGAAATCTTGAAAGGTAAGCATCGATTTGATTTCAATAGGGTCAATATCGTGTGTGGATTTTTTTCTTCGATGTCTAGTGAACCAGAATTGAAGAAATTACAGCAATTAAAAGATGAAACCGGTGAATTGTCATCGGCTGATGAAAAACGTTATCGAACATTGAAACGTAAATGCGAAAGTGATTTACTTCGCAATGCAGATGTTATTTGTTGTACATGTGTTGGTTCGGGTGATCCGCGTTTATCACACGGATATCAATTTCGTTCAATACTTATCGATGAGTCAACACAAGCGACGGAGCCTGAATGTATGGTGCCAGTTGTTCTCGGTGCTAGACAACTTATTCTAGTCGGTGACCATTGTCAATTAGGACCGGTTGTAATGAGTAAGAAAGCAGCGAAAGCTGGTCTTAGTCAATCCTTATTCGAACGTTTGGTTGTACTGGGCATTCGACCGATTCGATTACAAGTACAATATCGAATGCATCCAGCATTATCAGCATTTCCATCAAACATTTTCTATGAAGGTTTGAATGAAAGTTTTTCTATTGACCAATAGTCGATCTTTCCTATCGTTGTTAGGTTCATTGCAAAATGGTGTCACAGCTGCTGAACGTGCAATCAAAGGTTTAGATTTTCCATGGATTCAATCTGACAAGCCGATGTTTTTTCATTGTTCACTTGGCCAAGAGGAAATTTCTAGTAGTGGCACATCGTATCTAAATCGAACCGAAGCCAATATGGTGGAGAAGACCGCTACACGTTTACTCAAAGCTGGCATTAAACCAGAACAAATCGGTATTATAACACCTTACGAAGGACAACGTGCTTTTATTGTCCAACATATGCAATATAGTGGATCATTGAATGAAAAACTCTATCAAGAAATCGAGGTGGCGAGTGTCGATGCATTTCAAGGACGGGAAAAAGATTTCATTATTCTGTCTTGTGTACGTGCAAATGAACATCAAGGTATTGGGTTCTTAAATGATCCGCGTCGACTTAATGTCGCTTTAACACGAGCAAAGTAAATGCATGACTATTTCAGTTTTAAAATTATTCGATCTTAATATCATTTTTCTAGATATGGCATTATTATCATCGGTAATCCAAAAGTGCTTTCACGTCAACCATTATGGAATCATTTGTTAACCTATTACAAAGAACAACATGTACTTGCCGAAGGTCCATTGAATAACTTGAAAGAAAGTGCTATACAGTTTGCCAAACCAAAGAAACTTGTCAATCCATCGAATCCTGGAGGTCGATTCATGTCCAATGCAATGTTTTCTGGTTCGTTCTCATTTAGATTTTTGCTGTCACACATACATATGAAATCCATTTGTTTTTAGCGAAAGAAGCAATGATTCCTGGCTCAGTTTATGATCGAACAACAACTACGACCGATAGACGACAAATGAATGGACCTATGTATGGAAATACGTTTGCATCAAATCTTCGTATGCATGATCCGATGAGCTATATTGATACCGAAATGATGGGTAGCGTGTCACAACCACCAAATGCGTTGAACTTACCGATGCCACATCAAATGATAATGCCAACGATGCCCATTTCATATATGAGTGGACCACCACCATTTAATCCAATGATGAATGGTTTGTAGCTGAAAAAGCGACAAATAGTGTGACTTTATGCTTCGATTTAGATCGACAAATGAATAATCAAGCGACAACAACAACTAGAGGAGGCAGAGGAGGAGGAAGAGTGAAAAGTTCAACGAAACCACCGCGTTTTTCAAGAAATAATGCTACACAATCACAGGTATAAACTCATTCTAAATTCAACAATCGATTCAAACATTAAATAAACTTTTATTCGTAGGATAATACAAATTTCACACAAGGTGGAACAATCAGTCAACCATATCCAGTGTCACAAAGCGGATTTATGTCACAAAATGCCTATGGTCTTTCCCAACAAGACTTTTCGCAACAAGTAAGTCGTGAAACATCTTTCGTATAAGATTTATGTTACTTCTTTCATGTAATTTTCTCTTTCTAGGATATGTACGATGTATATCAACCATCACAAAACGAACATCATCAATTGTTATCGCAAGACTCAACATATGCTGATCCAACGGCTTTCATTGGCTCTCAAATATCAAGTAATACTAGTATTAATCCAACTAACAAAAGCAATCATTCACATTTTTGATTGCAAATTCAAACAATCAATAATAAGGATAAGAAAAAATAACTTCAAATCTATATACATACATCAGTTCATATGATTGAAATCATGAAATGTTCAACGGCGAACAAAATGGCAAACAAAGTGAACGTTTGAAAGAAAAAAACACCGATCATCATTGAAAAGAGTGCGAGAGTGTGTTATGTAGAATAAGACAAACAAAGACACTTTGTCATAGAGTACACATCGATTTTGTTTGATCTTTTATTTTTCGTTCGTTCCTCAAGCAAAACAAGAATTCTTTTCCACGGTTTTTCTTCTTTTATTCTAGATGGATTGTTCTTTAACTAAAAGAGCAGATACATGTCCAGTATGTGCGGAAGATTCAGTGACATTACATCAATGTTGTCCAAACAAGGAAGATAGTTTATGTGAGCCGTGCTGGTCGAAGATAATTTCCGGAGAAATAGAAAGAGGACGTATAGGCTTGTTATTTCTTCAAGAATTATTATGCAATTATTGTAATAAACCAATTGAACGTGATCGTCTACCGAAAGATCTTCAAAGTCGACTTAATAATATTCTTCTAACAATTCCGAAAACAAAAACACCGAAGTCAATTGAAGACTTCAATTATTCGTACAAAGATTTCAATCATTTAACTCACAGTTTAACTAATGAAAAATTCGTCTTTCTTTCCCAACGTCATTACAAAGCATTGGGTGCTTGTATAGATATTTACATACAATCGGTAATGAAAAGTGATCAATGGAATTACAAAGAAATTTGGTTGCCAGAAAAAAGTGAAAATGTAGATGATCATCATGATCAAGTCAACATATTTACTTCGAATGATTTTGAAACAAATGAAAACGGCTGTTTGATTTTACTTCAAGGTTCTGGTGTTGTACGTCCAGGTCAATGGGCACGCTCATGTTGTATCAATGAATCACTCGATATTGGAAGTATGTGATCTTCTATTTGACAACGCGATGTTTTTAATTCTTTCATGACTCGAGAAAAGATATTATTACTGCGCTTCTTCTTTACATTTATCGTATTTCATAAGAACGTAGACCAGTTTCGCAAAGAATATTTCGTCTGATAGGAGTATAGTCATTCGATCGTTGTTTGTAATGCAACCGATATTCATATCGAAAGAACATCTTTTAATATTGATGTGTAGTGCATTTTCAAAATACTGAATTCTTCCGTGATAGAAATCATTTGACAAACATCTTTTCTTAGGCATGTTTCCGTACATGAAGAAAGCCAAGGAACATGGTTTATCTGTGATTATTCTCAATCCAAATCAAACAAGTTATGTTGAAAAGCAACTATGTGATAGTGAAACAAATTCAACCGAACAACAGTCATCTGTTACAAATACACAAGCAGTTGACAAGAAGATAACGGAGTCTGATAATGACTTGATTTCTTATTATTTATCTCCCGATTCACTTCCTTCTCCATTAACAACAAAAATTCCAAATTTATCGACAAACCGTGAACATGTTCTTCATGTATATGATAATGTCATTTCAAAATGTCCGGCGAAGAAGTTCTATATTGTTGCACATTCAGCTGGTGGTGATGGTCTAATGTTTCTACTGCGTAAACGTCAAAATGATATTTTAACAAAACCATGGAAAGTTGCATTTACTGATTCAGTTCATTCTGTTTTGCCATTGGAATCGAATGAAATCAAAAATTTTCTCAAATTACATGCTATTCACTTTGTTGCCAGTGATGAACCAATGGGAGCAGAGTTGGATGCAGTCTACGATTTCTCACATGGATCAGCGTGTCAAGAAGTATCGGCTGGACATCCTAAACATGAATACACATCTGGATACTGTGTCGAAGGAGTTTTTAACTTTTTTTTCCCATCTGACCATAATATTGATAGAACGACTTTTTAATGAATGAAAACTAAACTATCCCTTTATTATCATTTTCAGATTATTCATGTTTGGCAGAAAATCTATACCAGGTACGAAAAAGACATTTGTGAACATAGCCGGAAACGTTTTTTGCATTTGCTTGTAGAACAAACGAAGGCTCATAATCGTGAGTTGAGAAAAACTGATCGGGAATTAGTGCGCGATCGTCACAAACTCGAAGCGGAAGAACAGCGCATAGTAAATATTTAATATTAATATCGCTTTTCGTATTAATTTTTGTTTAAGGTAAACGAAATTCGAAAAAATGCATCCGGTGGCAATAAAAAGGTAACGAACGAGCTGGCTTTTACTTCCATTTACACTTCAATGAACAAATCTATACTAGGCAGTAGAGATCTTAGCAAAGCAATTGGTTAAAATACGAAATCAAAAGGCACAGTCGTTTCAAGCATCAAGTCAAATACAAGGTTTAGCCACACAAAATACAATGATGGCTTCGAATGTACGAATGGCCAATACAATGCAGGTTAGTGACGAAAACGATTTGTTCGTGTACGGAACAAAATTATCTCATCGATCATTTATAGGCTACCGCTAAAACCATGGCTAAGATGAATAAGGTTATGAATCCAGAAAAAATGGCTAAAATTACTCAGCAATTCGGTCAGGAACATACGAAGCTGGGTATCAAAGAAGAAATGAGTATGTATTACGTCGATTCTCGGACTGATCGTTATCGAGGATTATCATCTTTTCTTCGTTTTAGTGGGAGAAACACTGGATGCTGCTTTCGGACAAGAAGGTGATTCAGATGAAGAAGATGCCATTGTCAATCAAGTTCTCGATGAAATCGGCATTTCATTCAACGAAAAAATGGCTGTTGCTCCACGAGTTCCTGCCGGTGCCACCGGTATGATATCGAATCGACGACAAGCCAACAACGAAGACGCCGAGATTGAACGAATGTTAGCAAATCTCAAATCCTAACTGTGACATTTCTCTACTCTCATTCGTTTACACAGAACACACTATCGATTTCTATAAAAACTCATTTAGATGATCATCTTTTTTCTTTTTTTTTTTATAATCTTGCTCTTTAATCGTTTTCTTTCCTCTTTTGGAATGCTTATTCTGATCAACAGATCTAATTGTAAATACAAAGATCGTTATTGGTTTTTCGATCTTTTTCATACTGTTACTAAATTTAAGCAATAATGTAGTAGATTTTCATGGATTAATCAATGAATGAACGAACGAAGTTGTATTGTTAATAGAAAGAAGGGACATTTAGTTAATCTTTAATATTTGTACGTTTTTCTTTTTTGTTCCAAACGAAAATCGGTCAGACTAGTGAGTAAATTATAATAACGTTGATCTCTTTGTTTTGCGTATGTCTGATTAAGTGAACGTAGTTTTGCTACGGCATGTTCTCGTTGATTGGCTTGATGAAACTGTGCAAAATGTTCACGAAATTCCGGACGAAACTTGACAAAATGATCAACAAAACCACTGTAAGTTTCACATTCTAAGGATTCGTTCATTAAACGAGTATATTCATCGAAATCGATCGATTGGGTCATGGGTACGTTTAAACTTGCACTACAATACGCAGATGAACTTCTAGCTGTTCTTGTTATAAAACTTTTCGAACCAGTTAACGATGTTGACGGACGACTTTGAATCAGAGATGATTGTGATCGTGTTGCTTCTGAACGATCAAGTAGTTTTTGTGCAGCTTGTAACACCTGATTTGTTCGTTGTTCTGTTTTTGTTCGTCGGTCGGGAAGCGAGTTAATTGTTATCAATGATGGTACACTTTGATGTACTGGATTAGTTGATGATCCGCAACGTTCCTTGTGCTTTTCGTGACGATCTTTCTCTTTTTTCAGAGCATCGCGAAAATATTTGTCGTATCGATACCAGGTTTCATGTCGTTTACGAGTGACATGTAAGAAGGTTTCCATATGACGATCTGCATTTAGTCGGATCTTCCTTCGTTCACGATCAATCGGTAGAATGTGAGTTTGATAGAATCTTTTCTCTATTTTGTTTCCAGTTAGAATTGCTTGAGAAAGATGTGATGGAGCTGTTTCTGAAAACATCTCTACCCGGTATAATTCAACTGTTACAATATGTTGTTTTGAATGCAAAAGAAGCACAATATGAAACCATATTGATGTTTTATTCAAATCTGAGTACTGTAAGGGTTCGCCTAGTGATCAGTAATAAAAAATCGTATTGACATTTAATTCAAAGTTATTTTCCTTTCAGGAATATTGTCGATGACAAAAAAAATCAACAATTCAATGGGATCATATAGGAAAAAAAATGAATTGAATAACAATGAAAAAATATTATTAAGCATCAATAAATAATATTTTGAACTTTGTATAATTTCTGAAAAACTGTCACATGTGAAAGATATGTCATTGCAACGTCATCGGCAAGTTCTTATCTATGAAGACATTCAACATTTTCATATTTATCACTTGCAACATCATCGTCATCATGCATACCCTTTTTCGATCTCTCGTTGTTCTTTACGTTTGCTTCATTGTGAACATAGTTGGTCTGCCGGTGAACTGTCCTAGTTCACCTGCTGAATGGTGTGGAACAAAAGCAATCGCAGCTGCCTGCGGAGTTCGTATTTATCTTATTGAATTATTCGCAATAAACTTTATCTTGAGTAGGTTACAAAGCAATGCACAACGTTTGTATGGAGCAATTCAACAAACGATCGTGTTAATTTTACGATTTATTATGAATCACTATGCGCCGATTGCCGGCAATTCACTATCACTCAAGTCTGGTTCGCTTATCAAGCTGTTGCTGATATCGTTAATTTAACGTTCGTTCCGTATGGTAACGCGCATGAAGTCTATCGACCTGAAACTCAATTATATCAATTCTACTGTCAACATGGTCCGGATGAATGCTATGCGAATCTTATTCATGTAAACTTGACAAATTAGACGAAATTGTTTCTCATTTTCTTTGCCTTTGCAGACGTGCGCCATTGCATCTTATCCAGACATTCGTCAACATATGGTAAGGAGAGAATATGTGAGAAAAAGATTCCAGAGACGGCGTTTGTCTCGTTATAGCCTTTCATCTACTGCATGGACGCAACATTTGGTGATGTGGAAACTGTGGCGATACAATGTGCTAAAAATGCCAGTCTTGATTATGAAAAAATCTCAACCTGCACAACTAGCCGAGTCGGAAATCAATTGCAACATGCATATGCTGTTCAAACTGAAAAAACCAAACCGACCACCGCTTTTGTACCATTTGTAACACTCAATGGAAATCACACAGATGAAATCCAAGATCGAGCACAAACTGATCTTATTGCTCTATTATGTGACACATACAAAGTAAAACTCTGACATATTTTACTTATGATACTACTCCAAAGTGTGATTTATTTAGGGTCCCAACCCGCCTGCTGGATGCAAAACGACGACCTAATCAAGTTCCTACCTTTATAGAACTGACTATCGTGCATATTATAGTTTTCTAATATACTTCGATGTGTGATTTTTGTCAACACGGAAACTCTTGTTCGTTTCGTAAAGATCTACCTTATCTTTTCTTATCATCGTATTGCAACGAGAGATAAAATAGACAATAGAGTATAGCATGCAAACAGAGATATCCTTTACATAAAAACATCTCTGTACATTCATTTCTTACTAGCTTTCAAGGCACATTTATCTATTCGAAGTGCTCGATGTAAAGTATGCCTAGAACGATACTTAGCTTCCTCGTCATTCTATCGACTATTCAGTTATCGAGTGAGTATCGATCGAAGACAGCTTTCTTCATTTCCATTCCCTTTATCGGTCATATGAATCCTTTGTTACAACAAGCAATAGAATTGTATCACCGTCATACTAGCGAGTATAATATCTACATCGTCAGTTGTTCAAATATAAAGACACATGTCGAAATGTACTGTTTGAACACAACAATCAAATTTCTCGATCTTGGTTCATGTTATAATGACACTGAACTAGCTCGAAACTTGGAAGCGATCGCATCACAAACGAATATACTGTTAGGTGCAATGCAAATGTTCGGAAGTGCTATCGCAGATTATTATCCTCATATGTATGATCAGATGTTGCGTGTACTTCAGCCAGAAATGTTTCATCACCAAAAAACAACTATAGTGATTACTGATCGTCTAACGTATGCTGGCGCAAGTATCGCTGATCATTTTCAAATACCATACATTGTGAACGTAGCGGGTTTGCTTCCTTATCTTGGTTGGCACGATATTTTACCAAGTGATTATAATCCGTGGATTCTCAGTAACCAACCACCGAGCATACATTCACTTGGTATCAATCTGTTGGCACGCACAGTTTTTCCCATCCTACGTTATTTTCTGCTTATTCAAATGTATTTTCAGTTCGATCGACCGTTCAATTGTATTCGACAAGAAAAATTACTTTTCAATCATTCGAGTCACTTATGGTCTTACTTCAATTCCCATTTATTTCTAGTAAACAATGCGTTCGGACTTGAGTACGCTCAACACATTCCACCCAATGTGCAAATTACTGGCCCGATGCTTTCGATGAAACTTTCTTCTAACGATTATATAGAACAACTATCGCATGAAGATCGACAGTGGATTGAATCTGACTCGCGACCTATCATTTATGTGAACTTCGGCACGGCTATTCCACTTTCAAACGAACAAGTGCAAAAATTATCACTTGCTTTGAAATCATTGAGTGAATATCGCGTTCTTTGGAAAATAGACCATCCGGGCATTTCGCAAACCTCATCATCAACATTTCGAATAGTTAAGTGGATTTCATCTAGTTTAGGTCATTTAGCACATCCAGCCGTTCAGATATTCATTTCTCATTGTGGGATCAACAGTGCCTATGAAAGTGTTTGGTTGGGAACTGCGATTCTGTGTATACCACGACTTGGTGATCAACTAGACATGGCACAACGTTTAGAAGATGCCGGCGTTGGAAAATGGTTAAATCAGAATAAGTTTACACCTGATCAATTAAAGCAAACCGTCGAGCTGATGTTGACATCTGGAGAAATGGTGTCGCGAGAGAGAAATATCAAACGAATTCAAGCAATAATGAAATTACATGGTGGAGTTGAACGTGCAGTTGACTTAATCGAAATGACTGCTGAATATGGAATCAAATCATTCGTACCAGTAAACAATTCATACCCATGGTACGCTTATTACAATCTAGATGTTTATACCATATGGTTGTTTATCTTAATTCTTTTGAAGAAGTTGATTCATTACTTGATTTTATGTAATCGACGCACAGCTAAATCGAAAGAAAAAACAAATTAAATAGATCAGTTTTCGATTGCGAATATATGTCTTTATCCTTATTTAATCGCAGCATATCGAGTTTTGTTTCTTAACAAGGATAAAGACTCGTTTGTCTAGGAATCAGTTTCCAATCAACAAGAAAATAAATTTCGAGTATTTGGAGTAACCGATCATTTGGTCTTTTGTGTTTTTACAAGAAAATCATGCAATCATCGTGGAAGTATCTTTTTCTTCTTTCTCTTCTTCATTCCGCCTATGGAAATTTTGAGAAAGAAGATGTGTCTTCAATCTCGAGTGGTCTTTCTTTCGGAATGTGCCGTGGTTATTGTCAACAATTTGTTAATGCTACGAGCAATCCTGTGCAATTAAGTGCAGTGAAGCAACCTAATTCTGCCGACATATCTTTTCCACCACTTCGACAAACGTTTTCGTTTTCGTTGAATCAATGGGAAGAACTCCTGGCTCTTGTTTCACCAAACGTATTTTCAAAATTAGCTGACACGATCGGATGTCCTGGTTGCGCGGATGGCGGTATTGAATGGATTCAAATCGATTGGAAAGATGGAAGCAAACGAGTGACATTTGAAAGTAGACGAACTATCAAAGGAATTGAAGGATTGATTGATAAGTTACGAAAAATGAGAGAAGAGTATCTTCCTCAATTTTAATCGTTTGATTTCGACAAGATAATCGAATAAAAATATTAAAAACGAACACTCAGATATTTCTATTTTGAATGCATGAAAAAGCGGATCGCTGCTAAGATTCTATATCAACCGACAGATGGCAGTATCGTCTTCGATTGATTTTTCCCTTTATTCGAATGTTTGCAAATATTAAAATTCTCAAATTAAGTAATATCGTCACATACATTCGGTATCGTTTTTTTTTCATACTTGTTCTTATCACAAATCGATCTCTATTTGACTCATGAAAGTATTTCTATGGAAACATTTCAGAGAACTTTGTCTGATGGCGACTGTTTACCGATGAAATGACATAAAGTCAGTTTTTGAATACAGTATCTGAACTGAAACATAATGGATCGATCAGTCCAATATGCTCAGGTCATGTCTAATTTTGATTCGGTTTACAATACCTCTCCTAATTCTATACATCGTCAACCTCATATCTTTGTACCTACCTCTTCATTTTCATCGCAACCAAGTCAATCAATATCGTCTTCTCTGAGTTCATCACATGCAAAATTTAACCTGGATTTATATCAACCTAATGATCCTCTTACTCAATTCGATCTTTATCAACTTTCTTCTCCTCAATCATCTGTGATTGTTCATCATCATCCTGTCTATTCTCCGCCTCCTTCACAAACAGTGTCAAAGCTGCGGCAAATCAATGACGAATTGTGTCATACTCTCGCACAATCTGAATTGCCAAATTATCCTCCACCATTGCCACCACAGTATCATGTTCATCATCATCCAATATCTCATAGAACATATCGTTCGCAGTCGTACTCCTCATCAGAATCCGAAGATATTGAACCTAAGAAACCGACTGCTCGAATTACTTATAAAGTTCATATTCCAAGTCGAAGAAAGCGACAATCACAAAAGCCTACTCCTGACGTGGATCAAATACTTGTTTCAACTTCTGATGCGTATATACAAGACGATCCAGTAACGGTTGATGTCTATCCAACACGTGATCAAGGTTACATTCGACGTATTCGAAATCGACCGGATAATCAACAACCATGGTTACCAGATGAAATCCTTGTTCGACGAAATTCTTATTCAGGCCAGAATACTTCTCGCACACCGAGAGCAACTGATTATGAGAACCAGCTACTGCAACCAAAAAGTCGACTATCAGATTGCAAAGGTATGTAATTGAAGAAGATGACATAATTGGAAAACTGTCCATGTAATTGTCATAGAACGTGTGAGATCATCATCGGCTAAATCTCGCATTCGCGGTGGTAGTGCTCAAAATGTACTGCGGCATTCGGCTACAGCACCCGTTTGGAGACCGAACGGTTCAATTAAACATGCAAGATTCATAGGCTCGAATGACCCACCTTCACCACCAAAACCAACGCGAGAACCGCCTTGGAATCCTTCTGGTACTGCTACAAAAACCAAACAGTTACGTGCATTCGATCCAACGAGTAAACTAGTACCAGCGAAGCAGCCTGAACCGGTATGGCATCCGCCATCGAAAGAAATCAAGAAGAAAATACCAAGATATTTTGAACCCACTACAAAGTCTGAGCGAACTACTCCGGTAAAATCAGCAACGGAACCTATCGTACGAAAGAAACCTCCAAAACAAATTCCCAGTGGTGATCCAACATTAAAGACTCGTATTGCAACGGCTGAAAGTAAAGTTAAATCTGCATGGGAATCCACCGCATCTGCAAGCAATCCTAGGCCACCAGCTCCACGCCCGACTAAGTCGGCAACGATAACTACACCTGCGAAACGTGCAGTTAAACCTGCTCCGGCTCGTCCTATTACATCTTCTAAGAAACCAGTTCGGGAACCTGTAGTAGCTGTAGATACTGGTCGAAGCTCGATATTCGATGCTCCTCCACCTCCGCTATTCGAATCAACGCCGCGAAATCAGAGTCCCGTCCGTGACGAGGACTTGATGGACGAAATATTTGGCGACACGTCACAAATATCCGTACAATCGAACAAAAAACACAAAGTAGAGCCATCAACTGACCCTGTAAAAACACCACCTAAAAAATGTATGTGCACATGTCTCTTTGAAATTATTTCATATGCAGTTTCATCTCTAGCAAGTGTTAAAGTAGTACGATCAGATGAGAAGAGGATGTTCGTAATTAAAAGCGATAGTTAGGCTGATGATGGATTTTTCTTTTGCGTAAAAAGACTAAATTGCTATGTTTTATTTAGCACCATCACCGAAGCCTGAACCAGGATATACTAGTGACTTTGAAGAAACTGAAAATGATAAAGAAAATGATCGTGACTTACAACCAGTACCGAATCCTTCTGATTCGCCAAGTACGTATTACTTTCTATTGAATATCAAGCAATACATCGTGTTTGTTTTGTTTGTAGGAGCTTCACCTGTACTAGACGACGAGAATGAGGCTCACGATAAGGGTGATGCTGCTCCATCAAAAGGGGATGATACAATTGGAAATGATGATGAAACTGCCGGTATAAACGAATCCCATCATCACGCTGAAGATGACGATGATGATGACTTGAAGAAAAAAGAAGATGCCTCTTCAACGTCTCCAAAACGAAAAGACCCGTCACCTGAACCTCAAGAACCGAGTCTCGATGAAACCAATCCATTAGAAGATGATTCAGATGTGCCAACTACTTCCGTTCCTCCACCTGTTCCCCCACTTACCACTACTTCTGCTCCTGCAGAAGCAAACGATGAAGTAGACGGCTTCTTTGACTAGAATAATTCGTTTGTGCACCTGTTTCATATACTGTGATGAAGATTTTCTCATTTTTATTTTGATAAATATGTGCAAAATATATATGACATTTGAAGAACATGTATGACACCGTACCGATCGAAATAAAGTTGTGCACCTCGTTGTCGACGAGTTTTATAACTAAAATACTTATTTAAAGAATTACGTTTACTTTCTTTATACATTTTTATGTTATGTAGTCTTTATTCATACAAAAAAAGGAAACGAGAATGTTCTCGAACCCATCCATAATCGTTCGACTGACAGATTGTTCCATGAATCAGAAAGGTTCTTTTCGTCATCGTTGCAATGCTCTTTTCTGTTCTGGAACAGTTTTACGCAAATATATATATACATATACAATGGATCTTGTCATATTAGTCTCATACAATTTTTTCGATAATTAAACATATTTAACTAAACTACGATGCCTCATCGTGCAGGTGGAAGTAGCATGCGTTTTTCATCTTCTTCTCGGTATAAATTAATATAAGAAATTATGATTCATTTCTTATTCATCAAGATTTATTTTCTCAGAGCTCCACGTCCAACCCATGCGTAGTCGCACCGCAACCAGCTATTTCAGCTCCAGTCGGACGTCAACCTGGTCTATTTGGACAAATGCCTGCTACAGCTGGTGGTATTGCCGTAGGTTCAGCTGTTGGACATAGCATTGGTGCGGCGATAACCGGTAGCTAATTACAAGAAGTCTCGTATTCCATGATAGTTTCTCTTTGACACATTATAGGTGGCTATCATAATCATGATCAATCAGCTGCTGTGACACAAACAACGACTGGTCTAACATCTCAACCGTTATATCAAGATTTATCGGAAAGATACGGCACAGGTCGGTGTAACTTATATCAAAAAGAATTCATGAAATGTCTCGATGAAGCAAACGGAGATTCCAAACACTGTCAAGGATTTTGGGAAGCTCTGAAAGTGAGCTGATTCCTTCAATTATTCATAATCTATAGAAACACTATTTTGACACGTTTAGGAGTGTCAACGCCATCAAAATTCTGGTCAGCTTGCTTATCTTTGAAGATAACGAATTGTTTTTGCTACATTTTAAATTCAAACAAAATCTTGTATATTTATACTTTTTGTTTTGATTACTTAATTAAGAAGTTCGCCGTGTACGTCATAGCGAAAATTGGAAAAATAATTGCATTAATTGTCTTTCGAAAGAAGGAAAAGTTAAACAGCTTATGTTAAGACAAATCCGAATTCATTAGTTTTTATAAGCTTAAGATCATTGTCATGCAAATCTTGATGCTTTCAAATCACATACAACCGCGCATCTATATCCGTCACCTCAATAAACTCTGCGTTCATTTGAGATATACATCGACTTACCAAATCATCCAAACATCTAAACATAACATACAAATCTAAGTTTATCAAAATGTCACAGTTAAATATATCGTCGTTGAACATCATCGCTCAACAAGTAGCTATCTATGCCGGCATTCCGATTCTTAGTATCGGTGTTCTTGGTAATTTAATCAACGTCATCGTTTTTCTTAGTCTTCAAACATTCCGACAAAGTTCTTGTGCCGTCTATTTAATCGTTATGTCGATTATTAATAATGGCCAATTAGTTACCGGCTTACTTACACGTATCATGATTAGCGGATTTGGCATTGATTGGACCGAAACGTCGCTGTTTTACTGTAAATTTCGGCAATTTTGTATACAAACATGTGTATCGATTTCCATGACGTGTATGTGTCTAGCAACAATCGATCAATTTCTTGCCACTTGTTATTCTCGTCAATGGCAACAATGGAGCAATATTCAAGTTGCACATAGATTAACTTTTCTATCCGTGATTATCTGGCTAGTGCATGGCATTCCATACTGGTTTTATTACAGTCAAGTGCAATCTATCTGCATGATTACTAATCGCATCTTTCAAATTTACGCGATTGCAATTCATATCGTATCTTGGAATTCTTTGATTCCAACGATAATTTGTATCCTATTTGGTTTATTAGCATACCGAAATATCCAAGATATATCCTATCGAACGATTCCACTTGTTCGACGAGAATTGGATAAGCAACTGACAAGCATAGTTCTCGTTCAAATTATCGTCAATTTTGTCACGACCGTGCCATACGTAACTGTTAATATTTTTATTTTATATGAAAATCTGGCTGGAAGTGACACCATCAGCTCAGATAAAGTCAGATTTGCCAATATGATAACAATCTATTTGTTCTACATGACTTTTGCCGTGAGTTATCAAAATATTTCCTTTTCCTTTCATTTATATTCACACGGTTCTTTCTAGAGTCCCTTTTACATATACATGTGTGTATCGGGCCGCTTTCGTCAACAATTTGTTCATGTTTTCTTCCAGGTTCGTGTGAATAAATGGCGGCGAAGAATAGCAAACACTGTTTATCCGAATGCATAGCAATGATAGAAATTCAATCTTAATAAGCCTCTTATATCCATAATAAACAGAAAAAAAAAGAATTTCCATCATCCGGATTATGTCTGTTGGAACTTTTTTTTTAAATTGTATGCTGCTCACACTTGACTGACGGAAAAATTTTTCATGCACGAGCTGTACAGATATTGTGGGCGCAGTAACCTTTGGCAAGATCTTTTGTTTAGAGGTAAAAAGTACTCATTCTTGCATCAATAGTCTCTTGGTACCCTATCATCATGTGGTTCGTTATTAATTATTCAATAGTTTTTAATTGACTATAGTATCAAATGAATTTATCAAAACAAAACCAGATAATTACGCTTCACATGAGTTATTTATATATCCAAGTCAGCAAGACGCCGAGAAAAATGGAGTTTAAAGTTTCTGCTAAGAGAAATTCTACACCGTTGTATGATGTACGAGAAAGATGAGGAATTTGTTTGTAACCATGATATAAACGATTTGTTGACCTTTAACTCGAAGGAATCTCGTTCTTGTCTGGTGTTAAATGTCGAACTGCTGACAGCAAATTTCAAATTGGTGGCAGGCTGCTTGTTTATATCTGTTTTGACAATGTAGAAAATTAATGGCTTTGTATCGTAATTATTTTTTTGTTGTCGAAAGATGAAAAGCATATTTAGCATGCCTTTGTAATTGAAAATAATGTTAAAATTGGTCATTAAAAACATCTTCAATCCAGAGGTTCTACAATAGCTAACCTTAGCTTTACAGTGAATTAACTCTGATGGTGAAAAAGGAGTCCACTTTTGTTCTTAAAAAACAAAAATATCTTTTCTATTATCGGGCTACACAATAGAAAATCAGGAACTTCTGACTTTTGCTATAGTTCTGACTTATAACAGACATTCTATGCGATGAGGAAACTCGGAGTAACTTGGCGTTGTATCCAAAGCACATTTAATTAGAATTACTTGATGCGCATTGGAAGATTTGCACATTCCGTTTGATTTGCCATGATCATCGTTCGTAAAATGAACACATCAGTCAACACCTTTTATTTCATAAAAGGAAACACATAGATGTAGTTACTTACGAAAAAGAAAAAAAACTACATTTACACACTGGTTAACTTTATTAAACACAGGCTTGTTTCTTCGGACTGTTGCTCTGTTTCTGTCACACTTAGATCGTCTTTGTTATGCCCTGACATGAGAAATGATTCCATGGATGGATCGTGAGAGCTAGTCAGTCGTTTACTCAGGTCATTGTGTATCAATGGTGATGGGAGAGTTATTCGAAGCGGTAATGTCACTGCGGATGGCCTATGCGCAGTGATTTTACTTTCGTCTGTTCGACTTTGCCGTTGTTTTTCTTTGGAAAAGAACTTGGTCAAATGTAGAATTTCGATTAATTCATTGCGAAATTGTGCGCCGCATATCATCAAAATCAGAATGTTAGATGTCGATGTAAACAATTCCAGAATGCTACCAAGAAACATCGGTAGAATATTATCACTTGACGGGCCATAACAATTATCTGATTGCATACGAAATAGTAAACCATGACAGGTAAAAAAATTAATTATATAGGACTGTAATGCACTCATCAGACTTAGTAAAATCTCGACTAGAATCAGCGATAAAGAACGTAGTTCTGCGCGCGAATGACTATGTTTACGAATTAATGGTTGATTAGCTATGTAATAAAGACATATGAATGATGATAAAATACATATAAATGAAGGTATAAATGTTCCGATAATAAAGCCAATGGTATAACGATTTTTTAATGATAGACGACGATCGTAGAGAAACTGATAATACTTTTGAAATGTTTTTGCTGACAATGGAAACGAACAATTCGCGTATGATTCAATGAAATGAAACGATTGAGCGCAAAATTGATGTTCGAGAAAATAGTCTTTTTCTGGACGCGATTGTAACCATGGCCGAGTTAAATTATTGATTGCTAAAAGAAGATGATCCGGCAGTTTATAGTCAACATCACACATCGAACGATTAGCATATTCATCTGGCCAATCAATTGACATATATGATTGAAGATAAACATATGCAACAGTCTGATGACGTGTACGATGCCAATCGGGTTTGACGTGACACATTGGATCAATACTACTATTCAACGATTCATTCGTTTCGGATGATATTGAATAATGATGATAAATAGTAGTAGAATCGAATACTAAAAATAAAATAAAACTAGAATGATGTAGAGATTGTTTGGAAAACTCAATAACTGTAGAAAAAAAGCAGAAAAAAACAAGCTGATGTCTATCGGAATCTTCGATGCGAAAAGATAATATTAGAAACAGCGATTACCTGATATGTTACTGAAAGATTTTGGTAAACATTGCTTGTCGTATGTGTATTGTGCGTCGTCCATTAGTGCATCGATGGTATTAGTTTGCTCTTTAGTGAGATCCAATTGTTTTATACAAAATCCATCATATAATTGCATGTATGACACGATAATCCCATAGACGAACGCAATCAACGTTAACATGAATGCACACATACGACTCTCACGATATGATATCGATGAGAATGTTCTCACACGTTGGATAGACATGAACATGAAGATTAACATGGAAATTTGCGTGTACGTTGTGTTATACGTCAGCACGGAGAGTACTCCGTGATTGAGCATATCTTTATAACGTATCAAATCGATGAATTTCGAGAGAAATATATTAAACCAACAAGACTCGGCAGCACCAAAGATTAACATTTTTGCCACGTGTGAAATGAATAGAAGCATACAGTCAATAAAAAATAAAGCAATAAAATAAACACTAATTGAACGTACACGAAAGCGACGACGAAGAAAAACGATTATACAAATGATATTGCCGAAAAAGCCGCATATGAATATTGGAGCAAGTACATTACATAATTTACATGGATCGATATCATCTCGAGTTAAAATCATGATCTTTTGTTAATCTAAAACAGGAGCAACAACAACAACAAGAATATCAGAATGTTCCTTTCGATCTGCGCTAGTTTGATTATTACAACATATGTGTTATATTTCTCTAGAGATATGCGGAAAAAATGCTGTGTTATCTTAATAACTAAATCAGTTAAGAAGAAAAAAAAAACTTACAGGAACTTTTTTTTCTCGTGTTTTTCTTCTTCGTCTTTCTGTTACGAGACATTTGTTGGATGAATGATAGATATGTAAGAAAGACTATAAATACTAAGTGACTGAAAGTAATGAAAAAAAGAAAAGAAGGACTAATTTGATGGGCATAAAGCAGGTGTCTTTGGAATTATCTTTTTTCTCGCAGAATATAAAATCCAGATACATAAAGAAATTGGAATTGAACCAATGAGAAGCCTTTTAGCAGACAACGAATGGATCATTCATGTCCATTCGATAACCAACGGAGAAATCAGAGAGATAATCTGAACTTACTTAACTAAGTTAATTCAAAATCATCGCATCGGAAATCTCAGATAAGAAGACATTAGTTTTCTTCTTCTTCTTCTTCTTTCTCCTACGTCTTCGTTCGACGTTATGTACGGAAAGGATAAGTGGTGTCAAAGGAGTAGATGTACATCGGCTTCTGATTGACATTTCTGGAGTGTAGATTGTTTTTGCTGATTCTTAAACATGATAATTGCCGCAACTAACTTACGATAATGTGGTAATATTTTTCCAAGGGAGGGGAAAAACACTCGAGAACAAAAGATAGAATCGATGTCAATGATACTATGTCTGTTTGTTCTTTCTATTCTTCTTAGTTTTCAACAAAGAAAATCAATGTCATAGAGACTCTAAACATGAAACTGTCCGATGTGCCTCTACATTCATTAGATACAAGAGGTTTCATACTTCAGTATGTTAATTGGTAATCCTAGATAATCATATTTATTTGCATTTGAGTAATTATCTTACTAGTTCGCAGATGATTCCGATTTGAACGAAGAAGAGGAAAAAGAAAAGGAAAGAAACGAGAAAATTTTGTTGATTATTCGTTGGAATAATATCACAAAGCGAAGATGTTGAAACTGCTGTTGTTTTTGTTATTTAAATTGTTGTATTCAACGTGCTTCTCGTGGTAACATATGAAGAAGAAAATGATTGATGAGAATCGCTTGCGGGCTAACATCGTCGCTTATTATCAGTTTATTTCCGAAGATCGTTCTATAGATGTATATATCTTTCTAAATCAGCGAAGGCCAAACAACACTAATTCATATGAAAGTCATCTAGGAAATTCTACAAGCAAAAGTTGAATACATACTAGAATGAGAATTAGTTTACGCTAAACATCACCCTAATGAGAAACTATTATATATGCTATTCTTGTTCATCGTGTAGGTGGGTAGTTAATTTCATGTTATTTGATACAATTGAGAATGTTGTCGAAGAAATATGATGTGAAATCTATATATTCGAGTCAATCTCTTCGGTTTTTTTTTCTCTACTAGTTGCTCGTTATTTTCCTATTGTCGTGCGTTGTCTTCTTCTCTCTCGCACAATTTGATGATGAGAACGAGAAAAAGATCGTTCGCTATGATAATATCTCGTTTTGTTCTACATCGCGTCTTTTACAATCAAATCAATGGTATCGAAATAATGAAATTATCGACAAAGAACATCGAAACATTGAAAAAATGATTGACAAGACTAAATCAACTAATTCAATTCGCAAAACAAAGCCTATTTTTCACTTCTCATTACACTTATGAATTCATGTAAATATTCTTCTCTTCCCTGAAAAGAAGAAAAAAAAAGAGAGGAAAACTCGAAATCCCAAACTTACTTGAAAGTATGATTTATTCTACTATAATCAGACATAAATTTATCGATGTTTGATTTACGCGTTTATTTCATCCAATTCATGTCACTCTTACATGCAGATTTGCCTGTAAAGAACCATATTCTGATTAATTAGATTTCAACTAATAGATCCGGTAGAATTGCACGCACGGATTCGTTCTCTTCTTACTATGTTCAACACTAAGATCATCAAGCTACGTGCGTTGTACGAAGTCTACTAATGCGAGAAAAGAAAATATTATTCTTACGTCGAAAAGTTTGATTGAGTGTCGTTTAATATATATAAATAATAAAGCAAAAAAATATCATGCAATATGTGAGAAGTCTAACAATAAATCATTGACAAAGAGATTTTCTTTATTTTACTTTACCTATTTGAGAGTAATTATTTATTTTCTTACATATCTATTATATTGAAAGAAAACTATAAAAAAAAAAAACTTAGCATGTTAGAAAATGACCGTAATTATCTTTTTCTTCGTCTTTTCCTTTTTCTTAGTATTCTCTCACATTTCACAATCTTCTATTCTGTTACCTTTTAAAAACTTCTCATAAGTATACTTACGATTCGACTAAAAAAAGAAATCTTTGTTCGAGTTCAATTTCTCCAAACGTACAAACTATTGTATGACACATGAGAACGGATATTGACGATGACTTATTGAACTAATGTCTCAATCATTTTGTCAATAGATATATCGATCATCTGATCCGTTGTCTTTCCTTTCCAGTCCAACATCTTTGTTTGCATTTGATTCCGAAGTCATTAATCTTTTTAATTCGCTTTTGACACGGTTTTCTGACAGACGTCATTCTAATATCATATGTCGCTGGCTCGATTCTTACTAGTGAGAACATTGACGGCGACGGCAAAGGTCAATGCATTATGCATAAGGCAGCGTAGGCAAATGATTATTAAAAAGTCTCGTTGTTTTGGCTTGATGCATTGCTGAAAGGTCGGCTTTTACATGTGAGAAACTAATTGATGTCAATGTTTGAATGTGTTAAAAGTCACAAAGTTCAACGATCGTTTCGATAAACATTTCTCCGCAGTTCGTAAATAGTATTTTGAACATCAGATACCTTTATTGTTAGTTCAAGTGAGATAATCAATTTATCAAGAGTGTGATTTTATGCATGAAATTACTTTTTTTTCTCTTCTAATTGTTACAGTTAACAGGTACTTTTCATTTATCAAAAAATACAATTTAACGATGTCCTATGAACGTCTCTTGACAACGACTTGGGAATCGTCGTCTAGGATGTTTTGTAATGACTCGTATTTCATACAGGCCGTTCTGACTTTATTAGCACACCATAACTCAAGGAAGCTATTTAATGGCAATGAGAATTCAATTAACAACGCAATCCAGAAGTGTTTCATTTGAAACAAATCTCAAATTAGAATACATTTCGAGCAAAAAGACCTGAACATCTTTCTCCCCTAGACTTTCTTTAAGATTTGACGATGTGCTTTAATACGAGAGTTGACTAAATTACCCAAATTAATACCTAGCATAAATTCTGAAATTCTCAACTATTAATTACGTGAACATATGGTTTATAATCAATCTACTTACCGACGGTGTATGACATACTGAGAATGAACTCAAGGAACATCGAAGGTAATGTAGGAGTTAGTCAACAGTTGAAAAATGAAATTGTTATTCTTCTCTGACTAGTGTAAATCGATTCGAATCGATGTATATTCAGATATGAAATAGAATTTGTTTGCTCATTCATGATGTCTATATCATGGAAAGTACAACGTGAATAAGAAATCATTTCTCCAATTATCAAATAGGATTAGTTTCATTCATGGAGCCAACACTTATTGTTTCCTAAAGCGATTAGAATAATTCGATTTGCCAGGATTACATCTAAGCACACAAAGGATCACTTGTGATTTCAATCTTCCAGTACATTCATGTTGTTCCCCGAGCTCAAAACTCGATTTTTCTTGTTTATTTTTCTAAACATCTCGTTTTAATAAATTCAAACTAAAAAAAAAGAAGAAAGTGTTGATATAAATACAATAACTTATTAGGAGAGAATATCTTCTGCTTGATGTTCGACCAAAGCCGACATTTGTTTCACATCATTGGTCCATTGGTCCAGACGTTTCTTCAATGTGCCAACTTGTCGTAAATCTAGTACACGTGGCTTCACCCAGTGCATATTCAACTTCTCATCGACTTGGTCGATACTTCCTCGGACTAAACCTAATGATAAAGCTTTCATAGCTAATAATTCGACTTGCTCAACAGGTAGTTTCGTTCGTGCCGCAACGTCGGAGAAACTTAGTGCACGTACACCACCAGCAACAAAGATCATGTCCATCAAACAAAGTAAGGTGATTTTGCGTTTTAAAATACCTTCTGCCATACGTAAATCAGGTTGAATTTGCCAGACAGGTTTTAATGCTTCGTATTTCTCAACGTCGCCGATGTTGAATGCTTGCAGAAGATCGATTAACCATTGTTCACGTGTGTTTTTCAGAGCGTCAAGGACGGGATGTTGGAGAATTTCACCGAAATTATAAACATTTTCAGCTAATAATGCAGCTAGACCAAGATTAAATGCTCTTTCAGCCTTTTCCTTTAAAACCATTACGGAAATATCCACACAACCTGAAAAGATCAGATGAAAAGATCAGATCGAAGTTTCGAATATAGTTTTACCAAGATATTTAAGAGCATTTTGGTAATATTCACTATGATTTCCCATGACGCGATAATAATTCGACGCTAAATCATAAAATCTCGAATGAACTGTTGTTAGGTGATCGAGTTCATCGAATTTTGGTGTCAAATCTTCGATGATTTTCTTTGCTTCATTTAAATTTTTCGTCACCAAATATGCCTTGCCAATCGTAACATCACAAAGTAAAACTGCAAGTGAGTTTGCTTTGACTTTTTCGCGAATTTGTTGTATGAACAGAATTGCTTCATCGACTTGTTTGAAAGTACGCGAAATAGGAATGATAATTTCAACAAGTGCTAACTGATTGATACGATGTTCGAAATCTGACAGGAAGTTTTCATAAAAGGATCGCAATTGTTCGCCTTGTTGGAGTTCTTCTCGGTGAACGAATGCTGTGACGCGTAAGGTTAATTCATGCCAAAGACGACTTTGATAAAGAGAGTCAAGTTCAAGCCATTCGTTTGCTAATGGACCACCGATGGCTTTACGTTCGGTGAGGTAATTTTCAACACGAGAAGACATGACAAATCTTTTCCGTTTTTTCGAGTTCAACTATGGTAAAAACGATTTGAATCTCTCGTACCATTGTATACAAAATTCATACGTGTAGCCTTCGTGTGGAAAAAGAGGGCGCACATGATCAATGTCGAAAGTTACTCGAAAAATTATCAACGATAGCTTTTTCTAAAAATGACTTTTTGTTAGCTTACATCTTGATTAGTTAGAGACATAGTTGCTTGGGCTAAGCTTTCTACATATATTCGCAGTCTACCGACTTTACCTTCATCGAACATAATTGAGCTGACTGTTTTGCATTCGAGTGACCTCTATCGCCTGCATCTGATTTGATCCGTAATGGTGGTATTGTGAAATGTGTGTCTTCCTTCTTTTTTTTCTTTCAAGTTGAATGTAAGATTCATCTAACAAATCGTTTTGTCTTTTTTTTAGATAGTAACTACTCTAATTTACCTCCGAGGATCCTTTTAATTCGTAAACATGAGTGGTAAGTAGCCTTTGACGGCTTTATTCTTTCGAATGAATCTCTTTTTAAGGTAAAGCAAATCCTCCTGAATTGAAGAAATTTATGGACAAACAATGTCAATTGAAATTGAATGGAAATCGAACAGTGGTCGGTGTCCTACGAGGTTTTGATCCGTTTATGAACTTAGTCATCGACGAAGCTTATGAAGCTACAAAGACTGGTGAAAAACGTCCAATTGGCATGGTTGTCGCTCGAGGAAATAGTGTGCTCATGATTGAAGCACTCGAACGACTTGGTTGAACTTGGTCAACTCTCTTGTGTTTTATGTTATTTCGTGACAAAAGTTCATTTCTTCTTTTTTTGTACTTCTCATCTCGTTTATTCATCAAAACATGAAAAAAGTTGTTCAGTTGCTTAATGAAACTGCTAAACTCATCAAGGTTCACTTTTTGGTGATAAGTCTTTCGCAGTTGCTGCTGTGTTTGTGTAACCATCCTCAGGAGACGTTGCGAACGACTCCCAAGCTTCGCGATAATATTTGCTCGCGTTGCGCAATGCTCGTTGTTCGTCTTTCGAAAACGGTTTTAGTCGATCTATCATCATGCTATTCCGGTTGAATTCATCAACAATTTTCACGAAACGTGGTCGTCTAGTCGCATCAATATTCCAACAGCGAGACATCAAATCATGCAGACCAACTGAACAGCATTCAGGCTTTGTTAAACGTCGACCTTGTTCGATTAAAAATCGCTTTAAAATCATGGTAACTTGCTGTGATTTCATCGTATCATTGATGTCGGTTTCTGTCGCATATGGTTTGGCTCCAAAAGAGAAGATTTCCCAAACCACAACCGCAAATGCCCAAACATCCGATGTAGTAGAAACTCTCTGTTCGCGCGCAAAGCATTCAGGCGCCGCCCAGCATGGTGATATAATGCATTCTTTTCCTTTCAATTCTACATTTTCCGCACGCGATAAACCAAAATCACTTAGTTTGATATGATTTTCGTCTTTGAGTAAAACATTTCTCGCTGCTAAATCACGATGGACAATTTGAAATTTCGATAAAAAAGCCATGGCTTGTGCCAACTGATAAATCCAATGATAGGCATTGATCCGGAGCTCAATCGATTGTGGATTCAACTGTTTGATATAGGAGTAAAGATTTCCTTCAGGTAGATATTCCATAAAGATTCGTAGATCTCGTTCGGCACGTTGATTGCATTGAAAGGCATGAACAATAAACGGGTTCTTTTGTAGACTAGTCAGTAAGTATTTTGATTCGTATTTATAGTCGTGCCGCACACGGGTACTGTATTCATATTCCTCTTCGATTTCGCTAGGAGGATCATTGTATTTGAGAGAGCTCTCGAATTCTTTCAATCGATAAGATTTATATATATCAACGTTGTATTTTGGAAGGTAATCTTTGATGATAATTGGAAATGAACTGTCATCTTCTCGTTGAACTGTCGCGACCCAGATTAATCGACGAGAATTTTCATCGATGATTGTTGCGGAATGAATATCAGATAAAGTTATTCTTTCAATTAAGTCAACATCAGAGAAAATTGGATCCGGATCAGCAAGAAAAGGGTCGCTACAATAAACAACTGTAAGGACTAGCAAGACAAAGAAATTTCACTTACGGAATCAGATTTCCAAGATCGAACTTTTGTAATAAATCTGCTACTGTCCCGCGTTTCCATTCACCATAATCTTTTCGAATAAAGTCCGTTAATTTCGTTGCTAAAACTCCCTTATGATTCGAGTGGCAATAGATCAATTCTTCATACGATGAAAATACTGTGACTTGATTGTGATCATCCATCGTCGTATCAGTTTTCAGTGAATAACGATACACACTTTCATACGGAACTTCAGACACATCCAGAATACTTGCGCTATATCTCTCCGTTATTGGATAAACGATGACATTTTGATTGTAATAAACACAGAGGCCATATTCCTCATCAGGCTGAGCTCTGGTCTTCCTCTTTCGATAGAATAGAAACAATCCGTTATTTTTCGTTTGATCTACAGTATGATACTGCTTGAAAGCTCCCATGATCCTGCTGATATAACTCACGCCGGTATAATCACTTAAAATTGATTTCGCTTCTCGTCGCGACGAGACTTCTACAGGTTGAAGTGTATGAAATTCCAAATTATCAGCAAAAACTTTGACACAATCAAATGCAAGATTATCATATATTTGAGCAATATCAAATGGCGATTTGCCTTCTTTTGTTAAAGGCATCAATGAACATCCCTTTTGTAACAAAAGACGGGCACACTTTTGAATATCTGCCGACAACGCATTTTTAGCCATTCTAAAAAAAACAAAATGAAAAACTAAATACAAGAAATCATCTCAACGAACGCTAAGTAATGCAATGCAGATAGATTCGATAGATATTTTCCATCCGTTGTCTGTCTAGAAATAGAAGAGAATAGTCACAGGAGAGTTTTCAATTAAAATTGAACTTTACTTTCGATTGAAATAATTCGGATTAGCACCTGCTTCGATTAATCTATCTAAAAATTTATAATTTGCTTGTTGACATGCATGATGTATCGGTGAACGTCCTTCTCCATCGACCACATTAACATCGACGGAGCTGTCAATCAGTATCTCAAAAAACTGGTGTTTTTTTCCTTGGATGGCAATGATTAATGGCGTCAGGCCTTGTTTATTTCTTGAGTTGATTTTATTCAGGATATATATTGCTTTTCCTTTTAAGGAGTGATTTTCATCATGTGCTAAAAATATCAATTCTCGAAAGTAGTGCGCTAAGTTGCGCCGAGCTAACTCATGAAGAATATTATCTTCACGATCTAATGTGCGCAATTCGTCAGGTAAAGGTATACAACCATGTGAATGTAACATGACTGGCCGGTGAAGACAAATTTTGAATGGATACGGTAGACCGATGAAAGGATTTAGCTTTTTATCGGACAGCATAGCATCGATTCCATTATATTCGATTTTCACTTCAGAGCCGAGTCCGAAGCCTAAAGAAAATTCATCGTTCGATATCGATATGACAGTTGTTCAAAGATTTACTCGAGAGAAAATAAAATGTTCGACTATCTTCGTCGTAACAAATCGGTACATCGACGGTTTCGTTGTGACTAACCAAACAAAGAACGTAACGCACACCCGACTTCCGTTCGGCATCCGTCGCTAATCGTAAGAAGTATGTTCCTAAATAATTCGTTATAGAAAACTTATCTTCATGTGAACATCAACAACGTACCATCCGACGATTTCTTCAACTGTTCCTTCGCATAGGCGCTGATTTCTGAATCTTCGATGTAATAACAATATCTTTGTTCAGTTATCTCCAATTCTTTGTATTCTTCTTCAATACGTTGACGAAACTTAGCCACTTCATATTTGTTTAATGCTCGCAGGACGTATTTCGCTCGTGCGTTTGATTCGAATGAATTACCACTGTTGGTCGAGGAGATTTGAGTGAGTTTAACCGAGACTTTAGCTGGAGTCGTTTTGGAAATTGGTCCATTGTTCGCCTGAGAAAATGTTGGTGAACCTATAGCAGACGAGTCTGTCGCAGATGTACATGTCAGATCCGAAGCAGAGTCGTCGATCATATTTACTTTGCTTGATTATATTAATTAGGAAATATTTTGAAAAGAAAATATTCACTGCTACTTGCTACGCTTGATTAGCCATAATTAAACAAGGGAGAAGATACGTTTAGATATCATGATTCTATGATATTTACGAGAATGAAAGGTGAATGGTTATCTTCGTCCATCTCTCCACGTTATTATATGCTGAAAAAAGAAAGGAACAGACAGTGTTTTCCGTCTGATTTTCTTGCTAAACCGATGTGATCAAGCATCAATTCCATTCATAAAGACTATTTAAAAAAAACCTTGAGTTACAGGCGAATACGTTAAATAATCAATTAGCAAGTCTAACGCGTGTTTGATACGTGCATTTTACCATGTGAAATGTTGCTTGTCATTTCTGCTTGATAGAATCTCTTTTGCTTAAACGTCTTACGACATCTTTCTTCACCCGAGAGAATAATTTCTATTTGTTAACTGGTTGGTTTCCGTGGAAGACGAGAGACAGATTCTCTGGATATGTCAGCTGGATGATCAAAAAAAACGGAGAAGAAAAATAAATATACTAATGCATTGCTCATTGAAAATGCGTTGCACTTGATTTTCTTCTAGAACGTTTTTTGTTTTGTTTTCGTTCTGTCATTCGTGTCGTTTTTCACGTTCACTTTCGTAGTTTCTAATCGACATGCTTGGCTGGGGTATTAATCTTCATGGTCAATTAGGATTAGGTCCAGCGGCGGTGACAAGTTTTATTCCAACACCTCAACGCATATCATTCTTCAATGATCATCCGTGTATTCAAGTTGCATGTTCATTAACACATTCGCTATTCTTGCTCGCCGATGAATATGTTTATTCAGCAGGAAATAATGAATACTCACAATTAGGTAGAGAAGGACGAACGTCTGTCCCCGGTAAGGTTGACTCGTATTGAACACGTGGGTTGATTTTGTTTAACTTTCGTAGAAAAAGTGATTTTACCACAAGATGAAAAGGCAGTACAGATTGCTTGTGGACAACATTTTTCAATATGTTTGACAAAAAATGGTAAAATCGTCGTTTGGGGTTCGATTAGTGGCAGAGTAACGAATGACGATGGTCTTTTCTATCAAAAGCCCGAGTATGAAAATTAACAAGGAAATTAATTTTATTGATAGTGCTTTTCTTAAAGATACCTGGGCGGATTTGTTGGAAAACGAATAATACAAATAGCTGCAGGATACACTCATGTTCTCGGTTTAACTGACGTAAGTTGAACAGAGGAGAATTTTGTGTTTGAACAAGATTGAATTGATTTTAGGATGGAACTGTATATGCAACTGGTTTGAATACTCATGGACAACTCGGTTTAGGGAATACTGATGATTGCGTTCGAGCAAATCCGATTGGATGCCTTCGAGGTAGTCCTATTATATTTATAGCATGTGGTGCTTATCATTCGTTGATTATATCGAAAAGCGGGTATGTAAGAATTTGTGAAGGAAAAAGTGTTGTTCAGTTTTAAACATGTAATCATTTCTTAGGACGATATTTGCCTGCGGTTTGAATGAGTAAGTTTATTTTGTTGAATGAATGTTCGACTATTGAAATATTGCTGGAATTATAGGTCAGGACAGTTAGGTCTTGGTGATACAGACTCTCGTGTATGGCCAACGAATATTAAAGCGTTACAGCAACAAAAAGTGACTTATGGGTCCTGTGGAGAGAAACATTCAGTTGTTGTAACACTCGAAGGTGGTGTATTTTCATTTGGATCTGGTGTACAGGGTCAACTTGGACATAACTCGACAAATGACGAACTTTTACCAAGAAAAATCTCGGAACTAATGGGTACAGAAGTTTCTCAAATTGCATGCGGAAGGTAAAGTAGAGATTCTATGTGTGAACTACTATAATTTTGTCATCTAGATCTCATACGATTATATATACGCTAACTGACGGACAAATCTCGACATTTGGATTAGGATGTGCAGGACGTACAGAAACAAAAATAACATCTTCTAGCAGTATTCCACAAAAAGTACTAATAAATACTCCATTTTCGTCCTATAAAGCTATGAAACAAGTAGGAAAGAAGTTATTCGATCGATCGGTGTCTTTCAATTTATTCATTTTCAGCTGCAAAAGCAAGTACCTGTAGACAAAACGAATTCACTGTCATCACGCCGACAAAAGCCAATAGAAACAAAAGTTTCCTCGACAAGTCTTCAAATCGTAGGAATATTTTCAGGTGGAAATCAAATCTTTGTTCGAATTTCTTCACGAGTCTGCTGACACTGTCCTATCATACAAATACACAGTACAGATTTCCTTTTAGGCACAACGTCCCGATGACCATCGCATTTCGTATACAGTTCGACCACTTCTAGAATTAACAGATGACTTCGCTAAATGGCTGCAGCATATTCCTGACAGTTCAGATGGTTTCAAAGAGGCTGAAAGGTTTACATTGAACTTCGAATAAACTAGCATTCGAAGTTTCGCTTTGTTACAGGATACTGTTACGATTATTCAGCACAGAAGCATGTTTAAACGGTTCGTTTCTATGTCTACCCGATGCACATTATCGTACCTCATCAAATTATTCTGGTGTTGACCTGGACAAAGTGGAAGCTGTGATGGAAAAACTACGTTCGTGTAATCCAAAAGTTCAAGAATGTGTTCGTATTATGTCATTCACTCCATGCTTTTTGACAAAGCTTTATTTTCCTTAGTTATTCGAATGCGTTCAATCCATACTGTTGTCATTACCCGAAACAGCGCCATGTTTTGAAGCATTACGCATATACTTAATTCTCCCATTCTGTCATGTGTTTGAAAACGAGGAATCATTTGAAACTGTAACAGCACCGTTTGCTCAAGCTGCTACACGTTTGAAAAAGACGGCTGACGGAAGAGTTCTCGATTACTGGATATTACATATCGGGAAAAAATTCGTTCAAAGAATTATCGAAGTATTTATCTTATTGATGAAATTGCTCATCACTTCTTGACTGTTTGTAGTTGTATAAACCTCTGGTTATTAAAATTATTCAAATCAACAGTATGGGCTCAGCTCTAGCAGCCGAACAATATCACACGGTTCTCGAAGCTGTTTTAGAATTATTAAAGAAGGTTCACAATGTAGGTTTCATCAAGTTGCTTTCGACATATCCAGAGAGAATTGTCTCCGTTGTGTCAACTTGACATTGCTATGCTGATTAGAATCCTCATGAGAACTAACATTTTAGGTTTCATGCAATATGGCGAAACCAGAATTAGTCGGACACGATTTGTTTTATATGAAGGAATTGAATGACATGATCGATATCAAACGTGATTACGATTTCTGGCTCGCCCGTCAAAGCTGTATCTTAGTATGTAGTCAAAACTGATCGTCTGAAATATTTCAGTATGATTGGTTTTCTTTTTCAATAGGAGCGGAAAATGGTTTCATTTTGTGATTATCCATTTCTATTCGATCTCAAAGCAAAAATTCGTAAGAAGCAACGGTTCTCATTGATTAGATAATTGCTGGTTTTTTTAAGTATTACTCCAATATAATGGTCAATTGGAGATGCAGGAAGCGATTCGAAATGCGTTCATGCATAATTTTCAAACGATGCTTGGTGCACATGTGGATACAGTCAATCCATTGCTAATTCTACACGTCAACCGCGAGACAATCTTGAGGGATGCAATTGATCAAGTAGGACTTGGGAAATTCGATGTATAAACCAGCGTCCATCGGTTTGTTTTCTTAAAATTTCAGCTTGACAAATACAAAGATGAAGATTTCAAAAAACCTCTACGAGTTTTTTTTCAGAATGAAGAGGGTTTAGATGCTGGTGGTATACGGAAAGAATTTTTCCTATTGCTCACAAAAGAAATTCTCGATCCGAAATATGGAATGTTCAGTAAGAATAACAAACTCGAGAAAAATAGAAAACTTATCATGTCATATCTTTCAGAAGTGTACGAGGAAACAAACACAATCTGGTTTAGTGACCTTTATGAAAAAGAAGAAGAACCAATGTATAAATTGATCGGTGTAAGATAAAAGACTTAAAAATCCGAGAGAAGATTTCATCTGATCCGCATTTTCCTCTTCTAGACTCTCTGCGCGTTGGCTGTATATAATATAACAATCATTGATCTGCCATTTCCTCTGGCTTTGTATAAAAAGCTTTTAAACAAAAGCAGTGTGGACCTCAACGATATGAAATCGCTTTCACCGACATTGTATCGAAGTTTAGTGGCGTTGTTAAACCATAAAGAAGATGATCTGGAGACCACTCTTTGTTACACGTTTGAAATCGAACGTGATGTGTATGATGAACGACGTCGAATTGAATTAAAACCAGGCGGATCTTCGATAATGGTGAATCAAAAGAATAAACAAGAATTTATTGACCTATACATTGATTATATATTTAATAAATCGTGTGAAAAACAGTTTCAAGCATTTTCCGCCGGCTTTCGTCGTGTTATTAATTCTAAGCCATTAGAATTGTTCTACCCCGATGAATTGATGTCTTTTGTTGTAAGCTTCTTCTCTTTTCTTTCCTTTCCTCTTTCGGAATGTGAATCGAATGTTTAGGTTGGTAATACAAACTATGATTGGAATGAGTTTCAAAAGAAAACCGAATATAAAGGAGAATATCATGTTAATCATCCGGTGATGTAAGTGAAATGAAGAATGTGATCAAAACTAGATCAACTCTTATGTTTTAGTCAATGGTTTTGGCAAGTGTTTCATAAGTTGGAAGATAATGAAAAGAAGAAATTTTTACGTGAGCGATTCCTGATTGATCGAAACGAATTATTCATTGATTTTCGTTTAGTGTTCCTAACTGGCTCTGATCGAGTACCTGTTTTTGGATGGAGCCAAACTCAGGTACAAAAAGAAATCACCTCATTTATCTTGCCTTATGTCATACTTTTAGCCGATGATAATCCAACGAAGCCACACAGACGATGCACATCTACCTGCTAGTCATACATGTTATAATGTGCTCGATTTGCCATCCTATTCATCAAAAGAAGTCCTTAAAGCGAAACTACTTCAAGCAATCCAGTACAACAAAGGTTTCAATCTTGTTTAGATAAAAAAAAAGGTAACCTGGAAAATCAACAACATGATACCATCATTCACTTACAAAAACAATCAAGCATTTCTATCTATCGATGTGTGCTTTTTTTCAATTTAGGATGATCAACATGTCTCGTTGTGTTTGCACGCATTTTCTTCTTTTATTGTTTATGAACAAAACTCTATTTTGTGATAAATTGTCTTCTTCTTCAATTTTACAATTTTTCATTCTATTTTTTCCCTTTCCTTTGTCTGCTTGACTAAATAAGAACAAATTCGTCTTTGAAATACTTTCAAGAAAACAACGATTTATTTTAAGTATAAATAAATATATACATAGGCGTATAAACATACTTTGACGATTGTATAGCATATCACATGGTTGATTGAGCGCCATTTACTTGACGATCGGTTCGAAATCTGGACATACAAGAAAAGAAAAAGAAATACATTGCATCAAATCAGATTTCAAACTGACTTTTATACCAATCGCCTTCATCAATGGCATTTTCTCGTTGATAGAGTTTTTTTCGTAATTGAAATCTTGTTAATGTTTGCGGATCGACCGTCATGCTTGTTCTTCTCGCCGACGAAGTTGGAAACGATGTGTTGGAAAATAGAGCACGTCGATGTAAGTCCAACAGGCTTTGTTTGACAATACGAGGTATATATTTCGGACATGGTGCAATTTCTACAGACATTGTATCGAGTTGCTGCGACGCCGTGTATGAATCATTTTTCACACCGCCCTCTTCGATCGAAATTTCTGTGCATATCGATGTCTTTTTCGGCGGAGATGTGGCAGCTAGAACAGTCGTCCGAGAAGACATGTCATCAATAACAGGAACTGACGTTGCACGAGTGACATGTATCGAAGATGATGTTGTGGGTTCGATGAGAGTGTTTACGTAACACTCATGAATCACATTCGATGGACTTGAACTTAAGTTATTATGGAGTGAATAGTTGATAAAGATCGACGGCGGATTGCAAATGCGCTCTAACTTGCGGAATAGATTGACAATAGCAAGAAACCAAAGAGCAATAACAACTAATACAAGAAGATTTTCGACTAAACTCATCCGGTAGATACCAGTGTCCATTTGGCCTGAAAAAGAAATATCGATGCTCTGTCTTGATTCGAAGGCAGACATGATGAATGAATGTGATATTCTTGTCGCAAGTAAATCACGTGCCTTCTACCTGATAGTTGATAAGCTCTAATGGAAACTGCCTTTTCAAAAAAGGAAGTTCAACATTGACTGTCACAATTAACATTCACAGCAACCCACACAATGTACTGGCATTCGTAAAGCCTTTTTTTCAACAAAAGTATCGCAAACAGAAATAAGTAGTATCATTGTCGAGTATTTCTACTAATCCACTCTTAGCGAAAGGAAAACACACATGTGTTGTTTAACCAGTCGTGTTCTTTCACTTACTTTTAGTTTAGTCGAATGCACACAAACTCCACGGAAATGATTAGAAGAGAAAAGTTGATTACATGTTTTTCTTCTCCTGATGTTTTTCTTTCTTCTGGAACATAAACGATCATATTATTTTATTCTTTCTTCATAAAAAGATAATCTCGGGAGGATGTTATCAGTCAAATTTAATTAATCATTTCGGTATCTTCGATGACTGATAAGAAAAATTTTCTTCACAGAAATATAATTATTTATTTGTCTGTTAGATAATGATGTAATGGATGAAAGTTCGATCGGACAAACAAACTATTCGGATGTTTAGAGAATAATAGAATGCTAATGTGAACATCAGAAGATTAGTTTGCTTTTTATGATTATAGATATTAGGAAGAGCATTGTCAATCGTTAAGTATGCAAGTTAACTATTTGACTTCTTGCAATTTTTTGAAGATGCTTTGCACAAGGCGTAGTTTCATATATATAATGAATATTTTGGTGTTTAAATAGGGTTTTATCGAGAATCTGTGTTATTAAAGATGACAATTTCTCTCTTTCTCTTCTCTCGGTTTAGTGTCAGTTACCATTCAACTACCTCTATCATAGTAAGTGCATATACAACTTATCTGGGTATATGTAATAGTGTGGCTCAGCGTGATTGGCTTAATTAATCTGGGATAATTCTTTCGGCAACATTACATCTATCTATCTCTCTCGATCAGATATAGGATAAAATGGGTTCAATGGTTTTACGCCTTTTAACGTTGGCTCTCGGCATTGCATTCATCTTTTTTGGTCAACTTCATATAACTCCGCAATTTTTTCGTGAACAACATGATCATATTAAAAACGAGTACGGAAAATTCAATAAAGAGTTTCCATTCCATCGACAAACGGGCTGGCGTCCGTATGCGAAAAACTATCGCTTAACTGTTGGTATAACAGAAATTGTCTGCGGTACTTGCTTGCTTCTTGGTAAATGAACTTGAATTATCTCGTTGAATCATTCATAAAATAAATCTTCATTTTCAGGTATTCTCAAAACACCGGCAACGATTGTTTTGATGATGTTGATGACCAATGCTCTTATTACTTTTCAAAAGTTGAATTATGGTCTTGATTATATTGGTTCAGTTATATTCATGTTGTTCCTTCTTGTCATCCGGCTCGTTCTTGCATCCAAATCGAAAGTTCAATCGGTTGCGAAAAAAGTGACGAAAAAGATGGAATAGATTTTCTTTTCGGCGATCAACAACGAATACTTTCTTTTCTTTTTCCTTGTTTTTTTTTTACTATTTATATTGATTTGTTTCCTTTTGTACAACATTCTATCGAACAAGCTATGAACATATCTGGATTATTGTTTCTCTGCTTATGAAAATAAACCTCAGCGAGTTTGTGAATTCCTTGTGTCAATATGTGCTGTGTCAATGCAAACGGTTGCCAGCTTGAGATTAGATTATCTACATGAGTTTTGTCTGTTGAATATATCCACGTACATTAGTATCAATGGGATAACAGTTCTTGCTTTTTTTAACTATAAATCTGTCAAATAAAGATTTCGAAGTTCTTTATCGCCAAGGGCAAATACAGAAGAATGCGCTTCGTGTAACTGTTTACAGACATATTTTCTGTGAAGTTTTAATTATTATGATGTGAGAAAAGAAAGGAAATGTTTCGAACGGCTAAAGTAGTTTCGGATTGGAGATTTCCGTAGGCTGAGTGTAGGTGAACTATTTACTTTGTGATTTGAATAACTCTGAAACAAATGTGAAAGTCAAGGTGTTGTTAAAGTATCGTATGATAGTTCACTGTTGATGAGATGTTTATATGTAATCAGGTAAATGGATAAAAAATAAAGCTTGGGTGAATAGATAAAAGAAAACAAAACGAAACAAGCAATCCTAGTCTATCTAGGTAATGTTCATAAGTATAAAGAGAGAGAGAGAGAAATAAAAAAGATGATGATAATCGATTGCTTTCTATTAATAATCATTACGATGAACAGATCGTGAACGAATTAAAGTTGTTGTGACAACTTCAGCACGTTGTTCAGCGTCTTCGAGTTCTCGTTCGAGACGACGAGCACGTGTTAATACTAAAATGAAACGAATAGTTTGACTTTTCGTCTTCGAATATGCTGATTTCTAACCGTGTGCAGCTGAAGATTCAGCACTTTCAATTTGAGATTTATATATGCGCATTCGATCATTTGTTTTGCTTAATGTATCAGTTAGAGAAAGGATTTTCGCTTGTTCTTCGTCAACTTGTGTTAATAATTCTTTGATACGTCTTTCATTACGGCGTAATTCTTTCAAAAGTTCCTGATAACGCGCTCGTTCCAAATCGATTTCTGTTTCAAGTTGACCAATCTAAATTGAAAACATCGACGCACACATCAAAACATCGTTCCGACTTACGCGTCCTTCGTATTTAGCAGAAATACGTTTGCCTTCTGCTCGTGCATAAGCTTCCGCTTCGTCGACCTTAGAATTGCAATCACGTAGTTGTTGATCTAAAGCTCGTTTCGATGCTTCACTTTCAGCTGCCTTTTCACGTTCATGTCGAATTTCTTCATCACGATGAATCAACTCTGCAGCCAATTTTCGTGACTAGCAAAACGCGAACACAAAGCTAAGATCCTTCGTTCTCACTATCTGCTTACTCGTTCGTCAACGATCTTCAATTCTTGTCGAACATCGGCAACTTCTGATTGATATTGTATAGCGTCAGCTTCGTATTTCTTACGTTCTCCGATAGCACGATTAGCAGCTGTTAATGCATCAGACAAGCGACGTTCAGAATCATGTAATTCCAATTCCGTTGTTTTACGAGCTTTTTCACTCTAGAACACACATTAGTGTAGAAATATTCACTAAAATAAGACATACGCGATCGAGTAAACTACTTAATTCGTCGATTTCTGCATGAAGAGCACCTGTAGGAAACAAACGACAATCACAAGCGAGAGACAAGAAGTGAAAACCATACCGAATCGTTTTTCTGAAGCAGAAAGTAAATCTTTCGTGGCACTGTGTGCTGTTTGTTCTTCCAAGAGACGATCTTGCGCATCTTTAATACCATTTTGGATCTTTTTTAAATGATTCTCTAGATCTCCTTTAGCCTTCTTCATCGTTTCGTAACGAAGGCGAGTTTCTTCTAATTCATTTTGTAACTTGGATTTCGTTCGACTAAGTTCTGTTTTGTAGCGTACTTCCACTTCCTCCAATTGAGATTGAATTTGATCTAATTGTTTACGTTGACTTGATCGGAGATTTTCGAGTTCATCGTCTTTATCCGCAATCTTCTTCTCTAGATCGCCTCGAAGTTTGTCAATCGAAGCGTTCAAAACGTTGTATTTGGTAACTTCAATGTGAATCTGTTCGCGATATTCATCAATAGCTGAACCTAAGGATAATTTATCAGCTTCAAGTTGTTTACGAATGCGATCCAATTCCATATTGCGAGTATTCAATTCCGAGATTTGATTTAAGGCAATATCGATCTCATCTGAAATCAAAGTTTACAGCAGTTTTCTCGGATGGCGAAATGTTCTTTACCTTGAAAACGACGTTTGTCTCGATTGATCAACTCGACTTGCTCGACAAGTTGTTCATTCAAACCTTTAATTTTGACTAATTCGCTTTGATAATTACGATTAGCTTGGATAGCTGATTCCATTTCGGCAGTGACTTGATTGACACGTTGACGAGATTCATCAGCTTCTTTCTCTAATTGCTTATTACGACGCGTGGCTTCGTCAGCTCGTTTACGATGCTAAAACTTTCAATGAAACAGAGTCTTTGTTTTCATCATTAATTACTTTGTCAATTTCACCACTGATTTGATCGAGTTCACCTTGAAGTCGTTGTTTAGTCTTGTCGAGATTACTTGCTTTAGCTAAAACTTCAGTCAATTGTTCTTGAACTTCGGTGACACGTGCATTCAATTTTCGTCTAAAGTAAAAAACTGAAGGTTCTCATCGTTCAACTCGTCGCAAGATTCGTACCGTTGATCTTCGAATTCTTCGTTTTTACTTTCGATTTCTCTTTCCAATCGATCGCGTGCAATGCGTGCTTCTTCCTGAATCTTGATGACAAGTTTTTGCAATTCAACTTTAGCATCGATTTCATCTTCTAATTGCAGTTTCGTTGATTCCAAATCCATTTGAAATGTTTTCACTGTCGATTGTAATGTTCGGCTAGTCTTTGAAACATAACAAAACAAAATTAACGCAAATCATGACAAGTTTAATCTTACAGCCATTTCCGATTCCAAATGAATACGTGTTTGTTCCAGATCACCTTGAGCGCGTTTGTACGCGGTGTTTAATGATGATAATTCATATTCTAATGATTCGATTCGACGACTGAATGTTAAGTTTTCTTCGACAAGATGAGATTTCGCTGAAGTAGCATCACTTAATTGTCGAATTGCATCGTCGACTTTGCCATTCATTTCGATTAATTTCGATTCGAGTTCTTTGCTAACTGAAACAGCTTGACTTCTACCTTTCGCGACCGATTCGATCTCATTTTTCAATTCTTCGATTTCCATAAGAAAGTTCTTATTTTCTTTTTCATATCTAAAACATTTAAACTGCTAAGAACGTGCACGAGACGTTAATCAAGATCTATTACCTTATTCTTCCTTTGCCAAGTGCTTCGACTTGACTTGTTAATTCAGTAATTGTATCTTGATAACGACGACGAAGTGAATTTTGAGTTTCATCGTTTTCCGTCGTTTGAAGTTCAAGTTTTTGACGGAGATCGTGATTCTCTTGTTTCAAACTACAAATCCAACCATAACGACAAATCATTTTCGTCTCGCACTATGAATTACCGTTTGTTATTTTCGATTTCTCTATCACGTGCATTGGTCACTTCGTCTAATTGTTGTTCGATGTCGTCGAAGTCCAAACGTAAGTTCGATAAATCTTTCTCTTGACGATAACGAATATCGCGTTCAGTTTTCAATTCGTCTTCAATATCACGTAAACGATTCTATTCGAAACAAATCGCGATGAATACAAAAGCAAAACTTTTTTCCGTAATACTTACAGCTAATAGCGATTCGGTCATCTTCGATTCTCTAAAAGCAAACAAATTAACAAATTTGAATTTATCCTACAAGAACATTTCGCCTTGGATATGCCTGTTCATCTAAAGACAACAACTCGTTCGATTACATTTGACTCATCGGTAGTCCAATGAAAATAATTTCAATTGTCCAACGGACAAACTCTCTTATGAATGATCTAATCAGATGAAATAGAAATAGTTCGCTAAGTGGAAGTTATCTAACAAAGAAGATAACGGCGGTACTGTCCTACCGCCCTTAAACGCCTGTATATGTCATCTCAAGGAGAAAATCGATCAATTCTTTGATGAGAAACAGTGAAACTCCTATGATCAAATAATTCATCATTAAATAAAGATCATTTACTTAATATTTTCTTCATTTTTTCTATTGATTATATTATATACCTTATATAGTCAGAGAGCGGATAGTATTCTTGTTGTTGTTGTTGTTGTTATTGTGCGGCAAGAAAGCTAAAGAACGACTGTTTGAGTGTATCTCCTCCTCGTCGTTTCCGTCTCAAAGCAGAAAGAAAAAAAAGAAGAGAGAAAGAAAAATACAGATTTTCCTAAATACAATCGTTTGTTCCGTATACATATATAGTTCTTTTTCTCTTTTAGTACAAGTATCCTGATGATCTAATGTAGCATATAACAAGATGCGCTATCACCAATCGAGGAGATTTCTTCTTCCTCTGTTCTAAGCAAACATATCGGTTCTGCTATTCATAAACAACAACATCAACAAGACGTCATTCCATTCGTTTATTCTTGATAGATGGAACAAATAAAGGTCTTATTCATTTCTGGCCTTGACTATCAGTTGATAACGGTGAAAGGAATCGAAATAGAGATGAAGAATTCGTCCCTTCTAATCTCGGTTCTTTATTTATTCGTATCGTAAACAGGATAATAGTTTTCGGGCTCGTCTTCGTCGACATATTTTCGTTGGTTCCATGTCGTATTTGTAGAAATTCGAGGAGACGGCGATGGCGACGAATTCGCCGACGTTTCACGAGATATTGGTTCACAATAAATATTTTCCGGATCATCCTCATTAGATTTTTTGGGTGTTGGTTTATCATAAATTCTCTAAAAAGCAAAGATATCTATCTTGCATGTCACGTGGTTAACATTACCGGTTTTATCGTTGCATAGGTTTCCGAGCTTGAATCGGAGACTAGTTGTCGGCCAGTTAGAAGTACATTCGAATTGGAAATATCTTCGATACGTTTGTCAATACTTCGTTGATGTTTAAGTCGTGGAGAATTACGCGGAGATGTACTTGTTGATGATGAAATACTATCATAAACAAGCGTCGCACCTCCGCCAATTAATTGTTTGACAACAGCTGTTGTTGAAGGTGGAGGGTAAAAATATTTCGGATAACTAACAGGCGGATTCATGCGTTCGCGCGATGCACGACCGTTGGTAGTCACCGATCGATTAGATGCTGCTCCGACACTAGCTGTTCGTGGTTTGCTGATTGTTAATTCAGCTAATCAATGTCATTTTGGTTAAATAAACATGGACAATATCAGTTACTCGCTTACCCGATGGACGAATAGGTAAAAATGATCGTGGTGTTCGGTTGATATGTTCAGTGATATTGCTAGTTAGAGGACGACCGGCTATGCTGGCTACCTAAATATGATGGAATTCGGTATGTATGTAAATTTGGGCGTTAGGGAGGAACTTTACTCGACGGATTCCTTGTTGATTACTAAATGAAGGTTGGGGATGGTTGCTAGAGATACCCATAGATAAATTTTCAGTACTTGACATGCGATCAAATTTTTGTTTCAATTGTTGAACCATAGGACTTCTCGGTCGATCGTCTCCGATCATACTCGTATGAGGTTCATTGAGCTGAATTGAACAAAAATCGATAAGACAGAACGAAAATTAAGAGATCAGTTACTTCACTATTGTGTGGATTTTTCACTTGAAAAACAACACTAGTCGTATGTCGACGTGTAAGATTTCGTTTCTGTAACAAAAGGAACGCTCTGGTCACACGAAAGAAAAACTCTTCTATTGCACAATTACTTGGCGGTCAGGACCAACTGTGCCGCTGAGTAATTCCGGTAAACGTATTTGCCATTTTGACTTAGATAAATTCGCTTCTAATTCCGAATGATAGATGGACGGTGATGGATGTATCTCTCCTATCCGAAGACAAATTGGTAAAGTTATTTTTCGAAGAAACCAAGTATACTCGAAACATTACTTTGAGGTTGTGCAGCAGGTGTTTGCCGATCAATGTAGAATGGTTGTTGGGTTGTTGACCTTTGATCTTCGTCATCGGAATATAAAGATTGAACACTTGTCTCATACAAATTTTGCCAATCTTGATAGAATCAGTCAAATTCTGAATCGCATTGGATTTAGCTTACTTACTTCCGATTAGTCGCGTTAGATAATCATCTTCTGTATGATTTCGTTCATAACTCTGATTCTGATTTTGTCTTACTTGATGTGTAATCTTAGGTATTGATATAACTGGCAAATCGTCTTCATCGTGATCGTCACCGTAAGAAAAATTCATTTTGAAATCACTCTTTTGTATTTACTTTTCTTGCTATTAAATGATACTCAACGTGTGGCGACAAGATTTCGTTTTGTCTCGGATAGAAAACGAAGATATGATATGCAAAGTATGCGAATATCTTCGTTTATAGAGATAAGGATAAAAAAAACACCTTTTTTTCTCTCGTCTACAAACAAGTCGAATGCGATATGTTACGATGTATAACGTGAAGCAAATGTCTTTATTTGAAACCAAATCAACAAAAACATAAATATGAAATTTTTATAACCAAGTAGATGATTCTACTTGTTCACCATCCGACGGGATACTGTCGATATCGATTGGAGGGAAATTGGTATGCCAATTGTCGACCCGCTGGGTAGATTGCTTGATAGTATCAGGATCGGTGTCGATAAAACGATGTTTACTGGCAAGAGAATCAGATTTCTCATCTCCCATGGAACTTTCCGTCGGCGTCAAGTCGTCTCCTTCTGAAAAGCAAAGAAAGTTTCACTGAATAGTGTCAGATTTTGGAAAAGTCAAACCTTCTTCATCAACAACTGATATTTCGAAAGAAGAAGAAGACTTGCCAGTTGAAGAAGATGACAACTAGTTCAAAAAATAAAAACAGACCGATGATTTACGAGAATCTCATCATTTAACACTATTTTTCAAACATGAAGAAATCTTACCGTGTGCATCTTCTTTTCAAATATAACTTGCGATAATAATTCATCGAAATCTGTGGATTGTAATAATGAATTCTAAACTTTATTGTGTACTCATAAAGTCTAACGATGAAACTCTACTACTTTTTGTATTTGTGAGAGACGCGCTCGAAGAACTTGTTCCGTTTTGTGAATCAATAAATTGCGTAAATCATTCTCATATGCTGGATCGATTACCGTAGTCGTACCTGAAAAATTGCTTACAAAATCATTCATTATCTGGAAGTGAGCAAGTTTGACATTATAAAATACAGTCACTTCGCTGCAATTTGAATAAGTAGTCGCGACATGAATCAACTTAAGCAACATTATAAATTGATGACAGATTGGTGTAGAACAAGAACGAGATTTTTTTTTTCGGGACAAGACTTACGTCGAATCGGACCACACAGAGCAAGACGGGCACGCGTGATTTCCGAAGAGATTTGCTGTTGATGACTTTGAAGACTTTCTGTACCTATGGAATAATAATCGATCGATAGGAGAAAAGCAAATCCAGTCATACTTTTCTTATGTGTAGATAATCCTGTATCGGTTAGATCAGATTCTAGATTCTCAAGCAAGAGAATTAAACGTTGTGCGTATTGGTTCAATTCATTTCGAACACTTTTATCATGAACAATATAGGAAACCACCGAGCCTAAAAGAAACGACACACTTTCGATCATATTCTTTCCAAAGATGCTTACCAGAGTCAGTACTATCGCTTTTTGGTAATGTTCCATATCCCAAATCTTCGTCTAGTTCATCGATATCAGCTAGAAGAAAGCGAGTAATTCTGCTGGAAAACGAAACCATGCAACTCACCCAACTCCTTCTCTCGTTTATATAATTGTCGGACAATTTTTGCGCTTCCACATCGTTTAAATTTCTTTCCAATTTCTACGTAAAACCATTCACCCGTTAAACCTTGCAGTTCCCTGAAAAACTTCTATTATTAGAAAATAAATTTTATTTAATTGTTTCTACTTTATCCTTGAACACATTTTACATGTCCACGTTTTCGTCTGCGTCGTATACGTTGCACAATTCTGACAAACATACGACATACATTTCGAACAAACTTCTCTCGGATCGAAGATACGTCGAAACGATTTCGAACATCGAATACATCTTTGATTCGAAGGAACGACATGATCAACACGCTCATATTCCTGTCGAATCGTTCTTTTCAATTCTCTAAATGAAAACATCGATATTTTTCATTGAAATCAACCAAAACTTACTCAATGCGTTTACATTCCTTTTGTCGTAGTTTAAAATCACGTTCAATAACTGCCACAATCCGTCTAATTTCATCAGTATTCAAAGTTGACAGTGCTGATGAGTGCAATAGAGAAGATCTCTTCATATCTAGTAAAAAACCTTTCTCTTTCTCGTCTATTTAAAATGAGTATGTAACAGCACGGGATGACGACGGTACCGCTCTCGCCCGTATTTTACATTTCTTCCTCTCGCTTTTCTTTTTTGGTATTTCGTATGAATAACGATGATATCGAATATATAACAGAAATGAAAAAGACTTTGCTTTAACTAATAATCAAGTCGATTTGTCACCGAAACATCACAAATACTTCGAGTTTGTGTACGCAGAAAACATTTCTCATACACAACGACGAACAAATCAGAAAGCACGTTGCATTCGTTAGAATTATCATAATATTTTATTAGTTTCAAGATGAAAAACGTCTTAAAATAACTTCGAATGAATATTATTTACTTCGATTTTCTCGTTTCTTCTTTTATTATCGTTGAATGCATATCGCTTTTCATGAAGTATTTGATCTATTTAATACTTGAGATTTACATACGTTGATAATTGTTCTAATAGTTATTTTTTCGATGCATACTGAAAGCAAATTTTCCTTTCGCTGAATTGGTCTTGTGAAGAAAATCTTACGAAAAGAACGAGATTTACGTGGCAAAGAATAATTTGTGAGCAAACAGTGATCAATGAAACTATCCGAATTATTTGTATTGTTCAGTGAACTCTGAATGAGAGTTCTCCTTCAAGTTTATCTTGCGATTTCGAATATTGTCAAACTGATATCATAAATCATTTGGAGTAGTATCTCTTATTCAATAAAACATCGCATTGAGAATGCAAAAGAAAAGACTACAAAACTAACTTTGCATTATCTTTCTTTTTTCTCGTGGAACAATTTAGAAGTTTAACGTTTTTTTTTTTCTTCTTGTTATTTTGATTTCATTGTATACATGCCCGAAAGCATCTTATTCATCTTCCAGGCAGAACGTAAAGTAATCAAGCGAATTGATGTTTCATTTCCATTTCATCTGAAGCTTTCTTTCTTTTTTTTTTCTTCTCTCTTGTCACAACACTTTCATTGACTTTTGCTTATCCTTTCAATATGCTATCTGCAAAACAAGCCTTTCTCATTCTTGAAGAATCGTGGAAAGAAAGATGAAGAGAGAGAAAGAAAAAAACATTGTATAAACATGAAATTTAAATCAAACTCTATTTGTTTCCTTTGAATATAAATACATCTGATGCATTCGAGCGAACACAGCATGCGAAAGAAGACGATGACGAAGAAGAAGAAGAAGAAGAAAATTGAGTAAAGAAGTTTGTCAAGTGCTTCCATCATCAATGTGTATGTGCGAGAGTAACGCAAACGAACTACCTTCTTCTTTTCTATTCATTCAAATTCGTGTGCACACATACATAAATGCACGCCGGGCAGGTATACTTGGGAACGAGAAAGAGAGCGAAAGAGAGAGAGAGCGCGCATACAATCATCCTCGGTCACGACGACGCGATGGGGATTTTCGTTTTCGCATCACCAGCGAAGAAGAACAGAACATAAAGAGAGAGAACGGAGATGGCAGTGGTAGTTTAAAGCAAAATTGATCAGCAGCAACCTGTAAACAGAAGAAGAGAAGAGAAAATGCCATCAACATCACTACCTTATATGATGACAACTTAAACGAAACATACATACATTCGCACACGCACGTACATTTGCACAGCGTACATACACACACACGCACAGAATAGTAGAAGTAAAAGACATCGATGCGACTGAAAACGAAAGCAGCCAAACGTCTTTTAACGTCATCCCCGCCACCACCATCAGCATCCTCACCGTCCGCTTCCGTTCAATCCGGTAAGTTGAGATGTGCTAATTGACAGGAACAAATCTTATTTGATAATTATTTAAATACATATCATCCTAATCCTCTCATTGTTGTTATTGATGGTCCAAATCACGATGAACAAACATCATCACTACACCTACACTTCCTTTTTAATACATATGCGAGTCGTTTGATTTTCATCTTTCAAATTTCCGAGACAATAGATGTGCGATCGTTTTCGATAACATAAGAACACCGAATTAAGGCATATAAAAGACGAATATTATCTTGAACATGAAACATGTAATATGATTCTTTGTCAGTCAGTTTTATCTCATATACATACTTCAGTTAATAGAGCCTATTATCTGTCTGGGATGCGGCTGATGATGATTATAAAGAGAGAAAAAAAAATGGACAAATATTGACCCGTGTAGGTGTGTGCGTTTAACAAAAAAAAATTCGAGATGTACAGATCGAAAACTTATCTCTTCCTTTCTCTTTACCTCGCGTTTGTTGTCTGAATATTATCTTCATTCTATGTATGTTGATTCAGTTGAGGATTACACACGATCATAAAAAAAGGAGTAGAAAAGAGAAAGACAGCAGTGTCATATTTACGATATCTATCTAGATTCTCTCTCTCCCTCTCTTATGAATGAGGTGACAAGCTCACAGCATGGATAATCATCGTCTGAAAATTGAGTAAAGAGCGAAAAAAGATATAATTACCCTGCGAGCTAGCTCGAACGAAAAGAAAAAGAATGCAAGATTCAACAACGAATTCGCTCAGGTGGAATCATTTGTCTGAAGGAGAGAACGAAAGAAATATATTGGCATCTCTCTTCTCAAGTTATATTCAGGTAGGAGAAGCGAGAGAAGAAAAAGAACGAGAGAGAGAGAGAGACGGACAGACAGAGAAAAAAGATAAAATTCATTCAACGACAATTTCATGTCTTCTCATTTGAATGAGAACAAGGCAAGCATGTCAAGTAAGTCATCAGGTAGCAAGCTGAGGCACCAAATGGATGAGACATATACTCATTATCATTTTTATTTCTCTGAAACATGCAGCAAGAGAAAAGTGGATGATATGTATGGATCGAACGAATTGACGGATAATGATATCGTTTCTGATGTGTGAAATTGAATTTTATCCATTTAGAACAAGCAACGATTATTAATAAATCAAATAATCTTCAATTGACAAATGAAAATGCAGACGACGAACAGCACACTAAACGAATTCTAATGCGATGCACAAATCAAGATGAAGAAGGTAGAGAAGAGGAGAAAAATCGACCAAGTTTGATCTGTGCATGCTTATCATATTCTTTTCTCTTTTGAATATTCTAGCACTCGAAGAATCAATAATAAATAATCATTTATTAATGGAACCTGATGAAAATGAACAAGATAATCAGACACAAAGGTAAGAGAAAAGATTCAGTCATCTTCGCCATTGGATACAGATTGTTATTCTTGTTAGTGAAAGAAAAAACTGTTAATTAGAATATTGGATTGTTGGTAATATTATTGTATAACGAGAGAAATGATGCCTTGAGCACAGAAGTGAAAACAATAATGTTATTCTGTTGAATTTTAATATACTGAAGAGAAAGACAGTGTGCATATGCGTGTCTCTTTCTTTCTTTCTTTCTACTTCTAATTCATATTTAATCAGTCAAACTTTAATTTAAAAGAATGTATGTCGTCGTTGTTAGAAGACGACAACTTCCGGTGAGGAAGAAATCTATTTGAGTATCTATTTTAGAATGTACGAACCTATAAATAATCATCAAAATACATCCAATTCAAGCGAAGCAAGCGAATGTGAAAATCGGTTGTATACGTGTAATGATTGTGGCAAAGGATTTCAGACATCATCGGGTTTGAAACAACATCGAAATATTCATTCGAGTGTTAAGCCTTGGAAATGTGAGGTACGGAGAGGTTTTTTTTCTCTTTAGAGATAGACAGAGTATATCTGTCATTGGTATTCTTTTAGTTTTGTACGAAATCTTACACTCAATTTTCGAATCTTTGCCGTCATAAACGATCACATGCTAATGTGAAAGCACAAATTGAATGCAAAGATTGTCGACAAGCTTTTCAAAGTCCTGTTGCTTTAAATAAACATCGGTAAGTGAACTTTTGTTGTTTTGTTTTCTTTTTCGATAGACAAATTCTCTTCGTAGAAGTTCGTGCAAAGAACGAAATGGAATTATAACTCCGGATCTGTCTTCTCTATTGCCTTTCATGAAAAGTGTCTGCACACCACCACCACCACCGGCAGCAGTACCACCGTCGCCTTTGCAGTTGCTATCTGCATCAAGAAAGAAGGTTGAGGAACCTATTGATTTATCAAAAGCATTGAAACGTTCGCGACAATCTTCTTTTGATCAACCAATCGATTATTCAATTGTGAATAAGAAGATCGATGTCAATTACCAACGTATTTCTCACGTTTTTGGGAATAATCACGAAAAGAAGTTTAAAAAAGAAGATAACAATGAAGAAGATGATGATGACGATAATGAAGAAGATCAACGTCAGCGATTATTATCCTTAGTGAAAAAACAAATCAAAGATTACGATGAGCATCGACCATTGACACCCGTTTCCTCCTCGTCAAGTCCACCGAATACGTCAGTATTCGAGAAGAAGTTTCTAACTAATGACCTTCTACCAACACCGACAATGAGTATTCGCAATCGAGATCGATACTGCTGTTCATATTGTTCAAAAACATTTCCACGAAGTGCCAATCTGACTCGACATCTACGAACTCATACAGATAAGTATATCTCATAATCACATTCATTCGTTCGATATTTTGAGTTCTCTAAATTCGATAAAATATGTTCGGAAATTCTAATCAGATGTTTTTTTTTCTTTTTCTTTTTCACGAGAACAACCGTACGTCTGCAAGTTTTGCAATCGAAGCTTTTCCATTTCGTCGAACTTACAACGACATATTCGAAATATTCACAAACGTGAGCGACCATTCCGCTGTACGCATTGTGATAAATGTTTTGGTCAACAAACCAATCTCGATCGACACATGAAGAAACATTTGTCTCAATCATCTGTAATGCTATCACTCATAGATTCCACATCGACTATGCCACTGATACCTTCGACATCATTATTTCATTCACAGTCTAACATCGATGAAAATCTACCACAGAATTCTACGGACGAGGACGATTCAAGTGGATTATCAGATGACGATGAGGACGAAGAGGACGAAGGCGAAGAAGAACTCGATGAAGACGATGAAGATTTAGAAAGTAACTCCTTATCAATCGATCAAACAAATGAATCCATTCACCAAGCGATATCAACCTTAGCTTAACTTGTTCATTTCTTACATTCCATGATTTTCTTTCTTGTCTTAGCTGTGATTTGCCATGAAATGAAACTGATTCACATCATATATATTTTTTATCTTCCGGTCTCAATTTGATATGTGTATCTGAATATCATGATGACAAAATTTATTGTATATGTGTGTGCGCGTGTCTTACTCTACTCATTGCTTTTGTTTCATTCGTTTTTTTTTAGTTTTATTGTCTCTTATCCTCAGGCCACTATTGACATGTTGGAGAATGATGATCTGTAAAGACAAAAATGGATAGAGAACGTCTTTTTTTCTCTGTTTTTTTTTGCGTTCGATTTTGTTTTGCTACTCATGATTAAACTGAATATATATATATATACTATCGTTTGTTTATTTACCGAACGAATACGAATATTAACGGAGACGAGATATTTTGCATAATAATTCAATGTGGAATTTTGACGTCGCAGCTATCCACATTTACTCCGAATAGAAAAGAAAACGAGATTAAAATGAATACATTAACAAATACAATACAAAAAAAAAGCGTTGATTAAGAATGATTCTTCTTCTCTGTTTAATATTGACTAGAATGTTGATGAAGTCAAAAGTCTTATTATTTGTTTGTCATTTGGAAAACATTCGATGCCGCCATTAGGTTTTCGATATATTGTCCTAAAACTTGATTTTCTGAACGTAATTTGAAGTTTTCTTCTTTGACATTATCAACGCGATGCGAAAGATCGTCAAGAGTTTTTTGCAATGTCAACACTTGATTGATCAAACGTTGTTTTTCTTCTTCTTCTTCGGAATTATAATTCAAGTCGTATGATGTACGCGAATGCGTTGACAAGGAGTCAGGATCACTCTCAATGTTATTATTAATACCGTTATTGTTAATGATCGCTGCAGCCATGGAATTTGGATCGTTGTCCGGAGTTTGTGCCATGAGATGACGAGTTGATGTTGATCGATCAAATGAATGACAATGAGAGTATATGAATTGACTGGTAAACAGTTATTGAAAACAAGCAATCCCGAAGGGAAAGAAAGTCAAGTGTACATTTGCATTGAAATCAATTCGTAAAATTCAGAGAAAATATTTCTGTACGTTTATACTCAAAAAGAAAATCAAACTGATGTGAATTGAGAAAATTTTCTCGCGACATCTATCGATCATCATCATCATTAGAAAGGCTTTGTTATAGTTACAAGAATTGTCAATGGCAATATGTTTGAGTTGTTTTACTTTTTATCATCAGCTGAAATTTTTCTAACAAACTTGTACGTCTAACAGCTATGGCCAAATTAGTGACACGTCCACAACGTTTTACACCTGAAGAATGGAAATTAGCATCGAAGGTTAAGCACAAGAACACAGAGCGAGATCGAGCTGCTGCTGAACGACTCATTCTCGAATGTGATCGATTAGATCAAGAAGGCCGTGGTACGGTGGAACGAACATTAGCCGATGTTAACAAGAAATTAGGTAAACTTCTTGTTCGAGAGATGATTTTTGTCGCGAGAGAGTAGAATCACACAATGAGTAGAATAATATTAGAGTCAACGGAAAAATGGCTACTGCTCGGAAGGAAAAAGCCCACATTTTTCTGTGAGTAGTAGGCGCCGGTAGAGATGACAATAGTCAGCACATTGTACTCAGTTGTGTTAAAGATCGGTCAATAGGTTTTTGTTACTTCATTCATTTCCTGACCTTGAAGTTCGGAAGTAACTATGTTTATAGTGAATGCGATCGAACGAGTTAGTGTAAATATTCTATTTCAGACACGGTATCGCACTGTATTTGACCTTTTCATTGTTTTTCATTCCTGTTTGTTATATATTCCCGCGTTTTGCACATCACAGAAAAGTTCTAGCTTAATTAGAAAAAAGCATTCGATTTCAATTACATACAACAATAAAAATAACTTAAGATGTTTGAAAGATTAATACTAAATTTGATGAATTAATGAATTGCATAGACTCGTAATGGTCTTTTCGAGATGGCCGTTAGGATGCTATAATTTCGAAGGATAGACCGCCAACAGGAAAAATAATTATTCGAATATTTAATCGACTAAATGTCTTTAATTTGTCGACAGTCTGTTTTTTTTCTCTTTATGACTAGTTATGATAGCAGATGATCTCAAGGTCATTTATTTGTACTTGTTCGCCTATTTTGTTTTCATAGACCAACGTTTGGACCATGTTAAGAATTGGAAGGGCGAACTTGAAGTAAAACGAGGCGAATTGGAAAAAGAAATCGATGCAACCGAAACTTATCTTGTACGAGTGGAAAAATCTCTTCAATCACTTCAAGATAACTTACACCTCGCTCAAACAACTTTAGCCAATCGGTAAATGAAAGCGTGAATGAATTCATCCTATGCCTCGTTGTTCTTCTTCTAGAGAAAAACGTTATGATATTGATTTAGTTCATGATGATGTTCAAAAGGATTTAATTATGGAAATCTCAGCTATCCAAGGAGCCATTGCTTTATTAACACGTACAATTGAACAAATCAAAGAACAACTGAGGTAATAGTTCATCTTTGAAACTAAACTAGATAGTGTTTGCTTTGTTCAAGTAACTAATTTGATGAATTAACTAGAAAATAGTTCTTCACTATGAAACAAAAAATCAGAGCACACGCATATGTATATATGTATATGTATATATTTGTAACGGACTAGTGTGAAGATCATTTCATCATTTTTTCCTTTTAATCTTTTGTCGACGTTCACGTAAGATTTCAGTAATTTCATCTACACTTGGTTTTGTTGGAGGCGGAGGCGGAGGCATTGGGAGAAAAGAACTTCGTGTTGCTGTGTCGACTTGTTCAACAATAGATCCAGTCGGTGAGCGTTGAGGCCCTGACGAAGTCATTAATGAACGTCGACGAGTAGGCGTTGGCGCTACAAGTAATTTCGGCGCATTTTGCAGCGAATCATCTGCAGTTGCAGCTAGACTAGGTAGAAGCATTGTATTAGTGTTATCAGTTGCTGAAAATCCACCACCAAAACTAGCTGCAATTTTTGGATCGGACATCACAGGTAGAAAAAGTAATTTGCCTAAACTTAGTAGGCCCTGGTCAGGACCTAAAGTTGACATCATTTTGGCTAAACCTTCGAGAACGACAGGTTGCTTGGCTTTTTGTTCGTATGAGTTGAATAATTCTTCGATGACATGTGTAACAACGAAGTCGGATGTGTTCGTTTCTAGTAAACGTAAAACGAAAATGCCATCACATTTTAGATAGTTTCGTGCAAAATCTGAATGTGAATCATCGCGATGTAGAAGTGAATCATCATTCAGCGTTTGGGAGGGTCGTCCTTGTTCTTCGGTGTTCGTCAGAGATTTTCTTAAATGCCGTATTAGGATTAATTTTAATCGTGTGGTTACATATTTGATTCGTACAGGACGAATGAATGAATATGACCATGTAAATAAGGAAATTAAGTTTAAAATAACAATCATTGTATACCAAAAAAATAAAAACGTAAACAATTGTTCGAATAGGAGATTATTTGGTAAGACACATTCGACGGTGTAACGATGGGAATTGTGTAGATGATTAGGTTCTCGCACTCTATTTCAGAATTAGCGAATATCAAACAAACGGAATATATTCGTAAAGAATTGACTTACTCGAAATCGCACAGTGTCACTTTTGGGAAATATTTCGAAAGGCCACCTTGCTGTCGATAGGATTGTTGCAACGGTTCATTTTGTATGAGTAAAATCAGTTTTTGGACTAGTTCTAAGCCGTAACGATAATACTTAATTCCAAGCATTTCATTAAATAATGCTAATTGGCCAATTGAATTAATGACATAGAGTACTTTTGTTAATAGGTAAACCATCATAAAATAATTGCCTTGAAATTTACCGTACATACAACAGAAAACAGCTTGTATACGTTTTAAGATACTCAAATTTCGATTTTCTCTTCCACGACGAGGATCGTCGATAAATTCATCGATTGACGCGATGATATAATCCATAATTTTGCGTCGTTTGTCCATTCGATCGATGGATTTATAACTTTTTCCCGCCTCGATGATATCTTTCAGATCCAGACCACTCCGAGTCATTAACGATTGCCAAATCAGATTTGGAATGTAGAAGAGAATGCTACAAAATATTTGTGAGAAAAGCAAACATGAGCAATTATTGACTATCTCTCTCTTTACCTAAGAAAACATAGAATAAACGGTATCCATTGGTAGTAGAGTAACTGTAAACTTTGTCGTTCGGGACCTGTTCGGGGAATTTTCTGTGTTTGATTTACATAATAAGTATTGGTAATATAACATATATGATTCGTGTAATCTTCATAACCGGATGTAAACAGAGCTGGAACCCAACCTAAGAAAGGAAAAAACACAGAAAGTTCGAGGAAAGGAAAGATCAAGGAATTAATTTTACATTGAATTTGTTTGGAACTAAATTGTCGGTTAGTAACAATGGCGGAGAACACGTTGAGAAGAATAACTGTATAACGATAATTAAGACGATCAACGAAATCATCTGGATCAGCTTGAGGCGCCTGATTTTGACCAGCAAGACTCGGAATGCCCTTCAATAAGAGAAATGCCATACGTTAACAATATCAATCGATCGACCATCATGCTTTTTTAGCTGATTAGAATATTGTCGTGATCTTCATGATCATATTCCATGGTTGACAAAATCGTTGGGGTTCCTTTTCTTCTCTTTTGTTAGTCAATCTAGAAGAGAGAGAAAAAAAAAGAAAACAAAAAATTTGATCGAGGTAGACTTTGAAAGGATCGATGAGAGAGAAAAACATTTGCGTCTATGTACATATGTCTATCTACGTACATCGAGTAGAATGATAATGATCACAAGGCTGATGCTGTTGTTCGCATCATCGAGATCTACGATTGTAAGAAGTTCGTCAACGGTCTCTTTACATTTATCACAAATACAAACGCATAAATACTCATCTATAATTGTCAAAAAGCTTGTTTGATGACAATCACAACAGATAAAAGAATTGGATTTTTTTGTCTGTATATTTANTGTGTTGAAAGTCGTTCGCATGACTTCCTGTCTCTTATTCATTCTCTCATCTTCGCCTATGATCGATTCCGGCGATGCCTGTCTGTATCTTCGTTCCTTTTCTTTTCGAGAAAATTGAATCGAGCAAAAAAAAAATAATAATTGTGTTCTGTTGTTTTTATTTAGATTGATGCGTAAATCCCGCTATTTACTTGATCGAGATTTGAAAGATAAATTTGCTGCTCAAACAATCGATGAACACGCAATTGATTTAAGTGTAACAAGTCCATCACTTTATCTGAAAGAAGGTGTTGCCAATATCGATCCTCGGTATGTCAATATTGATTTGTGTATACAGATAGAAGGAATTCTTTCTTCTCTCGAGCCTGAAAACTTTTTAGTTGATGGAGAATAATGCCCTTGGGTGTATGTATTCCAGCAGTAAAACATGACTGTCTGCTAGTCATTAGAATTCTTCCGATGAAAAGATCTTCTTTCTTTCTTTTTCTTTCTTCCTCCTTTTCTCTCTTTCTTAAATGAGATTAGATAAGATTTCACGAACCAGCTGAGTCATTGTAGGAGTTTTTAAATACTCTGATTTCTTTAGTTCGGTTTCGGAACCTTTTTGGGAAGATTATACTGATAAAAACATCAAGAATGCCGAAGCACAACGACTCAACGCTGTTCAATTACGTAATGTCACCGATGGTATTTTGAAGAAACTCGTTGCTGATATGAAACAGGCCGTGGAAAAGACACGTCGTTCATTCGATCGACGCATCTTCGAATCGAAACAAGCGAAACAAAAACTCGAAGATCAATTACGTGATGTAAGCGATGAAAAAGCCAAGAAAACAACAGTGATTCAATCGGATTCTTTTGCTTTCAGGTTAATCTCCTCATCGATCAATTGGAGGAAAGTATTAAAAATACAGAGAAAGCCATTCGTGATAAGGAACAATACTTGAAATTGGCTCATACGCGTCTTGACACGCGAAATAAACGTGCCAACGTTGAGCTCGTCTATGATCCTGCACAGAAACGTCTTATCGAAGAAATCCGAGAAATTGAATGTGAAATACAACGACTTCAAGAACGGTATGTAAAAAGAGATAATCATCGTTTCGATTTCCTTGATCTTATGAATACATATATAAGAAAAACAAGAAGATTAAGAGAAGGTGGAGAAACGGAAATGTCAATAGAAGAATTGAAGCACGATCTTGATAGAGATATCCGATTTCTTTTCATCATCATTATTAATGCTTGTTGCATTTTTCTTCTGATGATATTTTTAGGTTGGATGAATCCCACGTTCGTCTTCGCAACTTAGACCGTGATAAATTAATCTTAGAAAAAGATATCGAAACCAAAACCAATACGATCTTTGTCGATGAAGTCGAATGTCATGAAGGTTTAAGAAAATCCATTTTAATCGAAGATTGGTAAATATCTGTCGTACAATCATCCATCCATTCGATCATTATTAAAACGCACACTGAAACATTCCAGAAAATTATTTTATTCTTTTGTGATTTTCTTTTCTTGATCAATAAAATCTATCATTTACACAATCTCCGACAATTCATTTTCAATGATTAGTTTAACGTAAATTTTCGCCGCAGTATATTGCCCAACGCAGACAAAACTATGCACTACATATTCCGATGGTAATAAGCATGCGACAACTGTGAAAATTCTAATAATATAAATAGAAAGAATCATAATAGAATATGCTTGACTAAACAAACAATTTCATTAGAGTTTATCTAATCATTCTTTTGAAGGATATTTACATTACCAAGAATCGCATCTTCAAACAACCGTTTTCCCATTGAATAAACTACAAAAGACTAGGCATCCATAAAGAATACAGCTCTGTGGACCGATAAAAAGCGTTGCATATTTCTCATCCGGAGACCGTATGTAAGTCGCATTGTTATTCGAACCTCAGGAATCACCTGTTGTCCTACTTCTTATTCGAAATGGCATTGTTTTATAAACATTTCTAGCATCACTTTAGCTTCCAAGAGAGCAAATTTTTGACCGATACGATTTCTCGGTCCGACAGCAAATAGCAAAAAGGATGCGCTAATTTAGGTTTTTAATCAGTAGTAGGATCACGTAATCATCGCGTGTAATCAAATACAGTCGGTTGTGGCCAATATTCAGCTCGTCAACGAATCGCATAGGCATTTGCAAGAATTGTCAGCCCTTTTGGTATTCGTAATAGACGTTCGCTTGTCTTGCCGATTATTTGTTCTTTGATACATTGACGAGCGAAGAAGGGTGCTGGCAGATGCAAGCGAAGTGTTTCTTGTGAGACCATTTCGATGATTGGTGGTTGATTCAGTTGTACGTAGGTTAGTGGAAGACCATACGATAAAACTCGATCGACTTCATCTTGGCAGTCATGACAGACAGTTGAATTAATCACTAATTCATACGTAATCCAAGACATTAAATTACTTGTCGTTTCGTGACCTGCGAGAATGAATGTTAATGCTTGATCGCGAATTTCGTGATCTGTAAATCCTTGATTTTTGTTGTCAACAGCAGAAAGAAGAAGATCAGCATTGACACATTCACTTTATGATCGACCTTGACGACGATCGTAGATAATTTTCTGGACGAATCTATCTGATTTTTGTGCATTCTGATCAATAGTATCCTTTTTTTGCAGAAGAATAACTGTGAAAGTATAGGAATAAAGACGGGCAATCGCGCAGAACAATAAGCGAGAGCTTTAAGAACGTTCACGCGATCAGATTTTAACTATTTGAATCACTTCCAAAATCTGTTCCAAGTGTGTTTGAGACAATGATCGATAATGTTAACTTGTTCAAATAATTCGTTATGTTAGCAACGAAAGAATATTCAAGACAAGTATCGATCGTTTTCTGTGTATGTTCAATCATAATTGATATCATCGATTGAAGATTATCAAAATGAAATGCCGGATTAAGCATCTTCCGTGCACGCTCATGTTCCTTGTCATTACTATGAAAAAGATTCTGTGTACCAATTAATAGTTTCAGTCGAAAACTAGAATCAACTGGTTGGTAAAAACGTTCGGCTTGTACTCGTCCGAGGATGTCACTTAGATTTTCTAGATCTTGGATAACAAGACGAAGATGCTGACCTAAATTAAAAAAATAAATCAATCCATGTTTTGTCATCATCCTATGATATTCTAATAATTGATCTTCTTCACGGTAACGATGTAATTCAGATGTTTGGCCGACGAGAGGAATGAATAGTTCCTCTGACACGTCTTGTTTCCGAAGGATATCATAGATATACTTTGATGGATGGATAACTTTCCAATAGACAATCAAAATAACGAAAACTACAAAGACATAATGTAAACAGCATGATATTCAAAAATAATCTATGTCCGTAAAAGCGAAATCATTCACAGTGCTTACAGGTGTTCTACCTTTTAGCCATTAAAAAAGATATATATATATCTTATCAAACTGCTCTGAATTGTACGAAGAGTGTACTGCAAAGGTTTTGCTCTTGATTGAAAAATTCCTATTTGGGAAGACAAAGTGCGTGTTGGTATGGATCGAATTTTTAATACTATATATCGGCATCTGTGTCCACTGGATCAGTAGAATTGCTGGCGAAGAATAAAGCTATGTCATCATTTTCACATAAGAGTTGATATTAATGCTCTTGATATTGTTGGTCATTTAGCGATTCTTCGTATACATAGAACAAATGTGAAACTAAATAAGGAGCATGATTATGTTCAAAATCTATGATACTAAAAATTCGAGAAGAAGTGCAAGAATCGTTAACATATTAACTGTTGTTTAAGATAATTTTCGATTCGCATTTATTCCATAAATCCATCAGCTCAATATGATATAATTGTTAGAGAAGTTAAAACGACATGGAATGATATCGTTGGTTCAGAAAATGTTAAAGGACTTATTCCAATCACGCGGTATTGTGCTGTACGGATCATCTGGTTGTAGCCAGTTATCATTAGTAGTTCATATTGTGAAAAAAAACATATTTGCCTATTGGTTTTCATTATTCTAGCGTAGCATTTCTAGAAAAAACTTTTGCTAATGAATTTGAAGGGTTGTCTTCTCATGAAAAACGTGGTTTCATTAATAATTTATTTATTTTATTTCAAAATATTTGACTAGGTGAGCAATGTCATTCAATTTTATGTCTTTCTCTTGCCTAGAGATTATATGACCTTTCTCTATCTTCCTGTGTTTGCTCGACGGAAGAGAAAGAAAGAGAGAGAGAGAAGAAAAGAGAGACACTATCTATAGATGACCTGTTAAGCAAAAGGTATGACCGTCGTTATTCTCTCAAAAGAAGAGGAAAAGTTCAGTTACCTGTTGAATGGTGTGTCACTAGAAAAGAAATAGCTATATGATACGACTGATTCTATTAGGAACCTTTTTTGTTTTGTTAACAAACAAACGACAGCTTGATGCAGGTAAATAATTGATTGTTAAAAAATTAACTTTGTTTGAAGAGAAAACTTCATCGATTGTTTTTAGCTCGAGAACTCTATGGTCAATCATCAGGTCGAATTCGTTCATCGAATTTGAACACCGATCTTCTTAATACCGGAGCCAATGCTCTGAAAGCCTTTTATAAACAACAATACCAACAGGTTCGTGCTCGTGAGCGTTCTTCAACGTATGTTCAATCACGTCGTTTCCATCCTGATCAATATGCTCGTGACACACGTGATCTTGGCCAGCCATCGTCCTTTATGTTGCCAATATCTTCTTCATATTATTATACCTACGGTGGACCAGGAACAGCTCTGGTTTCTACCAATCAAGAAGCATGTCGTCTGACGGACAGTTTCTGTGCTCGAGATTATCAATGCTGTTCGGGTAAATGTCGATGTGTGAGATGGACAGTTATGGGTAAAATGTCGTGTTATAAAAAATGTTTTTAAAAATAAAGAATAAAATTTTATTTGTAAATGCTAGAGCAATCAGTTGTCTCAGTTTTTCATTCCTGTCGCTGGAAGTTTTGGTAAGCCAAATTCATCTACGCCGACACCATTCTAGTTGAAAGCGACCAATAGATATCAAAATAAGAAACAAAAGATGAAGACAAACCTGGGTCGTCGTCGATGCAGTTGTAGAACCTGCATCAATCGGTTGAACTGGCACACTAGGTGCATGTAAATCATTGAACATAGCATTTGATTCTATACCATATTCAGCTTCAGCAAGACCGGCTAATTCTTTAGAAAGGATAGAAACAGTTTATTCAGTGTATGGATTTCTTTTCTTTCATACCATTCTCAAGATCTGCGTCAGTCATATAGGTATCTTGACCAATAGGTCGACTAAACATATCGTTCATTTCTTCTTGATCAAGAAGTTGATCATCAAGTTCATCCATGAGCGTCTATAAGTAGCGATGAATAACTGACTATAAATTATGCGTGAAATATCTTTGCACTTTAGGCCCACTCGTTTCACTTAATTTGGGTGTTAAAATCTTATCGAAGTGTTATTTTATGAGTGTAAATCATTTTTTATGATCAAATCTTTGCCTAGTAGAAGTGTTATCAAACAACTATAAATAACTTTCTGAATGGTTGCTAATGTATTTATAGGAATAAGATGTAGTTTGTCTATCAGATCATTCTTTTTCTTATCTTATTCAAAACGGATTTTAGTACATACCTCGACTTTATCGATTTTCAAATCTTTATAACCTTTGGCTAACTGCGTTTTCGCATCTCTCAATCCGTTGTACTAAAAAACAATCATAGAAATACAATACTCAAATTGCATCGAAGTATTCCTACCATCTGCTTTTGCGTTTCAATATTGCTAACAGCAAAAGCTGTGGCACCGATATTGGAAGCTTGTCCTTCCAATGTCATTCGTTGTCTTTCATATCTAAACTTATCAATTGAATTAGGCACACCTATTAACCAGAAATATCATACAGTTTCTTCTTATTCAGAAGTGCCATTGCACGTGCTTTTTGACTGGCCTGCAAGCAGATAAATTTGAACTGAGAATGATTAAATCAACAATCACGAACTTTTTTTGATGGAGGTAATCGACTATAAGCTTGCAATTCTAAAGAAAAATATTTACAATGACCATGGTTGTTTATTTTTCGGATTAACCTTGTTCAACGGAAGCGATTTGCTTATTGATCGTTTCTACTCGCAGGTCGATGGTTGCTGCAGTGTCGTTCAAAGTGGGCTTAGGTGCCGCATTAGATTTCGAATGTCCAAAAAGTCGATTCATTTTGATAATCACACAAAAAATGTTAACGTCAATGTCTGTATGCGATAAACTAGCAAGGTAAAAGAAGAATTGTTGACTTATATGCAAGAAAATGATTCATTAAGCTTTATCAATGTTGGAGAGAGGTCGCTGAGAAGTCTCTTTGCACGATAAAAAGATTATTCATCTAGCTTTTTTTATCTTATACTTTGTTGCAATTGTAAATTAAACAAAAAAAAACATCAGAGCTCATCAATATTCGATTTATTCGACTAGTAAATACGAACGTTTAACAACGAAAACATCGGATCGTTAACAATGACTAGAATAAATAAGTTTGAAAAAAATAATATTTATGCAATCATTCGATGGATGATGAGCAAAAATAATCGTCTGACTATTGTATCAGTCAAGCTTGACCACCGATTGATAGAAAATACTCGTTCTTGAACAGAAAAATAGTGCGTACCATGTGAGTAATTTCTAGTTATTCTAAATGCGTGGTCATTTAGCAATATCCGGCGGGGGCATGCGTGCTAAACGGATCCACCCATTTTCAGAATGACTGAATTCCATTAGTCAGTTCGTGTTAAATAAATACATCGAGTGTTATTTGGTGATGTTTTCTTTCTTCTTGAGTTTTGTATTTTTATAAATGATCAAATTGAATCTCACGTTCCGTTTTCGTCGACGAAAACAGAAAGAGTGTAGCTGTATTTTTTGCACAGTTCTTTAATTTACCATTGATTGACGACAACAGAAGAAAAAAAAACGGTTGTTTACTTTTCGTTTTAGTTTAAATATTATTACTGGTTACATAAAATTGGAAGACTGTTCGTTGTGTCTACTTAGTGATCAAGCATTGCACAATGGCGACGCAAAAACCAGCACGAGTTGCTCCGAGAAATATTCAATTTAAAGATAATGTGGATATCAGACAAATTCCACGAAATGACGAGGGTGGACAAGGTTTTGATGGGCAAAGTTGGGATCCAAATTTACACAATGTATGTTAAGTTTTTCGCTTATCGTTTCTTTTTGCATAAATCACTCTATTTTTCATTGATTAGAAAGGTGTCTTCAACGATAAACCCAAAAAGCAGAAAAAAGTTGTTATTGCCATTGTTGCAGCTGGTATTACTGTTCTGGCAATTGTAATTGCAGTTGTCGTTGGTGTGGTAGTTAGCCAGAAATGTATACTGATTAGATGATTAATACCTGAACTTCCGCGAACACCTTTTCTTGTATTTTAGCATCGACTGCCAGTGATAACTCGCTTTCATATAATCAAGCGTGCAGCCCAGGTTCAAATCAATGCATTTCATCGAAGGGTCTCTATTGTCCAAATGGATTTTGTGTGTGCAGTTCGAGTACAACGTGGAATCCAACGAATAGTACATGTACGTACGACTTGAACTAGAGTTAAAACATCGGAAGTGCTTATTATAATCTCATGCTGCAGTTTGTAGAGCGTTTTGTAGTCCACATACGGGTTTAGAATATTTTTTTTAGAGATAACCTCTTAGTGAAAAAGTTGTTTTGTTCTGCACATGAAACTAAAAACAGTATGAGAACACAACATAATCAACCTGCATTTTCACAGTAAATCGTCTATATGTCATCTAATTTTAGGTGCCTATTTGAAATATAATAACAGTTGTACATCATCAAGTCAATGTGATTCGTCGTTACAACTTGTTTGTACTAATGGTCTTTGTAAGTGTAATGGCTATTACACTTATAATGCGACAAACAGTGCCTGTGAGCTTGAAATTCGATGCATAAAGTTTTGTGAAATAATTATGAATTTGTTAGGTGCACTAATCCTTAATAACACACTGACGTATGGTGATGCATGCGTATCTGGTTCAAGCCAGTGTAAATCATCAGTTGGCCTTACATGTAGCACTGGTAATTGCACATGTACCGTGACAAAGGCATGGAATGTATCAGCATGTTCATGTCCATCGGGTACATTTCTAAATTCATCAAGTCTTTGTGGTAAGATCTTTTACAAGAATATCTTGAGTCAGATTTAATGTTGATGTTTAGAAACACAGCGTAAATATAACGCGTCATGCGTAGTTGGATCGATGCAATGTGATTCGAATCGAGGTCTTTCTTGTAATAACAGCCAATGTGTATGTGACACAACTAACTATTGGAATTCTAACTTTGAACAATGCTGTAAGAAGAATACTCGGTTCGAGAATCTGAACACACACTTTTTTGTAGATGCACGGCTTAACTATTCCGAAGCCTGCTCATATGACAGTGATTGTATTCCAACATTAAGCTGTCCAACGGTGGCAGGTGTATGTAACTGTTCACGATACTTATCAGATTATACATGTAATTGTGCTAACACTCAATACTTTGATCCAGCTTTGAATCAATGCGGTATGTAGTTCATTTGTACGAAAATCATTTCTCTACTTTCATATCTATTTTAGTCAGTCGCGCTTCGTATGGTGGTTCATGTACAGCATCACTTAATTATACATGTCTTTTATCGCTTCAATGTCCTTCGGGAACATGTAATTGCCCGACAGGTACAAGTTGGAATGCCACAGCCACAGTTTGCAAATAGTAACTAGAAAAAAAATGATGATTGATTTCTTTTTTTGACCGCCATATCTGCGAAGCGGATTTTCTACGAATGATTTACATAAAATAATTTATCTTCAATGGTTGTATAGATACTTGTTTGCATTTTCACTAATGCTAGATGACAAAATAGTTTTGAAAGTTGTGAAAATTTCCTAGGAATGTCATTGCCCTCCGGTAAAGTTTCAGTAGACTACGTAATATGTCATCTAAATTTAGGTTGTTTTGAACGTTCTGTGTGGCCCGAAGTGAAGTCGCTCATAGAATGATGATTTCATCAATATTCCATTATTATTTTTCAGCAGTAAATGCAAGCCCGTGCGCACGCACATACACACAAAATGTTTTGCTCGAAAAGGAAGAAATCAAACAAAAGACAAAGAAAGAGAGAGCGAGAGAGAGAAAACCTCGAATGATAATCGATTAAAAATGTTCCATTCGGAAGATCTGATTTTACAAAACAAAACTTTGATAAAACAAAAAGAAAATAAAAATAAAAATTCTTTTCTGTTACGTATGTCGCTCATAGAATAGCACATAAGCATTTGATGATATTATTCGAGATTTTTCATTTAGAGTGCTAACTGATGAATCATTAAATTCATGCCACTGATTCGTAAATGGATGTTTACATTGGGCAATGTAGTGACCAGAGTACGCTGTACCACTATGATTGGATACACCGAATAGATTGTAAACTGGAGGAGGTCCTGAAAACAGATTGTTCTTTTGTGTGTGAATGAATATGAGAGGAAAGCCGTACCTTCGTAGCTTTCAGACATCACATCAGACAGTTCGTCAAGTCGGAGATTAGTGATTGGAAAATCAACGTAGGTGCTTAGCTTCGTTCGACCACGAGCTTGTGAAAAACGTTTTAGATGAAGAACGAGGATGTTTGGACATCTTTGTATGGAGAATTTCTTCGTACACCGTCGTTTTTGTTTGCATCTTGCGCACATCTAAATATTTTCTATTGAATCGAAATAACCGAACATTCTCTACACTTTACCGGCTTCTCATTTCCATCTAGATCTTCTCTACTCATAAACAATTGTATACATTCTTGTACACTACTTGATGATTTGTTCTAAATTACCAAAGATCTCTAGTCGCATGCCGTTCGGAAAAGACTGTCCTACTCGTGGTAATGGAATGGATAAATCCCAAAACATATCAAAAGTTATGGATTGATATTGGCAATGAGTACACTCGAGAGTACTTTTTAGTTGTCCGGCAAAAATATCTATAGAAGAAAGCCATCGAAATAACGCTTAGTTGAAGATGAAAAATAGTATACAAACCGGCAATATCACTGTTGTCGTATGATAAACAACGTTCCCAACTGAATTTTGCACGATCTCTTTCCCTAAAACAATTCGAAGAATCTCATTTCGTATAAAGACAAATGTTTTGATCCTTACGGCATTCTTTCTTCTGCTTTTTCATCGATTTTTATCGGATCCGGTTTTCGTTGTACTCGATTAACATCTTCATGGAGTCCTTGTAAAAGATAGCGTAAAAATTCTTGAGAGTCTTGTTGTCTGAAAAATAGAACGACACTTCTTGTTGGAGAAAAAAATTATTCAGCAGATATTCATCTGAAACGTACGCATAACCGAGAAAACGTGGAGCAAACCGTCCAACTGTATTTTTGAACGATGATGGACTAACAACTGAATGTCCATCGGACGCAGTCCACATCTTCCGTACCAGATTTGCATACTCTAATTCGTACAGAAGTTTGCTTATCTTATAAAAAAAAGTTCTGTCAAGTGTACCTCGCATTAAAACACCTTTCATGACACTTGTTAACGATGTGTTCAAGTAATCTGCAAGATTTTCTGTCAAACAAAACAACAAAAGTGGTTTGGTATTTGATAAGCATTGAAGCACCGAATTCATGAAACACTAGAATATTATAACAACACTCAATATGAACCATTTGCCAGAAAATGTATAATTACTGTGTTGCCAAGGTTCTGTAAACCAGTTAAACCACCTGATCTTAATCTTGACTCCAGTGTGGATGCTGAACGATGATCGTACGCGGATGTTTTGGCAATTGTTGATGATGCATTGGAGGCACCTGATTCACGACGTTCAGGATAATCATAAGCTGATTCATTTGCTGCAGTGTTCATGTATCGCATATTGTTCGTAGTTGCTGCCGTTGTCGATAACTAAACACAAAGTTGTTTTTTATTTAAATGTTCGATGATTGAATTTCATGTGACGCCCGTACCGATCGATCCTGATTAGATAACATTCGTGACCTAGTCGCATCGTTTGAAGTCCGTCGTTGTACTAAAGAACTTGATGCTGGAATGTGTCTTATCAAAGAATTGCCTCTCTCCATTGAGTTTTGTCTATAGCCGCTCGGTGGTCTTGCTCGCGCGGCTGTGGTGACGTTCATACTACCTGATTGAATAGCTCTTGTTAGTGATCCGACATTGGCGGCATTGTTGATTGCCGGCAATTGACGTGTCATGGATGATGTCCGAGCATTATACATACTCGGTCGTCCGGATGACATTGACACAAACTTTTGTAGTTATGTTCTTTGGTGGCAAATAGCCACCTTTAAGTTTAATACATAAATAGAAATCTAAAATAAAAACAAAGAAGAAGCTTTCTTTTTATTCTTGTCTTTTGTTTTATTCTTTTTTTTCTCAAAAACAATGCAATAGATCGAAAAGCATTTTATTTGAATCGATAACTATGGTATTGCTTGTTTTAAAAGTATGTGTGTGGACGACGTGTTGTAAAGCGTGGATGATGTAAACGTTTCGTTGCCTTGTTGACCATTGGAAATCTAAACATTAATTTTTACTAAATCTTATTCAACGTTTGCTCGTCTCTTACTTGATCTTCGCATCATGAAATTGTGTCACATGTGGTCGGCGGCAATCTTTGGCAGCTAAACGTTTAATTTTCATAATTTGAATTGTTGATGGTCGCGCACGATGTTTGGCACCCATATCTCGATAACATTGAGTAACAGCTAATGCTCGTGTAAGATCGCGGTATTCTCGATACATGTTATGTGTACCTGATCGAGAATCATAACGAAGCCAAATGCCAAAATTCTTGACAGTTAATGGTTTGCGTTCATTAACTAATTTGCATTCGACAATTTCACCAGCACTTTTCTTGACACGCTTGAGTTGACGTAAGAAAAACCAAAAACGAGATTTGGCTTGAACTTCATCAGGTGCATAGATATGCATTTCATAAAGTGGTGGTGTTTTTAAGGTCGCTGAGGGAAGTTTACGACCGATGATACGATATTCTCGAAGATTACCTTTTGCTTTCATGCTGGTTTCAACCGAGATCGATAGAAGATTTATCTATAAATAAACAACTGTGAAATTAAATATAAGATACATAAGTAAATGAAAGNCTGTTGTGTATATGTAGTGCAACGTGTCGATTAGAAATATCCGACTCACATTGACAAGCACGTCCACTATCACTCGCAGAGAAGAAACTGATGAGATGATGACATTTCTGCTATATGGCGCGCGGCAGTGTAGTTTCTTTTGTTCAGCAATTTATTGAAAGCACAGCTGTTTAGCGTGCGCTGCCGTTTTCTATATGTTTATTATGAGATAATAGTAATAATGTTGAGAGAGACACATGCAGAGGAGAGAAACGCCAGGACAAGAGAGAGAATGTAAAACAGTAGGAGAAAAACTACACCAATGATAATCTTACCGATGGCAAATTTTACTTTTTCAAAAACGTACTTTTATGATCCCATTCGAATAGATAATTTATCTCCATTAGCAGTACAAACATAAATGTATATTGTTATTGATGAGACTATTTTTCGCCATACAGAATGTATGAAGAAAAAGCTCCATACTTCTTCTGGTAACCTAAGCTTGAATTCGACCTGTTTGTGTGTCAGTGTATCACGTATAAATACAGAGGAATGGTAATACTTTACTATGTATATGCGTGTGCCAACATCATCTTGCAAATAGCAAATCTGTCCTTTGGTAACATGGAGTCATTTGTTCGACAGTAGCAGAAATGATGCCGAGAAAAATAACAACATAAAACGGTGATGATAATGATGATGATTTCTGGTGCGTCTTAGCTTAAGGTTAAAAAATCAGTTACTATTTAATGTATCTACCCTTCGAAAGGAAAATGTGCGAAGGAAATGTCACCCACAAGTTACAATGAGCAGGTGACGCATGATTTTTCTAGCGTTTTTTTTCTCTCTCTCTCTCTTCTTCGCTAGTCTTTCCTCTCTAAGTGTCGATTGGAATTATGTCCGTATGTGTTGAAAGTCGTTCGCATGACTTCCTGTCTCTTATTCATTCTCTCATCTTCGCCTATGATCGATTCCGGCGATGCCTGCCTGTATCTTCGTTCCTTTTCTTTTCGAGAAAATTGAATCGAGCAAAAAAAAAGATAATAATTGTGTTCTGTTCTTTTTATTTAGATTGATGCGTAAATCCCGCTATTTACTTGATCGAGATTTGAAAGATAAATTTGCTGCTCAAACAATCGATGAACACGCAATTGATTTAAGTGTAACAAGTCCATCGCTTTATCTGAAAGAAGGTGTTGCCAATATCGATCCTCGGTACGTCAATATTGATTTGTGTGTATGCAGATAGAAGGAATTCTTTCTCTCGAGACTGAAAACTTTTTAGTTGATGGAGAATAACGCCCATGGGCGTATGTATTCCAGCAGTAAAACATGACTGTCTGCTAATCATTAGAATTCTTCCGATGAGAAGATCTTCTTTCTTTCTTTTTCTCTCTTCCTCCTTTTTCTCTCTTTCGTAAATGAGATTAGATAAGATTTCACGAACCAGCTGAGGCATTGTAGATTTTTAAATACTCTGATTTCTTCAGTTCGGTTTCGGAACCTTTTTGGGAAGATTACACTGATAAAAACATCAAGAATGCCGAAGCACAACGACTCAACGCTGTTCAATTACGTAATGTCACCGATGGTATTTTGAAGAAACTCGTTGCTGATATGAAACAGGCTGTGGAAAAGACACGTCGTTCATTCGATCGACGCATCTTCGAATCGAAACAAGCGAAACAAAAACTCGAAGATCAATTACGTGATGTAAGCGACGAAAAAGCCAAGGAAACAATAGTGATTCAATCGGATTCTTTTGCTTTCAGGTTAATCTGCTCATCGATCAATTGGAGGAAAGTATTAAAAATACAGAGAAAGCCATTCGTGATAAGGAACAATACTTGAAATTGGCTCATACACGTCTTGACACGCGAAATAAACGTGCCAACGTTGAGCTCGTCTATGATCCTGCACAGAAACGTCTTATCGAAGAAATCCGAGAAATTGAATGTGAAATACAACGACTTCAAGAACGGTATGTAAAAAGAGATAATCATCGTTTCGATTTCCTTGATCTTATGAATACATATATAAGAAAAACAAGAAGATTAAGAGAAGGTGGAGAAACGGAAATGTCAATAGAAGAATTGAAGCACGATCTTGATAGAGATATCCGATTTCTTTTCATCATCATTATTAATGCTTGTTGCATTTTTCTTTTGATGATATTTTTAGGTTGGATGAATCCCATGTTCGTCTTCGCAACTTAGACCGTGATAAATTAATCTTAGAAAAAGATATCGAAACCAAAACCAATACGATCTTTGTCGATGAAGTCGAATGTCACGAAGGTTTAAGAAAATCCATTTTAATCGAAGATTGGTAAATATTCGTCGTACAATCATCCATTCAATCATTATAAAAACGCACACAGAAACATTCCAGAAAATTATTTTATTCTTTTGTGATTTTCTTTTCTTGATCAATAAAATCTATCATTTACACAGTCTCCGACAATTCGTTTTCAATGATTAGTTTAATGCAAATTTTCGCCGCAGTATATCGCTCGACGAAGACACAACTATGCACTACATATTCCGATGGTAATAAGCATGCGACAACTGTGAAAATTCTAATAATATATATATAGAAAGAATCGTAATAGAATATGCTTGACTAAACAAACAATTTCATTAGAGTTTATCTAATCATTCTTTTGAAGAATATTTACATTACCAAGAATCGCATCTTCAAACAATAGTTTTTCCATTGAATAAACAACAAAAGACTATGCATACATAAAGAACACAGTTCTATGACCCAATAAAAAGCGTTGCATATTTCTCACTCGGAGATCGTATTTAGGTCGCATTGTTATTCGAACCTCAAGAGTCACTTGTTATCCTACTTCTAATTCGAAATGGCATCATTGTACAAACATTTCTAGCATCACTTTACCTTCTAAGACGGTTCAGCGGCAAATAGCAAAAAAGATGCGCTAATTTAGGTTTTTAACCAGTAGTTGAATCACGTAACCATCGTGTGTAATCAAATACAGTTGATTGTAGCCAATATTCAGCCCGTTGATGAGTTGCATAGGCATTTGTAAGAATTGTCAGCCCTTTCGGGGTTCGTAATTAGACGTTCACTTGTTTTGCCAATTATTTGTTCTTTAATACATTGACGAGTAAAGAAAAGTGCTGGTGGATGCAAGCGAAGTGTTTCTTTTAAGACAGTTTCGATGATTGGCAGTTGATTCAGTTGTGCAAAGGTTAGTGGAAGACCATCTGATAAAACTCGATCGATTCCATTTTAACAGTCACGATAGACAGTTGGATTAATCATGAATTCATACATAACCTAAGCCATTAAATTATTTGTCGTTTCGTGACCTGCGAGAATGAATGTTAATGCTTGATCGCGAATTTCGTGATCTGTAAATCCTTGATTTTGGTTGTCAACAGTAGAAAGAAGAAGATCAATATTGACACATTCACTATGCGATCGACCTTGACGACGAGCGTTGATAATTGTCTGGACGAATCTGCTAATTCTTGTGCATCTTGATCAGTAATATTCTTTTTTGCAGAAGAGTAACTGTGAAAGTATAGGAATAAAGACGGACAATCGCGCAAAACAATAAGCGAGAGCTTTGCGAATGTTCGCACGATCAGATCTTAACTATTTGAATCACGTCCAATATCTGTTCCAAGTGTGCTTGAGACAATGATCGATAATGTTAGCAACGAAAGAATATTCAAGACGAGTATCGATCGTTTCCAGTGTATGTTCAATCATAATTTGTATCAGCGATTGAAGATTATCGGAATGAAATGCCGAATTGCGCATCTTTCGTGCACGCTCATGTTCCTTATCATTACTAACAGGAAGATTGTGTGTACCAATTAGTAGTTTCAGTCAAAAACTAAAATCAACTGGTTGACAAAAATGTTCGACTTGCACTCGTCCGAGGATGCCACTTAGTTTTTCGAGATCTTGAATAGCAAGGCGAGGATATACATTGATCCATGTTTTGTCGTCATCTTCTTCGCGGTAACAACGTAATTCAGATGTTTGACCGATGAGAGGAATGAATAGTTTCTTGTTTCCGAACGATATAATACATATACCTTGATGGATGGATAACTTTCCAATAGACAATCAAAATAACGAAAACTACATATTCACAAAGACATAGTGTAAACAGCATGATATTCAAAAATAATCTATTTATATAAAGGCGAAATCGTTTACGTTGCTTACAGGTTCTCTACCTTTTAGCCATTAAAAAAAGATATGATAAGTACGTAGAATGGCGTCTCTATATATATCTTATCAAACTTGCTCTGAATTTTACGAAGAGTGTACTGCAAAGGTTTTGCTCTTGGTGCAAAAATTCCAATTCGGGAAGACAAAGTGTGTGTTGGTACAGACTGAGTTTCTAATATTATATATAGACATCTGTGTCCACTGAATCAGTAGAATAGCTGGTGAAGATTAAAGTTATGTCATCACTTTCACATAAGAGTTTATATTGTTGGTCATTTAGCGATTCTTCGTATGCACACAACAAATATGGAACTACATAAGGAGCATCGTTAGGTTCAAAATCTATGTTACTACAATTCGAGAAGAGGTGCAGGAATCGTTAAAACGACATGGAATGATATTGTTGGTTTAAAAAATGTTAAAGAACTTATTCCAGTCATGCGATATTGTGCTGTACGGATCATCTGGTTTTAGCGAGTTATCATTAGTAGTTCATATTTTGAAGAAATACATTTGCTTATTGATTTTCATTATTCTAACATAGTATTCTTAGCAAAAGCTTTTGCTAATGAGTTTGAAAGCATGTATTCTCATGAACAACGTGGTTTCATTAATAATTTATTTATTTTATTTCAAAATATTTGACTAGGTGAGCAATGTCAATCAACTTTATGTCTTTCTCTTGTCTAGAGATTATATGACCTTTCTCTGTCTCCGTGTGCTTGCTCGACGGAAGAGAAAGAAAGAGAGAGAAAGAGAGAGAGAGACACTATCTGTAGATGACCTGTTAAGCAAAAGATATGACCGTCGTTATTCTCTCAAAAGAAGAGGAAAAGTTCAGTTACCTGTTGAATGGTGTGTCACTAGAAAAGAAATAGCTATATGATACGATTGATTCTATTAGGAACCTTTTTTGTTTTGTTAACAAACAAACGACAGCTTGATGCAGGTAAATAATTGATTGTTAAAAAATTAACTTTGTTTGAAGAGAAAACGGCATCGGTTATTTTTAGCTCGAGAACTCTATGGTCAATCATCAGGTCGAATCCGTTCATCGAATTTGAACATCGATCTTCTCAATACCGGAGCCAATTCTTTGAAAGCCTTTTATAAACAACAATACAAACAGGTTCGTGCTCGTGAACGTTCTTCAACGTATGTTCAATCACGTCGTTTCCATCCTGATCAATATGCTCGTGACACACGTGATCTTGGCCAGCCATCGTCCTTTATGTTGCCGATATCTTCTTCATACTATTATACCTACGGTGGACCAGGAACAGCTCTGGTTTCTACCAATCAAGAAGCATGTCGTCTGACGGACAGTTTCTGTGCGCGAGATTATCAATGCTGTTCGGGTAAATGTCGATGTGTGAGATGGACAGTTATGGGTAAAATGTCGTGTTATAAAAAATGTTTTTAAAAATAAATAATCAAATTTTATTTGTAAATGCTAGAGCAATCCGTTGTCTTAGTTTTTCATTCCTGTTGCTGGAAGTTTCGGTAAGCCAAATTCATCTACGCCGACACCATCCTAGTTGAAAGCGACCGATAGATATCAAAATAATAAACAAAAGATGAAGACAAACCTTGGCTGTCGTCGATGCAGTTGTAGAACCTGCATCAATCGGTTGAATTGGCACACTAGGTGCATGTAAATCATTGAACATAGCATTCGATTCTATACCATATTCAGCTTCAGCAAGACCAGCTAATTCTTTAAAAAAGGATAGAAACAGTTTATTCAATGCATGGGCTTCTTTTGTTTCATACCATTCTCAAGATCTGCATCGGTCATATAGGTATCTTGACCAATAGGTCGACTAAACATATCGTTCATTTCTTCTTGATCAAGAAGTTGATCATCAAGTTCATCCATAAGCGTCTATAAGTATCAACGAATAACTGATTGTAAACTGTGCGTGAAATATCTTTGCACTTTAGGCACACTTGTTTCACTTAATTTGGGTGTTAAAATCTTATCGAAGTGTTATTTTATGATTGTAAATCATTTTTATGATCGAATCTTTGCCTAGTAGAAGTGTTATCAAGCAACTATAAATAACTTTCTGAATGCTCGCTAATGTATTTATAGGAATAAGATGTAGTCTGTCTATCAGATCATTCTTTCTCTTATCTTATTGAAAAACGGATTTTAGTACATACCTCAACTTTATCGATTTTCAAATCTTTATAACCTTTGGCTAACTGCGTTTTTGCATCTCTCAATCCGTTGTACTAAAAAGAACAATCATAGAAATACAACACTCAAACTGCAGCAAAGTATTCCTACCATCTGCTTTTGCGTTTCAATATTGCTAACAGCAAAAGCTGTAGCACCGATATTCGAAGCTTGTCCTTCCAATGTCATTCGTTGTCTTTCATACCTAAACTTATCAATTGAATTAGGCACACCTATTAACCAGAAATGTCATACATTTTCTTCTTATTCAGAAGTGCCATTGCACGTGCTTTTTGACTGGCCTGAAAGCAGATAAATTTGATCTGAGAATGATTAAATCAATAATCACGAACTTTTTTTGATGGAGGTAGTCGACTATAAGCTTGTAATTCTAAAGAAAAATATTTGAGATGAGCATGATTGTTTATTTTTCGGATGAACCTTGCTCAACGGAAGCGATTTGCTTATTGATCGTTTCTACTCGCAGGTCGATGGTTGCTGCAGTGTCGTTCAAAGTGGGTTTAGGTGCCGCATTAGATTTCGAATGTCCAAAAAATCGATTCATTCTGATGATCACACAAAAAATGTTAACGTCAATGTCTGTATGCGATAAACTAGCAAGGTAGATGAAGAATTGTTGACTTATATGCAGGAAAATGATTCATTAAGTTTTATCAACGTCGGAGAGAGGTCGCTGAGAAGTCTCTTTGCACGATAAAAAGATTATTCATCTAGCTTTTTTTATCTTAGACTTTGTTGCATTTGTAAACTAAACAAAAAAAACATCAGAGCTCATCAATATTCGATTTATTCAACCAGTAAATACGAACGTTTAGCAACGAAAACATCGGATCGTTAACAATGACTAGAATAAATAAGCTTGAAAAAGAATAATATTTATGTAATCATTCGATGGATGACGAGCAAAAAGAATCGTCCGACTATTGTATCAGTCAAGCTTGACCACCGATTGATAGAAAATACTTGTTCTTGAACAGAAAAATAGTGCGTACCATGTGATTAACTTCTAGTTATTCTAAATGCGTGACTATTTAACAATATCCAGCGGGGGTATGTGTGCTAAACGGATCCACCCATACCAATTTTCAGAATGACTGAATTCCATTAGTCAATTCGTGTTGAATAAATACATCGAGTGTTATTTGGTGATGTTTTCTTTCTTCTTGAATTTTGTATTTTTACCAATGATCAAATTGAATCTTACGTCTTGTTTTGTTTTCGTCGGCGAGAACAGAAAGAGTGTAGCTGTATTTTTTGCACAGTTCTTTGATTTACCATTGATTGACAACAAGTGAAGAAAAAAACGGTTGTTTACTTTTCGTTTTAGTTTAAATATTATTACTGGTTACATAGAATCGGAAGACTGTTCGTTGTGTCTACTTAGTGATCAAACGTTGCACAATGACGACGCAAAAGCCAGCACGGGTTACTCCGAGAAATATTCAATTCAATGATAGTGTGGATATCAGACAAATTCCACGAAATGACGAGGGTGGACAAGGTTTCGATGAGCAAAGCTGGAATCCAAATTTACATAATGTATGTTAAGTTTTTCGTTTATTATTTCTTTTTGCATAAATTACTCCACCTTTCATTGATTAGAAAGGTGTATTCAATGATAAACCCAAAAAGCAGAAAAAAGTTGTCATTGCCATTGTTGTAACTGGTGTTATTATTCTGGCAATTGTGGTTGCAGTTGTCGTTGGTGTGATAGTTAGTCAGAAATGTATACTGATTAGATGATTAATACCTGAACTTCCGTGAACACTTTTTCTTGTATTTTAGCATCGACCACCGCTGATAACTCGCTTTCATATAATCAAGCGTGCAGTCCAGGCTCAAATCAATGCATTTCATCGAAGGGTCTCTATTGTCCAAGTGGATTTTGTGTGTGTAGTTCGGGTACAATGTGGAATCCAGCGAATAGTACATGTACGTACGACTTGAACTAGAGTTAAAACATCGGGAGTGCTTATTATAATTTCATGCTGTAGTTTACAGAGCGTTTTGTAATCCATATATGGGTTTAGATTATTTTTTTTAGAGATAACCTCTTAGTGAAAAAGTTGTTTTGTTCTGCACATGAAACTAAAAACACTATGAGAACACAACATAATCGACCTGCACTTTCGCAGTAAATCGTCTATATGTCATATAATTTTAGGTTCCTTTGCGAAATATAATGGCAGCTGTACATCACCAAGTCAATGTGATTCAAGTCGAGGTCTTTCTTGTAATAACAGTCAATGTGTATGTGACGCAGCTAACTATTGGAATTATAACTTTCAACAATGCTGTATGAAGAAGAAATATTCGTTTGAGAATCTGAACACACACTTTTTTGTAGATCCACGGCTTAATTATTCCGAACCCTGCACATTTGACAGTGATTGTATTCCAACATTAAGCTGTCCAACGGTGGCAGGTGTATGTAACTGTTCACGATACTTAGGAGATTATACTTGTAATTGTGCTAACACTCAATACTTTGATCCAGCTTCGAATCAATGCGGTATGTAGTTCATTTGTACGAAAATCATTTCCCTACTTTCATATCTATTTTAGTCAGTCGCGCTTCATATGGTGGTTCATGTACAGCATCACTTAATTATACATGTCTTATATCGCTTCAATGTCCTTCGGGAACATGCAATTGCCCGACAGGTACAAGTTGGAATGCCACAGCCACAGTTTGCAATTAGTAACTAGAAGAAATGATGATTTATTTCTATTTTTGACCGCCATATCTGCGAAGCGGATTTGCTACGAATGATTGACATAAAATAATTTATCTTCAATGGTTGTATAGACACTTGTTTGCATTTCCTCTGATACTAGATGACAAAATAGTTTTGAAAGTTCCGAGAATTTTTTATGAATGTCATTGCCCGCCGGTAAAGTTTCAAGAAACTACGTAATATGTCATCTAAATTTAGCTTGTTTTGAACCTTCTGCGTGGCCTGAAGTAAAGTCGCTCATAGAATGATGATTTCATCAATATTCCATTATTATTTTTCAGCAGTAAATGCAAGCCCGTGCGCACGCACATACACACAAAATGTTTTGCTCGAAAAGGAAGAAATCAAACAAAAGAGAAAGAAAGAGAGAGAAAAAAATCTCGAATGATAATCGATTAAAAATGTCCCATTCGGAAGATCTGATTTTACAAAACAAAACTTTGATAAAACAAAAAGAAAATAAAAATAAAGATTCTTTTCTGTTACATATGTCGCTCATAGAATAGCACATAAGCGTTTGATGATATTATTCGAGATTTTTCATTTAAGGTGCTAACTGATGAATCATTGAATTCATGCCACTGATTAGTAAATGGATGTTTACATTGGGCAACGTAGTGACCAGAGTACGCTGTACCACTATGGTTGGATACGCCAAATAGATTGTAAACTGGAGGAGGCCCTGAAAACAGAGGGTTTTTTTCTGTGTGTGAATGAATGTGAGAGGAAAGTCGTACCTTCGTAGCTTTCAGACATCACATCAGACAGTTCGTCAAGTCGGAGATTAGTGATTGGAAAATCAACATGGGTGCTTAGTTTCGTTCGACCACGAGCTTGTGAAAAACGTTTTAGATGAAGAACGAGGATGTTTGGACATCTTTGTATGGAGAATTTCTTCGTACACCGTCGCTTTTGTTTGCATCTTGCGCACATCTAAATATTTTCCATTGAATCGAAATAACTGAGCATTTTCTACACTTTACCGGCTTCTCATTTCCATCTAGATCTTCTCTACTCATAAACAATTGTATACATTCTTGTACACTACTTGATGATTTGTTCTAAATTACCCAAGATCTCTAATTGTATGCAGTTCGGAAAAGACTGGCCTACTCGTGGTAATGGAATGGATAAATCCCAAAACATATCAAAAGTTATGGATTGATATTGACAATGTGTACACTCGAGGGTACTTTTTAATTGTCCGGCAAAAATATCTATGAAAGAAAGCCATTTAAATAACGCTTGATTAGAGATGGAAAATAGTATACGAACCGGCAATATCACTGTTGTCGTATGATAAACAACGTTCCCAACTGAATTTCGCACGATCTCTTTCCCTAAAACAACTCGAAGAATCCCATTTCGTATAAAGACAAATGTTTTGATCCTTACGGCATTCTTTCTTCCGCTTTTTCATCGATTTTTATCGGATCCGGTTTTCGTTGTACTCGATTAACATCTTCATGGAGTCCTTGTAAGAGATAGCGTAGAAATTCTTGAGAGTCTTGTTGTCTGAAAAATAGAACGACAGTTATCGTTGGAGACAAAATTATTCAGCAGATGTTCATCTAAAACTTACGCATAACCGAGAAAACGTGGAGCAAACCGTCCAACTGTATTTTTGAACGACGATGGACTAACAACTGAATGTCCATCGGACGAAGTCCACATCTTCCGAACCAAATTTGCGTACTCTATTCGTACAGAAGTTTGCTTATCTCATAAAGAAAAAGAGTTCTGTCAAGTATACCTCGCATTAAAACACCTTTCATGACACTTGTCAACGATGTGTTCAAGTAATCTGCAAGATTTTCTGTCAAACAAAACAGCAAAAGTGGTTTGGTGTTTGATAAGCATTGAAGCACCGAATTCATGAAACACTAGAATATTATAACAACACTCAATATGAAATATTTACTAGAAAATGTATAGTTACTGTGTTGCCAAGGTTCTGTAAACCAGTTAATCCACCTGATCTTAATCTTGACTCCAGTGTTGATGCTGAACGATGATCGTATGCAGATGTTTTGGCAACTGTTGACGATGCATTGGAGGCACCTGATTCACGACGTTCAGGATAATCATAAGCTGATTCATTTGATGCAGTATTCACGTATCGCATATTGTTCGTAGTTGCTGCCGTTGTTGATAACTAAACAGAGTTAATTTTTATTTAAATGCTCGATGATTGAATTTCATGTGACTCCCCTACCGATCGATCCTGATTAGATACCATTCGTGACCTGGTCGCATCGTTTGAAGTCCGTCGTTGTACTAAAGAACTTGATGCTGGAATGTTTCTTATCAAAGAATTGCCCCTCTCCATTGAGTTTTGTCTATAGCCACTCGGTGGTCTTGCTCGCGCTGTGGTGGTGACGTTCATACTACCTGATTGAATAGCTCTTGTTAGTGATCCGACATTGGCGGCGTTGTTGATTGCCGGCAATTGACGTGTCATGGATGATGTCCGAACATGATACATGCTCGGTCGTCCGGATGACATTGACACAAACTTTCGTAGTTATTTTCTTTGGTGGCAAATAGCCACCTTTAAGTTTAATACATAAATAGAAATCTAAAATAAAAACAAAGAAGAAGCTTTCTTTTTATTCTTGTCTTTTGTTTTATTCTTTTTTTTCTCAAAAACAATGCAATAGATCGAAAAGCATTTTATTTGAATCGATAACTATGGTATTGCTTGTTTTAAAAGTATGTGTGTGGACGACGTGTTGTAAAGCGTGGATGATGTAAACGTTTCGTTGCCTTGTTGACCATTGGAAATCTAAACATCAAGTTTTACTAAATCTTATTCAACATTTGCTCGTCTCTTACTTGATCTTCGCATCATGAAATTGTGTCACATGGGGTCGACGACAATCTTTGGCAGCTAAACGTTTAATTTTCATAATTTGAATTGTCGATGGTCGCGCACGATGTTTGGCACCCATATCTCGATAACATTGAGTAACAGCTAATGCTCGTGTAAGATCGCGGTATTCTCGGTACATGTTATGTGTACCTGATCGAGAATCATAACGAAGCCAAATGCCAAAATTCTTGACTGTTAATGGTTTACGTTCATTAACTAATTTGCATTCGACAATTTCGCCAGCACTTTTCTTGACACGCTTGAGTTGACGTAAGAAAAACCAAAAACGAGATTTGGCTTGAACTTCATCAGGTGCATAGATATGCATTTCATAAAGTGGTGGCGTTTTTAAGGTCGCTGAGGGAAGTTTACGACCGATGATACGATATTCTCGAAGATTACCTTTTGCTTTCATGCTGGTTTCAACCGAGATCGATAGAAGATTTATCTATAAATAAACAACTGTGAAATTAAATATAAGATACATAAGTAAATGAAAGCCGAAGAAAAAAAAATAATCATTGGAGATTTCATGAGAATATATGGAAAGAAAGCTGATTGGTTAATAATTATAACTTAGTAGAAAGAACAAGAAGAGAGGCTTGAAAGCGTAACAACCAAGATGGCCGAAATAACATGAAGCCGGATCAACAATATGAAATGTTTGATTAACAAGGATTATTTGATAAAGGTTCATCTTCATTAAATTTCCTTTGACAATTTGTGGTTCTGATTGTATATAATAAGAAAATCAAAGGGATACATTCTTGTGCTTAGATAAATTCGTTATTCACAACCATGCTCATTGATTAGATTATGATGGCATGCGAATGTATTCCATGTAGTAAGGACGTTCAAGTTTCAACAATAGCATGAATTTTTCTGCAGGATATGACGAGAAAAGAACACGTAATTTTCTACTATTTTTGTTAACTATACAGCACCATCAATTTAACCTAGAAGGTGCAAGTCATAGAACATCGGACTTTAAAATCCAGCGCGATCTTTGTGTGATCGCGATTGCAGGATACGTTTCTTCCATGATGTTATCAACGTTAGTTCCATAAATCTCAAATTACTGATATTATTGATTCCGAACTATCGATTTTTTTTCTTTCGTTCTTTCGGCACTTTCACACATGACACTAGCTGGAAGAACTGGCAGTGGAATCGTCATCAGTGTCGTGCCAAAAGCTTTTTCACAGCGCCTTTCATAATATTATTAAATGAATTATTTTAGTTTATTTCGACCGAACCAAATTTAAACGCCTATCTTGATCAATATATTTTCTTTTGGTGTAATAAAAAGATATCGATTTGTTTTATATCATTCTTTATTCAATTTTACACATAGATAGAAGACAGACATCAATTTAGAATTGACTAAGGAAACTTTTACAAATAAATATCATGCTCAGGAAAATATCATGCATCCATGAACACAATTTTTAGACAAAAAAGCACTATTTAACAGAAAGAAAACACGTTTCTGTAATGTAATACTCTTAGATCACTAATTGCTGCGAGCTCTTTTTTTCCTTCCTTCAGCAACATCATCAGGTGAAAAAGCACGCTTTTGACTATCGATGTTAGCTTCAACTTTTGTCACCATAAGGTCAATCATTAATCCAACGATATCTTGAATATATTGTTTTTCAAGTTTGTTAAATTTTTCGAGTAGATCTTGAAATGCCTGACGCCACTCGATGTTCAACTGGGCAATTTCAGATTGGTGTTCTAGTTCAGCTGGTGATGGATTGGGATTGATGTTCTAGAATTAAAAAGTCTTTTTTTTCTTTTGCGAAATTTAAACCGATTATGGCCTCGTTTAGTATATAGTATGATTAATGTACCTCTTTAGTATACTTGGACACAACGCACCTCGCGGATAATGTGTCATGATGCCCCGTGTCAATAATATTAGAGTAATATTAGTACCCAATGTTTTTAGCAAAGTTTTAATCGGTATTGAATTCAGTTAACTTAAAACTATATCTTGGAGATAAAACACATCGTCGAAGTTGATATACGTTATGAATGTATAGATACATATTCGCTCTTTTTATTGCTACATCAAACAAAGGAATAAAGGCCTCAGCGATGGACTGACTATGTACATATATGTCGAACGAAGTAAGAAGACTTGCATAGGCGAACAAATGGCCAATAGATCATTTACATATAGCCGAACGTAAGATATTAGGAGATTTTATTCGAACACTTTGACTTGTTCAGTTACTTTTACTTTTAATTACCATACGAATTTTCGAGTGACATCTGCTGCTTTATCTTATACACAACAATAGATCGACATCTTAGACTGTAGAATCATTTTAAAAGCATGAGATACATATCTTTTGCATATTTGACCGTTTGTTAAGCAATGGAAGTGGACATGTTTGAACAAAAATATCTGTCAAAATGCTAGTTGTAATACAAGAAAAACCACCGCTCATAATTCATCATATCCTTATTGAAAAGCTATTGTCAACAATGTTTTCTCAAAGATTTGTATATATGTGCGTGTGTATAAAAGATTAATCCAAGCTTTTATTTCCGAGTTGTCACGACACGCTCTATATCGATAAGATATTAATCACTATTACAAATGTCTGTTAAATATATTATAGGAAAATCTATTGTCTTCGAAGAGTATTTTTCATTTTCGTGAAGATTCTGCTTACATTATGCATACATCAGTGACGATATAGCACGAATGTCATCGTTGTCTTGAACTACACATTTTGTAGATACTATCCTAACGACTGTCTTCTTTGACATTCATCAAGTAATCAACACATTTATCGACATTAGGATACGAAACGACAGTTTTTGTTCTAGTCTGTTTGCCTGAAGTAAGCTAATCGTTCCGGATAATTCTATTGGAATTCGGTACTTGGAAGAAAACAAGAAAGAGACTTATTTCATGTTTGCATACTTGAGTGGCATTGCCATAAAGACTTTTCTTAAATATTTATCACTAATAAAGACAGAAAAACACGATTTGCTTCAATGTTCGGATCAAATTTCCATAGTTGCTGTGTAAAGCTTAATAACAGTGAATTAAATCTCATTGACTAATGTCTTTCTATATTCAAATCATTAGCAAATCAGACAATAGACAAATCTTTTCCAATGTGCTTCGACTATATAATCGGTTTAGTGTTCTGTGTGTGCATATACATGCAATTTTTTTCGCTAAGGAAAAGACGGTTCTTGCAAAGACAATCATTCTTTTTTATCGTTGTTGTCGTTCTATTCTGAAAAGCGTTTGTTCGTTGCCGTAAAGGCAGCCATGAAGGAGAGAGAGTGAGAAAGACAAGCAAGTCAAGGGAAGGAATAAATTATTTGCTAGGCGTGGTAACAGAACCAGTAGTAGTTGTTGTAGTCTTCCTTAGATTCTCTTCTCCTTCCACACACACACACATATATATATATTATATATATTCAAGCGTGCGCGTTTATGTTTTCTTTTAGTGTTCCTACAGTCGACTTGTTGTTTTCTTTGGTTAATATTCATAATTTTGCATACGCTTACTGCATTCTGTGTTCAATATTGATCGATTTACTATGATAAATCCACGATTATCATGTTGATTGGTTGTACGAAAAGCCATGTCAGAAATTGTAAAAGCAACGCCAATGATTTATAAGTAAGTTTCGAGTGGCTGTTTTTAATTGAAAAGTAGGAGAAGTTAAATGAGAATAATGTCAATGTAGTATTTCGAGCATATGTGTTTATTTATCATCGGAAAAAACTTTTTCCGGACACAGTCATCATTTTCTTTGTAATAATAGTATATTTTTTGGATATTGTACGAGTTGTTATGGAAAGAGCGCGTTGCTTCGAGCGTTTCGGCTTATCATCTTTCATTACTAATCTAGCCAACGCCTCAATTCACAAACAGAAAACAATTAGAGATAAGATGGGACAGCTACATGGTAAAATGAGGTCTTCTTCACTAATATACAAGACATACTGATCATTTGTTCGTTATCTTCTCTCCTCAGAAAAAAAGCAAATTAAGAAACGAGAGAAAGAATCCTACTTGTCAGAATTCATCCTAATGACGACATCATTATCAAATCAACAAGTTCGCCGTGAAATAGTAATAAATTTCATTGAAGAACCACTACCTACAACCCAGACTATACATATTCCTAATTCAATACGTCAGTTATGTGGCTCAATAATTCCTTCGAATACAAATCTACGACCGTCCTCTTTCAGTTGTCCTCGTTTAATGAAATATAGGTTTCACTCTCATTTCTCCTATCTTTCAAGACAATCTATTGCAAGACTAATGTGTTTTATCTGATTTAGGAATCTTGGTCGTAATGGACTGCGTGTTTCTCAATTTGGCTTTGGTACATGGGTTACATTTGGTGGACAGATATCAGACGAAGTTGCTGAAGAACTAGTCACGATTGCGTATGAAAACGGAATCAACTTTTTTGATACAGCCGAAGTTTATGCAGCTGGAAAGTAACAATTTTGTATGTACTCAAGAAAGGAAAACTATTTGTTATTCATAGAGCGGAAATCACACTTGGAAAAATCTTAAAAAAGAAAAAATGGAAAAGAACAACTTATGTTGTATCGACTAAATTATACTGGGGCGGAAAGTAACTATTTGAAAGAGAAAAAAGGAAAATATTTATTGCTATGATTATCTTTTTATCTACATAGAGCGGAAACAGAAAAAGGCCTTTCACGTAAACATATCATTGAAGGTTTACGGTTAAGTCTTGACCGTTTGCAACTTGAATATGTTGATATTGTATTTGCAAATAAACCTGATAGTTCAGTACCAATGGAGGGTAGATAAATAATAAGATCCGTTTGACTTATTTTGAATAAAATATTGTTCTGTTTCAAAGAGATCGTGCGAGCATTTACACAAGTTATCAATGATAATCTTTGTTTTTATTGGGGAACATCACGATGGTCACCGATTGAGATTATGGTAAAACTAACACAGGAATTTAAACTCGATATCAATTGTTTCCATTAATTCTAGGAAGCCTATTCAGTTGCTCGTCAATTTAACTTGATTCCTCCGATATGCGAACAAGCTGAATATCATTTGTTTCAACGTGAAAAAGTCGAAATGCTTCTACCAGATGTTTTTCATAAAATAGGTTTATTAGAAAGGAAATTTGTTCGTTTTCTTTTCATAAAAACCATTTAGGAATCGGAACGATGACTTGGTCGCCATTGGCTTGTGGTTTGTTAACAGGCAAATATGAAGATGGAGTGCCTGTACACTCACGGGCATCACTTCGAGTAAAGACGACGAAGAAATTAAGAGACCATCGTTCAAATGTCTTCTAGGGTTACGGATGGTTGAAAGAAAAAGTTTTGAGTGAAGACGGACGAAAACAACAAAATAAATTACGAGAACTAACACTCTTAGCATCAACACTTGATTGCACAATTGCCCAATTAGCTATTGGTAGATAGAAATCATTGATTGACCTAAATTCTACTGCTTGTTTAGCATGGTGTTTAAAAAACGACAATGTGCATTGTGTTCTACTCGGTGCATCAACTGCTGACCAGTTATATGAGAATCTGAATTCTCTACAAGTAAATGAAAAGCACAAGTTTATTCTTTCTCCAAATTGTTTTTCATATACAGGTTGTTTCAAAACTAACTCCATCGATAATGATGGATATCGATCGAATACTCGGAAATAAACCAAGTGTTCAGATGGTAATTAAAAATGAAACAGTTCAAACTCAACAGCGATAGCTTTGAATTCCATTTGAATTATTTATGATTTTGTAATTTTTCTTTTAATAACAAATCTTTCATGCCAGCCTGAATAAACAGAATATTTATTCGTAGAGATCATTCTAGAGCAACGGAATTTTACTTTCGCTTGATCCACTTTCGAACGTCTCGGGAGTGTCAATGTCGGAGGTTCGTGAACGATTTCACCAAATTTAGGTTTATCTAATCCACATACAAATAGAAATTTGTGAACGATTTCGATTGAAGCCTTACCTTGAAATAATTGAAATTCATCATTTTTGATTTTCTTCTCTTCTTTTTTCAGTTTGAAATCGTCTTTCTTCGCTTGCAACCGTCTAAAAGCGAGCAAAGATGAATAAAATCATACGAAGACTTTCGAATCGAGTACTTCAATCGTTTTTCAGCTCGTTGGCTTTTCTCCTTTTTCACTTCGAATTGATGATGATCATTTTTGTCTGTGTTCACCAATTTGACATCGTATTTCGACTCGTATCGCGCACGATCTAGCGCAAATTTTGCTTCCTACAAAAAAACAACAACAATATCTCTCTATGGTCATTGTAATTCGAACCACATACTTCATCTAAACGTTTCAAATAATTTCGATCGGACTCGTGAGGTTTCTGTTCTAGTTCGGGAAACTGCGCTTCTTCTTGCGAAGGTTCCTGTTTGAACTTATTCTTATTTTTTTTCTTGGAAGTCTTTCGAAGTTCTTCCGAATGTTGCTTGTTTTCAAGAAATTGCTGGAAACGATGAGAGACTTTGTTATCGACTTTTTCGCCTTTTCGTGGTGCTTGATTAGCTGAGACAAGTTTTCTAAATGAGAAACAAGAAGAATTATGAAATTTGTTGGAAACAACTATGAACACAGACTTGTCAACAAGAAGTTTTCGTGCACCGGAATAGAATGGATCGATGGCTTTGAGCTTCTTATGACGACGACCACCTCGACGTTTTCGTACGAGAACCATCTTCGAAATAGAATGAATGAATGATTTTGATTTTTCCTCTCGCTGATAACACTCATTGGATAATATTTCAGAAGCAATGGTTGTCGAAGCGAAAGATGGCGCAGGAGTTGATATACAATTTTGAAATATCTGTTTAAGACTTTTCACAAATCTCGAATGAGAATAATCTACAACTAATCAGCAGCTTAGCGTCATCTTTTTCAAATCACTGCCAAACACAAAGAAAAGTGTTCTATCGTTTCTATTCAAAGATATATAACGTAGATAGATCGGCCGTTCGATATCAATTGTTTTCTAGTCTTTCTACGATTAACGAATAAATATGGGTAAGCGTAAATCCAAACGTAAAGCACCACCGAAACAAAAGCGCGTGGATACACTTTCGCTCGTGTTTTCTTGTCCGTTTTGTTCACATGACCGATCGTGTGAAGTGAAAATGTAAGAATTCAATGCTGAACTTTTTCGTCATCTGAATTCTGAATTTTAGTGATCGCAAAGCGAGTGTTGGAACAATTGAATGTCGTATGTGTCAAGAGCAATATTCGACATCAGTTCACTGTAAAGATATTTCACTGCTCTGCCATTGATTTGATAATCGTTTGTCGTCGCTTTAGATTTAACTGAACCTATTGATGTATACAATTCTTGGATCGACGCATGTGAAGAGCAAAATTGTGAATAAGTCGCTGCTTTTGGTTTATTTTTTTTGAAACTTTCAATATTTTTGAAAATAAAGAGATATCTGAAATTCTAGTTTATTAATCATCAAGGGAAACAATCTAAAGGTGCACCGATAGAAGAAAACGTTTATCATATTTGTTAACCATATAGCAAAAGGAATAACAAGATGACGTGATCAAAGAGAAAGATGTTTTCAAGTGTTTAAGCAAATAATATGACTGAGAAAAAAGATAACTGATGATGATGAATCGACACTTTTTTGTTATTGTCATTTTTTATAAAGACATAGTTTCATAATGTTGAGTCTATTTTCATCAACGGTTTTCTTTTTTAATCTGGTTTTTATATCATCAGTGATTCGTGCGGAGAATCCTTGCCGTTTTGACCATACCAAGGGAACTATTGATTTGACTTCTGTTGGCCGAACGGATGGAACAGCAGCATACATCGACAAAACACCACCAACTTCGGGAGATTATAGTAAGCGAATATCTCTGTCATCATGAAAAACTTTTATTGCAAGTCTTTCGTATTCCATAGAATATAGTTACAATCCCTGCAAACCGTTTACCGAACTGCCATCTTGTGTCAACGTAGCTGCATGCCAAGGTACGGTCTCGTTTTATTAGAATTTATCCATGTTATTTTTCTGTACCATCTAGTATCCGCCGATAAAAAATACAGTTTTAGTATTGGTTTACAAGATAGTGCATCGTGGAATCCAGGTACTGGTTTGGGTAGTCTCCCTTCAGTGACTTACAGCGACGGTGTAAAACAAGCTAGTGTTACTCTACAATGCTCAACCGACGGGTCGGAATCACTCGAGGCATTAGGTGAATCGCCAACTAACTTCTATAAATTTCGTCTGACACACAAATGTGCTTGTTGGGATGGTTGCAAAAGTAAATACGTTGTAGGAGAGAAATAGTTTTCTTTCGAATCCTTTTTCATATAGATTCACCAGATACAACAACGAAATCTTCAAAAGGAAGTGGAGGCGGTATTGGCGGTGGTGCAGTATTTGTCATCATTTTATTCGTACTCGCAATTGTTTATTTTGTTGGCTTTGCATTATTTGCTCGTTTCCGTTTACAACGAACCGGTGTCGACCTTGTTGCTAATCGAACATTCTGGGTTGCACTACCTGGTTATGCCAAAGATGGAGCAGTTTATCTATACGGTCGTGTGACAAATAAAAGTACTAACTATCAATCAGTATAATTCAGAAACATTCGTTCCTTTTCTTTTCTATGCGGAAAACTTGCAGTTTTATTTAATAAATATCAACGATCTTTAAAAAAAAAACTAGACTTTACTCGAGTGTATCAGGCGCATTGATAACATGCGTTAACGTTTGGACGTTTGGATTATGCTGTCGATTAACGTAGATAATTTCTTCTAAATATCTGCCAACATTCGAATCTGTGTGTCCAACAACAAGTGATGCATGTTCAGTGACAAACTGAACATCAGCAAGGAATTGATCGAAGCCTACACGAACCAACGGATCAACACATGATTGAGGGGCGAAAACATTGTATAGAATATCTCGTCCATGTAAATGTTCACGAGCATATGGTTCATCCTTCTGACTTGTTCTTAAACCAGTTTGTGCATAGTTTATGATCGAACGCATGACGCTGGGATCATCAGTCATGACAAATACCGTCGTATATTTCATATGACGACGTTCTTCTTCATTAACAATACCTTTAACATACATGGAAATATTTCTCCATTGTTTATGTTTTCGCCAAAATGAATCTTCAGGCATTTTATCTCCTCGACGAATAAACATAACAGCCATTTTTGACAAAGCTTCTTTATAGGGTTGATGATATTTACTAGATAAATGTTCAGACCAATAATGAGCTAATAATTTTGCCGAAGTTTGAATACGCGGAGCCAGCGGAGAGAAAAATAGTAAAAACATATAACGAAGAAATGAAGTGAAGATCTTATCTTGAACGGTCATAATTTTCGATGTACCTACATAAAAACACATGTCAGTCAATGTGTGCAATCCGAAACAATTCGACTAACCAGGGAGAACATCTGTGGGCCATGCTTGAGGTACATTTCTTGGAATCCATTTCGATGGATCAAATGACGGACTCTGATCATAATAAATATGTTCGTTGGAATGATTGATCAAGAGTGGTATTGGTGAATGATAAGTAAGAGATTTTTTCGTTTCATTTCGATCTCGATCGAATAACCATCGTCGATGTGGCACATGTTCATACCCAAATTTCCATATTTCTCGACTATATTTAAAGCGAATTTTCGTTTCATCACGTTCGAGCAGCTCATGGACATGATTGATTACTTTGATAGCCGATGATCCTGATCCAGTTGATCTCAACTGATCGTGTAAGGCTTTCAAATCTGGATGCGTTATATGGGACGAACAAAGAGAGATGGATTGAAAATAACGAACTGTTCCTTCCTTCGTGACATCTTCTGGTGCAGCATTCGAAGTAGCAAAACGTCGCGGTAACAGTATGGTCATCGACGGTGAATATAAAGTTTGTCCGAAATGTTCAATAAAACAATGGTGACGACTGAAAAAACCCATTGGCCATTGTTCTAAAATAAATAGTTGTCGAGAAAGACACGTGGAAACTTTTTCCTGAGGAAATTGTTTTTCTAATAGATAATTCAATGTTTCATATTGAGCAGCGTAGTTCCAGTGTACGTCACCTTTGCTATCAAGCCAAATGATCGGAAATGATGCCGAACGAAATGTAGATTCCGAGTATGCTAACAGTTTAAAACTATCAATTGCCTGCGAAGTTTTTGGAGCGTGGAACATGCTGCTGGCGATGTTATCGATCTGTATAGCGTTGTATTCATGTGCAGCACGAGAATTTGGATAGAGACGAAAATCGTGTGTACGAACACTTGATGATGTGTGAGGAATAGTAACAGTTGAAGCAGATGTATGCCCCGGTTGAGAAAGATGTCTATATAAAAAATAACAACTGAATAGCGAGCAGATCATGAAAATCAATTTTCGACATCCCGAACGAGTTGTATAATATACCATGTTGATCGAAAGTCAGAATAGGGAACCAATTCTGCTATCGATGAAAAGAATGGAGTAAAAATATGGCTTAATAAGAAATTAATGACTGCCGCAATGTGGTGTTGTACTAAAAAAAGAAAGCTGACTCGAGGGTATTCAGTATCTATATGGTGTTAATGGTTAAACATCACAGTTTTTATCTGAAACATTGTGACAAGATGTGAGTTGGATTTGTTCTAAAACAATGAGATTAACACAGTAGTCATCAATTTGATTACTCTTTATAATTCATAGTACTTTTTTCGTACTATGGTCACGTTGTAAATCGATCTGATTACCATCTTTAGAAGTTAAATTGTGTCAATTTTTATCTGCGAACACGAGAAGAAGGAATCACAAAATCTCGATATCCTTACCCTGTGTAAAGTATAGATTCATCTGCAGCGACTCCCTTCGCGTTCCTATGTTATACATCAGTAATCTAGTCTCTCTACAATAAGGATGTTGTGCGACGAAATATCATAAAAATTCTTTTTTCTTTTCTTTTTTGTTCTGTCATTCTGTAAGAGTATGTTATATGTTTTTTACAGTCGACAACCTTGTTTCTTTGTATTAGTTTGATAGATAAGAATTTTCCTCGTTTTTGCCTTCTCAAGAGAATATTCACTCTTTGGATGTTACACATCTGATAAATCTTGATTGAATAACGAGCATTCAACAATAATTGATCATTTTTATAAGATTAAACCAATCAGTTTTATTTATTAACTAATCGGCGACTCTTGACATCTAAGTACCTCTTCGATTATTCGAAGAATACGTGTAGTTCGAATATCAACTGTCAATGAAAGCGGATTGAGTTGATTGCATACATAAGCATAAGCTAATTCGTAAGGAGGATACGCAAAAGCACAGCTACCGCCATAACCTACATCGAAAGAACAAAAATATGTGTCAGTATACATGCAAATGTATTCATATATTTACCAGTGTGACCAAAGACACTATCGCCGAATATTTGAAATGCATCACCATATATCTGAAAGCCTCCTTTACTAAAACCGGTTGGTATTCCGTATAAAGTTTGATCAAGTTCACCATTAGGTGTTATATTTTGTATTGCTTGTAATAAAGTCTTTTCATTAAGAAGACGTTTGATGACTGTTCCGTTTTCATAGACGTCACCAATGAGTCGACTGTAGATTCGAGCTAACGAACGGGCATTTGTGATTCCATTGACAGCTGGTAATTGCGCTCGGTGAATGCGCGACTTGTTATAGATCATTGTTGGCTGATTTAGAGGAAGTGCACCACTGCATGTCAACGTTTGTTCAGCTTGCGAATCAGTTTCTTTCGTTTCAGTCTACATCATTTTCAAAAACTTCAAATAGAAACATCTGTCTGTTTTCTCTTACTGGAATTTCATAAAGAGGTGCCACACGTTGATCTGTTGTCTTATCCGGTAAACCAACATAATATTCCGAGTCGATTTCTTCGCGAACAAACTGACCAAATGAACGATGCTGAGGATCAACACGATGTATCAATTCGCCTGCAATATATCCAGTTGTGTGACCATGATATCCATGAGTAGATCCGGGTATCCAATGAGGTTTCTCATCAATTAACAATGAAATCATCTTCGACCAGTCGCAAGCTTCATCTGTCGTTACGGATCGATTAATGTATGGTAAACCTGCTCGATGTGCTAATAGATCTTCAATAGTTATCATCTTGATAAACCCAAAAAACAGCTGATGATATTAAAATCGTTTTACTAAAATCTAGACTTACTTCTTTTCCGTTTGCACCGAACTCTGGCCAATATTTCGTAATTGCTGCATCATATTCAAGCCATCCCCTTTCGACACATAGCGCTACTGCCGCACTCAATATTCCTTTCGATGTAGAGAAAACTAATTGCAATGTATCAGATATATAAGGTTGAGCTTTCTTTTCAAAATCTATCCAACCACCATAGAGATCTACAACACATTTACCATGATGATATATACTTAAACTTGCACCGATATCCAATCCATCGATGAAATTTTGCTCGAAAGCACCTTGAATACATTGCCAGTCGTCGTCAACATATCCACATATATTGTTATTATTTTTTGACAAAATCGACATGAAGTTATGTTTATGTTACACACCTTTTTCTCCTTGTGCGACTCTTACCAAATGCGTTAGATGCATTCTTTTCTCCTTTGTTGTCGATGAAATGGTAACACCGATGATGAAAACAGAACTCAACGATTTTTTTCTTATCAACCTCCCGAGGAATATGGTTCTGACGTATTATAACGAAGAAGGAAAATAGCGATGCACAACACATTTTCTTTTATTAATGAAAATCATCAAGTAAAAGTAATTGATGCTAAGATAAGACCTTTTATGTAATGTTATACTCAGCATTAAAATCATGACAGTTATTAACACTACGAAGGTCGCTCATATATACTACAAGTCCATTTTTTGACACCTCAATATGACCTGAGAATTTCCGTTTGTACGAATTCAATGCTTGATGACTTTTCGCCTTTGACTGGTTTTGTCACGCCTAGAAGACATATAGTCTATGTAGCATAGTATACTTTCTTTCTTCATCTTTTTCCTAAAGAAGAGAAAGTTTCATAATGAGAAATGACGTCTACATATAAAATTAATTACAATAAAAAAATGTCAAAGCTGCTTTTTTGTTCTTCATCTCTCCTAAGACAAATAAGACTCAACAGTCAACATAGCTACTGTAAAAGAAGGATTTTATCATATCTATAAAGCTAATAAAATGCAATTGATTCTATACACTATCCTATCACACATTATAAGCAAAAAGGAAAGAAACTGATTTCTGAATAATCTTGCGTGTGAATTGTAGATGCTTTCCTTTATCAAAGACCGAAGCAAGAGATTCAAGTATGAAATCACGTAAATTAAACACATATGTCGACTAAATTGCTCAGAGAAAAGACACTTAGAAGAGAAAATGATTATAACACATGCACAGATAATGAACTATGTTCGTTTACTTGCTATCTTGTGTTCCTTGATTGCTGTACAGATTACAGGCAAGATATTCTCATCCTGAGACCATAAAATCGATGCCGAAATTTAAAGACGAGTGAGATTATTTGTTTCACTTACTCGGCTATATCAGATGATCATTCGTGTCTGAAATACTTGGAAAGAGCTATATATACATTCTCAAGACAGTTTTACCATAAAAGAGTGACATCTATCGTTGAAAGCCTGAAGTCGTACGTTTTGTAAGAAGATTTTCACATCGTTTGAACATAAACTATGTTTCTAATTGTAAAATACAGAAAAATTCAGCTTTCATTATCAATAAAAAGATCTGTGTCTTGCGAATCGTTTAAGAATCTTTCTAACCAATTGCGCAAGCGCTTTGTAGAATGATTAAAGCATAGAACGAATAGTCGACTTTTTCCTACGTATTTTTTCATTTATTTGTTTTTGATCTTTTCTATCACGTGCTACGAATTGATTGCTTTTTCAATTAATTCGTTTTGATTTTTCTCTATAGATATTATCTGAATACTGTCAAAACGTATTGATCGGCTTTCAACCGAAACATTGTCGTCATCAGATTTGATCGTTCGTTGAAACAATGAATCTGGATGCAGTGTCTGCAGCACTTGCTCAAATACCTTATACGGTGAAAAATCTATCGAAAAACAATTTCAAAAGTTCACAAATTGAAATAGCCAACGTAAATCTTGTTGTTGAATCTGTCTTTCTTCATATTCAACGTCATTTGTCTGTTCTAGCTTATAGCTGAATATGGATTCGAAGCTGAACGATACTTCTATCGAACGTTAGCTAGCTATTTGGATCTACAATTTTTCGAAGAGACCCCATCTGGATCGAAACATTCCGAAAATCTCCATCTGAACTATTGGTTACAAGAGATTCCATTGCTGTTAGCAAAGTCAAATTTTGTGACGTTAATCTGCTATGCTTTTGATTCAGTATTGACACAAAAAGTAAGTAGAAATTTTTCCAGCCGAATGTCTATTTGTCTGGTGTGATTAGTCAATCAAATTATCGCCATCGTCGACTGAATATTTTACCTCGTTGAGTAAATATTTCAAATTAAGTTCTGTTCAAGAACTTCTCTTCGCTCTTGCTTTGCAAAATTCGACGCACATTGAATTGCAAACATTAGCTCATAATCATCTACAAAAATGTTTACCGGAATTCATCAAAGCAACCATTGAATCGACTGGTAGAGTCACTTTTTATATAATCTTTTGATTTCATGTTCGAATTGTTCTAGGAGAAACTCAACTAGGTGATTTACCCCATGAAGTTCTTCATTCGTTTGTTGTACAACTTCAAGCTTATGCACTGAATGATTCATCTGTAATTACAGCTGAACAGTATGAACAATTCTTGAATTTAATAAGAAAAGGTTCGACGACTTTCCTATGAGATGATTTGCTCTATTCGATCGTTGATTTAGAATATCCAATCGAACGCATTGGCACGAATGGTTCACTATTTCTTCTTCCGATACTTTATCCATCGAATACAATATCAAAAGATCTTGCATCGAATCAATTATTCTCAGATTCAAATAATCTCTCAGCATCCGTGGTAAGTGAACATAAATGATCTTGTGAGCCATTCGATCTTCGACTCCATAGTGGCAAATGGACGGTTCTTTATCGGATGTCATTCTCGAAATGGGCTACGATTTTACTGCGTCGGTTGAAGGTTGTCGAAATGCATTAGTTCATTTTGGTTTGCAAGAATTAAAGTCATCGACTATTGCTCGAATGCTTGCCGCAATGATTAAAACACATTCAGGACTTACTGAGAATACACGTATCTACGTAAGTCGACTCGTAAAAGCATCATCATCTTTTCGAGCTGATGGCCACATACATATATTCATGTAGGATGCCAATGGCGTTGAAATAAATACAAATAGTGATAAACAATCGCCACAATCATGGAATGTTGACACATTTGTCATTGCAATCAATGATTTAGTATGTACAATTCTTTGAATCCGTACATTTAAGTAAATCGCCTTTTTTGTAGGTTCCATCAGTGAATTGGAAAGATGTAGTCAAAGAGCTGGATCATCCGGGATTCTTGGTTCGTGACCGACAGGCATTGATACTGTTAGTCACCGCCCTCCGACGCGCGCTGCCAACAGAGCAATATATTGATTTACTCTACGGGCGATGGAACAATGCTGAAGGACAAGTGAGTCGGCGAAAACTTTCCACCTGAAACATCTAAGTTCATATCTTGTGAATTCTAGTTATCCTGGTTCGCCCAAGCAATTCGCTACCCGGATGTTTTCTGTTTCGGTGATCATCCAGCTCGTCCAGTATTGATTGATTGTTTGAAACATCCGCTCGATGACTCAAAAGAAACATGGACATGGTGAGAAGGCAATGTTTCGTATACGATCGATGTCGAATCAAATGATTTTGTTTAGGCGTTCGTTGAATTTAATCGAATGTTTGTTACGTATCGCCGATACAGGTCTATATCCCATCGTGTTGGAAATTTTCAAACACGGTATTCAGCGTTCCGGTGAACTAATCTTCTTGGGATTGTTACAACTTCATGTAAGTTTTAGCCGAATTCTTCAATCCGACAAATAACGACATATATTTAGACCATTTGGACGACGTTGAAACAAGAATTATTACAACTGATAATTCCAACATTTCTTGCCACGAGTCCGAACGCAAATCCACTTCTTAACTACATGTGGAATTCTCAAGTAAGATAGAAAGTCGTCAATAGAATTGAACCAGCAACGATTCTTTTCTGTCTTTCGTAGCAGCACACAGCAGCATTGCGAACAACATTATTAACATCATTAGCTGACTGGTATAACCGTTCGACTGACAATGAACAACAGCAACGACTTGGTCGTGTCTTAGAAATTGTTCAAGACTTAAAAGCCTTACCAATCCTACTTGCAGCACAACCGATCACTTTCATTCTTGATTTAGCTTGTCTAGCGTCAAAACGTGGCTACTTAAAATTAGATAAATGGTTGACTGATAAGCTACGCGACCATCAAGTAGAAAGTTTAGTTGATTTTAACCAATTTTTACTGTTATTCTCTCCTTAGGAACTATTTATTCAAACCACAGTTCAATATTTACGCAAGAAAGCCCCGCAATTATCTTCCAAAGATGAATCAAATTATAAACCGATAGTCAACATTGAAATCATTAGCATTCTCTTAACTGTTCTCCAACTAGCATTACCATCGTTAACAAATCCTGACTTAATCCAAGAAATTCAAACAATGATTGCAACTGCAAAAATTCTGAATAATATAAATCCAACTCGTCCCGATACATTACACAATCCTCTCGCTCATCCATTCACACCTCCGCCAGCAGCTACAACATCATTACCAACTCAGCTTCGTCCGTTACAAAGTAAACTATTTTTTCTCAATTGTCGCTTTTTAACATTGCACGAAACAGCATCCATAGTAGAGGATGTATATGTCGATAGAAATAGCTAACCAAAGAACGAGAACAAAACAACGCGGTCGAGAGAAAGAGAAAGAAAAGAGAAAAAACGAGATTCGTCCAAACATTTACCATTATAAACTAGTATAGTTTTTTTTTTTGACAAAATCATGCACTAGTCTTATTCGCTCATCATTATCGAGGGTCTGATATACATACATCGATTCGACGATGATCGAATAAAATTGCAGAGAAAATTTCAGTCAAGATATCTCATAGAAAATAACGATGGATCAAAGTAAGAGAATTTTCAATTCTGTTTCTTTTCTTCTTTCTCTGCGAACTTATTTTTTATTCTTTTCTTCATAAGGTTCAGCGACTAATGATCTTTCACCAATGAATGAAATTTCCGATGTTGATGTTTATTTCAAACGCTTATACTCGAAAACAACAAATCCACCACCCATATCTGTTGATGAATTTCTGGATATACTGAAAAAATGTAAAGAATCGCCTATTCTACGCGAAAGAGTAAGTGCCGAATTAAATATTCAAATCGTGCATCGTTTGTTCCAATCATCTTTCAAAGGAAGTTTTCCAGAATGGTATTAAAAATTTATTCGAAGAATACAAATTCTATTCTCAATATCCAGAAAGAGAATTACTACTTACAGCACAGTTATTTGGAGGATTATTCGAACGTGGCCTGTTTCAAAATCAAGTGCTTTTTGCCGCCTTTCGAGTCATGCTCGAAGGTCTGAGAAAATCATCGGACACGCCATTATGGAAATTTGCTGTGACAGCACTGGATCGATGCAAATCGCGGTAAGTTTTCATTGGCTAAAAAGCACCACGCACACGTAAAATTCGCTCTAAAATCTGATTCATATCCGATAAGGAACGACAATAAGCATGTGACGAGAATTTTCTAACAAAAGAAATATTTTCAAACTCTCCGTTACTAGCACACATGTTTATTCCTACTCACATATATCGAATAGTATGACTCAATCGGAATATTCATCTTTCGTTACATATACTTCTTATCTGTCTTCTTTGTTTAGAATCCGTGAACAATCAGCATTGCTGCAAGCTGTGCGAGCGGCACCAACATATTCGGAAATACCAGCATCAATTCGTGATTATCTCGAAAATAACACGAAATCATCGATTGCTCAAGCATTCGATCCGTTACGAACGTTAACGCCGACATCGAACCTCCCGACACCACCAGTAGCTACAAGTCCACATTCGCATATATTCGCTCGAATGAATAGCACACCAGCAGTCACGACTGCTCAACCGCCACCTCCAGTACAACCACCGACACAACAATTCAATCCAATTGGACGAGATATTCCTTCACAAAAAGGCGTATGTAGCATTGGAAATACACTTTTATCTCATTATATGCTTTCTTTAGCCATCACTGACACAAAATGCCAATATTCGAACGTTGATTAACGATCCAAGTTATAATCTCGTTCGAGTGAAACAACCACCGGAACAGATTAGTGATAAAGTGGCATTTACATTCAATAATTTGTCACTCTCCAATCTTCCGCAAAAGGCACAAGAATTGAAAGAAATCTTGAACAATGATGAACAATTATGGAAATGGGTCGCGCAATACTTAGTCATTAAACGTGTCTCATTGGAGCACAACTTTCATCCATTGTACGCTGGCCTTCTTAATACTTTAAACATCGTCATGCTATTCGATGCTGTATTGAGTGAAACACATCGAAATATCAAAGTACATCATGTCATTTTCCAAATCTCTTGCCATAAACAAACGTTTCATTATTTTTAGATTCTTCTATTAAGCGATAAACAAATCAACAATATTCCCGATCGTACATTATTGAAAAATCTCGGCCATTGGCTTGGTATGATTACTATCGGACGAAATAAACCAATTCTTTCAACGGTATTATTATGGCTAAGTCCATTGGAAGTATTCTTTGTCTTTGTACTTCTAGGACTTGGAAATCAAATCCTTAATCATCGAAGCGTATCATACGGGCCCACAAGAATTATTGTATGTGGTTCCATTCGTTTCCAAAATCTTGGAATCCTGCACAAAAAGCAAAGTAAGCTGCTAAAAGAGAATGAATTCATCAACCCCATGTTGTCCGTCCTAGATCTTTCAACAGCCCAACCCGTGGCTGATGGGTATCATGTCTGTCCTAGCAGAAATGCATGGATCACCGGATTTTAAATTGAATTTGAAATTCGAAATCGAAGTTCTTTGTAAGCAATTAGAAATTCAACTGAATGTAAGTATCGAATAACAGTTGAAGAGAAAAACGCATTCGCTTCTTTTATTAGGAACTTCCTATTCACAATATATTGATCAATAAAGAGTATTTCGATAAGCTGGAAAAACAACTATCCATGCCAGTTCCGACAGTTCCACCAGCGCTCGCTGTTAATCCATCATCACAACCCTCGGTTTCATCGTCATCATCGACTTCAACAGCAGCAACAGCAGTTACGGCCGCACCTGAGCCACAGTACCGCTTATCTGATTTTAAACCATCAACATTTCAATCATTAAGTTCAATGTTGAAAATCAATTCGAACATTGCACTTTTCCGACTTCATCCAAACCTTAAGACGCATGTCTACACGCTCATTGAACAAGCTATCAATGAAAGCTTCCAAACAGTTCAACGTTCACTTAAGGTGGCTACGACTGCCGCTGAACAGATCGTTCGTAAAGATTTCGCTTTAAATCCTGACGAGCAACAATTGCGTACGTCAGCACGAAATATGGTTGCTTACCTTAGCAGTGGCCTCGTTCTTATCACTGCTCGTGCACCATTACAAGAACAAATTCTATCATTTATTAAAGCTCATTTTCATTCCGCACTTGGCATTTCTCAAACAGCGCCAACAAATTCAACGGAACAGACGACAAGCGAAATGATTCTTCAAGCAGCCACTGAAATTGCCACCTCTAACATTGAATTATGCTGTTGCCTTCTACAACGTATAACCATCAGTCGTGCCATTCAAATTATCGATCAACGTTTAGCAAGTGAAATCGAATTACGACAACGTTGCCGGGCCGAAGGAAGACAGTTAACAATTGCTCCCAACAGTAACGATGAAAAGTTACCCGAACAAATCCGACTACACTACGGACCGTTTTCATCCCATCAGCTAGCCATTTATGAAGATTTTGTTCATTTCATTCCAGGTTTCAAACCAAACGATAGCGAAAAACGTGATCTAGTTACAGTAAGTCCTTTGCCTTCTAAAAAATTATTCTAATCACATGCAATCATCTAGATGGATGATAGTGTTCCTTCTGTTTGGGATCGTATTATTTCTGAAATTGACCAGACTATTCAAAGTCAACACAACGGCCTATTCACTACAGCATTACAACGTTTGCTAGAAACAGTCAACGCTTTACGAACAACTTTACAAAATCAAACATCAGCTAATGGCCCTCAAGTGGCATTAACAAGTCTTTTGAACGTTATTTTATACAACTTTCTTGAACATTATACCATTCAATCACAAATTCAAGATAATGAAAATTTCGAACGTTTTAAAACAATTCATATGAATGTTTTAAAACTATTGATTGAAATCCGACTGCACTTGGCAGTGATCAACAAACAGTTAACGAAATCATGGTTAGAATGTTCAAATGATATTAAATTCAATATCTTCGCTGTACATCATCTCATTCGTACACGTCTTTTGGATGTTCGACAAATCGATATGCACATTTCACAATTAATCGACTCCGGAAACAATTCTGCACTTCATTTTGCCGTGAACTTTCTTCGAAACTGTGTGATCGAACAGCCGTGTTGTTCCGATACCGATATTGCATCGACACTTGATTCGCTCCATCGTATTTCCTTGATCGGTAAACAACCAGCTGAAGCTGTACGTGATCTCTTGGAAATCATCCGATTGAACTACACGTCATTGAATGATATAAATGAAAACAAAGTCGATAAATTGGCGATTTTATCTTTGTCAGTGATCAATAACGGCATGAAGTATTTATCAATCGATGATATCGAAACAGCAACGATTGTTAACAAAGCCAAAGGTATTCTAAATGATTGGATAGTGTTGACAATGACACAAACAAATCGAATCACTCAACAGCAAGCTTTCCCAGAATTCTTCAATCAAGTTCGTACTGACGATGCTGATTCGAGCGAATTGAAACAAACGTTTTCTGTTGTTTTAGATGACACATCAAGGAATCTTTCGTTCCGACGACACAATTGCAAAATTTCTTCGTACTACCATTCAACTATGCGTTAATAACGTCTACGACGTTGTACGTCAGAGTTCATCGTCAATTACTCAGCAACAACCACAATATATTCGTTGTCATCAAGGAATTGATTCTCTATGTCGATTTTTATACTTGTTAACAACGCATACATCTGATAACAATAACTATGCGACGCGAATACATTTAATCAATTGTATATTAGGTCTCATTGCTGCACTCTGCTTTCTGGATCATGAAGAACAAGGCGATCATTTCCATCCATTGGCCTATCAAAGAATTCTTTTGAATCTCTTTCAAGAATCAACCAATGGTGTCACATTGAATACATCTAGTTCAACATCCAATGTTGAAAATCCTTTACCAAACGATCCTGTCATGTACTACATTTATTTAGCATTTACTAATTGCTTACATCTTCTTCGTCCTCAACGTGTCACTGGCTTTGCATTTGCTTGGCTTGAAATTGTTGCGCATCGAACATTCATGTCTCGTTTCTTATTATCCGGTGGTCGATTTACTCGACATATTCAAAATATGTATTCCTTACTTCTCGTCGATGCTTTACGTCTTGTTGCACCGTTTATTCGTTCCGGTGAAAACACACCATCGTTCCAAGCCTATTACAAAGGCATTCTCAAAACATTCATGTTATTACTACATGACTTTCCCGAATTTTTATGTGAACACTATTACGAATTTTGTGATTCTTTGCCGTTGATATCTCATCAATTACGTAACATCATTCTATCATCATTTCCCAAACATATCCGTTGTCCAGATCCATTCAAAGTGAATATCAAAATCGATATGTTAAATGACATTTCCACAACGCCAACAATCTCGTACAACTATTCGATGAACATTCAACCAGCGAAATTCAAATCCAATCTGGACTCCTACTTACGTACACGTTCACCAGTGACATTTTTATCGGAATTACGTTCGTATTTACAACAAGGTTCAGATCCTGGTTCACATTATAACATACGAATGTTGAATGCTCTTGTTCTATATGTTGCAACTCAGGCTTTATCAACAATCAATAACAAACAACCATTGATGTCATCCATAACACATACAGCACATATGGATATCTTTCAAAACTTAGCTGTTGACTTAGATACCGAAGGACGATACTTATTTTTAAATGCTATGGCTAATCATCTGCGATATCCAAATACGCATACACATTATTTTAGTTATACAATTTTATATTTATTTGCTGAAGCAAACTCAGAAGCTTTGCAAGAACAGATCGTCCGGTAAGAAGAGAACGTTTTGAATATCACATGATACTTATTGCTTTTACTTTCTTCTAGAGTTCTACTCGAACGATTAGTTGCTAATCGACCGCATCCATGGGGCTTATTAGTCACCTTTTTGGAACTTGTACGAAATCCAAATTTGAAATTATGGTCACGAGAATTTATGAGCATTTCGCCAGATGTCAAACGGTGACTATTTCAAATTTGTCTTTAAAATGCAAGACCTATTGTCTGATTTCTAGATTGTTAGCAACACTTACCCATGGCTTTCCTCAATTTCCAACATCACCCATATCTGCACAACAACCAGCTATAGTTAAACCTTAGTCAAACCTAGAATTCTTCTTTATTTATGTATCTTGTATAAAAAAAAACCACACGAACTTTATTTGTTTGTCAGTCATTCTTTGTGAATTTCGATGATATTACAGACAGAACGAAACACAATATTCTGGTTTGAATGAATTTCTTCTCATAGATTTCTTCGTTTCTTTGTTTTTTTTTCCTCTTACATATGTTCATTGTTATTATATCCTTAGACAGAATTTTTTGACTATTATTTATACAAAAAACCCAAAGCAACCACGATCTCGTTCTTGAGCATGAAATATTGTTACTCATTGTTCTTCTTTTTTTCTTCGGTTGGATACGCCAAACGTTGTGAATAGATAAAGATGTTAGGACATTTTGGTTCGGGATAAATGTTCGGTGTATTCGATAGGAAAAAAAACTTTTCGCCATTGTTTATATTCCTCTTCAAGTTCTTTTGTTCTTCTTTTTCTTTTTTTTGTTGTTGTAAGTGTGTGTGTGTGTGATCTTTTTTTTGAGAAAAAAACTAACCTGGCAAAAACCATGATTATTATGTGATGCATATTGGCTTAATAAATTTTTTTAAACGAAAAAACCGAGTGATTGAACATGTGTTTATAGTACAGGATATTACCTGATGAGTAGAAGGTGTGTGGTTAGGTTAATCAAGATGTAAAATTTCTTTCAGATTTTGATTTTGTATATGAAAACTATGGTAGAGGTTATGCGATCGACCGGAAATGCAACGGCTGCTTCGGGTGAATCACACGAAGGAATTAAACAATATTACATCCAAAAAATAGAAGAACTTCAGGTAATGTGCAACGGATGCGAAAAGGAATCTGAGTGAAGGGAACGTGTGTTTAGTTAAACGTGGCGGAAAAGAGTCAAAACCTACGTCGTCTACAAGCGAAACGAAACGAATTGAATGCGAAAGGTAATGGATTATAATAGACTAGATCAAGTTTGACGCTGATGATTGTATCTAGTTCGTATGTTACGCGAAGAATTACAATTACTGCAAGAACAAGGTTCATTAGTTGGTGAAGTGGTTAAAGCCATGGATAAGAAGAAAGTTCTTGTTAAAGTAAACTTCATTATGTCTTTAATTATATCCTTAACTTCGATAGTTTTATTTCAGGTTCATCCTGAAGGTAAATTTGTTGTTGATCTCGATAAAAATATCGACATGGCCAAAGTGACTCCAAGTTGTCGTGTGGCATTGAAAAACGATAGTTATACATTACATAAGATTCTACCAAATAAAGTAGAGGATTATCAAATTTGTTTTCGTATGAGACTATTCATTTGTTTCCATCTCAGGTTGATCCGTTAGTTAGTTTGATGATGGTGGAAAAAGTTCCTGATTCGACCTATGAAATGGTTGGTGGTCTCGATAAACAAATAAAAGAAATCAAAGAAGTTATTGAACTACCAGTGAAACATCCAGAACTATTCGATGCATTAGGCATTAGCCAGCCTAAAGTACGATATTGCTTTGCAGAGGAAAATGATCGAACGTCAGATTTTAGGGTGTGCTACTTTACGGTCCGCCGGGTACTGGTAAAACTCTCTTAGCTCGAGCAGTCGCACATCATACTGAGTGCACGTTCATTCGTGTCTCGGGCTCTGAATTGGTGCAGAAATTCATTGGCGAAGGTTCACGTATGGTCCGTGAGTTGTTCGTGATGGCTCGGTAAGAGAAAAAGAAGATTTCGTTATGCAAATCATGTTACTCTTTTCGTTCAGTGAACACGCTCCGTCGATTATCTTCATGGATGAAATTGATTCGATCGGTTCGACACGTGTGGAAGGCAGTTCAGGTGGTGATAGTGAAGTTCAAAGAACAATGCTAGAATTACTCAATCAATTAGATGGTTTTGAACCGAAACAAAATATCAAGTAGAAGCGAAAACCATAACATTCTGCTTTATTGATTGAAACGCACATTTAGAGTGATTATGGCGACAAATCGTATTGATATTCTCGATCCAGCACTTTTACGTCCAGGACGTATCGATCGTAAAATTGAGTTTCCCGCACCTGGTGAAGAAGCTCGACTCGATATTCTAAAAATCCATTCTCGTAAAATGAACTTAACGCGTGGCATTAATCTACGAAAAATCGCCGAAATGATGCCGGGCGCATCTGGCGCCGAAGTTAAAGTATAAAAACATTATTATTCTCCCATAAGACTGACTCTTAATTATCTTTCTCTTCTAGGGCGTGTGTACTGAAGCCGGAATGTATGCACTTCGTGAACGCCGTGTACATGTAACTCAAGAAGATTTCGAATTAGCGGTTGCTAAGGTAATAAATCAGTCACTTGATGAAATGAATACAAATTTATGTTTACTTTTCTTTCTAGATCATGCAGAAAGATTCCGAAAAGAACGTCTCATTGAAAAAACTTTGGAAGTGATCAAACTCGTTTTTTCTTCTACCTTTTTTTATGATCAATTTATTTACAGTCGGACTGTCTGTTGAAAAATATATATATATAGACAATAAATCAAACCAAGATGAATCGATAATTTCCAAAATAAGAAAACAAACTAATTTATTTTGAAAGCAATTCGTTCGAATAACAAGAGAGTATTTGAAACTGATTACAAGAAAAATACATTTACCATACGATAAAACTCTCTACAAAGCTACTCTATATCTAAAAAGGTGAATCTGTCATTTGCTACCCGAGTCTACCAGACTTAATAGTTCTCTCTTCGACAACGAATAACCAATCAAGTTCAATACCATTGACATTGTCAAACGGAGCGTTCAGTTTGTCGACTTGTCCATTGGCTCGAGTCACTTCAACTGTTCGAATGGTTTCTCGAACTTGATACGAACCCATGTTGAATCCTTCTTCGTCGACTTTGGTTTCGCTTCTTTTTCCTAATTGAAATTCCACTCGTCGTTCATGAACATTATCGTCATGAGTTGTGATTGGTTCATATAAAATTCGAACGTAAATACTTCCGCTCGAATTGTTTCGAATGGTGCATCCGTGAACTAAACATGGAGCAGCACGACCAATCATCCTGGTTAGTAATAGTTTATTTTTGTTATTTTGGCTCGACTGCACGAGAAAAGAAACACAAAAAAAAAGAGAGAACTATATGTCATTCACTCGTTTTGCAACATTTAGCGAAAGAAAAAAGAACAAGAACGGAAAAAAAATATTCTGTCGGTTCTCCTAATATATACAACGGTTCTCTTCAGAGGAGAAGCAATGTGCAAACGTAGTCCGTCCGCAATAAATATGCTGTAATCCGAAGAAGTAAAATAAGAGAAATGTGATTCGTTGGAGCAGTAAGAAACGCGTAGCTGACGTTCTGCTCGGTGTTGCGTCGAATAAATAATTTCGATTGATTATTTCGACGTTGACTTTTTAATGATTTACAAATATATCGATGTACGTTTCGTCTATTTCTCCGTAATACAATATCGAAGTTAAATCTTCAGTGTATTCAGAAATAGTTTTATTATTGATTGCGACGAAACATTCTATTTCGATAAAGACTTCGTCGCTGAGTCTCGCGAAAGAACATAAACTTTTCGAATAAGAATGCAGTGATTAGAAATACTATGATTTGTTTTAAGTATATTTACATGTATAGCTTTAGCATAGCTGAAGACTTGTTTCTAAGTAACTTGACACAAGTGACGTATGCAAGAATTTTGATGGTTGTTGTCAATCGCTGAAAGAAAAAAACAGAAACGTCAAAAAGCTTCTTGCATCTATTCGTTGGTAGAAGAAAAGGAGAGTTTCTTGACAGTTTAAGTCATGAAATAATTTACTAAATCTAAATCTTTGTTTTTCGCCATATGTCAGTTTGTATGAAGTAAAACGTTATCAATCGAGCTTGAAAAGCAGCTGATACAGACAAAGTATATTCATTTTGTTGGACAAAAACTTGAAAACAAATAGTGAGGTGTTGCTGTTTGCTTCAGGAGACAACCAGTGCCGACTTCTATACGGCCCGGATTACCTTGGTGTGAAGCAAGAAAGATAATATTGTTGTTTCATCGATTCCACTATCAAAATAGTGATGATTATTAGCATAGATGTAAGTTCACGTGATATTTCGTTTTATTGTTACAAGATTCGAAATCTAAACGATTGCATGAATATAATCGAATATAAAAGTTCTCGCCTTCGATTAATACTTAATAAATCGGCTTGTTCATTCTTCATATCGATTCGTTGGTGGTAATTGCAGTCAGTAGCGAGAATACACAAACCATTGGTTAATATAATTTTAACAACATATTAATATCAAATTTTACTCTCTTTCCTTCCCACACGTTCGCTCACAAGTTCTACCATGACGATTTACGACGATGACTTTTTTAAAAAAGGTATACTTCTTGTCCAAAGGCAGTCTAATACGTACATGCAAATATCACGATTATTAATACATTTTGTGACGTATACGAAATTTGGATATTGTCAGAAAATTGAGGGTTTAATAGAGTCCAGCAAGATAGTCCTGGACACCTATCTGAAGACAGCTATAAACTATCCATTGACAAGATCTATCAGAAAACATTCAGCGGAATGGTTTGAAAGTCGAATCATCTTAGAAAGGGTTTCTCTGTAATTCTTTGCCATAATGCGTAATAAAAAAGGAGTATTCATGTATGTATGAATGTACTATTGCTAACAGTCGAAATTTCAAAGCGTTCGTTCGAATTCTGTTTTGCAGTCGACATGAATATTCCATAGATTGGATACATTACGCTATCAAATGCCAAAGACTGATCGGATGTAGTTGACTAATATATTTATTCTTTTGTAGAACCAAAACAAATCAGTCGTATGATTACTCGGGCGTTCTGTGTTTGTGGGGGATACATTCTTTTGCATATCTGGTTACCTCTCATGGACAACTTCTTCGTCTACTGCCTGTATACAATAAATCATTGATTATATATACGTAGGTAAATACAAAGTACATCTATATGTACATTCACATTCTAACCGGACATTGTAAAGATGTCTTGTGATAGTCTCTGACATTGCCGTATTTAATTTTACTCCGAGTATTTATATCAAGTTTCTCGTTTTATTAGTAAACATGTTTTTTCAATAAGAAACGTTTCAGAAATAAATTAAACGCGCCAACTTCTATTTCATCGGTATGTTATCAGATGTTCACCGTATGCACCGGCATCATGATAAACTACAAATATATGTCGACCATCGGTCGTAGTATCAAACCCCTGAGGTGGTACTTTCATTGATGATGTACCAGGGCATGTTTTACCAATGAGAACACGTGCTAAAAACATTGTTCGCTCATCTGTAGCATCTGTGCTCGTATACGATGAGCTATACTTTGCATGCTCATGGAAGTAAACTCCACAACCATACACAACTCCTAAATGCTTACAACGATATAAGAAGTGTTCTAAGAATGAACAGAAAATAGATACCATTGACACCTGCAAATGCTCGATTAAAGCATTCGTTTATGATCTTGTCGGCTGACACTTTGTTGCAACCATGGAAAAGTAATCGCTCATCAGGTTGTGTATAACGTTGAGTAAATTCATCACGATGTGCAGCATACTAACAAATCAGACAATTGTCGAAGAGAACACTTCTCTTTTTCAAGACTACCTGTTTGTACCAACGTTCATTTTGAATGCGTTCAATCTTCACAATTGCTCGATAGTTTTCTTTCATTGTTTCATCGAATTTAGCGAGCACGTCTTTGAATTCCTTGGATGAACTCAAAAGAGTCACTCGTTTCATATTACCACTTGATAAATCCCAATTCTAAGAATAAACACATGACATAAAATTCGTTGAAAAAAGAGATATTCGAGCACTGCCGTACGTTAGGTAATGTCGAATCGATACGTTTGCGGCATATTTTTCTTATACGTGTTTGATACTTTTCTTCCATTTTTGAGAAATCAATTCGACAGCGTTCATCTTTCTCATTTTTGAAATCAATCTTAAAAGCCAATAAAGTATGCTAAGTTGAAATCAAGCGCAACTACGACTTACAAATGGACGTGAGGCACTATGCGCATTTTCAATTTGTTCGTTCATTTTATAAGAATAATGTTCCCATTTACCAGATTGTATTTCTACCGACCAAACAGCACCACGAGAGATGACCTTAATGCGGGTAGTTCGAAGCATTTCGTTTGTTAATTGAAGGAAGTATCTATCTGCTTCCATAACCTTAAGCAAGACAATAAATTCCAGGATGTTTCGTACAAAGAATAACTTACTGCATCTCTAGGTCCAACTAAATCTAGAGTAGCACGTTGGATATCAAGTGTCGGTATTACTCGTTTTTGTAAACAATACTCATAGTATTTTCGAATTGTGTCCTGTGACCAATCACCCACATCATCCTTATCAGATAGGTGAAGTTTAAATGAGTACGATTGAGCTAACTGTTTTATTTTATTTTGACATTGACTCAAGTCATGTACAGTCGGACCGGTCAATTTGATTCTTATCGCTAAAATTGAAGAAATTGGTCAGAAATCGCTTCATTTTCATGAATATATACTTTGTTTATCGAAAGGAATGGTAGATGGAATATGTATTTTGTTTTGTATTGTAGCCATTTGGTCGGCAAAAGCGTCGTAGACAGTCGAAGCTTCAGGTAATAGTACGAATGAGATCGACAGACGGGATTGAGTTAGTACTTTTAATGACTTATATGCTTCACCAATCATGTGCTCAGCAATCAGTTTCGGATTGTAACCCAGCTGTCCACAACCAATACTGGGAAATGCTAAAATTAAGTACATTACTTCGAATTGTGATCAATGGAAGACGAACCGATTGTTGTGAAATTATTTCGAGAGGCATAAGTAACCGCTGATGTGATAAATTGCTCAATGGATTGTTGTAAGATGTGTGGATCATTTGCAGATGGCTTCCATGAACGGAAAACGATTCGTTTACAGGGTAAATGACCACCTCTTGTTTCAAAATTTAATTCGTCCTGAGCTGATTTTTCACGATACGTAGCCTGCACTTCAAAGCCAGCTTTTGCAGTGATCGCATCACATAAGTATTTCGATGATGAACAAACAACAATGATATCAGTCTGAATCATATATCATAGTTGAACAGAATATCAGAAGTTTGGATTCGACCAGAAATACTTACTGTTTGTTCTATTAAATCGCCTGTATACACAGCAATCTTTGAATTACCAACAGTGATGGATATTTCAGTGTTTTCACTAGCTGCTGACTTCATTGAAGCTGGAGAAGTATTCTGCTGTGTATTTGGTGAAAGTTGAGCGTTGGACGCGTTCCATCCAAATATTTTCGAAATCCAAGATTGTTTTGAGCTCGTAGATGACGTCGTAGGATTTTCTGTAGATGGGACCTCTTCTGATACCGTGCGACCCGATGTACTGTCATCCATCTGTTCTTCTTTTGCCTTAGGGAGTTGGATCCGAATCTGAGTACGAATGATTTCTTTCTCTATAGAACATTTTGATTCAACGACAGCTACAACTCGATTCCAGTCTTGACTAACTAGATGTTCGAAACCAACTTCATCGATATCGAATGTTATCGATATATTTTGAATGTGCTTAGGAGTTATTGGAATATTCTGCTCATGAGTAGATGATCCAACAGGAAGCTGGACAGGCGCTGGTGGTTTCGGTTGACACGAATCTAGAGTGATAGATCTCGAGACTGCTAATGGAACACGATCTTTTTGTTCCTTTTGTTTATTTAGGAGTTCAAACTGTTGTCGATAGAATTTGACCAAATCAGCTTCGCCGTAGAGCGTGATCGTTTGTTGCTCATCCAATAGACATATACGTTTGCCATACCCATTATGCCGAAGAATAGCCGTTTTTAACGCTGCCCATTCATTCGTACAGGTTGCTGTTGAACACTTGGCTGAAACTAAAAGGCTTCTACATATTCTCTCTAGATGTTGTCCGTCAGTGCCTAATTCGTGATTTTTGGAGTCGACATAATGTATGATCACCGCAGATGGTAATGGTTGCTGGCAAACACAAATAACATTGTGCAAACGACATTGATGTTGTATAAGGTCGATAATACCATTTATTTTCACCCAATCTCGATCTAAATTGAGAAAATTATCCGATGAATAAACAGAAAGCCATCCTAACCAGATACTGCATCGAAAGTCTTTGTATAGCATAGTGAAGTTAAGACTGCTAGTTCTTTGAATACTCCGTCGATCGAATTCCACTGGCCAACTACTTTCACTACAGGATTTCCGTTCATTATACATTCAAAATCAATTTTAATGTTATATAATTTCGATAAATATTTATGTAAACAAGTTTCGAATGATTTGTCGGCGAACAAAGCTCGTTGTGATGCATTAGTAATTGGTAAAGTTCTACGTTCGGTAACATTGTCATCCTTTACAGTAGATCTAGAAAACAAAATAAAGTTTAACATGGAGAAAGTGTATCTATATACCTAGGACTGTTAGACGCTCGAGTGGTAGGTGTTGATGATAGTCTAAGCGATGATCGTCGTCTAAAAGGAAAGCTAAGTAAGCATCATTGATAAGTGTTCTTCATCCTACTCTTCGGTCACGGATCTGACTGACTCCCAGTCATTTGATACTGTTGATGAAACTCGGTGTTCTGTTGAATGTTTTGGAAAGAGGTCATTCATAATAGCCGACGTCTTGGATTTTTTCATTGCTAGCACATAGTTAGGTTCTTTACTACAATGAAATGCTACAAATGACGAATATGTACGCAGAATATTGAGTTGTGCTACACGTTGTTGTAAAACAACTGAACGGATATCAAATTTGCGCATAAACTGACTGGTTGTCTTATTGA